ATAATCAGCCCATGAATTGGGTGCTGGCTGCCAAAGACGGGAGCATTATTTTTGCTGCTACGAACTCGTATGACAATTACCCTGAAGCCAAGTAGAAGAGTTGTTGGTTGTAGTGGGTAGTAAAAGAAAACGTAGTTAGGAACATACAAGTAGAAGTAGTAGAAGACACAAGAAATAATATTCTCCCTCGTTTTTGGATTAAAAAGAATATATTACATTGCAGGTACCCCAGATTGTTCGTTTCATGGCGGAGTTGTTGACAGGTGTCAGCTCGTGATTGAAACGTGGCTGTCTTTCAAATCTCATTTCAAAAACCGTTCATCGAATTGCACACCCTGCAGAGAGAGGTAAGCGCCAAACAGCCACAGATCGTCTTTATCATACACTAATCTATACACTGACGCTCAAGAACTAATAACTTTCCACACACCATAGCCTTAAACCACTAGCCAAGAAAAACCTTGGGAGTACGCCAAGGCAATGCCAAACGTTCCAAGCTTATGCTAAAGGCCTTGATATAAAAACGAATCCCAGCCATGAATCAAATCATTGCATCAATCGACCAATCTCCCTCTGCCTTCGAACCTATCCGTACACGCTCATCAACGAAAACAATGTTTCGTAAAAACACTGCCACTGCAGCAACAACACTATTATCAACATCTCCACCATCAACGTCGCCGAGTTTGTCACGCCCACGATCTGCTAGTAATACGTCGTCGGAGGGGTATGTGACGGATGACAGTAGTGACGCGACACGTGGAGCGAGTGGTAGTGTGAAGTCTGGATCTGGATCTGGCAAGAAGAATAATAAGAGTGAGGCTGGTGGTAAGAGGAGGTGTAGTAAGGTGAATGCTGGTGCTGTTGAACAAGCTGGTGGTAGTAATAGGAGGACGGTTGAGCTACATGGAACGTTTAAGGGATTAAGTGCTGGGGAGGTCGTTGTTGATGGTGAGTTAGTGTGCTGAGAGGTTTTACAGTAATGTTCATCGGAATTCACCGCTGTTTTAGCTGCTTTGGTGTATTTGAACTGAGTTTTTTCCTGTACGTAGACTATCCGTGTGCTTTACGGAGGGACATATTGCTGCAGGGAAGGCTGTATTTGACGCAGCAGTCCATATGCTTTGTAAGTACATTGCTCGATGAGTTCGAGATGCTCATACAATTCAATCCAACTCATGTCGCAACCACTCTAACACCACCCTCTTTCCGTATTAGTACTCCAACATATTCACATTCGAAACCAAACTCGTAATCCCACTCTCCGCAATCCTGAAAATCGAAAAGAAAAAAATCGTCATGTTTGTCAATAATGCTATTGAAATCACCACGTACGAACCACCACTATCCCTACAACACCACCACCAAATGAATCCAGCTGATATACGAGACGAGTACATCAAGACTTATTTCTTTGCATCGTTTCTGAGCCGTGATGGGGCGTATGAGACCATGTGTACGTTATGGAGGTTGCAGAAGGGTGGTGATGGTGGTGGGAACCGGAGTGTTGGTAGTAGTTTGGAGAGTTTGGATGGTGGCGATGTGGGTGCTGTGGGTGGTATACTGTCTGTGGGCAGTCAAGGGAGTGTGAATGGGTACGATGCAACCGCAGCAGCTGCAAATGTAGTATCTATCGGTGATGAGTGTATACCACCGCCATTGCCAACACCTATATTAGCACGTAAACCGACGCCTACCACCACTACGAACAACAAGAATAGTAGCGCCATCGTGAAACAACAAGCACCACCATCGGCAAAACACCTCACCACCAAACCACGAGACACATCATCATCATCAATCATATTCTTTATACAGCTGCTAGTATGTGCCATATTCTTCATATCGAGTCTCGTTATCTTGATACGTGTCAGGAATGTAGTCACGCATTTGGAGGAAGTCTTGTCATCATGATGAAATTGTAAATTTATATTCTGTTTCATTTTACATATCATATTCTGTTACTATTATACATATTATTTCCTCAGTATGTCTGATTTTGATGTGAGGTTCAGTGTGTGACATCACCCAAGTTTTTAGTGCAACACACTAACTCCTTCCAAGCTTCAACATTTACTACCTTTCAAGCCTACAGTGAAAGAACCAAAATCATGGACCTCCCCAGCGTAATCCCCGACAGCAAAGCAGCCGGCGCATCCATGCTGAAAATGTTTAATCTCTGGGACGCTGAATCTGAGCAGTTCGTCAAGGATTTCGAACTCACAGGAGATGATAAACCGTGGGTGCCAAGTCCACATAAAGTTAATGAGATGATTACTGGTATGATGTATACGTTGTCGTTTTGAGTTTGGTTGTGGGTGGGATGTTGACCGTGGATTTTGTATGTAGGGTTACATATTGCTATTGCGTGTATTGCGAGCAAGTTGGGGAAGGTACAGCTGAAGGGCAGGTATGTGGTTGTCTGGGATAAGATGTAGTGGTCTACATGTTGGGCTTTCTTTGTGTGGGGTGTGCTTTTCGTGTGTGTGGTTCAAAGTGTTTGGAAGGACTTTTTGGGTGTGGTTTTATTGCACGATCGGTGCATAGGGGACCATCAACATCGCCTTTCGTACCTCGTCATTTTGGACGTCTCTTCTGGCATTGGTGTCTGGAACAAGCACAAAAAATAATGGGGGCCTCCTCCTTTTACAAGAGAAACTAACCCCCACAAACTCTTCTCCCCAGAACCCAAAAAGCCTCTATGGACATTGGCCACGCGCTCCAATCCGTAAACTCGCAATTCATCTACACATCCAACAAGAAACCCGCTCTCGAAGTCTTCTTCGATATCGAAAAAGACCCACAGCTGCGTCCTCCAGACTACTACTTCCGGTTCCTGTACAGCCAAGTCTGGATGGCCAAAGACGGGTGGCTACACACGTCGTCCAAGTTTGATAAACCACATACGCTGTTGACGAATCTGGGATTTACGAGTGCACAGGTGAAAGATATGATGGCTGATGTAGAGAGGGGGGATGGGCCGGCGTTTATTAAAAAGATGCAGGCGCATATTGCGACATTGAGTAAGTGGGAGATTTGTAGGGAGATGCAGGCAAAGCATCATGTTGCTGTGGTGCCGCAGACTAGGAAGGTAACCAAGTCAGCTTAATCTCAGTCTTAAGTATGCCGCTAAATGTCTCACTCTTACATGTACACTCTCAAATAGGAGTTTTTGGATTCTGAGCAGGTGTGTTATTCGTCCTTCCCAGTGTCTTCTGTTTTTGCTCTTGTTATATGTCAAGCCAAGTTAGGAAAAGGCGCTAACAACCGTGTATACAAACAGGGCAAAATTCTCTCCAAACTCCCATACATTGAAATCGACCCCATCGCCCTCCCAAACACAAACTGGAAACCGTCCCCCTTAAAAGGCGGTGGAAACGGTGGTCTGCTGGCTGGAATCAAGGTCGTTGAATTGACACGTATCTTGGCGGGTCCTCGTATGGGATGTGTCTTGTCCTGCTATGGTGCTGATGTGGTCAAGGTGTCATCGCCGAGTTTGGAAGACACGCCGTCGTTTTGGTATGATACTAATTTGGGGAAGAGGAGTATTTTCTTGGTATGTAGTGCTGAGTGAGGTGTCTGTGGTGTTGCTCTTGTGTGACATCATGTCTTAACAATGCATTCTTTGTGCTAACTCACTTTCGGTTTTTTTTAACGATAGAACTTGAAAAAGGGCGATGACAAGAAACGCATGCAGGCTTTGATTCGAGAAGCTGATGTTGTAGTTCAAAAGTAAGATTCTTGGACATTGTGCTTTTGAAGACGCAATTCTCGGTCCAGACACTCTCATTTTTTTGTTTCGACACACTCACATATTTCGCTCACTTACAATTCACATCCAATAGTTACGCACACGGCGCACTCGAACGTCTCGGTTTCGGCCCACAGCAATGTGCGGAACTAGTCAAAAACCGTGAGCGTGGTATCATCTACGTGCGCGTAAACTGTTTTGGACATACGGGACCTATGGCTGCCAGTCCTGGATTTGATGGGCTTGCGCAGTTCACGACTGGGTTGGCTTCTGAGCATGTATGTGTTTGTGATGGATTGAGGAGGTGCTCATAGCAGTGTGATGAGCAATTAGCAAGATCTAATATTTTTTTTGTGCCTTGGAAATTTTATTTTGAAATAGGGCGAATACACATCTCAAGCCTACAACCCACCACTTGAAGTCCCCATCCCGGCTCGTCTCCCCATGACGGTCTGTGATTTGCCAACGGGCCATATGGGTGCTCTAGGTAACGTAAACCGCCCAAAAAAGTTCATACAACACTATTACGCCATGTTACTTTTGACTCATTCTCAACATTTTGTATAGGCGCACTCGCAGCCCTCCACAAACGCGCCACCCACGGCGGCTCCTACCTCGTCTCGACCTCCCTCACCCAATCGGCCATGTTCCTCCAATCCCTCGGGCCACACTCACCCTCCATATCCCGTAAAATCGTCTCTGCATTCGCGCAAGAGCCTATCGAGCCACTAACAGCAACTCCAAGCTGGCTGTTCCGCTGGGCGGCATACGAGTTGCCGAAAGTGAAGCCCGAGTTGTTTAGGGATGAGTTCTTTGATTTGCATTATGGGCCAAGCGGTGTCACGAGGGTTTTGAAGCCGCCTGTCAGGTAAGAATTTGTGATTTTTGGCAGACGGTTTGTATGAGAGTGATTTTTCTGATGCGTTTTTTTTGTTTTGGGTAGGTTGGAGTTGACGCCATGCAAGTACGTGCTACCTCCCAGGCCGTTCGGGTATGATAAGCTCACTGGATGGGTCAAGGACGAAACCGCTATCGTGTCTGAAGCCAAGTTGTAAGAAAATATGCAACATGTTTCCAAATACCCCCGTCGTTATTGTAGTAGTTGTCGTGTGATCTGAACTGTCTGAATCTGTACGCGAAAAAATAGTGTGATAGAACAGTGTCTTGTGAAAAAAAAATGTTCCTGCCTCCAATCACATAACTTTCACATTTCGCTACACTTTTCGTGCTAAACGGTTTAGACTGGATAATGGAAGCAGATGTTAGGAACGTGCAGCGCACAGCTGCTCTAATGATTGAGAGAGCATGGGTAGCGTATTCATCGAGGAAGTTATTTGCGTTGATGAAGGAATTAATTACCAAGGCTGTGAGTATATAAACAGAGACTTTAGTACTTAACAAGATGAATTTAATAAAGTATTTTATTGTAGGAACGTAACATGACTTTCAAATTCGCTCGTGGGCTATCACACGAAGAAGCAGCACTCCTCAAAGACCCATTTTGTAAAGCTCGAGTGCGGTTTCGACTTGGTGGTGAGGTGTTTCCTCCTAAAGTGCTATTCAAGGTAAAATATAAAGCCTTTACGTCGTCGCTACAGGTCTTCCTTCTGGTTTCGTTTTTTCCTTGTCTAACAACTTTTCACACCAAACCGCCGCAAACAACCTTCCACCCAAAACCACTGCAACAACAGATATTCACCAAATCCCAAACCCACTACTACCACGCCAAACGCCTCATCCCTGCAGGCTCCATCGGTGCTCGTGACGCACTCAACGTTTCCGGGAGATGGCCTTTTTTAAAACACGTACTCGATTTACACTACCACTCGCCTATCGAATCCGTCGACATTACATCCCAGAACGAGTTCGTGCAATTTATGGCATCGCTGGATGCTCGCCATGCACATTTAGGTGGGAGACAGAATAACTGGAGGGAGCTGAAACTGGAGGATTTGTTGCCGCCAAAGAAACAGAGGGCGAAGTGGAAGGAACGGTGGATTTCTGCACATAGGAGTAAGAAGAGGGTGAATAATGGTGCTGAGATACGGAAGGCTGTGGTGGTAGCGACAAGGGATTTTGATGAGGATGTGCTTGGGGATGGTGATTTTGAGGACTTGTACGAATGGACGGTCGCGTTGGACGAAGTTTGAAAGTAGATATACCTAATACAAGTTATTTTAAAAGTCAGAGCCTTTGGAGGTTCAATCTTTCCATAAAGCTACACCTTTTCTCACGTCCACCAATGTTCGTTGCGTCACAAACAACATATTAAACATAATGGACGATCTAATACCGAAATTAACGGCTCTAGTAACATGTGATCTATGCTACACGTTGGCGACCACACCACAATGTATACTGCTGCCAAACTCTGTCCATCGAACTTGTTGCTCCAATTGTGTGGATATGTTACTACGTGAAGAACATCCCAGGTGTCCATTTACTCGTCGCTCATTTACTCGGAACATGATAGCTTATGACAGGAAGGCTAAAGAGCTTATTGATATCCTGGCTGGAATCAACACATCAAACACATCGTCTCGCAATGACTTTTCACCACACGGACGAGAGGAGGACGTTACATCATCTCATAATCATGTGATAAGAGCTAGTACACGTAATAATAACACTCCTATAGTATCGTCTGGCCGATCGATAATAACACCCGACGAACTGAGTGATCTTCGTCAGTTAATCAAACTGGACACGATACGTGATATTGAAACCGCTATCCGAGATTTGCTGACTTCAAATACCCGTATAAGATGTAAAGATGGATGGAGTTTGGTATCGGTATTGCCCAAAGACTCGCGTGTGAAGTGGTGGATGGTTGGATTGCTGAGTGGTGTTGTTATTGACAAGGACAGGTTTTTAAATGCTTATTGCGCGTAAGCATTGTATGGGATATAGGTATATTTTTATGTTTTTTTGGAGCAGCAATATTATATGTGATTCTCATCATTGACGTTGAGGCGATATTGAGGTCTCGACTTGAACTTATGAGAAACCACGCAAACGTAAACCCCACCGGAAAGTGATTGTAACGGCTAACAGTAGGGGGTATGACATCAACGTATCACACAAAAGAAACTGTTACTGATGTAAAACCTCCCTCTCGATAGAAGAACTGAGGCTAAGAAACTCCCAAAATCTACACCCATCGCAAACTCGGAACCTATAATGGAACTAGCCGCTCACCAAATCCACGGCAAGGGCCACTCCAACCTGGTGTTCTCATCACTTTCTGCTCTCGTACTGAGTCACAGGTACATAATTGGCCTCTCTTTTATCATCGGTCACCATCTCATTTCAACATTAGGTTTTCTAAGTTATGATTTTTTGAACAATGGTAGTGCTAATAGATTCTTCCTCTAGTATCCTGCTGTTATCAGATACGAAATCATTCACTGCTGGCCGATTCCAAGCCCTCGCTGGTTCTGTGTGTGCCTTATCTGTTATTACGGTGCTACTTGCAATCACGAGGATCTATGTACGCAAGACTTCGGCTTTTGATTTGAAGTATATTGCTGTTAGTGAATGGTTAGTGACTACATTTCCTTTGTTTGAACGTATTTGGGTGGGCTGGGTGTTGGCTTTTACCAAACATCTTACACTATCGTTCACCCTGAAGGCTCGCACGAGGATTGCTGATCTTCACGTACATCTCATGGGGCGTCATTGCTGGATTCTCGTATAGCTACTGCTCTGGTACGTACCAAAACAATCGTCTACACTGTGCGCTCGTTGGACGCTGTCCTAACACACACCCATACCATCACATACAGAGTCTCAGTGCTACCAGTCCTTTGACTATATCGTCTTTGGAGCCTTCTTCTCCATCATCCTTGCCGTGCTTGGCCAAGCTCTTGGTACGGTTTCTGGAGAGCATGAGGATGATGATGATGATGATGATGATGATTCGACGCTGCTGATTGCATATGTTGATGCATCTGGCGATAAAGTCGATTTCAAGGCCTTGGAAGAAGGACGTGGACTGTTGGGAAGGTGTGAGTGTTGTGGGGGTGAAAAGGAGGAGGATGCTCTTCCTGCGTATGTATAAGCCCTTAGTGGGTGCTGTGTGGTTGTATATATGTGATTGTCGGGCCTGTGTTTCAAATTTAATTATATAAAATTCAGTAGTTTCGTTGTGGCAATGAATGGCAGTGTTGATAAGCTTGAATGGGAGTGACGCAAGTTCACAAACGAGACTGAATGAAGAATTGTTTGCGTATCCAAGTGGTAGTCAAGTCCGGAAATGAGGAGTTGTCGGGCGGAAGTCGTGATCACACACTGTGAGCCTCACTTTAAGGAGCGTGGTCAACGAAGCGAAGGGGTCGAGAGAATCCATATGGGGTTCAGAAGAATGAGCAGGTAGGCAAATAATGAGAAACAAGGCAAACGCGAGACCAAAGACCAATAAGAAGCGATATCAAAAAGCGTTATCTTGATAGTGGCGAACTCTAACGGTGGATGGTGGCTGTTTTATTTTCTGCACCCTTTTTCTCCTTTTTGTCTTGCAACTCCATAGCCGAACAACCAATTTATTTGTTTTCTTATCAAACAGCTTGCTAAAGGATGCATAGCCTTGGAAACTAGGTAGACTTAGGAATTCCCTGCTACCGGTGCCTTCCATCGCTCTTTATACATTGATAGTCGTAGACAGTGCCCAACTTGTTTCATATTTCACGGCACGATACATAGACCGATTAGATGTCAAGAGAGGCGTCACCAACTCCACCACCATATACCTCAATAGAATCAGGCAAGCAATACGGGCTTCCCTCGCCACTTCCATCGCCGAATGGTCAACAATCTAGACGGAATTCAGATGAGCTGAAACGCAAGAGGCTCGATATAGAGCATGGGACTGTCGACGCTCTACAGGATGGATCTGTTTGGGGTAATGTAACGAGGGCTATGGATACTCCCGCTGGAACTATGATGATTTATTTCGTGTGTAATCTGACGATAACGCTGTGTATGTATTCGTGGCATTGGACATTGTTTGTGTTTTGTTGTTACGTCGATAGAAGTCCTTCTGCATGTGGAGATTGTCATTTATCTCATTCTCTTACTCTTGGACTGTATCCTAACGCCCCACCCAACACAGATTCCAAAATCATCATGAAACTATTCAGATTCAACTTTCCCTGGATCCTCACATCATCACACGCACTTGCATCAGCTATAGGCTCCGCAGTCCTAATCCACGGCTTCAAAGTCCTCTCCCCAACATCCATAACAAACAGACGAGAATACATGACCTTGCTCCTCTTCTCGCTTCTCTACACTGTAAATATCGCCATATCGAACGTATCGCTTAGCATGGTATCCCTGCCCTTCCACCAGATAGTAAGGTCGACAAACCCGGCATTCACAATCATCATGGAGTATGTATTTATGAGAAAGCAACATGTGGCCATTACATATATGAGTCTGATACCGGTTATACTGGGGGTCGCGCTCGCCACATATGGCGAGTACGAGATCAAGACGTGGATGGGCGTCGTGCTTACCTTCCTCGGTGTGCTGCTGTCGGCGTTTAAAGGCCTCGTCACGAATATCCTACTGGTGGGATCTCTCAACGTGCAGCCGATAGAGCTCTTATACAGGATGTCGACGCTCGCATTCATGCAGTCTGTGGCAATGGCGTACGTGTCTGGTGAAGTCGCGGGATATAGGATATATGTGCAGACACTGCTGCAAAAGGCAACGTATGCTGAACAGATGGGAGGCACGTCAAAGGAATTGTCATTGTCGTCGCTCTATCTCGCATTGTTTTTCAATGCGGTGCTGGCATTCGTATTGAATATCGCTAGCTTCTCGGCCAATAAAAAGACATCGGCGCTCAGTATGACAGTTGCTGGGAATGTCAAGCAGGTGCTGAGTGTGTTTTTGTCGGTTTGGATTTTTGGGTATGTGATTACGGTGCCGAATGGTCTAGGTAAGTCTTATATAGCATGAGTGATATATTGAGTTGCGGGTCGAAGGTTGAAAGCAACGTCTGTTGATACTGTCGCGTGAGTGCCCCTGATTTTCTGTTTTGCCACCTTAGGAATCCTCGTAACGCTAGCTGGAGGATTATTATATAGCTCGATAGTGCATCTAAAAAATAAGGGAAAGTCTACCAAGAGTCAGATACTGAAACTCTGATCTTAGCATCGAATGAACGCTTGCAATGGCTGCAAGCAGCACGATATCAAAACAACAAACCATACCACCCCATTCTAAAACTCACATAATACTATCAGTCAAAAGGCTCAACAGTGAAAGTGTATATATATATGGGAATCGATATAAAACCTAATAATTATACTATAGAACTCACAAATAAACGTCCCAGTTGATAACAGTAAAAGCAAAAGAAGGCCTTTAGTGTTCGTTCTATTTGACTCGCGACGCGTCAACATGTATCTCAAACAAGTACTAGGATTCAGCAGAAACAAACCATGATTTTTATTAAACTGTAAAGAGTGGTAGTAGCACAGGAGAGAGCGAGAGATAACCTTGATGTACAACATGATTTAACCAGCAAAAAAGCGACCGATCATACTATCATTGACTCAACCAGTAAAGTTAGGAAAGCAAGCAGCAAACTCCTTTCCAGCATGCTTGTTCAAGTGGGATTCAAGCTGAGTTCGACTCGAAGTCATCATGAATGTTTGTAGGCAGATTTTACATTGGATTGTTAGGGATGCTTGGTTCTATGTGTGAGATGGTATTAGATGTGCAAAAAAAGGAGACAAAGGTAACGCTGGATGTTTGAGGGTGGTACTCAACTGCCTTCAATTGGGATGTAGGACCAGTTTTGGCATCTTTGGCATTCCTTTCTCGTTTTTGTTGGGCTTTTGCACCCTACAGTGAAGACGAGGTGGGTGTTGGCTCATGGATGTAATCGATAAGTCAATGTAGCTCAAAACCAGTCTTTTGAAATAACACAGAGTGTTTTTGCTCAGAATCAACGTCGAACTTTTTTTTCGTCGTCCAATGTTCACAGACTAGTACGTACGTTTCCCATCTTTGATAATCTGCTGGATCCAAGTAAACGAGAGCTGCGTTGACTAGTGTTGCAGAGGATTTACTATTGCAGAGGTATGAGAAACAGCTGGTTAGCATGAGGCAGCATTGTCTAGAAATAACTTTTTTTGGTCTTGTCGAGTCAAGTCTCTGAACAGCAATCCAATATCCATGATATCTGACTAGAGAGCACTTACATTATAAATTTGACGCTTGAAACCCTTCCTTGTCGTTAAGGAGAGTCTGGTTTGTTGGCTGATTGTGTTGGCGACGATTTGTGTGGGAAGGAAGAAGGACGAGCATCATGATGAGAGAGTTGAAAAGACGGGCTACATTCTTTGATGATAGGCAGTTTCATCCTTTCTTCAGGTAACGTCCTGCTATATCTCTTATCATGAATTACACGTGCAAGACACGCTTTTCATCACCAACATTGTTGGAGCAATGGTATGTTTTTTTGCCTCAAGTTTACTTACCGCACCACCACCACACATTTACAGGAATTCACGCTCATCATCCTACGTCGTCACATTCATCAACGCAACCCGTTTCAGCACCTCGATCATACCATCTATTGGCTTTCTATGCTTGTGCTGGACGGCGTGGTCATTTCTCGTGTATCTCATGCACGTCGCGTATCCACAGACGGTATACATGGATGACAAGTATGTGGGTATCGACTTTTTCCATGCATGCAAACAAAACCACTAAACACTACTAAAGTATAGTCTGTTACGGATCTTGACACCAACACTGACGCTCCTAATGACATTCCGAACGAATCGGGCGTTTGAACGATACTGGAGCGGGAGCCAGATGTGGACTAGTTTGTGCATGTGTATACGGAATGCGAGTAGGTTGTTATGGACTGTGGTTAGTTGTGGGACGGATGCGGAGAGGGATGAGCAGCTGGATGCGCAGAGACTCTTGCTGGCTGTTGGTAAGTGTCAAAATCCATTATTAGAGCGTTTTTTGGTTGCCATCTGCTCGAACGTAAGTGAAGAAAGAAACTACTTCTTACCCATATCTCCTGGTGATAGCGGTTTCAATGAAGTGGGCTTTACGAGGCGAAGACGGCTTCGAACACCCGGACGTAATCCAGCTCCTCCCCACAAACCACCATCTGTGGAAACTAGCCTCTCGCCCAGCCCCATCCTCATCAGACCCCACGTCTCCATCCCTCCGCATGAAACGCGGCAACGTCGTTACAGTCCCGCTCGACATTGCATACCGTATCTCCCACTACACCCGTCGTCTGCGTCACCAAAACCTCATACACGACACCGAAGACATCCCACAACTAAATTCTGCAATATCAGCCATGATTGACTCGATAACCAAATTCGAGAGTATTGTCAATATCAGTGTGCCTCCTAGCTACGACATGCATCTAAAACAGTTGTTGTGGCTGTACTTGTTCTTTTTGCCTCTGCAGATTGTAAGGCCAATGAAGGAGATGAGTGTGCTAACGGCGTGCTTGGTTAGTTTTGCGTTTTTGGGGCTGGATGCTATTGCGAATGAGATTGAAGGTAAATGCGTATGTGGGGTTGCATAATGCAAAAAAACCCTGCTTGGTCTCCCGATCCATATTATAGAAGATATCTAACTCACTTTGGTTGACTCAGAACCATTTGGAACGGATACGAATGATTTACCACTGGATTACCTGACGAGAAAGCTGCAGGAGGATATCGAGTCGAATATAGAGCAGTCGTTGACGAGTCATCGGCGGGAGAGTAGTATTACTATGCCGGTGCCGACTATACATCTTGGTGTGCCAAAGAAGGACATATAGGTGGTGGACGAACAGTCGCAACCCATGATGAACGTGTGGTTGACGTTTTTCTAGTGATTTGTATGCTGAAATTTGTATATATATTTTTTGTACGTGTTGTTTTGCATGCAAAAATAGTTGTAGTAAAAATCTATATAGAGTGTCCTTAAACATATATCCTCCCTTCCAAAAAATCCATCGTCATTACTCGCCCTTCTATATACCTCTCAACTCATGATAACATCCACCCCCTCCAGCGCAACAAAACACACCGCCATACCCAAAAACAGCGCAAAACTAGCCCGTTCTTTACCGGCATACGTGACCGCCGTTGGAAACAATTCGTGGATTGATATGCATGCCATGATACCAGCTACAGCAGCGAGTGATTTCGATAGGAGGGATTGAGTAAGATAGTTTTTCAGAAAAAAGCCGCCCAGGAGGACTCCCAGGGGTTCCATTAGGCCGTTTATGAGCGTCATGTAGAGGACGTGGTAGTTGGATTTCGTTGCGGCCCAGAGCGGGATTGCGACTGCCATTCCTGGTTTGAAAAGGTGGTTTGTTAGTGTGTTTAGCAGACTTGTTTGTGTTAGGACAGTGTGATGATACCTTCTGGAATGTTGTGCTAATGTTTGAGCAGTTGTTTGGTTAGCTCTAAGAAAGTGGCTTGAGCAAAAATAATACACCCTCAACATACCAGACAAATGGCAGCAGCTAACTGTAACCCCAACCGTGGATCCGCCAGCGCACCTAAATACACACTCAATCCTTCCGGCAGATTATGTAGTCCCATAGCAACAAATGTCACAAGTGATGTCCGTAACAGTTGCTTTCTCTCTGTTGCTTGACGTTCGTTTGCCACTGGTGCTGCTGGTTTGCGTGCACGGGTAGGTGTTGGCGAAGCAGCAGTAGCATTACTACGTCGCTTACGTGTTGTTTCTGGTGTCTTTATAGTTGTAGTCTCTACATGTTCGACATGGTGCGAATCCCCATTTACAGCATGATTATGGTGATCTCCGCCTTCAGCAGCAGGCAATATAAGCGTCTCCAGTACGCCGAATACGACGACACCACCGAAAAACCAGAGCATGCATTCCCGTCCACCGACAGATTCCTTAGCTTCAGGCAGGAGGTCGATAAATGTCATGTATAGCATTACACCAGCCGAGAATGCTTGCAGGACGCCCAGGAGATTGTTGGTTGATGCACCTGCAGGGACGTATCTGACCATTATTATTGTGAGCAGGCCGCCGAGGAAGGTGCCCATTGATGCGATAAAGGAGAGAATGAAGGGCAGCGTGTGCGGGGACGAGACGAGGAGGTCCCATTGAGGATGCGTGCTGTGGTCGTGGTGGGCATGGCTGCCGCTGCCGTGGTGGTGGCCTACGTGCGCTATCATCTGTTGGTTTGGATTTTTGAGTTTGAAAAAAGTATTGGGAATTTTGGGTTGACGCGAAAGGCATAACCACATGAATGCATATAAGAAGAAAACATTTTATTAACTGAAATCTGTTTCGTATTGTAGATATCAGCCAGTCTGGTCGCTGTCATCTCCCGTCCGGGACATCAGTCACATCACGGGAAGATCTCCTTCTGAATGCAGAGGGCTGCGCTGTATGCTTTAAGGATTATCCCTCAAATCGCCGGCTCAAGTATCCTGGTTTCCTGTTCGAAAATCTCACGAGGCTATCGGGTCTTCAACAAATCCAAATCTCGAATTCTCTCGTTATTTACGGGTTTGACGAATGCCTTAAACACCGTTCCTTTTTGCTCATAGTTGTTCCACCCCTCGGCAAAGGCCTAGTAGTTGGAATTGGTGTCTGCCGTAAACAATAACCAGTTTACCAAGAAGAGTCTTCTTCGCCAAAGTCATCACAAGTCATCGAAAACCTTGCAGTATTTATTCTCTCACCTGTCTCTCATTGAGCTCTGAACTCGGCCGGGATTCAGCCAAAACATATCCACAATGCAGTATCGAGATGCTCTGATGAAGATACCCGCATCCCACAACAATGCGCAGAACGTTCAAGCATGCCATGAGAACGTGGCATGTCACCGATATCAAGAAAGCGGGACATGTTTAGCCAATACTGCCAGCGACTTGAATCGATCTACAGTGTCCTTGCATAGTAATCCAATGTATGTGTTGGAGCATCTACTCTCTGGTGACTGCTCCATGTTTATAGGTATGTCAAACAGCTTATTAAATTCGTATTGTTTGCTCACGTAGTATCTGAAAATCACATTGACTCACCATCCGACCCAATCAAATGTTTAACCAGGACACGCCGTGAATTGTGTCAATGCATGGAACCAACAGTTACAAAGAACATATGGTCGGGCAACGTACTCGGGTTATCCACCGTCACCATCACCGACTACATTACCACTCCCATCACATCTTCAACAACAACAATATCAAGGGGCCGCAGTTCAGCCCTCTTACATCCTCCACGCCGCCTTCCACTCCATAACCCATTCCCAGTCCCGATCAGCAGCCGTCCTCGTCTTCCTCACCACCATGCTATACAGCTCCACACGCATCCCATTCCCCAAGACCGCATCCGAAACATCCGAATTCTACTCTATTGCCGCCGACATGACTGGTCTGGACCTATTCATAACAGGCGCATCAACCGCATCCAAATTCCTTTTCGACGCAGACTCGGTCGCATCCATGTCTAAATTCTGGGAATCAATATCGTCAGGAATGCCAAGACAACCAGGCTGGCTCAACGATCTCGAACGCCGATACATGAACCTCATACAATGGAACCTGAATGTATCGCCGACCGAGCTGTACGATTGGACTGTGTCGATTATTCAGGTCGTGAGATCGGGGACGGTCGTGCCGGTCGTGTTTCCGTCGCTGGGAGCTAATATTGTTGTTGTGCCAAGACATAAGAGTACGGGAAAGAGAAGTCATGAGCAGTTGCTGACGCCTGCTGAATTGTGTGGTGGGGATTGGGAAGGGCAGGTCAAGAAGCCGTCTGTGAAGCAGGGATACAGTGAGCAGCAGCAGCAAGTGTGGAGGCAACAGCCGATTGGGTTGTTACATGTTTATGAACCAATGTTTACGGGATTGAATAAGGGCCCATCTGGATTTGCACAACAGCCGCCGTTAACGACAGTGTTTATATAAGGTTGCACGTCAAATAATAAGTAATATCACCTCGTAAAAGTAACGACCATGTTCCGATTCCAAACATGGTGAATCATTGAAGTATTTGAGCACTCGGTTTTTTGTCCGCATTCCAAGCAATCTCTGATTGCTAATGTGCTCGTACACGTTCGTTTTGTAATGGCGATCTTCTTGACCTTCTTAAATTTCCTCTTCTAAATTTACAAAAATTACAGGAAAACTTCAACCAAGCAATTCAACCCAAAAAGCCCTAGGACATGCCCGGAGAAGTATCAGATCCCGAGGTATGACTCAACAGGTCTAGGTCCTCTTATTTGATCATCGTTTTCTAACCACAACTCTTGTCAATAGCGCAAGCTCTTTGTACGTTGCATCTTCAACTTTGCATCTGACATTACAGCATCGTTTTTCTAACGATCGGTCTATAGACCTCAATTACCGTTGGTGATATGATTCTCAAGCATCGCAGTACGTACTTGCACGTCCCATTTACGCATCGCTCAAGCTCGTAAAAACCGTGGACATTGATTTCAAATCCAATCCTCGACGTTACAATGTATCTGCAGATACCTTGAATAGCCTCCGCTAACGTTTACATTCTGAAATATTTAGTCGTCATGGGCCCAATGACTCGTGGTCGCTCTCCAGGAAACTTGGCGAACGATACAAACCTCACGTTTTACTCACAGCGTGCTACGGATGGTGGGCTGCTTATTACTGAAGGCACCACGCCGTCTGAGTCTGGACAGGGGTTTGAAGATGTGCCGCGGATCTATGATGAAGGTGAGACCGTTTTGTACTTGGTTTTATGATGAAACAATTGGATCTAACACGCCCTTGTTTTTTTTGTGGTTTGAAAAGCTGGATCCAAAGCTTGGAAGAAGGTTAATGATGCTGTGCATGCTAAGGGTGGATTTATTTGTGCTCAGTTGTAAGTTCATGAATGCGTTTTTGTGGAAACGTTGGGTGCTAGTTAGAACGTTGAAATATTATTTTTTGCTTGATTGCTAATCGAAACGCTAACTTCAACTAGGTGGCATACAGGTACAAACGAAATAACGTTTCGCATACATGATCCATCGTACACCCTGACTGATCTTTTCCTGACTGATCTTTTTTTGCTACCTTCCACTCACAAAACCAGGCCGTGCATCAGCTTCCAAATTCCAAAAAGATGGCAAGCCAGCACTATCACCATCTGGAGGATCTGTTGATGCGAATGACAAGACGAAAGAAGTCGCTCGTCCTGCCACATTGGATGATATCAAGCATATTGTGTCAGAGTTCAGAGATACCGCTAGATGGGCAAGAGAGGCTGGATTCGATGCCGTAGAGCTGCACGGAGCGTGCGTATATGTTTGCTGTAGTGTGAATGCAACGTTTGATCTGACAGACTCTAATTTTTTGTGTAGACATGGATACCTCATTGATGAATTCTTGCAGAGTAGTACGAATCAGAGGACTGATGATTATGGTAACCACTGCTTTGGTCGCGCATTTGCTTCTACATTGACTGACGAAAGAGTCTCACTAGGTGGCTCATACGAAAACAGATCTCGTTTCCTATTCGAAGTATTGGACGCCGTCTTACTCGAACTCCCTGAAACCAAAGTAGCTGTCCGATTTAGCCCATGGTTTAACTGGCAGGATTGTACAGATGAAAATCCACTTGAATTGTTCTCATATGTTTTGACCAAGCTCCAAAAGTACAAGCTTGCGTATATTCATTTCACTGGTAACACTGCTCTTTCTAGCTTTGCACATGGTGGATGTACTAACAGCCTTCTATTCTGTAGAACCAACATTCAGACACATGGAAAAAGACAGCTCCCTAGCCGACTCTAAACTCAACCCTCTCCTCGCACTTGTTAAAGCCCCCACACGTAAACTCGCTACAGGCGGATACCTAAACAAGAATGCGGAAGAAGCACTTCGTTCTGGACGAATTGATCTTGTTGGTGTTGCAAGAGCATTTATCGTTAATCCGGACTTTGTGGAGAGGACAAGATTGGGGTTGCCGATTAGAGATTTCTCAAATACTGAGGGATGGTATTCCAAGGGTGAGGCTGGGTATATCGATCATCCTACTTATAGTGAGGAGAAGGGTGCTGAGAAGGTTTGAAGGGTTAGAGTACTGTAGAAGAGTGTGGTGAATTGTATGGCTGGTGAGAAACTGTGATTGATGTAGTCTGTATGCGATCGGTTATAGAACACGTAGACGAATGGTTATACGGAATGCTGGTATCGAATTGTTTAGCTTGCCTATTACGTCTGTTGTCTGCGTATGCTTCAATTCGTTGCTTCGCGTTTCTGTCCAACAGCTGGTATCGAAAGTAGTACACGATGCTATTCACTCCTATCAGAGTAGGCAACTGCCAGCTGTCTCATCGGATCGTACTAGCTCCTCTGACACGATCTAGAGCTCCTACAGTGAGTAACAAAGCGATTGGTAATAGGTGTCGCCGTGTTTGAGCGATTGTGGATGCAACTGAGAAAGTGAGGTCTTTTTGAGAATGTGATATTGAATTTTAAAGTGCTTCTATACGAATATTGTGATTTGGACTCCTTTGAAGGTTGAGATATCACGACATTGCTAAACATTACACGATTTTGTGGAAGATTGACTAGCGAGACAGCAGTCATGGAGATGCACCGATTCGAAAGAGTCGCAAACGATTGCATTTCTAACATTCCCACCATCTTCTTAGGAAGTCGCAAATGAACTCGTTGCAGAAATGTACACCCAGCGATGCAGTCCAGGAGCTCTCCTAATCTCAGAGGGTGTACATTGCAGCAAAACGGCAGCTGGACATCCTGCCGTCCCAGGCCTATTAAATGCTGCTCAAGTGGAGGGCTGGAAGTTAACAACGAGCTCGGTACATGCGAAAGGTGCTTTTATATTTGCCCAGCTGTGGCATACAGGACGTGCTGGTGATTCGAAATATCAGCCAGAGGGTCGAGCGCCTGTTTCGCCTTCTGGTGGAAAAGTATACATTGGATTTGTGTGAAGTTTTTTGTTTTGCTTTTGAGCAAGACCGTAGTGACACTTTTGATTACACGTTTAGGCCGAACCACATAAAGAGGAAGCGAGGATTTTGACGTTGGAGGAAATCAAGTTCATTATTTCAGAATATCAGCTCTCTGCTGTAAGTTTTTGTAATCAAGTTTGTTGTTTCGATGCATTCTACAACTGAACTCCTTCATCCGCTGTAGAAAAACGCACGGCTGGCCAACTTTGATGGAATAGAGATTCACGCGGCTCATGGGGTGAGTTATAGAATTGTGGTTGCAAATCCACGGTCATACCTGATTCGTTTTTTTGGTCATAGTACTTGATCAACCAATTCTTGGAAGCCAATAACCGTACCGACGAATACGGAGGCAGTTTCGAGAACCGTGCACGGTTCTTATTCGAGGTGCTTGATGTCTGCCTGAAGGAATTACCTTCTTCCAAGATTGCTATTCGATTGTCTCCGTATGGAGGAAGACGAGGAATGGCGTACGTGACCAATTTTTTTAGCTGGTTTGAGTGTTGGAGCTTTCGCTCATTGTACAGTATAATAGGTATGAAAATCAGAAGGATCTTTATACGTATGTCATTGAGAGGCTCAACAAGTACAATTTGGCGTACTTGCAGTTGACTGAACCTGTTTGGGGGGTATGTCAACTGTCGATTTCAAAATAATCATATTTAGTAACGAGTTTTGAGCTTAGGGATGGGTAGAAGGACCACCACACGAAACTTCTAAATTGAACGAATACCGGGGAATATTCAGAGGTCCTGTGATGTTGACTGGCGGGTATGCTGAAGGAGACGCTGCAGAGAAGGCACTGCAGGATGGGAGAGCTGATTTGATTGGGATAGGTAATGATCATTCTGATTTTTAAGAGAATTCTTTTTGCTCACCGAAACTTGTAGGACGAGCATTCATAACAAACCCAGACTATGTCTTTCGAGTCAAGAACAAACTACCGCTGAATCCGTATCTCGATTTCAAGCTTTACTATGGTGGTGGAGCTGAAAATTATACAAGTTGGCCGACATGGCAACAAGCACAACCTTCATCGAAACTGTAGTCATGTATGGTTTTTTTGTCACGATCTGGTAAATATAACGGAATGGACGACCCTTAGTACTTCTATGGAATTTTCTATTATCTCCAACTATCCGGCAACTCAAAAAATGCTAAAAGAATTCTCCGATTAATCCAATCAGTCGGTCGGGAAGACTGATTGAGAGCGAGACACAGAGAGAGACATTCCAGCAGTTTATGCTGTTTGCTTTGCTGAGCTCTTACTTTATTGTTGGATTAATTTTTCTGGCCTAAATATGGATGTGTTTGCTATTCAAGAACCAGCGATGGCAACCAACGTGCTACCACCAACAGCACCTGCCACCGATTGCAACAATGCATCGCTCAAATCACAGCAAGCTATACATACTCGGTCCAATGTTTCCGTATCTTCCATAATATCTGGCGTCAGAAAGACACTTGGACTTGAATCGAGGAGCATAAATAGTAGTAAATTGAGCATGAAATCAGCAGGATCTAAAAGCAAACTTGGGTCTGCTGTCATGCTGCCTAGTGATGGATCAGAGAAGGACAAGCAGGCTGCCCTGTTTGATGCTGCTGTCGCGTCAAGGTTTAAAGTAGCTGAAATACCAGCCGCCGTCCCACCACAAGCAACAACCATATTACACCAAACCTACGAATCCCAAGGCGCTGTAACTCAACTTCAAGGATTTTATGCATTCCTGGTTAAAGGACTGGTCGAGATGGACATACCGTGGACGCAACTCACGAGACCAAATAAATCAAACCAGACTATACGCACTATAAAACAAGTCTCGGAATGGTTTAATGATCCTACTACGATGTCGTCCTCAGATCCGTCCCTACGACGGTTTTCATTCACGACAGTTGCAACACCGATTAAATTCGACTTGTCGCTGGAAATACCATTGCCACAGCTTCTTACAGATATGAAGGATGCTGATGCATTACAGCTTGGGATTTATTACCATGAGCAAGAGGACTATGCTGTTGCTCTGAGATACTATTCAAGTGCTGCTGGTGGGCCAGGATGTACCAGTGAATCTTCAAATCCGATTGCAATGTATCTGTTGGGAGTTTGTTTGAGACATGTACGTACCATCATTCTAGCTTTTTCATATCCTGCCACAGTTTGAGTTGGTCGGAAATCCATGTACTCACTATTTTTCTTTTGATGGTTAGGGCTGGGGATGTCAAGAAGACAAAGAAACATCATTCGCATGGCTGGCATTAGCAGCAGCCTACTGCTGCCTATATCCCACATCTATGGTTATCCACTCTACTTCCCTACTGGAGCAACTAAAAGCATCTACGTCGCTCCTCACGTATTCTCGAAACCCACTGAATTCGTCAACACGGCAAACCCTTTCTGAAGTCGTAAGAAATGTCCTCCCATTACCGATATACGAGCTTGGAATCAGTCTGCAGAATGGGTGGGGAATATCGAGGTCTAAGCCGATTGCTACTTATGTGAGTTGAACTTGTCATATTTCAAAGGCAGATAGAAAGTTGCCCAGTCTCTCATTTTTGTCATTGAGCCAAGACCTAAGAGTTTAAACTATTCTACTAGCTCTTTCGTCTGGCAGCTTATCTCGGTGATGCAGACAGCGCAGTACAATATGGGTACTGTCTAATGACTGGCGATGGTATCATCAAGGACAAGATGGAAGCAGCCAAGTGGTTCAGACATGCTGAACGAGCTGGATTGAAACTTGTTGGAGAGACGTGGATGTACAAACAGAAATGGGGGTATATAGAGGGTGGTGTTGAGTCGTCACCGACGTGTTTTTAAAGTATCTCGAAATAAATTCCATCGCTGTTACGAAGTAAGAGACACGCAAGGATATGTTTGATCTGAAAGTTGCAAGTTTTGTATAGATTAATCAAGTTTCTATTTGAGATTAATCAAGATGAAAATATACATCTAAACGTCAGTTTGCATCATTCAGGATCAATGAAACCTAACTGTTGCATACAATAGTAAAGAATCAAAGAGAAAAGTTACATTTTCACGTCTTTATAACTATTACTTGCAAAGCGAAGCTGGACTTGGTCCAGTGTATACAGGCCAGTCGCATTGTTCATGTTCAGTATCCGGTGGCGCTCGGAAGTGCAGGAAGAGTATAAGCATCTCTGAGAATTGAGTGAAGCGATCATATAGCATGATTTGCAGCTTCATTTTGTCGACAACACCAGCCAGATCAAGACCCTTCAACACTTTCCTTTCCTCAGCTAGCTGCGCCTCCAACGATAGTATCTTCGCCGTCAGACTATTATAATTGTCCTCTTGATCTACAGACATTGGTGCTCTCTAGTTGGTTCACACTTGTGTGCTTTTTTTTAACAGTTTTATTATAAGCGCTGGATAACTCCTTTAGGAGAAACCGTGGGACATGTGCTGAATTTTACAACAATGATGTTCTTTAAGAGGCGAGGAGACCAAACTAACCTAGGTCTACGCGTCTAGAAACTTCGTTATGTAATTTATTTCTTTTCGGTCCCTTCCCTCACTCAAACACCAAACAGTTCAGAAACATCACGTAAATCACGTGAAATAAACACGCTAGTAAGCAACATTTTGGTTGCTATTGCAATCATCTATTTCAAAATTCTATAATTTGGTTCTAAGTACACCCAGTTTGATTTGCCTCGACACCATCAACGGCACCCTGTTTGCATCAAACACTCTGATCTCTTCTTCAGCCCGTCCATTAACAATCAATGTAGACGACTGCAGTATGGCAAACGGACTAGCGCTACTCGGCACATTCAGAAAGTGACACGTCAAGGTCACAGTTCCAGAGATTCGGTGCATCTTCCCAGATTTGGATTGCGGCGATGGGTTATTCAAACGTTCCGTGAGAGAGTGTTCATCTGCGAGGAGAGCTAGAAACAGGGAATCCACGGGTCGGTGGTCTTTTGTGCCTATTTGCCGTCGAAACGTTAGATAATGACTTGTGGGAGGTTGTCCTTCACACACACCAATCCAACATGGAGCGTCCAGTCCCGCGAACTCTCCATCAAACTGTAAATCATTCCAATTCTTTGTTCTCTGCGCACTGCTATCCAGATTGAAGCCCTTTGGATGGTAGAACATCAATTCTTGTAGATGACCTGTACCTCGATAGGTTCTGTCCGTATAGCCGCACTCCTCGATCTGAAAAGGACATAATATGAACACCTTGATGATTGCTTAGTGGAATTCTGTATGGCTTGCTTACTGGTGGAAGGCCAGGAGCTTTAAGCAGTTGATGGTTATGGTTCAACTTGGTTGCCACACTCTATGACGTGAGAACGGCGTAAGCTTGACGGTCTGGCCTTCGCATGCAATGTATTCGTACCTTGGAGGAGAAGTTGCCAGCGCACATTGACATGGTCCAAAATATAGCTCCAGAGTTTGGATCTACCAAAATGATGACAGTTGATTCTAACTCCTCAAGAATAGTGCCATCCGCAATCTTTTACCTGTAGCAGTAAGATACGTGTATGCCACATCTATACCACGAAATTTGATTGTGGTTTATTGGTAAAACAACGCCAGCATTGGTACTCCATACGTTTTCAGCTCACTTTGTCCAGTCTTGATGATTTGGGTTGCTAACGTCACGGGCTGATTTTCCTTGCTATTCCCAGTCAGAAATGAGATCTAGAGACAGTTTGTGACAGGTTAGTTCACGCTTTGTTCAGCACCAGTTTTCATGGAACCCACGTAAGTGGTGATAGGATGTATAAACTCAGTATGTCCTCGATCTTGAAGGGTTCGGATGCTTGCATTCACGGCTAACGCGTGAGCAAATCCTCCAAAATAAGAAGCTGTTGCGACGATCAACGCAAAACCGTTAGCCACGATTCAAAGGACTTTACAGCAACGAAAATTCAAGAGTCTTACGTGATCTATGACTCTGCCAATTCCTTGGCAGTTTGCCCTCATATACACCAGCCGAAACTGGGACGAGCTCAAGTGCTTGATCGAGTCCAAACATTCTGCAAAAAGGACAACTCCAAATTAAAGAAATGATGAACAAAACAGAAACAGTTCCATCGATCGCTCCGTCAGAGAGGATACAGATCTAGTTATCTGTATTTATAGAAAGTATTGGTAGCCATTAAACGCGTATCGGATTGCAATACACCATTTTCAATGAATGTGTTTGGATCTCAATAACAAGAAGAAGGCACACATAGCCGCAGACAATTCCTGATATAGTTTTACATTTTACGTGACATGCCAAGACCAAATATGCCGTGTAAGGTTAAGTCCATCGTTGTGTTCGAGCACATGACTATTTCAATCTTGCATCAGCTGGTTAAGGCTCTGCTGTGACAGATCGTGTGGACATACAACCTGTAGAATAATAGCATATATAAATCCAAGATACCCATCATATCCTTATACCCATCCTATATATAGAACGCCATGGAGCAAGTCCGCAAAGTATTCATCTGGAAATCGAAAAAGAATTCACAACCCAAACAAACAACCAAAATGTGGTCACAATGGGCCAAACCAGCGACGCGAGTATCCAATATATCTGCTGCAATGGCCAGTAGCCTTACCGGCAACGTATCTATCGAAAAGGACTCGATATCGATGGATGCAAACCGTGACTTTATGGAGTCATTGATATCGTTACCAGACAAACGTGAGGTGTTGGACTCACTCTTCTCGTGGATACCATTCTATAAATCTAGTAGGTCTATCGAGGACGAGGAGAAGGAACAGGATGTAGAAGTTGTAGACGAAGTCAACTCTCGGATGGTTGTTCAACCAGCTACTGCTACTCAACAACCAACGATACCTGCTAGAACTGTACCCCCTGTCACCAAACGTGTAGATGTAGTAGATCCGGAACCTATAGTCGAATCCTCGTACCCTGATATGGTGGTCGTGATGCCGTGCGATGAATCCCCACGAGCCCCAGCCCGTGACGTATATGCAGGTTTAGGTGCTCAGGACGTCAACCGTAAGGATTCCGCTGTATCTCAGCTCGGTATGGATAAGCCAGTGGAAGAGAATGCTGCTACAACGTCGACTATTGCTATGGTCTAGTGTCGTTATAAAACTATGTGACGATGGGAGGTGATAATGTAGTTGTGAAGGGTTGTATATAGATTCGTGATATCAGGAGGTATGGCATTGTGGTAGCCAGTTGCTTAAGTTTCCATTATTTAGGTCATAAATTTTCAAGTCATTTCGCAAAAAAACCAAAAAGCATAAAGTTTTTCAAATACAATTCGATTGGTATAACGTACATCTTGTGTGGTCAGGGGTTACCTGGGTTCATCTCACAATGAAACGAAAGAGTCTTTATATGGGCATTTATGGAGTACAGAAGAGTTCAAAATTTCTACAGAATACGTGATAGTCCAAAAAAGCGACTATGTTTGCGTGCTTCCAAACACTACTACGGAGACAGCTTCCACAGACACCAATATAAACCCTATGAATATATCCACCATAGACGATCCTTCACAATCACCACGAACGCCAGAGAGTACTATCAGTTTTCGATAGCGGTCCCTGGGTCGTGTCGGAAACCAGAGAGCTCCTCCTTCCGAGGTATACAGCTTCCAAGGTATTCTACTTTGATCTAAGACTATATATTTCGAATACTCAGTGAAGCGATGGATTGGCTTCGATGCTGAGAGATCGAGTAGTGTTGAGTTTGAAGCTCGTAATGGTAAACCAATGGATTTACTGCACGATGGTGAGAATACGACGGTTCCGGATATATTAAGAGTACACGGTTTCCTTGTAGACCTGACTATAGTGGCTGATGCATCCAATAGAATATCACCAGATATAGATTGGTCGTGTGTCAGATCAAGTTTGAGCAGGTATAGATATCTCAAGCGAGTCAGAAAATTGAAAACAACATTATCATCAATATTCAATCGTAGACGAAGGTCTAGATACTGCAGATTTGTACAGTTTTCGAAGAGCAGTTCATACCGGCCAATGATAGTAAATGATTCCTTTCCGATATCCACTATACTCAGTGACTTCAATTGGCTTCCGTAATATGGGAACCACTTTGCCATTCCATGCTGATTTACGACGTCAATGTGGATGTCCCTGTATCTCAAATGACGGAGTTTCGGTACCTGTATACCTTTTGACACCATGACTGCCAAAAGTCGATGATTCTGGAGTCCAGGAAATACGAGATCGAAGGAGAGAAGACTGTTCCGAGACTGCATGATCACTTCCAATAACGCGTCCAGGTGAGAGTTTCCAGGCGTCAACGACAATTCAGTCAGTTGAACGGCAGGTGACAGTTTGAGACTAGCAAGAACTTGTTCATCACCGTCAAACCCATGACGCAGCAGCGATAGTGAGTGACGAAGACTTCAACATGGTAGTGAACAGATGAGTGTGTTCATCCTTTTACACACCGGTGCAAAGACTATAATGCGACGTAGTATCTACCAGTCTAATTACATCGAGAAGCAGCTCATTGGGAAGAATAAGTAGCGATGGCGACGGTTTATCAGATTTCAATCTACTCTGGTGGATGTTGGCGAGGTGGAAGCTTGAAGCAGGATCCTCCCATCAACGAGACAAATTTCACCGGAGTGTATTAATTTAATAAGCCAATTATAGCGAGGGATATGGTGCCTAAAGAGTAATTGGCCACATTAGAAAACATGTTTGGTCAGTGATGTGGGTAGAAAAGCTCCAGAACAGGAAGGCTTACCAGTAACGAGAGTCAATAAAACTGATATTATACCATATGAAAATACGTAGAGACTGTCAGCAAGTCCTTCCAGTACGTCTTTCGAGAGCTTAGGCGACAATCGAAGCGTTGGATCGATGGACGACAGAAACACGTATCTTTCGTTAACGCGTAAATACGCGATCGAACGTATTATAATAGAATAATTGAACAGATTTTGATTTCGCTAGCAGATTCCATGATTCCTCTAACAGATTTCATCTCAATATTTCTAAAAGTCTCAGACCATCTAGAGTAACATCTTCTAAATTACAGACTTGCTCGTTTTTGCTCTTCTGCGTAAGTAGGATAGTCGATATATCCTTTTGGACCTGGGTTGTACATTCCACGAGGGTTCTCGTGAGCAACTTGTGGCAAGTCGTGACGGAGTCTCTCAACGAGATCAGGCTATCAGTCCAAAGCGGTCCGGGTCAGCATGAGTATCATCTGCACAATCCACATTTCAACCACATACCATAACAATGAATGCGCGACCAAATCCAATCAACTGTCCTCGAGAAGTTGCCAAAGCTTCTTCAGCAGACTCTAACTCGTAACCACCAGTTAACATGACCTTGGTGGGTTCCTTCAAGATTCCTATTTCGCAGAAGTAAGGTGGTTTAAAAATTTGCGGCAATCAACTTTTTGAATAAAGGGATCTCGCACCATTGAAGACATTCAACTTGGATTCACGGTGAGGTGGTCCGGTACGAGTAGTCAACGAAGACGCATAAGCGGGTTCAGTGAATTGCACGTATGCGAGCTTGTAGCCGTTCAGACGGTTTAGGATATAGCTGAAAAGAGCGACAGGGTCCTTGTCGGTGACGCTCGAGTTGGCGAATGGTGACAATCGGATGGCTACTTTTGAGGCTGGGAGTTCTAGTAAGACTGCATCCAAGACTTCAAAGAGGAATCTGCATCGGTTTTCGATGGATCCACCTGTGTGTGTGGAAATGATTGAGTGACGGTCCTCGTAGTTTCTGAAAGGGAATCAGTGCGTACCGTAGGAATCAGTCCTCAAGTTTGAGCTGTCTTGAAGGAACTGGTCGATCAGGTAACCGTGGCTATGGAGGGGAAGGGAAAGTTGATAAACAAGCCGACATATTAACCAACACTCTACAAGACGATCATGTACTTACGCCCCGTGTAACTCGATACAGTCCATTCCAGCGATTCTGCTGTTCTTGGCCGAGGTCCTGAACTCGTTGACAATGAACTTGATCTCGTCCACTTCAAGTGCTCGAGCAGGTTCGGCCTTGCGAGAGGATTTGGTTGCTGAGGCAGAGACTGGAGCCTGATTACCAGGCTGGAATTTCCTGGTAGAGACTCGTCCGGTGTGCCATAACTACACGAAAGGGGTCAGACACTCGTTGGCGATGCTGAAAACTATTCAACGTACTTGAGCACAAATGTATCCACCCTTCTTGTGGACAGCATCGCAAACTTGCTTCCAGCCGGCAGCTTGGGATTCAGTCAATATGCCGGGAATATGATCGTAGCCTTGAGCGGTGATTGAAGGCGATGTTCCTTCTGTAATCAACAATCCACCAGGTGTTGCTCTCTGAGCATCTGTTTTTCCAAGGTACCGAGTTAGAGAAGGAACCGAGTCAGCATTATGTCAATATTCAACATACAGTGGAGGGCATTCATGTCGTTGGCGACTTCACCAGGAGATCGTGATCGAGTCTGGCAAAATTGAATTTCAGTCAGCAACGTTGCAATGTTGAAGAACTACATCATCAAGCAGACATAGTTACCATGGGACCCATGCAGATGCGATGTTGGAGATACATGTCTCCAACTTTAATAGGGGAGAACAAGATTGGAGCTTTTGCTTGGCCGGCCATTGTTGCGTCTAGGTGAGTGAGCGCAACGAAGTTTAGTTCAGTAATGGCACTGGTAGTGGTATTCTTGCGACTAGAGCCAAGCAACTTACAAGAGATCGCTTATTATATTACTTGGATTCGTGGATCGGTGAAAGGCTCGTTGCTTCGAAATCGGTGACGAAAACAAAAACAAAAGCTCAGTAACACGAGCAAGGGCAAGTAGGGAAGCGAGGATCTTGGAGAGCAGTTTCGGTATTCTGTACGTGATATATTTTGAATGAGTCAGATACAATTTGCTACTATGAGCGATCGCACTAATACAAATTGCGAGCAAGGAATCCGAATCCGAAGATTACCTCCCTTGCTCAAAACCCCAGCTACCATATTCATTATCAGATACAGGTCTTATATGTCTATATTATAACTCATTGTTCCAATAAATTTATACTTGAATGCAATCAGAGCTCCTATGTGTGTGATTATCGTGTAGCAGATCGTAACAGCTCCAAAGTAGCCTTCTCATACCACCCCTTTGTCTCATCCTTAACGACATCGTAAAGCTCCTTGTCGTATCTGGCCTTGTACGCGACCTTGACCTCAAATAAGATGTCAAAGTTGCGTGCGAAGAGTCGTGTGAGTCTGTCCTCTCGGAACCCAATGCCCGCCATTGCTCCATCAAAGGCTCGAGCTACGTAGTCGTAGCGGTTAATGGCACACCTAACTAAGGCAGGAAGGAAGTTTAGCAATCACGAGTTGCGGATGTTCTACTATAAAGTGCTTAATGCAATGGTGTCTTACGGATAGCAAGTAATATCCTTTCATAGTCTCCCTGTAAGACAGGCCCTAAAGCAGTCTCCAAATCTTCTCCGTACTTTTCTTTGTACAGGATAACGATCTGCACAATGTGATCATTCGAGCGCTGGGTGAGAATGTCCAAGAATTCTAAGTCTTCCTCGTCGCTGTGTAGCGCTGTCTTTGGTAATATCCCCAGACTTTGCTTTTGGTGAATGATTGCGCGATGGATGTGGTCGACGTCGTCTTCAACGGGTGTTGAATCGTCGATTGCTTTTGGCTAGTAATATTGTAATGGTAAGAAGGCTGAAGCAACAATTGACGGAAGGCAGGTTACTTACGTATAGAAGGGCATATATAGCTTCTTTGGAATTACCACCAAATCTAGAGACGATTTGCGCAGCCAAGTCCTTGCCGTACTTCCCCTTGTATAGGTCCTTCATAGCTTCAATGTCTTCTGGTGTCCTTCCCACCAGCGTATCCAGTATTGTGCCTTCTTCCATAAAGACGGCGTGTGCTCCATGCATGGCGTTTTGTAGACCCTCGACATCGAGCTTCGGCGTAGTCTCCGTCAGGGCAACTAGGAGATTGGCTAGCTGCTTTTCGTACCTAAATTGAAATATACACTCAGCTTTGCAATGATTTGTCAACAGCTTAAATTACCAAAACTCACCTTCCCAAGAAGTGATCTATAGCATAGGCCAGTGAAACTCGATGAGCATTCTGGTATTGGTGGACCAGGCGGTGAATGATTTGAGGAGTAGTCAGGTGGCAGAGCAATCTGACCAAAGTCCCGCAATCACGAGTGGTAATAGAGACATGAAGCAGCTGGATTTCGTCAGTGCCGTGTAATAGCATGTCTATAGAGTTGGATCCCTGTTAGTATCTTGTCTTTGGGATCTGTTTGCTTCAACTGATGGCATTTCGAAGAAATGTTGTGAATGTTTTTGACCTCCCGGTGATCGTCCGGTGCAATTGTGCGAAGCAATTGCATTCATTGATGTAGTAAATTCATAAATGACACGATTCCGAGCCCACTTCTTCACTCGTCGTCCATCTTCCTTCACCGTAAACCTCAAAACTCCAACTCAAGCATAAAAGAGACAAAAGCAAGCCATGGACCAGGTACGTCCTCCAGTGTTCAAGACTGCAGTCATGAACTTACTTTGATTCCTCTACTCCTTCTTCCAAACTAATTACCTGTCTGTGTTTGTAATAGGAGGTTCGCTTGTATGGAAATTCGAAAGAGCGAGAAATGTATGAAAACATGGCGGATTTGTATTCAATCATTGTCACCGTAGAACATTTGGAACGTGCTTACGTGAGAGGATCCATTGAAGCTGAACGGTACTCGACGTGCAGGACGGCTCTTTCAACGACATCAAGATGCTGAGAACATTGTATTTGTTACTAGATACACTGAAGCGTGTCTGAAGCTAATAGCTCAATTCAAGACCGCTTTAAATTTGATATCGGATGTCCTGCCTAATGTGAAGGCATTCATGGTAGAGTACAAGGTATATTGAGAGCTTGTCGCTCAAGTTTGATCTTTCGAATTGAGGTCATACAGTCTGACCCTGTCGCTCGATGTTAGTTGTCTTGTCCAGCAGCAGTCAACCGATTGCTAGAGATTGGTGTCCCTGCTACTGTCGAACATGGCAGTGGTAGTAACAGCCAAGGGATGCAATCAGCTAAATATGTGGCTGAAACAACCCAAGTACGTGTTGTCGCATCTACACCGGAATATGGAATGATGCGGAATGATCTTTGGATGGCATTTCTTTAACATGGCTCTTACATCACTCATCGCATCTAGTACTTTATCACACTAATGGACTCGCTCAATCTGAGTATGATTGCAGTGGATCAGATACACCCCCAACTCTCAGATCTGATACAAAGTCTGAATCGAATTCCAAGTCTGCCAGCCGACTTTGAAGGAAAGGGCAAGATCAAGAATTGGTACGTGGTTACAAAAATAACTCTTGTTTCAAAAACAGGCCTATGGCCTGAGAGTTGGAATGCTCACTTCTTTGCTTGATAGGCTTATATTACTGAATAAGAAGAAAGCATCAGACGAAATCAGTGATGAAGATAGGCGGCAACTCTTGTTTGATCTTGAAAGGTGGGGCAAATATACATGTCTTTGTTGTTGGAGCAATACTCAGCTACTGAGCTAACAAAGTTCAACTTTAGAGGATTGGCCGAGTTTAAGGAGTTCTTAGGCAAATAATTCATATACCTCATGGAATCCCTCTTGTATATATACCTTCAGTACATAAACTGCATTTGGAACAATAGTTTGATGCGATGAGTTGATCCTGGTTTGATGAACTACTGTGCCGATCGTGTGAGCCTGTCTGCAAATCTGTCAGTAAAAGCCCATACCATGATGTACAAGGCACGAAATCAAAGGCAACATCGCGAAGACACTGATCGATCGGTTGGTGGTATTTGCAATTCATTTCAAAGATAAACTGCTTTCTATCCACAAATTTACTCGCAATATCCCATATCATGATAAAGTTCTCCTTTTTTTCAGCTGATTTCTCTATATTGCAAGTGTTGGGTGTCGTATTGTCACAAAAATGCCATCAACAATCGCTTCATATTTACCATCAAAGACAGGAGGATCACTTGCAACTACAGCTGGCTTTTCATCCTTTTCAGGAGCAGCTGCAGCAGATGCGATAATCGTGACCTTTTTTTCAGTAATGACCTTTTCTGGTTGAGGAGGTCCAGCTTATCAGCATCGTTCTCAAAAAGGTACTGTACTCTTCCATTTGAAAAATCCACCAATGAATCGCCGTGGAATGAGAGCCAAGTTTGGAATCAGGTTTTGATGATGCTGTGAATTCGAGCCAAGGCCCAGTATGATGATAGTGCGTTCTAGATAAGATCGATAAAGGAATGTTAGATTCAATGATGAGAGCTCATTTTGGTTTGGGATTGGAAGCAGAAAAGGTAATTGCGACAGTTTGCGATGCGGTGAGGTTTTGATGACCAGGACAATTACGTAAAATTAAATATAACAAACTTGACAGATTGATCATCGCCGATCTATGATACAGGGTGCAGGTTAATCTCATCGCAGTTCGTGCTGTGCTTCAAGTTTGACAAAGATCAAGTGCAATGTACTGGAACACTTGAACTTTGACGAAATGACACGGTTTTGACGACCTGAAACACCCAAAATTCCAAACTAATACGAGTTCATTCTAAGGATATTGAGTGCTAACATGCTGTTCGTCTGTTGTTAAATACTACAAAAGCACCATGCTAACGACAACCCCTCAAAACAAACTTATGAACTGCCCAGCTGCATTCTGAGTAGCAGCATTAGAAGAAGTCTGACTCCAAGCATTCAAACCAGCTTCAACATCTGTGAACTTCCATAGAGATTTGACCTTGTTTCGTAGGATGAATATATGTTTGCAAAAAAAGAAACAATCTGTTAGGCATTATCAATGATGAACTTACTTGAGCTTCATCAAACATCTTCCTACTACGCCGACCAATCAGCAACAAGGACGCGAATATCTCCTTCCATTTAGCATCGGTAATGGCCTTTCCTTCTTCGGCCTTGAGGTTTGCGATTAGACATTTGGCCATTATCGTAATCGATTGTTCAACGGGGTCCTTGTATTTGGTTTCCATCTGTAAATCAATAAAATGACATGAGTTTCAATGTCCGACTCAGACCAAACCACTACACATACCACAGAAGACAACATCTGAAACAACCTCCCCATAATCACATAAGCCTGAACCAACTGGAACGATCTCGGCACATTCTCAATCGACGTGTACTTGGCGACATGTGTCGCGAGCCCCCATCCAATCTCTGGGTATCGGTTGATCAAGTCCAGGAACAGGAGCGGTTGCGTGGGACTTCGTTTCATGCTCATATACTTGGTTAGGGATTCGATATAGATTTCGGCGACGGGTGTAGAGTCAAATCTAACTAGTATCTAAATAGGAAATGGGAATAAGTTTTGAGATTGAGACCAAAAAACAGCGTTTGTAATATTGCTGTACAATTGAAGTTTACCTCATTGACAGTGTGTCCAGTCCCACCAGTCCTTCTCTTCTTGTGCTTTTCACCAGTAGGAGTCTCCGCCACAACAGCAGCAGGCACATCCACACTCCCTCCATCCTGATGATTCATAACCTTAATCAACACCATACAGACCCCACTACACAATTCCGCCAAGTCCTTCCTCTTGACCCGTCCCGCAAATCCATGGATCTCACGCATCGTGGCAATACATGATGCAGTAACCCCCTCTTCAATAGGATATTTCTTGAGCTTGAATACACTCTTTCTTAGCAGGGCAACTACCTTGTTGTGCAAGGTCTGGCTGTCGGTGTCCTGGGCAGATGATAGCGCGACTCGGAGAAGGGGGACGAGGGTATCGATTACGAGTGGGTTTGTGGGTTGTTTTTTATAGTAGATTTCGAGGAGTGTGACGACTCGGAGCTTGAAATGGAGGACGTGTTGTTTCGCGTCTAGAGAAAAATGTAAGAAAGTTTTTGCAGCAAAAAAAGAATGATCAACCACAACACATACCTTTCTGTTCAGCCTTGACAGCCCGCCGAGCTTTAAATATCTCAGCCACTTTATCATCGAACACATCCATCTCATCATCTCCCAACAACTCCTCTTCCTCATCATCCTGATCAACATCCATTTCGGCATGTTTAGTACCAGCCAATGCAGACTGAATTGCCAATCGAAGCATGGCGGCTTCTTCATCGGCTTTGGCAGCCAATTCAGGATCTTGCTCCTCTTCGGCATCGTCGTCTTCCTCGTCATTGGCTTCCTGGTCGTCCTCTGACTCTTCAGCTTTAGTCTCTTCATCATCATCGGTGGCTCCGTCATCACTAGCATCGTCCATATCGGCGTCTTCGTCATCTGCACCATCGTCTACAGTATCGAAGAGCTCACTGGATCCTGATAAACCCGAGTCGGTTGTCAAGACCTAGGGAGGCGACAGTGATATGTTATGTGGTGCGAACTTGTCAACATGTACCCAAAAAAACTAGACTGGAGGTCTGGAGATTCATTACCTGGAAGATAATGTCTAATCCCGCCTTGCTTAAATCACCAGCAAAGATCCCAAATGCCTGTTGGGCGACACCACGGAGTAACACAGACTGCCGAGACAAGAAGCTCAGCAAGATATCCACCAAGACATCAGTAGGTTGAGGTTCTGATTCGGATGGTGCGTCTGCTATGGTTGCTGATAAGAGTAAAAAACGTCAGAATCAAGAAGTCAATGAATGAACTCAAACGTCAACACTGACCAGCTCTCTTCTCCGATTTGGCTGCCTTGCTCTTAAAGACTCGTGTGTAGCAGTCTTGTAGTTCCTGCAGAGCAAAGAGAGAAAGGTGTTGGAGGAAGTCAGAGTTACAGTTTGATGCTATAGCCATATAAAGCGTGTGGTATTTTTTATCCAAACACAACTTACAGTCAAAGTACCCGTCGCCTCTTCAGCATCAACATGCAACTGTAAAACAGCATGCACAAACAGCAACTCAAAAGCCTGGTATCGTGATTGGATACCAGTGTTTTCTACCTTGTTGGCATTCTTGCTCAACTAGACAAATCAAAAATAGGATAAGCATTTTTACTTAAAAAAAACAGAAGAGTGCATAAAGGGATACCTTTTTACGAATAGTCTTAACAGTCTCAACAGTCTGTGCTCGCACGCCTCGACTGCCTTCATCAAGATCAAGCGTGACGATAGCATCATACGGTGCAGCACACAGGGTTTGAATCCATTCATTCAAATCATATGCCCATGTGTTTCCGGACGCTCTGGTGCCGTTAGTTAATGTAGCAGCTGGTTTCGCATCAGCTGAGGCGTCTTCAGATTTAGGTGCTTCCAATGCTAGAGATTGCAGGTCACCGAGGGCGGTAAAGAGACGCTGTTTGCAAAGCTGGTGGATTTGTGGTGATAGGGCTGGTGTCGGAATCTAGTAAACGCATTTTATTAGCCTGCTTTTTTGGGCAACCAAATTCTATCAGGACTTACACGTAACTCCTCAGCAGCTTCTCCATGTACACTAAACAATCCATAAGTACCCATAAGCTTTAATATCTCCCATAGGCCTTCCTCTGACTTTGGGATCTTGGCGTTGCGCACCAGAGAAGTCATTTGGTCCAAAATGACAGTTCGATTGGTGTCTACTTCTTCTTCAGCCCTATAGCAAAAAAGTGTGAGACCATTCATGGACAACTATTAAATAGTTCCCAAACCAAACATACGTGGCAGACTGATCCAAAAACGCATTCAACAAGTACTCGACATATTTCAAAAACCCATCAGCAGTCATGCTAGCCATCATGTTAGCAACTGTTCGTGTCTTGGTAGCCTTATCAAACTGCTCCTGGGCTCCTGATTGTCCAATAAGTTGCAATACGAGATGGTAGGATGCATCCGGGTTGGTCTTTGATACGTCTGAGAGTGTTTTGGCCTGTATTATAAAAAAAGAGTTTTTTTGAGCAAAAAAGAGCAGATGATATCGTACGCATACTCTTAAGTTCATACCGCAGCTTTAGCAGAATCATGAAGCAACGCTTGAGTATCCGACAAGTCCTTCATCAACTGCTTGATGACGACCTTGGTGAAGATGGTTGGGATTTGGGTCGGCGAGAGACGAGGAAGAATTGTACGGAAGAGCTCGTAGAAGACGAATTTACGATCGGGAGTTGACGAGAGTAATGAGTCTATGATGGCAGATATTGAAGTTAGTTGAAAGTATGGTATTGCATACCACCTAAGAGGCTTCAGCAGAATTTCAAAGCACAGCTTGATAGTCTGATGATTCCACATCAACGGCATTTTTGCATTTCGATGATGTGGCACCAAAACCACATACCCAGTACCACCGTCTGCCAGAAATCAGCCAACGAGATAACCTTTCTCTTTGATTTGGTCTCCTTTCTGGACAAGATGGCATCCACGACTACGGCCCAGACTCCGTGGAGTCTTGGATTCGAATACGAGGATTCCTAAAAGCACAGCAAAATGGATGTTAGTTTCATTTGAAATATGCTTTAAACCCCTTTTTGGGCATCACCTTTAACAGCTCAGCCAGTCTCAGCTTGTTTGCAGGATGCAGCAACCAGCTCTTTTCCCAAACAGAGTCGACACCTTCGAGTAGCGTCTTCCAAATAGGGAGCTTTGGATACTTGGATTGTAGGACGAGACCAATCCAAAGCTGTTCCGGGTTGTTGATACCATCTGAGAGTATGGTTGATATCATGTAATCTATGCCCTCTTCCTGGAGGGGGGTGTTGGATAACTAGGTGAAAGACGAAAACAAAAGGCATGGAGTTGAGTGTCGCCAACTGAGGCCATGAAACGCTTCACACAAAGCATACCGATTCAGCAATAGATATAAAGACACCAGCACAGCATTCTCTCAAATAGGATTTAGCTCGTTGATACTTGATCAGCTCGTCAATCATCCTTGTGACATCTTCGATAGTCGTAGAGGATCGTGACATGATTCCTGATATGGCGAAAGACTGGAATCCGAATATGCGACCAAAGTAGCCGTCTCGCTCTTCCTGTGGGGGTGTGAGAAGCGTGTTGAGTGATGACAAAAAACGATGATTTATCAAGACGCTACATAAAATACCTGAGATTTCATGCTCCCACTAATCTCTGATACCGAGAGCAGCAATTCAATGAGTCTCGAGAGGCGAACGTGAGGAATGACTGTCAAGAGCTAAGTTGAGAAGATGTGCGTGAGGTTTTCTTTTCAAACTCAAATCCAAACACCACGATCACAGACTCCCAACACCAACACAACATAATAGGACCAAATATAAGTTGACATACCTCAGTTAAAGCAACAGCAAACCCCTGTCTTGCACCTTGACGAGATGAAGCGAGTCCTCGTAGCAGTCTCTTCAATGCATAGCTGACATCCGGAGCACAGACCAGTTCCAGATTATCTGCATCATTATCGTTATGGATCTGGTCGATCCAATTAGACTGTGCCGTGTAATTGTCCTGTAATGCGACGAGGGTTTGAATCAAGAGAGTAGCAGCTCGTGTGCGGGTCTTGACATCTTTGGAGGCCAAGTCCCAGTATAGCGATAGTGTAGTTGATGATCCATTCATATCGGATGTGGGCTCTGCCATGGTTATGCCTGGCATCCTTGTCGTCTCGTCTACCCTCTGTTTCTAATTAAGAATTCTGAACTTTTTTTTTTCGAATGTTTTGATTGGGGGGCCTTTTTTTCTAGTCAAAAAAAACACGAAAAGCAGCAATCGCTATAAGTAACATGGACAAGAAACAGGTAAGAGGCAGGTATTCATGATTTGACTTATTGTGCCAACACACTGCTACTCATTTAGGTCGCCAAAGCTAGCACAGCGCTACTAGCACATATCGAAAAACAAGCTGCATCTGAAGAAAACCCAAACAAGAACAACCTCCTCGATGATGGCCACATTGTATGGCTCATGATCACTACTAAACTGGTCCCGCATCAAAAGACTCTCAAGCCAACAAGAATGTATGAAACCAACATGTTCAAATTGAATATGTTCCACGTTTTTGTTAACTTGATCTTTCACATCTTAGACCGCTCAAACACCCATTACTGCCAGAGTCGGCAGAGATATGTCTCATAACAAAGGATCCTCAGCGTGAATTCAAGGACTTGTTGGCTAAAGAGGGTGTCAAGGTCTCCAAGGTGTGTTTAAAGTCAACAAAAAAACATTGGTAGTGACGTATCGATTGATTCCGTTCTTGTCTGTCTCAGGTCATTGGAATCTCCAAGGTCAAGGCTAGATACAAGCCTTACGAGGCTAAACGCATGCTTGCTACCACATACGACTTGTTTTTGGCAGACGATCGCATCCTGCCACTACTTCCACCGATACTTGGAAAGGCATTTTATGGCAAAAAAAGGTCCGGACATACTGTATCATTTACGCTTCTTACCAGCAACAACTGAACTTGTCCATGTATGATTATTAGACAACCTGTGCCTGTCGACTTGACACGAAATGTAGCAAAAGAGATTGAAAAGGCTAGAACGTCTACTTATTTGCATCTGACTCGTGGTACTTGCAGGTATTGTAGCCTTCGTAAAAGTTGAAGCAATTACTACAGATTACCTCCTCCTTTTTTGCTCACCATCCTCCACTCACGCACTCCTCAGCGCCATCAAAATCGGAACCACAAACCACACCGCCTCCCAAATAACCGAAAACATCATGCACGCAATCCCCTCCATCATCGCCAAAATCCCCAACCAATGGTCCAACATCCAATCCATCAACCTGAAAACCTCTGAATCCATTGCACTGCCCCTCTACAATGCCCTTCCAGACATGCAAGGCATCGATGAAGAAACCGTCGTCGCTAAACTCGCTCGTGAGGAAGCAGCACGTAAAGCCGAGATTGATGCTGAGCCTACTGAAGAGGATAAGGCTGACTTGGAGAGTCTGATGAAGATTCTGTTCCCGCAAAAGAAGAAACGGACTAGTACGGCTAGTGTTGATGCGGCGAATAAGAGTAAGAAGAGGGTGAAGAGGGAGGAGGCGGCTGCCGCTGCTGCTGCAAAAAAGAGTGGGGAGGTTAGGAAGATTGCGGTGGGGGGTGTTAAGAAGCCTGCTGATGGGAAGCCGGTTAAGGTCAAGAAGAGTGGTGGGAGGAAGAGTGGAGAGGGTGCTGATGTCAAGTTGTAAAATAAAGATGATGCATTAGGAACTGTCTTTCTTGATTTTTATAGAATATACAAGATGAAAAAACATTTGGAGTGTTTTTCACGACATGTTGTTCTCACGGTGGTCTCTGTTGAACAGTAAGCACAGCCAATGCATTTTGCAATCACAAGATACCCAGTACTTGCTGCTTGGACTCGGATCATCTCGCCAGAGAGAGGAGAAGACTAGTTGAAGCAGCATGTTTTTGGCTGCCACTCACCCCCGACACTTGCACCAACATTGTCTCGAGAGATGTCCAAAAAGCTAGCAGCAGATATGAAACAAGTCAAAACCAAGCGAGAGTGGTGTTGAGTGGTGTTGAGGAGTGATGAGAATGTTGGTATTAAGCAGTAAAAACAATGACCACAAGACGTTATTGAAGTTAAGAGAATATACAAGGTTGCTGTGAATGATTGTTTTAAGGGGAGTTTGGCCTCTGCTGAGGCAGATCTCGTACGTCCCAGACAGGTCTGTCTGACTTAGCATTGTCAAAGATGGCCTTCATAAGTTCCTTGTTCCTCTAAATGGGACGGAGGGTTTGGAATTAGATCTGGAGTGAGGATACATGACACAATCGATACAGTCTGCATGGCTAAGGTGTGTACACCACATAAAGTCACATTCCATTACGTTGCAGATAGACAGGATGAATCCATACCTTTTCAGCATCAGATAGAGCAACCGAATTGTTTGCACGTTCCTTTATCTAGTAATCGGAATGTCGGTTTGCATGTGAGCTCTTGAATCGTAAAAGCGTCAAACCAAGATGTGTGGTAATTACTTGAAGGTTCTCCCTAAGCGAGCAATGAAATCAGTGATCGGAGAAGGTGAATACGTGTAAATAACCAGACTCACTCTGCAGATGGCACCGACAGCTTCATTACAGTCCATCCTACATGGAAACACTCATAAGCTTTAAGGACACGAAAGTTTTGAACGTGTTTTTCGAGTAGGAAACGTACCAAAGAGCATGATACCTCCAACATAGAATGTTGATTTTACCATGAATGTAAGCGGATTCACCATTTCGTTTGACAGGATGTTGGTTATCTTTCAGGGTTAAAACACTGTGAACGTTTAGCTCTAAAACACCAAGTACAGTCAAGGCAAGATGTCGATTAATGGAGCAACTCTACAGGCGGACAACAAGACACCTGTCCTGATACAGGCTGAAAAGCTATTCTATTCACAGGGTACTGTCTTGACTTTCGTGGTGTGTCGTTCACACCAGCCTCATGGGTGTTGTTTTCTTTAGATGGCATACGATTCGAATTCGAAGGTGCAAGTGGAGGGTATGTACTTGGCTATCTATCTGTCGTTTGCTTTGTCTTGTTTGGTATCTGTTGAAGCGCATTTGACATTTCATCAAACATTTGCAGATACCCAGGCAACTTGTACGTCTCACACCCCCACACTCTACTTGAACCTCGTGCTCAATACTCTTGTTTCTTATAGAGCTTCATACTCGTCAAAGACTGGAAGTTTATACCTTAGTATGTACTGAACTTCTATTCAGGGTGTTTGGGAAACTCACGATAATCACATGTCAAAAAACAGCAAACCTACGAATGATTTATGTCCCAACTCCATTGCTGGAAACGCTCAAGACATTCAATGTGCCGTTGGAGAATGTCAGAGATGGAAAGTTTGTGCAGCCTTGGGTATGTGCTTTCAAAGGGTTTTTGTCTGACACGTGAGCTCAGCAAGCTGACAGATATCTTCCTACCTAGTTCGATGCTAATCGATATGAAGGCATGTTGTGCGATCTATTATTCGGCTCTCTAATCTCCTCTTGTTTGTCACGGACATTCACAAACCTAACGTCAAATCGATAGCTGCCGTGATCCCAGTCCCTCATGGAGGTCTCAAAGAACGAGGCACCATGAAACTTACATTCAGAGAAGGTGGTGGCTTTGAATTCTCATCCATATTTCAACAATTACGATCGCGAATCACAGGTATGAATCATCAAAAAGGCCCAAGGTTGTATTACACCCTCACCAACACTTCCCCTTCCAATATCGTTTGTAGGAGAACCCGCCCAATTCGAAAACCTCCCTGCATACGAGGAACCTTTACAAGGATCATCGTCTTCCGAACCACCACCACCTCTAATAGACGAGAACACGTCGTCCAGTCCACCACCACCTGCTGCAGCTGTAGTATCTCCTGTGGTTGCTGAAGCGGTATCGCCAGCATCGGCTATGCGGCCACCTATACAGCCGCATGGAATCGCGGAGGGCGAAGCACCACCGTCGTATGATGCGCTCAGTAGGTGAATGGAGTAATGAGCATGTGAAGAAGGTGTATGGTGGTATAGGGTGAGAGAGAGGGCGGCGCTGCAGAGTTAGTTTTCCCGACATGGTTTCGTTTTAGTAATTTCGCTTTGTACACATACACGTAAAAGAACATGTTTTAGAAACGTTTGGTGTTGGAGTAGGGTTGAGTTGCGATACACGCTCGTTTCGTCGTTTCGATGTGGCTTTCTTCAGTCAACGGCTGCTTCGTACTTGAAATGCTCCCGAAACTTGGGCTTTCCCAAATTTGAAGTACATCCAAGTTCTAGGTCAAGAGAAGATAGTTCTTACAGATCATCGTATAGCTGTAAGGCTCATCATTATAAATTGATCTTGTTGCGTTTAAATTTGAACTTGGATCTTGATTGAACTTGAAGGCTGAAGGTGCAATCGCAAAGTCTTGTTATTGATATTATTACCAGCTGGATTGATACATTATTAAGAGCTGCTGAAGCTCTTGTTGCCTTCTTCTTTCATCGTTATCTCGTTTTACGTTCAGACATTCCATGAAAAGGATCGCATTAGTTTGCACTGATGCTGTTTACAACATCGCAGCCAAACTCTGTTGAATAGATGCCAAATATTCTATTTTGCTTTTAAACGTATAACTTTTTTTATGCTTAGTTTCCTTTTACTTGGTATGCACGTTATAATGAGTTTCTCTCGTTCTTCTATGAGACGTTTTCAATCATCCACCAACCCCAACAACAGCAATACTACACTACTTTGACCACACATCCATATTGAGCATCTTGACAGGGTTTCCACCATTCGCCTTCAAGTCCACAACCATTCCAATCTCATAAACGGTCTCACCGACTGCTTGAAGCATAGCTTTGACTTCAGCAACGTTGGATTGATTTAGGACTATAACCATACCAATTCCACAGTTGAATGTTCGTGCCATTTCCTCTGTTTGAAGAAAGAGGAAGAAAGTGAGCGAGTGCAAAAAAAGGACATGGACGAAACACGCCTTACCATCAGCAACATTTCCAACCCCCTTCATCCACTTGAACACTGGCAACAATGGGAAGCTCTTGGCATCAATCACTACACCCAAATGATCAGGTAGTGCTCGTGGTACGTTATCCGTAAATCCTCCACCAGTGATATGCGCCATAGACTTTACCAAGCCCTTCTTGACGATAGGCAATAATGGCTTTACATACAGCTTGGTAGGCTCTAAAAATGCTTCACCTATCGATACAGAACCACTTTTTTTGGTCGGTGTATCGAATGGCGATGGTGACGTATACTCCAATCCGGATTTCTCGACCAGGTATCTCACTAGTGAGAATCCATTGGAGTGTACTCCAGATGATGGGATACCTAAAAGTGCATCTCCAGGAGTAATCAAGTCGAATCTGGGTAGAAGTTGCTCTCGCTCGACGGCAGCGACTACGAATCCAGCTAAGTCGTAATCACCAGGTTCATATAATCCAGGCATTTCGGCAGTCTCACCACCAATCAATGCACATCCGGATTCCATACATGCCGAAGCTACTCCAGTCACAACATCTTTACATACTTCGACTTCGAGTTTGGAGCATGCGTAATAATCCAAAAAGAATAGTGGTTCAGCTCCTTGGACGATGACATCGTTTACAGACATCGCTACGAGATCTATACCGATGGTATCGTGTTTGTTGATTGCTTGGGCTACTTTGAGCTTTGTACCGACACCGTCTGTGCCTGATACAAGTATGGGATCTCGGAATCCTGCTGCTTTGAGATCGAATACACCTCCAAAACCACCTATATCTGCATCGGCTCCTGATCGTCGAGTAGCCTTGACTACGGCTTTGATCTTGTCTACGAGCAAGTTACCCGAGTCAATACTGACACCGGCATCTTCGTATGTAGCACCTCCGTTGGCTTTTTTGGAAGACAGATGTGCAATGGCCCTTATAAAAAGGAGGGGACGAGTTAGAATTTGAGAGGGGTACAGCAAAATAAAGGGGTAGATTATATGAAGCAAAGCAAAAGAGAGCAGTTCGGGACGTTACATGGCCGATAAGACGAACGGAAGCACTTGACTCCACTCACCGATGACCAATATCACTACGGTATTGCATTCCCTCAAAGTGAATACCCTTGATGGTGGCATAAGACAATTTGAGAGCATCCTGTAAAGTAGCACCGACAGCAGATACTGCCAAGACTCGACCACCAGACGTAACGAGTTTCTTTCCTTCAGAGGTAGTTCCAGCATGGTAGATATGGACATCTTAAAGTGATAGAGTAAGGGAAGAGGTGAGCAAAAAAAACCTTAATGCACCAAGTCGGAATGCATTTCGTTACGCATACCAGCTGGTGTTGTACTCTTGAGAGTGATTGCCTTTCCTTTTGGATAGTTGCCTGGATATCCTGGTGCTGCTAATACGACTGTAGCAGCAAACGTGTCCTTTGCAAATTCGATGTCGACTGAATCCAATCGTCCTTCAGCAGCAGCCTATATTGGTGTTGAGAGTTTGGTAAGAGTTTCCTCCATAGCATATGAATGGAGAAAGAAGAGGATTGTGCAATTTAATCTTCTTGTATCATCGGAGTGCTTTCCAACGAACGCGCAAAAAAAATATTATAAAGGAATTTACAATGGGACACGTACCAAGAAGACTTGCGCCAGATCCGTTTCCTTGCTCAACAATGGCATAATGACTTGAGTTTCAGGATCTCCAAATCTAGCATTAAACTCTATAACTTGTAACCCAGACGATGTCAACATCAATCCAGCATACAAGCATCCTACGAATGGGAAGCCCTCTTTTCTCATGCCATCGACAGCAGGCTGCAAAATGGTTTTCACAGCCTGTGCCAAAAGCTTGGGTGTCATGATGGGAGCAGGTGCATAAGCACCCATACCACCAGTATTAGGTCCTTTATCGCCGTCAAAGACCCGTTTATGGTCTTGACATGGTGGGAGGGTGACGACCGTGTATCCGTCCGTGATTGCGAGGAGGGATACTTCTTCGCCGGATAGGCATTCTTCGATTACGACTTCGGAGCCCGCGTCGCCGAATATGCGGTCGACCATCAGGTCTTTGAGGACTTTGATGGCTTCGTCCTTTGTTTGTGGGAGCATGACGCCTTTGCCAGCTGCTAGTCCAGATGCCTGCGTAAAACAGAAAGTTAGTTTTGATACATTCAAGTCAAGAAACGAGTGCCAAAAATATGTAGTGAAAGCTCTCTTTATGTACCTTGATGACCAAAGCACCTTTGAAGCTCTTAACGAACGATACAGCATCGTCGTACGAAGTGAAGGTCTATGATAGATGAATGTAAGTGACTCTGATATAAAGCATCCTAATCCGTATCGATATACCTTGTATTCAGCAGTTGGGATTGAATGTCTCTTCATAAAGTCCTTTGACCAAGCTTTTGAGCCTTCAATCCTAGCAGCATTAGAAGATGGTCCAAAGCATGGAATGCCCACTGTAAGAAGCGAATCATGCGTCAGATATGTAGAAGCTTGTTTGATGCACGAACGATAAGCTTCATCAACATACACTTTTTGGCAGCCTCAGCAACACCATTCACCAATGGCTCTTCAGGACCAGGTACCAGTAATCCAATCTAAAATACATATAAATATTCATTATTAGCACATTTAAAGATTGTCATATGAACCACATCAACAAAGGCTCACATCATGCTGTGATAGGAATGGAGCGAGAGCTGAAAAGTCTTTTCCGTGAATGTTGACAGTGACATTATGTATCTTGGAGCCACTTGAATGAGTTCCTCCGTTGCCTATACGCGTTAAGAAGGATGCATCAGCACTAATATCGACTATCAAACTTTTTTTCAAACTCCTATGAGTATGAACATACCTGGAGCGACGTATACTTTAGATACAGAGGGTGATGCAGCTAGTTGCAGAGCTAGAGCATGCTCACGACCTCCTGATCCCAGCACGAGTATGTTCATTGTTGCTTTTGTCATTGAATATTGTCGTTATCTGTGAGTGAAGCGAGAGAAATCTTCTTGACAGTTTTTTTGCTGCTTCAACAAACAAGCACGAGCGGATGGGTATCCTGAATATGAGGCCCTGTACCGCGTTGCAGTTCTATCTGACACGTATTATGGACGTTTCTTAACATGGTGTACTATTGGACAATACATATAATAAGCTTATTGGTATCATATGAAGAGGAGTAGTGAAAGACCTGGTAACGCGTTTTCGAAGTATTTAGCACGTACTAATGGCTCCTTTGGCTCCTCTGGAGCTTACTTCTGTTAACATTCACTCCTCGTCGACAAAATATCAGAGGCTTAAGCTTGGCGATTTCACTGCGCATCATTGAAGTTGAGGAATGTCACATATCTATCAATTTCCAGCAATTCACGAATTCCCTCCATTCTACACGTAAGTTGAACCCTGCATCTTAAAGCTCAATTATTGACACTTTCAATGCCACTCCATAGACAACAACCTAATGTGGACACATGGAAGAAACAGCGCCAGCTTTGGTGTGATTTAATATTAGCCTACTACAAGGCTAAAAAACTATACTCGCTCGATATCACTGAAGCAATCGCTGGGAAATCAGACTTGTTTGTCAATCCCACCATCAAGAGTACGTGATTGCGTATTGAAAGTACATTGAAAAGAGTCGAATTGACTTGAATTCAACGATAGGATCACTACCAAGGGAAACGTTACAAAGTCTCATCGATGAGCTCGTCAAGACTGGTAAAACGTGTATATGAAAGGCAAGCACAGATACAAGAGTACTCATATCCTCCAATAGGAAACGCTGAATGGGACGGTCCATCGCAACAACGAGCTTGGATATACTGGAGGAAACCTGAGGAATGGGCTGCCTTGATTTCACAATGGGTATATTTTGACTGGCTCTGTCGATTTTTTGCCTTGTGCTTACGCTGTCTGCATAATAGGCATTCAACACGGGACAGTCCAACTCTATATGTACCTTATACGAGATTGCTCATGGAGACACGTCCACTACTGAAGGTGAACAAAAGCGTCGAGGGCTATCAGCAGTTACTTCAGCCTCTTACAAAGCTTACGCATTCACGATGTATAGAATTCTACGAGCTTGATGAGACAGTCATCAAGAAGGCTCTGTATGTTCTCGTAAAGCAGGGTAAAGCAAAAATATTTACTGGAACCAGTGATTCAGATCTCGGTGTCAAGTTCTTCTGAGATCTTGTTTCACCTCTGTCGACACATTATTGTGTAGGCAATATTATTATATTGTATTATTATCTACAAATGCCACTAAACTTTATTCATACGTAAACCATCCACCTCGACACATCACATTATTACTGCAAGATAAACATATAAACTGGAAACAAACTTGCAGGAAAACCATTCTGTTTCGCTTGTTTCACTACAGCCAGGCCAGCTTTTCCAAAGAGTTCCGTCAGCTTGCCAATAGACCTAGTCGCTGACGAGTCCACTTCATCGATTTCATAATCAGCTTCTGAGGTGTTTTCCTTGACACCAATCAAGCCGTTCGGTTTCAGCCCTGTTTTGCACCTCTTGAAGAATTCGATAAAGTCATCTGTGTTGTATAATGATAGATACAGAGAGTGGAGTGTAAGTGGCACGGAGCGAAGAAAATTGGCTGCATATTCACCAACACTAACCATCGGTCAAATGTCCCAGCACCCACTGACACCAAATCATATCATATCTCCCGGCTTCAGGTACAAAATCCTGTAATCCCAGCGGTATGTACTTGTCTACTTGCTCTTGACTAAACTGCTTGCGACCTTCATCCAGGAATTTTGGGTTCTGTTCAACCAAGTCCACTTTATCGAATACTTTTAGAAGAAAATTCTTTGACACCCTGCCAATTCCAGCTCCACAATCTAGCGTGTGATTGGAATGTTACTTGACTGGTGGTTATATGTATGTATAGATCCAATGAGCGAGCAGTCATTACCACATGCAAGTTTCGTATCTAGTCGAGGAGATATGAGTTTACCACCAGGTCCTCGTTTCGGCTTTACGTATTCTTCAATGAATTTGATGGATCCTCTGCAGTCTATATCCGTCAAGCTTGAGAATCCACCCAGCATTCCATCGACAGTTGCTAAATGTTGGAGATTTGAGCATGAGTTTCCTTGTTTTACCAGCAGAATGATGATCAAAATGGCGGGAATAAAGCAAATAATGATCACTTCTCTGGAATGTCAATCTCTTTTTGATAGCTACTATAACACATTCAACCGAAAAGTCAAGATTGTCCTAAGAACTCACGTTCAACTCGATCCCAATATGAGGCTGCGTCATCATACCACGACTCTTGATGATGCTTTGGGTCCTTCGCGTGATGCTCGTTGGTCATGGCTGTCAGCATCGCAAGCTCGTTGTTTGAGGGTTTCAAGTAGGTTTTGCTGGAGCGATGATGCTGCTGAATGGTACCTAGACGTGATCTGGACGCGACTCACAGCACGTAATCCATGGCTATAAAGAACAATTCACAATTCATTCCATTCGCATCGAAAAAGTACGTATAGACGTGACCAGATGAGATTGTTGCAATGTTTTTGCCATCGATTCCTTGCAGCTTTCTCGTGATTTGACGCTCCAGGACATCCCCAGATACCTTTCCAATTGAGATTCAAATTCGGTCATTCTGTTTCATTCTCGCCGTTCTCCGAAAACCACACTTTACCACCTACCCAAAGTCCAACTTTTCTCCATATGGAAGCTCTCTGAATTCAAAGTCCACGGCGGATCCAATATCAAAGGAATCCACCACGTATTACCAAATGGATGCCAGGTAAGCCTGATGAACTTGCGCCCGTTTCCAATATCCAAGCTCTAAACTTTCGGGTTTGCTCCATTTCCTTTAGTGCTGTAAGCAAATCCACGAACGAGAAGCAATCTGGTATTATATTTAATTTAAATTTCTAGCCTTGGAATGGCCTTCTTACTGTTTGAATTTCTCGACAAAGGAACGACATTCAATGCTGGTGAAGCCAAGACATATCTTCAGAAACGTAGGTGGCGTTTGCGGCTTGTTGAGACGATGCCGTGCTTGATAAGAGTTGAAATCTCATATGTGTCTTGCTCTTCTTATTCAGGGTGGACTGATGTTGTCGCTGAAGCTCAAAACCCAAACAGTGACAGTATGTTTGGTGATGTTGTATTTCAGACTGCTTCTCGGCAAACTCATTGAACGTATCAATTGATAGAAAAAGTGGAAGTCTACAGATCCACTGACAAGGCATGGGGTGCTAGTCAGCCAATGACGGTGACTTGGGCACAAGCCAGTCCAAATAGTAAGCTCTACTCACATACTTAAAACCTCACTTTGCTAATCGAATTACTCATTCTAGAACCCGTATTAGCTACTGGAGAGGACTTTAAAGTCGTCTATCAACGTTCGCTACAGACGTATCTCGCATCCAAGGGTGGATGAAACTGCCACCAAACCTAGCACCATCCACAAGCCTTCTTGGCATTAAGTCAACATATATATGGTATGTATCGCATACAGTAACTTTTTTCGCATATGAGCAATATTTGGCAAAACAATAATATTTGGATATATTTGGCTCAAATACTGTTTGACTGTTATTACTCTTGTTGTTCAAGGCCTAGTAGTTCACGTGTAAGAGCCGTCCATTCCGTGTATGTATTTCTATATGAGATACAAGTCAGCATTGAATCTCCAAGCATCATCAAGTGCCTCAAAACCAACTTACGTCAAAACACTATGCAACGACTCCCCCTCATCAGACAAGATCTCAATCCCCACCGAATCCCTCTTCAAACTCTCGTTCAGCAACAGCAGTTCTGATATAGTTGAATTCAATTCATCCTCGTTTGGTTTCTCGTCATCCCCTTGCACGAGTTTAACGACCAGGTGGGATGTCTTGGATGCCAGTTTCTCGTTTTCTTGGATTCGACAGTCAGCGTCGGTGCGTAACTTGTCTTGAAGGTTTGAAAGCCAGGATTCGACCAGTATGGGGACGCGTTTCTGGTCTGCTTCGGCTGTTTTTGAGAGGGTGACTGACGTGGGAGAGATTGTGTTAGAGTGTATGTGCAAAAAAAGAAGAACCAATTGGCATTTGATTACCTATCAAGGTCGACAAAAGCTTCTTCCATAGCATGAGACTATCGGCGTAATGGAATTGCTCTCCTGAGCTTAGTGGTTTCGTCGAGTCTCGTAATACGATGCTGGCATACCTATATGCAGTAAAGCAATGTGAGCAAGGTATGCCGAAAAAATTTGATGAACATTCAGAACACAGTGCATCCACAACTCACTTGTCTTCCATCTTATTATGCAGTGCAATAGCCTGAGATGCACCACCATCATCACCAGTTATTCTGGCCTCAAGACGAGCCAGCCACGTCTGTATCTCTCTAGCAATCTTGTTTATGGCATCCACCATAACTCCATATTCGCTCCCATTCGTCGTTTTTTCGCATCTCCGTAACGACTTGATGGCAGCTTCAGTCCACCCTGCAGACAACTGTCTTGCCTTTTCTACCTTTTCCTGTAACTCAATGTCCTTACCCGTACCACCGAATCGACCTGCTACGAGCCCGACACGATCAACAAGTAGTTTGATACGTGGAGCGAGTGTTTTGATGTCCAGTTGCGTGAATTCTTTGACGGCTGGACTTGCACCGCCTTCTAAATCCGTGGCTTCGAGTCCACCGACGAGGTTGGCGTGTATGCCGTCCATGTCGTGGGATACGGATACGAGAGTAGCGACACATTCACGGTCTTCGGTGACGATTTGGTCGGAGAGGGTTTGGAGTGCTGTCTTCCATTCGCCGATTAGGTGCTGCAGTATCGATACGTCCTTTGATACGTAGGTGGATATTGACATTATGATTTGGCCAGCACGTTGGTATCTGCTTATGCCCGATAGATGGAGTGTTTTGAGTTTGGGCATTCCCAATTTATCTCCTAATCGAAGAGCTAGTGCAGTGGCGATGGTAGACCATTTGGTCTTTTCATGTTCACATTCTTTTAATGTGACTTCGAGACGGCCGCGTTGCATCTTGTAGAGCTCGTGAAACTTTTCGAGAAGGGCCTTGGCGTCTTCTTCAGACTTGACTACTTTCGATGGGTTGCTGGGAGTTGCTGGTCGACTAGCACTTCCAAAGGGAGATGGTCTTGATTGAGCAGCATCGAATTTCTTGACTGCTTCCAGTTCAGAGAGCACTGTCTCTGTTACTTGACGGCTGCGTTTTAGCTCTTCTCCTAATCGAGCATTCAGACGACGGGAAGCTTGTAGCTCGGTATGCACAAGCACGACTTGCTGCGGTATCCGTCTAAACATGGCTGCATATCTACTCCGTATTTCAGATAGCAATTCACCTCGTTCCAGCATGTGTACAGCGACTTGCCTAACCACCTCCTTGAACACAGCATCGTATATCTTTTGTTCTTCTTCGATCGTATGTAGCAGCGGAGCTAATTCCGTTGGATACGACGTGGAGGAGGAGACATCACCACCGACCTGTCGTAACAGCAACAACATTGTTGAGCGTAAAGACGCAACTTCCTTTCGTGTCGAATAGGAAGTCCCAGTATGTAAATCCCGCAATGCATCGTCTCGTGTCTCATCAATTAAACTGGCTGGTAGGACATCCGAGTCTTCACCACCAGAGATTCTGTGACTTGGGATTATCGGCAGAGATGCTGATGTTGCTGAAGATCGTGGTGAGGCAATAGATTCCGGGATAATGCCATCGTCAGATCGTAGTATGGTTGGTTTGGAGGCGAAATTGACACGAGGTCTACGTTGTTCTACGAGTTCGACGGGGGATATTGGTCTCGGTGATTTTAAAAGTGATGGTGTTGGTTGTGGAGCTGGTGAGACTGCAGATGCACTTGGAATGTGCTTCTTTTTGGAGGCTTTGGCTGGGCGTGATAGCTGGTGGATGTCTTGTAGGATGCTGGCCGGTAACATGTCTGGAAATGGTCGAGTTTTTGACGGTACGGTTTTACAAAATCGTGTGATTGATTCAAGGAGATGGAAGAGGATGTTCTCAAGTCAAACAGGAGCCAGAGAAGGTTACTAGGTATCAATCACGTTCGAAATGGACCATTTCTCACGTGATGTTCGTGTTAATCTCGCTCGATGCTATGTCGTTTTCTTTCTTCCAATATCTGATATCTAAACAGATTGAAATAGAAGAAATCACGCTCAGTTCCATAATTTTGATACACGAAATCCTTTCACATGCACCTCTCTACTCCTCTCAGTAAGAGATCTTGATACTTGTTTAAACATTTTCAAAAAATCTCAGAAAAGGCAACCAACGTAGAATCATGTTTTTAGCTAGAAGGTCACTAGGGGTAGCAGCTCAAGTCTGCAGCAAGCCACAATTCACGGTAATCTACATGCTGTATACCTTGCATATTCATATTTTACAAGTTGAACAAACATCGAGACAAAAATTCTCAAACTTTTGAGCATTTCAATCTTAGGCTCCAGTGGCGACAAGACCACGATACTATGCTACAGCCGGCTCTCCCAACGTCCTCCTCCTTATAGAACACAAGGACAACAAAATCGCACCATCAACATTAAACGCCCTAACTGCTGCATCAAAATTGGCATCATCCGTCACAGCTCTGGTAGCTGGTCCAACTCCAGATGCTGTAGCTGCCACCGTATCAAATCTAGCCGGCATTTCCAAAGTCATTGTAGCCAAAGATGCTGCATATGATCACGGATTGCCCGAATTCTTTGCTCCATTGATTGTGGCTGCTTCACAAGCTGGTGGATTTACTCATATAGTGGCTGCTCATACCGCTTTTGGAAAGAATGTGCTGCCACGTGCTGCTGCCCTATTGGATGTATCTCAAGTATCGGATGTGGTGTCTGTCGAGGGACCTGATACATTTGTGAGGCCTATATACGCAGGTTGGTTGCCATATGTTGTGTAGGTTCGCTAGGCTGAATGGTGGAACTTTGGGCTCATGATGCTTATTCTGTATATAGGAAACGCTATGGCCAAAGTACGATCAAAGGACACCATCAAGATACTCACAGTTCGAAGCACAGCGTTCCCTCCTGCTGTAGCTGCTGGTGCTAACGCGTCTACTGAATCGGCCCCATCTGCTGAAAAGTCATGTAGGTCTATGATGTGACAGGTGTTCTGACACGCATGTGATGACACGCTGATCCATTACTCCTTTTTTTTAGCAACCACCACATGGATCAAAGAGGAATTATCAAAATCAGACCGGCCAGAATTGGGTGCTGCCAAGATTGTAATTGGTGGTGGACGAGGAATGAAGAATGGAGACAATTTCAAGATCTTGTATGCTTTGGCAGACAAGCTTGGAAATGCAGGTATGTATAAATTGTCGGATACTCAACAGAGCAAAAATCGACACTTCGTCATAACTATAACTTGTATTTAGCTGTGGGAGCATCCAGAGCGGCTGTTGATGCTGGATATGTCAGTAACGACCTACAAATCGGTCAAACTGGCAAGATCGTTGCTCCTGATCTTTATATTGCCGTCGGAATCTCTGGTGCTATTCAGCATCTCGCCGGTATGTCTTGAATTGCTGAAATCGCGTTTATGTTTGACTTGTCGCTAAACATGTCCACACGTCACTGTGCCCTTTTTTTTAGGCATGAAGGATTCCAAGACGATAGTAGCCATCAACAAGGATCCTGAAGCTCCCATTTTCCAGGTATCGGACTATGGTCTTGTTGAGGACTTGTTCAAGGCTGTAAGTATGGTGCATCTCAAGTTGAATTGGTCGTCAACCCTCATTCAGCCTTGATTACATTTTTGGCATGGGTTCTCATCATCACCTCCTTTCTTGAACTAGGTCCCTGAACTAACCAGCAAGGTGTAAACTGAATATTTTTTCCATATTTCCAATATATACACTCTTTCGAGTAATATGATAAGTATCGGTTGGAATCCGTGTTTGTTACTCATTTGACAACGTGGTGCTATAGAGTCAGAGTGATCATTATCAATTCACAAGTGTTGAACAACACCACTCGGTTTCCTATCACGGTTGCTCGCCAATGATGTCCTTTTTCCAATGCACAAAGTCTCTTTTTTCGGTTAGACAACAGTCTAATACAAGTGCTCGACCATGCTCTTTTTTGCTATTTTTAACCATGGTCATTTGTTAAGCTATTTACAAGGTGGCATTATACGTTCAAAGTGATAAGGATCAATTCACTAGTAGTCAGCAACACTATTCTGTTTCCTATCACTGTAGCTCCAATGATTTCCTTCTCTTCAGCACCCAAGCTAACATCAATAACGTTCTGGTCTCCCTTTTGCCCATCTGTTTTATGATATATGTATACCTGACGGCGTGATTCCACCACACTGATAAACCTGCAGTCGTCAGGATACACGATAAACCTCTTGAGTCTTTTCGAAGCAGCTACATATGCTAATGCAGGAAACAGTGCTACGTGCAAATACGAGGTGTTTGACATGTCAAACACCAAACCATCTACATCTCTCTTTAACAGCACAGTCTTTTCCGAGCACGACATCCACTCGTACCCTATACTCTCACATTTATGAGTGACACACTGTCCATCACGCCCAAACCTCACAATTGATACTCGGCTAGTCTCAAAATCCTCTGGTTCAGGAGCATCAAACTGGTTTGCGTATGGTGTTTGAGGCGGCAGTGTTTCCATTTCCGTTTCAGTCGTAAACTGGTCTAGACGTGCCAGCATCTCTTCTCGCTGCGATGGATCTAGTGACTCGGGTACACCGTCATCTTCTGTGCCTTTAAAGAGCTGAGGCCATCGAGATCCTGTGAATGTTCCTGATTTGGCAATGTTGAGTGTTATGCATGTGCTTGACTCCAGTGTCCAGATGGATTCGGATGGAAGTATGGTGTCAAAAAATGGTTTGTTGAGTATTACGTGGGCGTTTGGGTGTTTGGAGGATATGGTGACTCGTGATGGGGTGAAGTTACATGCTATTTGTGAGGCGGGGATGGGATTCGGGAGTGTTATGGTTACTACTAGTTCGTCTCCCGTTTGTGTCCATTCGTATTTTGTCGGTGCTTTGGCTATTACTAGTGGCTGTGGTTGTTCAGCTATTTGCTTCTTGACGGTTTTTGACTCTGATACTACGCTAAAAGGGATCTCTGACGCCACTGTAAATGCGTCACCACCATCCTCTAGATATACGAAATACGGCGGTGCATCTGACTGCACATTCATTACTGTTTTACAGATGCTCTGACCTCCTTCTATGCGCACATCAACTAACGAGAGCGTAAACAGAGGCCTTGGTTTGCCGTCCTGTAAACGATCTTTTGATGAAGTTGCTTTAGCAGGCTCTCGCACAGTATCTTCTATAGTCATCAGGACTACCACGAGGTGCTCATGTTGGCCCTTGAGCGGGCTGGCAGATGTACGAGCAGCCATGATTATTGGAGGCGATTTACCCGTCCATGGAATGGCAGATATTAGTGATGCTACTCCAGGAGCGGAATCTAGGCGCAACCATAGTATCTGGTTGGCACCATTACATACGATTAGATCGCTGGCTGATGCGAATGCGACTGATGGGTATTCGAGTTGGTCTTTGGGCGTGCTTGGCACTAGTAGCTGATACAGTTTATGAAGAGTAGCTCCATTCTAGAACAAGGACAAAAGCGTTGCGTGAGTTGGTGCATGGAATCTGACGATCGCCACAGTGAGCATAAAACCAACAATCCTATTCGTTTTGCAAACCTCGTCAATGACGCCGTGTTGCAGCGAATACGATTCGTCCATGTAAAAGACACCATTGCCAGTTGGATGCGTGAATAGGTGATTAAACCTTGCTCGAAATTGAAGCCGTTTGAGAGCTTGACCAGTTGATGGGACCTTGTCCAGTCCATAATCCATGGGTAGTGGATGGCGAGTGAGATTCGATATTCCAGACGTGTTTAAGACATAAGATTGAAAACTGCGTAAAGGTTTGTAAGGCAGATGCGTCAGTTCAATGAAACTTTGCAAGAATCCAAACATTTCACATTTCGACAAGTACTCTGGATTTAGTAATTCCGCGACAGGCTCCAGAGTAACAAGCTTGGTTGCCGGCACAAAGGAAGGCATTTCCGTGGTTTATTCTCGAGGTAGGTTAAGATCTAAGTCAAGTTAAACGATTGCATTTGTGTTGTTTGATCTCCGACGTAAAAAGCTCAAAGAATAACGCATATTACCTAATCAGGGAACTCGGATTCAAGGTTCCTATTACAGGCTGCAAGATAGCTGGACGAGCCTCTCTACTGACTCTACATTCAACGCTGCAAAATGACTGAAAATGTAAGCTTAGCGGCGCAAGGTGATAAAACACATTGATCAGAGACTCATTACGTGATTTGAATTTGTAGGAAACTCAAGCGTTCGTTAGTAAAGTCGACAGCCTGCTCGGAGATCCCCAACACTTGGATCAAGACACCTTGGTTCAATATCTAAAGCTCATTCATGATGAGTTGTGGCAATCCGATCAACCAACGGTACGCCATTACATCTTTACTTGTTCTCAAAACAGCATCTCAAACCATCCTTGTGTCTCTGCACAGGACATGCTAACAAATGCTGGATCGGAGATCTGTCATATAATCTTACCGCTGACTCTGCCCTCCAAGAGTCATTCGGAACACGTGGCACAGGAAGCCAATTCAATACTTGATTTGCTTGTAGCATACGCCAGTCCTCGTGAGCTATGTATCTTTATAGAATCCATGCTGCAAACTTTGGAATGGGAATCAGCTATGGATGAGGGGTTTGAGGCGGTTGGGTCTGTTGTAGACAGATTTGGACATAATATGCAAGTGTATTTAAGAGGTATGTTGGTGTTTGACGATTTAAAAACGAAATCGGTTAACGCTCGTCCAATGTACGTTTCCCCCCTCCTCTCAGTCTTTGAACGCTTGCAACCCAAGAAGCCATCAGCATTCTTGGATTTCGATGGATTTACCAGGATGCTCAAGTCATTGCCTGTTATATGGAAGCATGCTATGGTCGAGGAGGAATCCCAACGAGTTAGCAGGTATGTGCAAAAAGAGTCGAAACCTTCTGAGACGATTCGTTTAACCTTTACATCTCTCTCTCGTTTATAGCTCGTCTTACTTTACTCTATTCAAAAACTTACTGCATATTTCGGTGTCATTCTCCAGTTCTGTACGAACTTCTTTGGCTAACTGGGACAAGGCTAGTACACCATGATATTTTGATATCACCGAGTTGAAATTATACGGTAGTTTCTGTGTCATTTTTTGGTCTCATTCCTTGCTCTCCTGACAATGTGTAGAAAATGTCGTATGACATTCAGGAGAAATCAAAACAAGAAACTAGGCAAATGTCTCTGGGTCTGTCGATTGCCGAATACTCTATGAGCACTGTTGGTACTCTTGTAGAGACAGGATTAACGGATTCTGCTAAACAGCTTTTGGTGAGACGTGGGGTTTCGTCTATTCTCTCATCTTTTTTGACCCTGAACTGCCTTGTTATAGGACGAGCTCGCTACTATCGGATTGGATGCTAGTCTGTATATCAAGGAAGCTACAGATATAGAGTCAATGCTATGTCTGATTGGGTTGGCTCTGGATTACAAGTATCCGCTTGAGTCGTTTCTGCCTTCGGTAACGTCGCTGGAGTGGGTGCTGGATGAGTGCTTGACTAGCATTTGCTTGCAGCTCGATAGGTAGATGACGCAAAAAAACGTATCGAGTTAGAAATGCATTCTCTGTCTAACACTTTGTTGGGTTTATCAGGTTTCAGGAAGATCATTTTGGAATGGCTGGCAAAGCTGTACGCGTTCTCGAGTATCTCGCAGAACGTACGGACTTGAGAGACCAGTTCGAGGATGGAAGACCTGATGAGATCTACCTGAAAACATTCCAGGTCAGTATTCAGGACTTCTCGCAGCTTTTTTTTTGCTGATCGTGATTTCTTATCAATAGAATCTCTTGGTATTTGCTGCAACGATACCAGAGCCCGCATATCGGAATCTGGCGTATACGACCTTTAAAAAGTTTCTCCTAATATTGAACGAGTCAGCTAGATCCTACATCCTGTTAGCGTTACTGGAAAGCAGTCCCTTTGTTGGAGTACAGACTGCTATTCTAGCTGTTTTAAAGGATCAGGTACATCTAGCGTTAGCTGTGAAGCATGAACGTCAGGTACGGCCACAACCAAATTTGGTTTCCTTTAGGCTTGAGTCTCAGATTGATTTTCTCGCAGGAGCCATCACCATTTGGAAGCAGCATCTTTACAAACACATTCCTCGTCATCCTCCTGGATCCTCGAGAATCCATATACAGGAGTACTACGATGCCAGACAAGACTATATTCGATGTACGAGAAGTCTTTATGGAACGGCATAGCATGCTGATGCATACTATCAATCTGTATCTTTATCTGCTGTTGCGAGATACACCATATGAGAATATTGTAGGTTTGTTGTGGTGCTGAGTGTCGTGAACCAGTATCCCTTAGGTCTGATCTCCTTTTTTTGTGCAGATGGGTGTTTGGTCTGAAACCCACATCGAGTCTACATCTCGGACATTCTTGACTCCATTGCATCGGCATTGTGATGCCTTATTGGAACGTATCTCGGGCTCCACGACGCCTGAGGACGCAGGTCATACTCATGGAGAACATTCTGAGGTAAAGTTTAAAATTTGTCTTTTATTTGGAGGGGTTTGAGGTTGAGTTTGAATTCGTTGCTGTTAGGACATTCATACCCAGATCATGATGCTGCAGATGATGAGTTTTCAGATAAATCGGGTTTTTGACACAATTAGAGCTAGAGGACTGACGTGAATGCAACTTTTGTCTTGTACATAGTTTTTTCTTTCTTCGCATACAATGAGAGTGTAAGTTATGATAACGAATATTTCATGTCTGTTGTATTGTGTTGTGTTGTGTTGAGTTGTGTGTGGTCATGCTGGTTAATTTCCAACTACCCAACGTCTGAAACCCTCGAATCCAGCAAGATATATGAAATATATGTGATTATTAACTAGAAATCAATAAGTTACGAATGATGCTGATGAATGCATGCATGCATGTGTGTGTACAGTTAGAGACTGGCAAGAAACTGGTGAATGTCGCCAAATGTTGCAGATCGTGTCATTCGTGGTGGAGATGGGTACTAGAAGAATGTGTCATATCAGCATTTGGAATACAGTCCAAATATTCCTATGTGTCTTTGTTCATACTTGGAGCGCTGGTAGTCTTTGAATATGAAGGCCCAGGAGAGACGAGCGAATAATGTCCCAAGAGAAGACCCTGATTTGTAACCTGAAATAGACAAGGACGGCGTCAATGCAAAAAAAAGATACGTAAGCGAAACAGTTATCACGACTTACAAAGTCAGAAGGTGCCAATACTATAGAAAACGAATCGTCAGTGTTTGGACTCTGTCAACTCAAATCACCGTACGTTACTTGAATAGCTTTACCTGGTAAAATATGGTGTTCAGCCCTATAGGAACGTTCTAATTCAAGGAAAAATCAGATGATGAGTTTGGATTTCACGATGCGTATCTCAACACACACACACCTCTAGAATCAGGCCATCTAGAGCACTTGTTATCCTGAAACGGATACCAGCTAGAGAGAGTGGAAGACATTGAGTATATACGGCCAGACGACGGTATTTTTTGCGCCTTATGAACCACCCACCTGGCAAACGTCCCGGATCCTTAAATCTCAACATGATCGCAAACAACGGGAAGTGATTTATGATTGCGAGTGCGATATCACAGAATCCATGTAGTGAGATTACAGCCATTCGACTCTACAAGAAATGAAATTAACAAGATAAAGGTGATTGACCTCAAAAGCGTATCGCTCACGATGTAGAATAGCATATAATAAACAGCTACCGTTGGAAACAAGAAGATCAACACCGTGAAGAGAATCGTCCCAAGTAGTAACTGATCCAAGTCATATTCGGCAGCGTCTACACGTTTCCGGAGAGGATTTTGGCGTTGGCCTAACCCAAAAAAACCGTTTAGGAATCATCTTGAAGATCAACCAACATTGATCTAAATCTTCGTACTGACCTCTAAACAAGTTGAAAAGCGACATTATGGCGCTCACTTGCCACGAATGCAGTTTAGCTGCAACGAGATAGAACAGATACAGATGCAGCGTTGTCACATTGAGCAAGTCTGCAGCTAGTGAGACTATGAATGATGCGCCCAATGTTCCGGAAAGACCAGCATATCGGATGTATGTTGGGAGGTATGCTTCCAGAGGTTGTAGGCTACCTGAAAAGGTTCAGTAAAACATGCTTTAGTACTTGGATGTGATTTTTTGGCGAGAAGAAGCAAAACAAATACCACTCCAGAAGTCTATAAGCCATAGAAACAACTCTCCAAGAAACTTGGCCAGCTTGCTATTGAGCTTCAGCCCACCTGGCCAACTCATGAGCCATACGACCATGCTCTTGATTGTTTCGATCCCGTAAATCTATCAGAGCAAAAAATCTTTGAGCAAGATGTTGGATATTCGAAGCGAGAGCTATTACCTGTAGACACTTGATGAATGTTTCAGACAAGAAATCAGCATTGGCAATGACGAAAGCACCAAGTCCAATGCCGACAATCACGTCATTAGCAACCAGCCACACAGTATTGTAAAATCTGTAAATGAGATGATGTTTGCTTAAGATGGCCAAAAAACTGTCGTAAATGAAAATCACGAGGTCACGAACCCAATGTATTGAGCTTGTCCTTCAGGCTTCAACTTGCTTTCTCTATCCTTCCTACGCCATAAAAGATACTGCCATGGCCAGTATACCAGTTGGCGGATGCGAAGGTCTATTTGCTGACCTGGAACGAAAGTAGAAAAAGTTTTGAGATTTGCGAAAAACAGGACAGTAAAAGTTCAATATACCTGTGACAGATACATCTCTCCACGATTTCATGCCGAGCACACGAGTATTTAGAAGCAGCGTACAGGCTTCCAGTATCATGTATACCATAAGCACCAACCCAGAGATTGGGTACACCAGCAGCATATGCAGTGGATGCAACCGGCTTCCAATCCATGAACCCACTTTACTTAGGTTCTCAACAATCCTTTGGTATGGATACCACTCATTGAGACCCATATCGACTAGATGCCGTTCAACGTCTAGAGATGCGTTGATCTAAGTATATAAAGGTTGTCAACATTGAGTGGCTGCTACGCATACTTTTTTTGCCATTGCAACACAAACATACCTCAGCCAAAACACCATCCAAATGATCATCAATGAACAGTTCTTGCCTATCTTCAAACATGCGTGTTGACCGCCTATTTAAATCCCTTTGCCTTGTAGAAGCCGGCGAAGCGTGTTGCCGTATCTGAGGATCCAGAGTTAACGGCTGCAGAGACAGGTACTGCAGCGCTCTACTATTTGGCTGTTGATAGTAGATTACCGAGACACGGTGGAGCATGTGTTGGGGTAGTTGGATTCTGTGGGAGATTGGACGATTAGCAAAAAAGGGACGCGAATCTGAATTGCATGTCGACGTTCATTACCGACATGTACTGCTATTCAATCCGACATGGATATCTCGTCCGTCTTGTTCCATAGCTATAGATATCAATGAATATATCAGGCTTTTTGAATCAAAGGAGCAAGATTCCCTCAAACGCAATGGCAAATTACATGTTTCACTGACTCCAGCAACTAGCTTCCATTCACCTACGATATCCACATGATACAATTTATGTAATTTATCCCTTGTAGCAGTATCCTTATCCTAATTTGTAAACGTGGTAGTTAGCTCAAAGGTCGAATAGATCCAACTTTCATGATGAATTTCAAATGTCTTTCAATTTACCAGGAATGGAGCCAATGCAGACACGCAAGTAATTCTCTCATTAATTATACGTCCAATTAGATGTCCACTGTCCACATTTTTCGGTGTTCTTGTTCGTGGTGAAGATGGCCAAAATAGAAGACCATTGGAATTCGAGTAATCGGTCGCTATAGACATGGATGGCCAGGCTAGTTGCCACTACGGAATGGTGTCCTATATGCTATGGAAGGCAGCCATGATATTACGACTACGCTTTGCTATTGCTTGCTGCGTAAGTTTTTCGTTGCGTGTAGTGAAGTAGAAAGCTATTGAATATTGAAAGGCTCGGAAGACGATTGGAAGAGGAAGGACGACGTCATATCTAAAGTGTTAATTTTACTTATTGGATAACGTCTTCATCACGCCATGTCTGGTATATCAGATTCCCCTCTTGACGACAAACATTTGACGTATTTTGACCACCATTAATCGCATGTGTTTTAGATATCGAAGAGTTCGCGGAGGAAATCGATTACCTCCTAGACGCTATATCAAAGGCTTTGACAACCGAAGTCTCGAAATTACGCGGTGTAGAGCGACTGGACGTGAGTATCTTCCCAGATCAGATCAACATATTATCCATACTCATTGCCTTTTATATATCTCTAGAAATGCTCCAATCTTAAGAATCGATTGACCAGAGCACGTCAAGCCCACCGCTCGATTCTTATTGAGATTCGAGACCTGCCTGCCGAATCAGCAGCGAAATGGAATGAGAGGGCTACTGAATACGGGACAAAAATGACGAAACTGCAGCAGGATATCGATTGGGCCGAAAAGGCGACTGATTCAGAGTCGATTCCTAAACCGAAAAGTAATAGCTTGCAGCTAGTCGTCGTTTTTTTTTCTCTCGAGCTGGGCTAAAGTCATTCGTTTTCGCAACAGATGTGGATCAAATGACTGCGAAGGAAGTTACGACCCAGGCTCTTGCAACACAAGAAGAGTCGCTTGCTGCTACAAGCCGTACCAAGGCTATTGTTGAGCAGACTATTCAGGTCAGACCGACAACATTCGATACCGGCTTATACGACATTGCGAGAGGTTTCTTATATCAATATCCTGTATAGATGGGAGGCAACATCACCGAAGAGCTCAAGAAGCAGACTGAGCAGATTGAAAACATTGATGCTGACGTGGATCAAGTCGAGAACAATCTCAAGAGGGCTGACAAGCAATTACGTGTTCTGATTCGGTACGAGATTAAAGAGAACGTTGCCTTGTTGCAATACTGGGGCTTACAATCACGATTTACTCTACAGACGGATGGCTACCGACAAGATCTTCCTACTAATGATCTTGCTGGTCGTAGTTGGAATCCTACTGGCTATTGCATCGGTCGTGCTGAAAAAGTATACTGGTATTGGTAAGTATTGTCCAGGTTTTGGTTATCGTTAGGTCCAATTCTCAAGCTTTTTCCCTACTGTGCAGGTTCGGGTGCCTCAGCAGCAGCATCTCCAACGGCATAAACATTTTCTAATTTATTTTGGGTATTTGAAACACGTTAATATACAAGATCTCATTGCATAAAACGCGTAGAGTATGGAGATCATGTGTTTCAGAATGGTTTCATAATAAGGTAGCGCTATTGATTCAGTCAAGTTTCTGTTTACCACCACTTTCAGGGCGTTGCGATATCACACGTGAATAAAACATTGCCTCGACTTGTACGTTGTTGCTCATTGGCTCATTCCTCTCGTCACCATTCACCAACAAAACAAAACCACCACACACCCAACCACTCACATAATTATAACGCAGAAACCAGACAAGGATGCCATCAACCAGAAAGGGAAAAGCAGCAGCAGTCAAGGAACCATCGCCCAGTCCCAGTAATGGCACTAAGAAGTCGCCCAAGAAGACCCGCGAGTCTGAAGACTATAAAGACACCCTTACAAAAGTACATTCTCAAATCAACGATCTGGGCGCCGATGGAGTCAAAAAGGTCGTCAGCCGTCACGTCCTTGGGGTCTCTGGGGGCCGGATCACGAAAAGGGGCAAAGTCAATGTCAGAAAGAATGTAGTCCGTGAATTACAGGTACATGAAATGTTTTGGATTTAATATTGGTGAACGTGTTTCGGGTAGATCCATGATAGATACTAACAGTTCCATCCTCAATTCATTTTCTTACTATATTATTCTACGGGATTCTACTCTTTATTTTCCCTCTACACCCACCCTACTCGTTGTATCAATAATCTCAATAATGTCCGTTGCATCTTGCACCTTACCCACCAAACGAAAACCCAACATCCCAACATACAACAAACCCATTCCATAAATACAGGCCTTGACACCATCCGACCCATCCGAAGCAAAATCAAAAGCAGCAACTGCAGCCGCCCGAGTCTCAATCACGGCCCAAATCGCTAAACGAGGTGTACACGCCGAACTGGCCAAAGTAGCAGGTGGTAACCAGCCTATCTCTCGAATCGCTCATATGGACGTCCGTCATGGTCTGCCAGTAAACCAGGCATCGTCATCAGTACAACGTGCTGGGCTCGTTCCCCGTAAAGAAGTAGATGACAAGTTAAAGAAGGCCCTTGTATCTGAGTTGGGTCGTATTGCTGGTGATGCGCCGGTTCCGTCTGTTGCTGCGGCCAAGGTTGGCATGTCGTATGCAAAGACGGCTGTTAATGTAAGTTGAGAGGGTGAAGACAACAGGTATATTGAAAAGCTTACATGGTGGTTGATAACACATTTCGTCTCTTATTAGGCTCAACTTGTCAAGCGAGCTGTCGTCCACGAGATTGAAAAGAGGGGTGCTCAATAAGCTGCGTGAGTTGGAAGAATCATCCTTGGCCAGTATGCTATGATCTCCTACCGGCTTACATATCTAACCCAATCGCATCACTCATAGAATTAGAACAAGGATTCTTTTTTATTAACGAACGATGTGTGGTTTGGAATATATGACTCGTTGTGCTTGCTCTCTTTTGTTGCTTATGCTTATCTGTAATAGTATTTTGTGAAAGAACCAATTTTATCAACTGGCAAAAAAGTAGTCTCTTTTTCAACCCAAACATGAAGTCAATTTCAGATCTGGACGTTTTTTGGGGTTTCATGAGGTAAAGCAGTTTCGTATAGTGACTTCCCTCTAAGTTTCATGTAGTGACCCTCCAAAACTACAACCAAATGCCAACAGCGCAATAAAGCATTCCCTGACGTAGAATCAAATGCAGCTTTCATATTTGGATCAAAAGAGCAAACTTTTATATACAAAGATGCAAACATCTAAAAAATCACATCTTCATCCTTTTCATATTCATTCAGGATGTTGGGAGTCTCTGCGGCAGCTTCCTTGGAAGAGAATCCGGAATCTCCAGCAGCTAATTACAAGGATACAATATTAGCATAATATCATTTTGTATGCAAGACCTTTCAGAAACTCACCTTGCCGAGCTTCACGTTCAGCATCTTCACCCTCCTTGACCTTCTTCTTCTTGTTTTGTACCTTCTTCAACCTATCAGAAAGGCATCCTGTTGGTTACCATACGACTCGACAACACCGAAAAAAAGGTGCCTCGTAATCAACAAATGTACTGACCTAAAGAACTCTTCCCGATCCATCTCATCAAGTTCAGATATAATATACTTTATCGTGTTTTCAATCTTGGGTATAATTACATGCTCAATGGCATTCACCCTTCGATTGGTAATCTTGATGACCTCGTCCAAGATTACAAAGGCTGTTTGTAAGGATGCTAGTTCGACTAGCACTTCGACGGCTTTTTGGTATGTTTCCTTGCATTTTTGGACTTGTTGGCCTCCTCGGCCAAGACCGGTCAGTTCGAAGGCTAAATGGGTGGTGTGGCGGGGATTCGTGAGTTGGAGGTTTACATCCATGAGCAAAAAGACACACGTGGAGGGTGGAAGCATATACAGCATAGTTATGTAATACGTACCACTTTGACCATCAACAAACATCTCAAACGCAGGTAATTGTACACCAGACACGTTCTCAGTTTTGGAACGGACTTTGGTTTGTGCTTGTTTGACATTCTCACGAACCATATATCTAATAATTCATGGACGGAATGCGTATATGGGTTAGGTTGTATTGACAATCAGAGTGTTTGAATCAGAGTATACACATACCCAACATCATTTCCAGCCGTAAACATGACTTCAGCATATGAGAAAGCAGCGATTTGCATGACTTTTCCCATCTTTCGTTTAGCCTGTTCATTGTAGGTATTGAAATAGATAATTTAGATAAGGAAATCCATGGTAATCAGCCGCAATCCATAACGAGTACCTCGTCAATCTTCTTGACAATCTCTCTGAACCTTCTCGTCAAGGCCTCAGCCTTTCTCTTGAGCAGCGAATGACCTGTTTGAGCTCCTTTTAGACGAGACTTCATACCTGTCAATGCCCTAAACGATTATCAAATAATAGAGAGTGAGGTCTGGTTGAGTTTGAATGTGATATGTCCCACAGAGAAGATAAGCAGAGAATAAATGCACGTACATTCTCGTAGGAAATATGTTCAATCGTGCAGCGGACATGATTGTTTAATGAATCCTGTCCACACTTTCTTATCCAGCAAGAGACTAGAATGAGATTGGTTGCGTTAATCAGGCAAGTTAGCTCCTTGAGATTATGGAAGCGGTCAAGTAATGGGCATGTAGCTTACAATACTTTATCTAGGTAGTGGTGGCAAGGACTCCTTCTTCAGCTTGCTACACGCTGTTGCTAATGGTCATGAAATTGTTGCATTGGCAAATCTGCTACCAAAGAGTACAACTGGTACGTAAACTCGTGATTTTAGCTCAAAATGCTCTTTATTGATGTAATTGGACGCGTCCAGTTATGTTCAATATCGTGTTTATCTTTGTAAACATTCGACATCTCAAGCTCACTTCTGTTTTCCTCGATCATCAGATGACGACGAACTGGACTCGTACATGTTCCAGACTGTAGGACATGATATCATTCCTCTCTACGCGGAATGCATGTCGCTGCCTCTCTTCCGACGAGAAATACAAGGAGCTTCCATGTCAACTGGATCGGAATACACACCAAAGGATGGTGATGAGGTCGAAGACCTGTATCAATTACTGCATCAAGTCAAGCTCGAACTGAATGTGGATGGTGTCACGTCTGGTGCTATACTGAGCAATTATCAGAGAGTGAGGGTTGAAGGAGTGTAAGTCTCTGACATGGCAGTTGCCAAATAAAAGCCGAAGTGACAGGATTGTCATCCTGTTTAGATGCTCAAGACTGGACCTCACTTCATATGCGTACTTGTGGAGGCGTGATCAACAGGAGCTGCTTGGTGATATGGTTGCCGCTGGGATGGAGTGTGTTTTGGTCAAAGTTGCTGCTATGGGTAACGTCCAAAGGACAACTTTAGGCTTTTTTGTCCTCTAAGTTTATGGAAAAGTATCTAATCGATTTCAATCGTTATCGCTTTAAGGCTTGGATACCCGGCATCTAGGCAAGTCGCTACGGGAACTACAGAGCCATTTTGTGAATATGGTGAGCACTCAAAAAGCCAGTCCGATTCCTGGTCAATCGATTGCTCGAAATCATGGACTCATCTCTTCCACAATGTAGCACGCTCGTTATGACATGCACATATGTGGAGAAGGTGGTGAATACGAAACCATTACTCTTGACATGCCGCTCTTTTCGAAACGGATTGTGCTGTAAGCTTCGAGGCCCTTTCCCAATAACGATTTGGTTGTATTGACTTTTTTCGCACTTCACGATAGAGATGAGACAGCTGTGGTTATACACTCTGATGACGCATTTGCTCCTGTCGCGTACCTGAAATGCAAACGGGCACATGTTGAGGAGAAGCAGACGTTTGGGCTTACGAGTGAGCTTAGGGAGCAGATACTTAATGCAGCGCTTTCAGTACAGGCTGTAGATGTTAGACATAATGAGGCTGATGCAGAGGTAAAGCTGATGCCCAGTCCGGGAGTTCGCTTCTTTTTGCTCACCCCACTCTCATATCCTTAGCCACCTAGTAATACATCATATATAACCATCCCCGTCACACCAACAGTAAATTCGATACACCCATATCTTGCAATCGGCCAAGTGACACCTTCTTCCGAGACGGGGACAATAGACGACCAAGTGGACGATGTGATGTCGACCGTCACCACTCTGCTCAGCAAAGACGATTTGACCTTCCAGCATGTCGTGTTGATGCACGTGTTTGTGAAGGATTTGAGTGTGTTTGCACGTATGAATGCTGTGTATAAAAAGTACTTTGGGATTAACCCGTCTCCAAGGTATATCCCGACTCCAACATATGTTTTTTTGGTCCTGGCTAAAACGCAATCATTTCTAGAGTAACGGTTCAAGGCATCTTGGCCGACGGTAAATCAATCCAGATCGATTGTCTCGCTGTCACCAAGCTGGAGCACCGAGATAGTATGCATGTGCAAAGTATCTCGTACTGGGCACCTGCGAATGTGGGGTAAGTGTCAGGTTCTGGCCATGTAGGCGCAACGTCTGTCATCGCTTTTTTGCTCATGCTTCAAGCGTTGCGTCTTTTTCGTAGACCATATAGCCAAGCTACACAAATAGACGACACCATTTACATCGCCGGCCAAATTGGTTTAACGCCTCATACTATGACACTACCGGCATCGCTCCATCAAGAATGTCTTCAAGTAGTCCAGAATCTGAAATCAGTGGTTAGTGCCATGAACTCGTCGCTAGAAAAAGATGTAGTATGGCGTGTGGTATACGTTACGAAGTTCGAGTATATCACGTCTATTAAACCATTAATGGAGAATGAAGAGGTGCCTACTTGCTATTTGGTGGTAGATGTATTGCCACGAGATTGTCGTGTCGAGATACAGGCCATTTGTCAGAAGCCGTATGTTCGAGAGGATGAGGACGAAGAAGACAGTAGTGTTGTTATGAATGCTTATTCAGGTAAGATTGAATTTTCATCCAAGATTAAGAAAATGATTGGAACCGAAACTACACTTTCGTAGACGAAACCATTAAAGGACACGGATGCACACTAACTATCTCAGTAAAGCAATGTGGTAAAGTAGTGGTCGCTTTTGGATTTATTCGAGGTATGTGTTCAGATACATACCAAGTCTGTAAAGCTCTAAAAATTCAAATTTGAACTAGATGGTGATGGTGGTGAGCGCGTCTCTGAGCTCTTGTCAACACTGGACGCCAAACTCCAACATGCTAATGGAAGGCCGATATTCTCTCGAGTATTTTGTAAGCCTGATATTATGAGTGCGGTGTGTCAAGCTTGTCAAGCAGCTTCATCAGGTGGTGGCAGTGTTTCAGTGGTTGGAGTACAAGAAGTAGCTGATCAAAAGGGAATACGTGCTGAGGTCTGCATTTGCGTATACGGCCGTGTCTTGTAACATTCCTCATACTCTCTCATTTTGCTGGAAGTTGGTTCGTAATTTATTGTTGAAAAATACATGTTTCGTGGTAGGGCACGACGATGCTTGTGAATGGACGCGTCGATAAGGAGAAGATCCTTTCAGGAGCATGATAGGCATAATTAGGTCTAAGATTCAATCGAATCCCTGTTTAAAAATACCCGACTATTTTTAAGATTCATGCGAACGCGGTGCCAGATCAAACATTTCTCTCTTTCCTCCCTGTTACCACACTCGATAAACAACAAGAACAGCTCGGAACTAGAGTACGAATCTTATATTCCTGTTAATTTACATCGTAAGTCATCATTGCAATGCCTGATACTGCCTGCATCGACCTTGTTTCTATTCCTTTCATGCTCTTGTTTTCCACCCAAAACAAGTTATTTCGCATTTGAATTCTGACTGCAACCGTTCTGTTATAGATAGACTTCTAAAATGAGAGAAATTGTACATCTTCAAACTGGAGTACGTATTATATTTATCGTTCTTGTTATCCTGCCGTTGTTCTTCTTGTTTTCGCTTGATCAACATCTCACACGTTTTTATCATTTTCTGAAGCAATGTGGTAACCAGGTAAAAACTGATATAATAAATGGATAAAGGAATTTAATACTAACTTTTATTATCATACGTAATGGTAAAAGATTGGTGCCAAGTTCTGGTAAGCTTCTGCTTCTGTATTTTATAAGCGCGTTTCAGTTGGGGAGGTTGAAAACGGTGGAATGACGACGGAGGGAGACCATCAAATGGGATTATTGCATCATTATTCCATGCTATGTACTGATACACATGGAATGGGATTGAATGAACATCGTATTCGGTGTCGGGAATGGGGTGGTTGGTTGGCTCGTTAATGCCGTGCAAAGTCGCATGCACAAAAAAATGGGAGCGATATGCTAAACACAATTTCAAACTCGTCCATAGGGAAGTGATCTCAGACGAACACGGTATTGACCCCACTGGTACATACCACGGAGACTCTGATCTCCAATTGGAACGGTACGTTACTATCAACATGGCAAGTTTTCGCATAAGCGCACCAAAAAAATCTCATTAACGGCCATAATCATTTGATAGTATCAACGTCTACTACAACGAAGCTACTGGTGGCAAATATGTCCCACGTGCTGTCCTTGTAGATTTGGAACCCGGTACCATGGACTCGGTCCGTGCAGGTCCATTCGGTCAACTCTTCCGTCCAGACAACTTTGTGTTTGGTCAATCCGGTGCTGGTAACAACTGGGCTAAAGGTCACTACACTGAAGGTGCTGAATTGGTCGACTCTGTATTGGATGTTGTCCGAAAGGAAGCCGAATCTTGTGATTGCCTACAAGGTTTCCAGATTACACACTCCCTTGGAGGTAAGTTTGTTGTGAGAACGTTGGCTATATTAGTTGTGTCAGCGAATAGATGTGTGAATAATGTCGGAGTACAATCTACTTCTCTTTACTGGCTGGTGCCTTTTTTTTGCACCGAACCTTCAATCTCTTTGAATCTCACCCAATATCTACTTCAAAATTAGGTGGTACTGGAGCTGGTATGGGTACCCTCTTGATCTCCAAGATCCGTGAAGAGTACCCAGACCGAATGATGTGTACCTTCTCCGTCGTCCCATCGCCCAAGGTGTCTGACACCGTAGTAGAACCATACAATGCCACTCTATCCGTACATCAATTGGTAGAAAACTCTGACGAGACCTTCTGTATTGATAACGAAGCCTTGTACGATATCTGTTTCCGAACCCTCAAACTCACCACCCCAACTTATGGTGACTTGAACCACTTGGTCTCCGCCGTTATGTCTGGTATTACCACTTGTTTACGATTCCCAGGTCAATTGAGTAAGTATGCGCAGATCCGTGGTGGTTACTTTTGGTTGCTTTGTTGCGAATGACCTCGTTGTTAATCATGACTTTTTTTCCCCAATTTAGACGCTGATCTTCGAAAATTGGCTGTAAACATGGTGCCATTCCCTCGTCTCCACTTCTTCATGGTCGGTTTTGCTCCATTGACATCTAGAGGATCTCAACAATACCGAGCCCTGACTGTCCCAGAACTCACCCAACAAATGTTTGACGCCAAAAACATGATGGCTGCTTCTGACCCACGTCACGGACGATACTTGACCGTAGCTGCCATGTTTAGAGGTCGTATGTCTATGAAGGAAGTTGACGAACAAATGCTCAACGTCCAAAATAAGAACTCTTCTTACTTTGTTGAATGGATTCCAAACAATGTCAAGACTGCCGTTTGTGACATTCCACCAAAGGGATTGAAGATGTCTGTTACTTTCATTGGTAACTCGACCGCCATCCAGGAACTCTTTAAACGTATCTCGGATCAATTCACTGCCATGTTCCGTCGTAAGGCTTTCTTGCATTGGTACACTGGTGAGGGTATGGATGAAATGGAATTCACTGAAGCTGAATCCAACATGAATGGTACGTTGTGCACTCTGAAAGTGGTGATTTTTTGGGGCACGATATTAAGACGCCAACATATACTTACCAAACCCCCCAATAGACTTGGTCTCTGAATACCAGCAGTATCAAGACGCCACCGCTGAAGGTTCGTGGGATCCGTTCCTTGTAGTCGTTCTTTCAAAAATGCTAATTTGTCTCTTTTTTGTTTTTGTAGAAGGTTCGCAGTCCCTCCACATCTGTTTCTAATTTGTGTTTATCGATCTATTCTAATCACATTCTTTAATTTACGTAGAAGGCGAATTCGAAGAAGGCGAAGGTGAAGCCGCTGAAGGCGAAGTGAGTACCAGCTGAAATTCATCGTTGTGGTCGTTAAGTCTTCAAAATCTTTCCTGACTGGATCTGACAAACAACATTTTCTTCAAATTCTTTAGGCCGCATAAATATAGTTGTAGGACCAGATATGTAGATCATGTCTATATTCAATGTCTCTAAAATACATTACAGCTGATAAATTAAAAAATGCAATCGTTCTGGGCGTCCCTTCGTTTGAGAGCAGACGAGGCAACAAAAATGGATGTAAGCGACCCTCCCATCGAAGGTCCTGAAATCAGGAAATGGACCGAATCCGCAATCCCAACTACCACGAGGAACGAAACGGTGGAGTGGTAAGGACTCATCATCAGGTTTTCGACGTGTTCGGTGTTTTTCGAAACAAGCGTGATTCTGATGGCTGTTTTATATGCGATCGGTTTACTTTTTTTAATACATTATATTTGCCGTACATGAATCTTGAATTGAACTCTTTCAACCTGGGAAAACAGCCCTCTTTAACCGCCAGTTTGGGTTGTGATGAATCACACTTGCCTTGTCAGCGCAGCAGGTTTCGCCTACCAATTTTTCTTTGTTGCCCAACTCACAAACCTGCAAATCACTACCAATAACGTGTTCCCTTCTATAGCATCTAGTATCACCGTTCCCCACTACTAGAATCTCACGTTTTCTTAGTGATTTACCATCAGGTATTAACACGAGCAAGGGGTTTCCACAGCAGAGAGACAAAGGGCATTTGGGCGCTTGAAGATTGCAAATTTTCCCATTGTGTTTCTAATATCTCATTGTTAAAATTTGGTTGGTTATTTAGCAAGACAATGGCTCCTTACAGACTGGATCAACTATTGGCTAAATATGAATTGGGAGAGACGTTGGGAACGTATGTGTGCATTTTTGAGTTGCTTTTGATATTCAATTCGTTACTATGGGAGGCTTCTCAAGTCAGTTTGAGTCACAACCATCTACATCAAACACGTTGTTGATTGTGATTCACCCAAACACGAAAAGACGCAAACGTAACCCCCATTTGCTTAATACTTACAAAACTATTTCTTCTTTCTATAGTGGCGCGTTCTCAGAAGTGAAAACTGCAATTGAACGCTCGACCAAAAACCGTTTCGCAATCAAAATCATTGACAAGGCGAAATGTAAAGGCAAAGAATCCATGATTGAAACTGAAGTCAACATTCTCAAACGTGTTCGACATGATAATATCATTCAGTTGTATGAGATGTATGAGATTGATTCCAAGATTTATCTGGTTATGGAACTGTAAGTATCGTTGTTTATATTTTGCAGCATTTGGTTTTTTTGCTGTTGATTTGGAATACTTGAAGAGCAATGATATGACGGAATCTGATACCTTATTTGTTTTTCAGGGTCACTGGTGGTGAATTGTTCGACGACATTGTGTCGCGTGGGAAATACACTGAGGGTGATGCTGCCAAGATTGTATTCAAGATTTTGTTGGCTACCGACTACTTGCATTCGTTGGGGATTGCGCATCGTGATTTGAAGGTGCTCATTCTCACTTGATTCGCAGGATGTGTTCAGTTTTTTTGCTCATATACTCTCTTTGATTTGCAGCCTGAAAATCTGTTACTATCAGACAAGAGCAAGAATGCCAAGATTATGATTAGTGATTTCGGATTGTCCAAGATTTTTAATGATGATGAGTTGATGAGGACTGCGTGTGGGACTCCTGGTTATGTTGGTACGAGTACATTATGAAAGAGTTTCCCAATGCTTTTCGCAGCATCTCAAATCTTTGTGTTTCGTATTCATTAGCCCCAGAAGTACTGAAACGACAAGGATACAGCAAGGAGATTGACTTGTGGTCTCTTGGTGTCATTACTTACATCCTGTAAATTATGATGCAAGTACTGCCTTTTTTTTTCCTCAAAAGCGCCAACATTCCTCTTCTTCACAATAGCTTATCCGGCTACCCACCATTCTACGACCAAAACAATGTCGAACTGTTTAAGCAAATCATGGCCGGAAAATACGAATTCGATCGTCCATGGTGGGACAATGTTTCAGACTCTGCCAAGGATTTCATTCGTCATTTGCTTGTACTGGACCCCAAATCTCGATACACTGCTAAACAAGCACTCGCGCATCCATTCATTGTGGACAATTGTGGAACTGCAGAGCAGTATGAGGCTGCTGCTGCTACGCGACCTGTTGCAGGACCGCATGGCACACCGCCAAAAAACAATAGTCATAGTACATGGAAAGATGATGTTGACATGGCTGATGCTGAAATGCAGCATGCAGAGCAAGCTAATTTGGCACCTAATGTGCAGTCTAATTTGAATCGGGTTTATTCAAAGCCTTCTATGAAGGTAGTTGTTTCATACATTTGACTTTCACTTGAAAAGATTGATTACTGACATGTCTTTTTATTATAGAATGTAAACGAAGTAACAGGTAAGAAGAAGAAAACACTCGTTGATGACCATCGTTTGTTGAGACGATTTTCGTTTTCGCAGAAGGACGCCCACTGAGTGAAAAGCGACACTCTATAGATGATTCTGGATACGTAAACTCTCGTGAATCTGTTTCTCCCCAACCACAGTCACCTCCTCAACAACCTCAACAGCCATACCAACAACCACAGCAGCAAAGTCACCAGCAAACACAACAGCAGCAACATCACCAGCAACAACAGCACCAGCAGTATTCTTCTCAGTCTGGTGAGTTGCTTGAAACTTGACGGGTGATAGTTAAATCAGTTGGAACTAATCGATTCCCAAGAAGTAGGAGGAACGAAAACAGGAATGTGGACTCGTTTGTTTGCCAGAAAGTGAAAAGTCAACAGTGTCAGTCTAGACAAACTCTCGTTTAAAACCCACAAAACCAAAAAAAAATCCAAGTTTCAGTTAGTTTAAGTCCTTGTCTGAGTGCGGGACTTTTTGACATTAGCCACACCAAATGGAAAAGAAAAAGACCTTTTTTAGAGTATACATTCTTGTTCTTTTTTAACTAGTTCTAAATACACAATACCAGATTTGATACCCATAGCTCTGAGCAGGCTTTTCTGTTTGAAAAGGTTGCGAGTTGGTTGATAGTTTCACATCGTTGGGAGCTGTCTAAGAAGCAATTTAATTCTGCATGTAGTTGACATGTCAACCCTGTTGTCGGGTAGTTGAACAGCGTTCAATGTTCAGTTCAGTGAGTGCATCAGCTGGACGCAAAGTCACATTGATCCATCAATACGTCGATCCGTCTCAAACCAACCAAAAAATAAGAATTTGTACCTCAATATCTGGGTGCGAGGGCGTTTCAGACTGCCTCGTAGACCAGCCTCTTGTCATTCTCAGAAAGTGCGTGCTGTGTGGTTTCTTGACGAATTTCGTTGACATTTCATGTCGTGAAATCTCAAGTAACCTCGACCTTCAGATATCAAAGATGTACTGTGAAGCTATTTATTACGCCTACTTCCTGTTGTCGGTCTGAGGAAACTGTAAGGTTTTGTGCAGTTGTTGCAATGGCTGTCGCCGGTGGAGTGGAGTTTGAGGAAGACAGCAGTGACAAAATTGATGATAGCTTTTGTACACGAGCTCCATTTTGAAATACTCGCGTAAATGAATTGCAGAGTAACGCGAATTCACTTGACCTAACTGCTTCTGCCACTCCATCAAACTCTACGAATGAAACACTTTGCAACTGACAGGCAAGGAAATGCACCTTCTTCTGTGGCTATCGGGAGGTATATAGTACGTACAGACACTTCCAGTGTACATCGCAGTATGCCCCCTCGCTCCTTGCACATAATTCACACTCTTTCAACAAACGCCAGGTTGGTCAACAACTGTTTCGGACAAGACCGACGATAGGACTCGAGAAACATCGAGGTCTGTATACATCACATCGTGAGCTATCTCATCCTTGTCTTGATCTGTTGAAATGATGTCTACATCTATTGAAGGTTGACATCACATCTTCTTACTTGTTCCCCCGGCAACCTCAGCAGACCACGATACCCGCAGGACCTGGACAACATATGAAGGAATCAAGTGAATAGGGCCAATATAGTCCATGTCGGTGTACGATTTCGTATGTAACGTGCTGTTGTGGCGAATTGATCCCAAACAATTTCTTTACACAGTAAAAGGTTCTCTCCAAAGACGTTCAAGTGCATCACCAACTCCGCGCTCTGCTGATGCGGTTTCTTCCGAGATTCTCAAGTGTAACAGCAACTCCTCTATCGCTCTTCTATTCTAAACGGATCTCTTTAAGGGATGCCCATGTGCAACGCCAACTCGCGTACGCACAAGATCAATGTCAGGCACTTTCAGACGAGTCGAGGGAGAAATGGATGGTATTCATTCTGTGCTTGATGAGCGGTGGTGTGTTAAGGGAATTGAATTGCAATTCCAAACTGTCAACATCACGATTATCCGCGTTATTAATATCATTGGTATTCGGTTATCTGGAGACATGTCTTTTGTATTGAGTTGGGAGTAGAATGTTGCTCATGATTCACGCAAATATGTGCGAGACCTCCAGACTGCAAGTGAGTACATTGTCTGAATTCGACCTTGGATTTTCATTGAAGTGGCGTAATTTCTCACTTAGTTTAGTATCGGCACCCCTCTGCTTCCTTGATAACAACTCAACAATCGCAACAATCGCTTCACGCAAGTTTCTTGACAAGTAGAAAGAAGTGATACGAAAGAAAGGCTCAATAAGACGCGAATTTGGTACTTATCGCTCGGATTTAAAGTAGGAGAGCTCAAAGCGGAGTCGTGGTAAGTCGTGCCTTCTCATTTCATGCTCGCGTCGTTTTCTTAACTGTGCTATTTTGATCTAATACAGGTATGACACAGTGCGGCGGGAAAACGCATTTTAAGCTCAGATTTAAGCTGCCACTGCTGAACATGAAAAGATTGTTGAAGGACTAGAGGAATGCGGCCTCAACAACTTGAAAAAACAGGGAGACTGATTTGCTTTGTTAGAGGAATATGTCGGAAAAGCTACGGAAAATCTTGGCATGAACCTGCTACTCCTGCTCAAACAGGTGGTAATATATCATCTTGAAAAGCTAGTTTTGGTCATCGCGTGCCAGAGTGGAGCAAGCAGCTTGTCGCAGACTCTTTCGTCGCAGTCAAACTTGCTCAAGCTACACTTAAAGGAGTTTCTGCTTGTCTGAATTCGTGAGCCTCGCTGTATTGGCTGAACATGGAGGTGGGTAGCAATGACATCGCAGTCGATTCGCCTGTACTTGAATGTTGTTCAATATACGTGATTTCAAAGATCAAAAGATCAGTTATATAATTGCCTAGACGCGATACGCAACCGAAGCGAAGCATATTCGTACTTGGTGCATGTCAAAAAAAGTTCCGACACAACGAGACTTCATTCCAACCAAGAATCTCGACGCTGAATTTGAGCCTCTAGAAGCTAAGGTATTTTTAGCGATTGACGACCTGCATCGCGTATAGATTATAGTTATTCATCAGGTGAGTCTCGCTAAACTGGTCTGATCTTGAATTCGCATTGCTCTCTGCTGGGTTGCCAAAGTCAAGAGATTAGTCGTCAAAGTAGAGACAAGAGTAGATTAGAGCGCACTCTATACTCTTATTATCACGATTACGCTGTAGTGTATAGAGTGACTTCCAGCTCTTCATCACTGTGATCAGAATCAGGTACTAAATTTGGAGCGACTCCCTAAATGGATCATCAAACGTGGGGGAGACTGAAAATCAAGGAGGCATCAAATGCATTCGATGCATGTCTATATAGGAGATATCCTCCATTGATCAATTTCCGGACTCTGAATGAACAAATGCAACAGACATCTGATTCTCCCTCCCTTTTAGACACTGATATCAAAAAGGGTCGAATCCAAGTTTACCTATATATAAATCCGAGTTTAGAAGAATATTGGTGAGTGTGATGATATTTTGCCATTACTCTCTTGATTTGTCTTTAGCGGTGGTTCAATTACAATGTCACACTTATTGGGTCGACACGTGTGTTGGAGTAATCCATGAAGACCCACACCAAAGTCAAGGAGTAGTCTTGATATATGCATGAAATGAATATATCGAGTTACGTGAAGGCTTTCTAACACTTCTTCATCACATCCATAGTCAATATGGGAGATATCGCCGAACGCATTGCAGGAGCCAGGAAAGAGGCTGAAGTATTAAAAGAAAAGATCAAACAGAAGCGAGATGCTCTAGCCGATACAACACGTACGTTGCTGCTGTGATTTCGTTGTTGTAGTCTCATCACTCATAGTGACTAACACCGCCACTCACTCAACAACCCCACCATATATACAAACAACAGTAAAACAAGCAGCAGCAGACTTGGAGCTCTTACCACGTATCGTCATGAAAGTGCGTCGAACCCTCAAGGGCCACTTGGCCAAAATATATGCCATGCACTGGGCCAACGACAAGCGCCATCTAGTCTCTGCCTCTCAAGACGGTAAACTGATTGTCTGGGACGCATACACTACAAACAAGGTCCACGCCATCCCTCTCCGATCATCTTGGGTCATGACTTGCGCCTACGCACCATCTGGTAACTTTGTCGCTTGTGGTGGTCTCGACAATATTTGCTCTATATACAACCTAAAGACTAAAGAAGGAACAGTCAAAGTCGCTCGTGAATTGACTGCACATACGGGATACTTGTCGTGTTGTCGATTTATCTCGGATCGTCAGATTATTACCTCGTCTGGTGACATGTCTTGTATGTTGTGGGACATTGATGCGGGTATGAAGACTCTAGAGTTTACAGACCATACTGGTGATGTAATGAGCTTGTCGCTGAGCCCTGATAAAAACACGTTTGTATCGGGTGCTTGTGACTCGTCTGCCAAAGTATGGGATATAAGAACTGGTCGTTGCGTGCAAACGTTTACTGGTCATGAATCTGATATCAACGCTGTGCAGTAAGTGTCTTGGTATAGGATTTGATTGTCGTTTATAAGTGAATCTGGATGGGGTTCGTGGGCAAGAGGTTGTGTGTGTGTGGAAACGACTGAGTGTTTGAGTTTCATGTCGATCCAGATTCTTTTTTTTTCGCTCCACACTCAAAAATGATTCTAACACACTCTATCATTTCCAGATTCTTCCCCAACGGAGACGCATTCTGTACTGGCTCAGATGACGCCTCTTGCCGTCTATTTGACTTGCGTGCAGACCGAGAAATGAACCAATACACCCACGACAACATTCTCTGCGGAATCACTTCAGTGGCCTTCTCCATCTCTGGTCGTCTCCTCTTCGCTGGATATGAAGACTTTAATTGCAATGTTTGGGATACTCTAAAGGGAGAACGTGTTGGTATCTTGGCAGCTCACGAAAACAGAGTTTCTTGCTTGGGTATCTCTAGTGATGGAATGGCCCTTTGCACTGGTTCATGGGACTCGCTGCTCAAGGTATGTCGTGTGGTTGGGGGTGGTGTTGAGCGGTGGTGATGAAGAGTGCTTATGTGGTTGCTTTCATCTTTCCATTTCCATCCATCTGACTTTTTTTCGCACATCGTAGATCTGGGCTTAATCTTCACCGACACAGACCACTCATCCGCACAAAGCTAATTGTTTGTTTTCATTTTGCATCTCCCTCTTAAAAAAAACTCTTCCCAAACCCATATCAAACTTCTACTCTCGGCTTGTTTGTGTGTCTTGTAATCGTATCATATGTATAAAACGGGGAAATGTAAAAAGCCTTCTTTTAAACACTAATCTTATAAAAAACTCATCATTGTCTCAAAACTGATCTGTTTTATTGTTTCTTGCAAAATGGGTGTTATACTTGAGGTTTTACAGTGTGTTGGGAGACAAAAGACTTGCAGATAAGTGTCGTCTATCACCTTCGAGGCCGTCCAGAACTAGCAGGTCCTCGCTGACCTGACAAATCTAAGCCTGTCTTCTTGCTCTGATTCCCCATTTCGTATGAAGCAAGACGACTCGGCTGTATTGTTGATGGTCTAGCTGGACCATTACCAATAGCACCACCACCATTGCTTGTAGCCGTACTACGTGGCCATACTTTACTACCACCACCATTTGGCTGTGATGTTTGCTTTTGCAGTTTCTCAGCAGCCTTCTTTTCACGTTGTCGTTGCTTCTTCTCGGCTTTTTTACGTTTACGTTCTTCTTCGGCTGCTACTTCTTCTGCAGTCATCGGTTCTTGTTTTGTTGTAGCAGTAGTACCATTATTAGATGAGTTTATAGGTGATGGAGATGATATTGATTGTGGTGCGTCAGTGGGATGTATCTTGGCCTTCTTTTGCTTTGTCTTGACTTCTTTCACTACTGCAGTTTCAGGTTGTACTACTATATCTTGACTCATTGCGTCTACTTTTTTACTCTTCTTCTTCTTTTTAGGCTTTTCGCCATTCTGTTCTACTACTGCTGGCACTACTGTTTCTTCTAGATCACTATCATTAGTAGAAGACTCTGGCCTCTTCAACAGCTCAACAGCCTCTTCAAGGCCTCCCTCTTTGAGTTTAGCAACAACACTATCCCTAAACTCTCGTATCCTCTTTCGTCGATTCTTGCGATACTTTAATTTATCTCGTTCTACTGCTTCTTGTTTACGGAAGGGAGCAATCTTCTTTAAAGAGTAGAGACTGTTTAGGTCTTTGTCGTCGGCGAGGAGGATGTCGGCGGATGTGAGACCGTATGATTCTGGAGATACTTGGCGGTATTTGAACCGGGTTGGTAGATCACCAATCTATTTGTTCAGGTAAAAAATTCAGACGGGGTAATATGCGACGACGAAAAATAATAATTGACGAACAGGTTGTGAATGTAAACATACCATGTCTTCATAATCCAATTGGTAGTACTCATCCAAGTACTCATCAAACTTCACCTTTGGTTTCTTGGCTTTTCCTGATATACTGGTACTAGTCGCACCTTCCGGTACAGCGACTTCAGTATCCTGATATGTCGCTTCATCTTCATATCCACCATCTCCTGCCATATCATCAACTTGCATACTATTATCGTCGTCGTTTGCGATTGGAGCATATGCTTCTCCATCGTCTTCTTCCAAGTCACGTCGCTTACGTTTCTTGTCTCCTTTACGGGATTTTTTTCGTGATGAGGTATCTGCCGGTGGTACGATATCGCTTATATCAATGTCATCGTCGAATTTAGGTTTCTTGGAATCGACCTTCTATTATGTGGTGCATGTTAGTCTTCGACTGCGAAAAAAATTCTGTTGGGCCTCGAGGAAGACTCACCGAGCCATCATAGTAAGCATCACTAAACAATGCCTCCATCTTTCGATCATGCTCTTCAGGATCGAAATCAGCTTCCAAATCAACATCATCCAATCCAGCGACTAAGAAATTGTCACCACTACTATTCCCACTCGGATCATCCAATCCAGCAATCTCTTGTATCTTTTTCAATCGATCCCAGATTTCTTGCTTTTTAAGATTCTTGAGCCGCTTCAGTTCTTCAGCTTTACGTATCTTGTCTTCTTCTTCTCGTTGGGCTTTAGCTTCACGTTGGCGCTTTCGAGCATCGTTAGTTCGACGAACTGAGCCTTCTACTTTTCGGGAATATGTGGTTACTTCGTTGGCTCCCCTAAGAGAGATGCAAGGTGAGTACCGTTCGTTTTTTGGCTTCTGAAGTATTGAAAGCGACAACACTTACTCTTCCTCGAATCTGAAGTTATACTTGGTCTCAAACTCATCTGCAGCTTCAACAGCTTCTTCATCTGACTCGTCATGATGTTCAGCGACGATTTCATCGTATGTTGGAATCTTTTTCTTGTCTTTTTCAACCCAACCACGACTGAGAACGTATCTGCCAAAACAACTGCAGTCAGTTCCGTACTTCAAATCGAAAGCCTAAGTTCCAATGTGACTCACTCCATAAGAAACGACTCATTAGGATCTGAAATTGTCTTTTCATGATCCTTCCATTGTGATAGATCATCATGGCCCTCCTATAACGTTGAAAGTTGAGTGCCATGTGAGATGTGGCCAGCGTCTTTTTTGGTTTGAAGCTTACAGAATGTAAAGTATCCATCAAAAATGCCCTATACTGCTCTTCTTCATCTGCTACCTCCTCTAGCGTCTTTTCACGTCTGACGAAAAGATCACCGTCGTCATCGTCTTGAGCGGATGCATTCTTGATTGCAGACTAGATGAAATAATTGTAAATTTCAGAAATGAAAAAAGTGCTAGCGGAATATTGAACTATTGAGGCAGGTTAACTCTCTTACTTTGAACTCATCCTTGATTTTCTGCTGTTCTTCGACATGTGTCAAGTCCGTCATGTCGACATCTTCATCATTTTCTGGCTCATCGCCATCGAAATGTTTGCCCTCGGCGATAGCTTTGAGCCTGAGACGGTTGTAGTCTCGAATTGTCATTGACTTTCGTTCTGTCTGTTGGTAGCAAAACAAAACTGTCATTCAATATCCTGATTGTAAACGCCGATTATTCAAGTGGACTCACTCCTTTCGATTTAAGTTTATCCTGCCAAAGCTTTTGAGCTTCTTCAAGTTTCTCTTCTACAAGAGCGAAACAACCGGGTTATCGTATTGTTGGATCAACAACCCCAAACTCCAATGATACATACCATCAAAGAACTTGTTTTCCGGCTCATAGACTTTGGGATCCTTTGCTTGGATCATGGCAATAGTCTTTAGGATTTGAGCGTCGATGGGAGGGGTCACAAGCTCTCCTTCCTCATCTTCGACTTCATCGTCTTCCGAGTCTGTCTCCTCGTCTTCGTCGTTGATAGGCACATCTCCATACTTGTCTCGTACTAATTTAGTGTGTGTTGGAGTTAGCGCACGTAGGAGATCTAGCTGGACTGTCTTTTTTTTGCAGTTTTGATGTAGCAAAGAAACACGAATACAAAGCAATAACAACATAAACAAAAGCGTAGATCATCATAAAATACAGTTTCAAACAGATTCTTTCCCTTCTTAAAGCATACTACACTTACATTGACTCAATTCCTCATACTTTTTCTTTGCTTCGTATTTCTGAGCAAACTTTTGATTGATTCGAAGGGAGAACGTGTCGTCTCCACCTTGACCGTCATCAAGAGCATCGAATAGCTTGTCTCCTGTCATCCTAAGAGTTCAAACGAATGAGCTTTGGGAAGAAAGGCGTTGATTCAAGGTTGGTACTTTTGAACTTGCTTCTTGCACAGTTATTGAGGGAATGGACGGGGCAAATGGACGATTTCATTCTTTACATACCCTGCTAACAGATCTCATTCCGTATTAGTGTCGTCCATCCTCCTTTCATGCTTGTTGAATGCACATCAGCAACACGCAGCAGGTTCCAATTCGCATTCTTCTTGCTGGATGGAGGAGCGCTAATCAACCGGATTCAGTAAAATTCATGTTTATTCAGTACTAGCTATATGAATTCCTCGTCAAGATTCATCATCCACTTCATGATGGTTCAGTGTCGTCTTCATTGATCCTTCTGGAACAACGCCAGTTCTAGCTATACGTGCTTGCTGGTCCTTTCACTGGGCTCTATCGAGTGGCATTGACCATTCGCAAGAGTGCATCTCTGTTATTCGAGCTTGCTTTCACGAGCTGGTATGTGTAGCAGCTTCAACAAACTCTGATGACTTGGTTCTCATCAAGCCTTCTCCATTCATTAGGTCATCTACATGGTGCTGGTAGTTGCCAGAAGCTCGTTGTAGTCTTCAAAATCTTGTTTGGTCATCATACCACAGCTCACTTTGCAGTTTGCAAACAAATCTTGTGGCCACTTAGACCCACCGCACGGCACGACCCTGATTGGACCAGTAGATGTTCCACTATGGTTTAAGCCTTGATTGTTAATAGACTACAATCACGGACAACTTTGAAGATTGGGGATTGACGGCGTCAAACATGTCTTTACACATTCTTTCAATCAAGGAACGCGCTGCAGGCATTGACAGTCTGCGATGCCACTCAGACCACTGCTTCTTGTTGTCACAACTTTTTAGTTAAATGTCTGAGTGTTTTGTGAATATGGTCACCGCAGTTAACTTGTTTGGAGAGGCTGTATCCACTGACGGCCGCTGCTGTTGATTCAATGGTGTCCAAGTCATCACGTCCATTCTGTTTTCGAACAGGCTGGCGTATTGCTGAAATATTGCCGTCTCGGTCTGAACTTCTGGGCAAAGTATGGTGGGGCTTCATCGTGCAGTCTTGTTTCTACCGACAAGTTGGTCGAGTCTCTTACAATAGCCGTTGCAACTGAATCGAGTGACCATGCCCGAGATGCCCTCCCAGAGAGTCTCGTCCACAGGGAGCTAAGCTCGTTACTTTTCAATGAGATATTATGATTCCTGACTGTTTGGATTGACACAACATGAAGCCACCGAAAGCCCTGTTTGTTCTTCCCGGTATGCCTCCCCTCCAATCATACATTCTTTGGCGACAATGAGTTGTATTGACGGTCACGTAGTGATAGCACTACGCAGAAGTATCTCGCCCATTATGTTTTCGAACAGCGTCGCGGATATCCAATACACTCCTTGTCGTATCGACGGCCGCATAATGATAGCTTGAATCACTACGCTGACAATGTACGTCCAGCATGTTCTTGAACAGAATGGCGTGCTCTTAATTTCCCAATGCTCTCTTTTGTATATTGATGGTCACGTAGTTAACTTGACTTACTATGCCGATATAGTACGCCCAGTGTGTTCGCGAACAGAATGGCGTGCTCCCAGTGCTCTCATTGAGAGTACGGATGGCCACATAGTCGATATCATGAATCACATTGCTGATATAGCACGTCCAGTACACAGAATGACGCTACATCCAACACACTCTATGGACTCGTATTTACGGTCCCGTAGTAACATTACAACGCTGAACTATTACGCCCAGTATGTTTACAGAACCGCGGATGCCCAATACACTCCTTGGAGTTAAATTGACGGTCTCTTAGTGATATCGTGAATCACGATCCTGAAATGGTACGCCCAGTATGTGTTTGAACGAACAGAATGGCGATACATCCAATACAGTCTTTGGAGTCGTATTGACGGTTCCATTGAGCTTGGAGGTGTTGGTGTCTGGTATCTCTTTTGTCTTAGGTTTCTAGCAACAGTCGGCAGACGTCTATCCACGATCTCCACATGAATTGTAAGCAGGTATCCTTGGCTGAGATGCTACCGCGCAAGTGTAAATGTGTTAGCAATGGTTGGCCGCCATGGTTGTAGTCCTGCTTCTCGTTATGTGGTAATTCGTCAGTCTTCTGACGGCTGGGGCTGTTTGCGGAAGGTCAAAACACTATGTTAGCCATCATGAATTCACATTGCCGTTCCGTTATGCTCTTAACAGAATGGCATCTCCGTTGATTTCATCTATATATTCTCATGCAGTACGTTCAATTTGGTCGAACAGACAAGCTTCGTGATGTAATTAACCTCTCTTATCTCATTTGGTCTCGCAGGGCAAAACGGAAACACACATGTAATGTCTGTGCCAACTCAGCATCAAAAAACCTGAGTGGATTAGTGGAAGTCCCACTATGGTTTTTGGCTTGGAGATATTGCTTCACGCGAATGATGAACTTATGCTCATTCCAAGACGTCCAAGATTAGATTATATGTCTATATGATTATTTGTACATTGGTTGATATTATAATATGTATCCTTCCTCAAAAATAAATTAACGACTTTTTTCAGCGTGTTTGGTATTTAACTTGCATCGCTCGATGCTCCTCCTGCGAAAAGCACGTGCATATGCGTTAGCCCTGCTTCGATGGGAAACTGTGCAATCCATGCATTTTCTTACCAACTGATAGTTCAAAAGGTTGAATCTTCCCATCACCAATCGATCATCCACATCATCCATGACATCGCAACCAGGTTCATAAGGCACGTCTCCATCAATATCATTCTTAGTAACCACCATTGCATCCGAAGTTTCAACCCCCATCGTATTCTGGTCACCACTCATCAGCCATCCAGGATTCCAATTATCTTCTGGAAGGACGGCTCCTTCGATAGCTGGACTGCCATTTATAGTACTGGTTGCTCCACTTATAAGAGCACCACCGGCTCTGTTGTATGGACTGGTGGCAGTCATAATCATATCGTCCGTAATGATCTTGTCAAGGAAGGCCGAAGCATCATCGAGAAGCCTCGGCTTTTCAATCTTTAAACTGCCGTGATTTACTGGGAGAGTACTGTTACTAACAGCGCCGGCACTGTCTGCAGCAGCAGCATTACCAGCAGTCGTAGCAACAGTATTTGTCGTAGTACGCGCAGAGTGCTCTACCCTTGGATTATCTTCAGACTTTGGCGCCATAGGAGGAGCCCAAAGAATTGGATCGATTGGTCTCCTGAACTGATACAAGAGCTGTTCAGATGCCCTTACAACATCCTTACGTGATTCGTTTTTAGCCAAAGACATTATGGACGCCAACGTCCGTTTGACACCATCCATATGATAGGCAAGCTCCATCATACGACGTGTCATCTTGTTGGTTACCTTTGCATCCTTGACCTTAACTACAGCAATCAAATTTTCGATATCCTTCCAACACTCATCAGCCTTTGCCAACTCTCTATTACAGTTATCGATACAAGCAAGCCGATCTTGACCAATCGACTCTCGTGCTTGCTTTAACAAGTCTTTTGCCTTTGATCGGTGATGTTCATAATCGGATCTCAGTAATCCTGCCCTTTTTCTAGTTACTGGGTCTGAAAATACGTGGCTGGGAAATGGCATCACTATCGGCAATTCTGGCATCAAATTATCCTCGTCATTCAATGCTACTATTGCTGCAGTGGTTCCTTCAATTGTTGCTGTAGCAACCATTGGAGTGGGCGCCTGGTCTTCATCTCTGGCAGATAGTGGCTTTGATCCCTCTCTCGCAGATGATGGGATTGATACATCGGGCGATACCATAAACGGAATACTGGGTGATACAGTATATTGTCCTGGCGAAGAGTTGCCGTTCCGAATAAGCAGTCGAGGCGATGGAGGTCTGGCACCAATTGATAGTGAGGGACTAGGCGATTGTCTGTAATAACTCAATTCCTTTGTTTCGATGGATCTGCTCATTCTAGATGAATGGTCTTTATGTCTCTTGTATTCTGCTGGTGGTTCAGAGTCCTCCATCATACTACTGAACAGTTTGTGTCATTCTTGAAGGCTTCAAGGTCTGAAATAACCAACACACATACCGCTTTCTATCAGTGTATCGCACAGGGCTCCTATTCCTATAAGGCAGCGGCATTGACATTGGCATTGGTGGCGGCGGTGGAGTTGGAGGTAAAGGATGATGTCGATCATGTCTTGATGGTCATGATGTATTTTAGTACTTCATCAACAGCAGACACCAGGGCTTTGTAAAATCATTGCATAAATGCATGACACTTACGGCCAGCCTGTATAATTCCGGTCTTGAGGCTCATACTGTGCTTCATACATGTCGTATGGTCCTCTTGCCCTTGGTGGCGGAGACCTGGACGGTGGCAAAGAATGCGACCTTGCGCTAGAAAGATTGCAAACAAAATGTTGGTTATTGTCTTGTTCCATGCATATGTTAAAACAAAGCGATTGTTGAGTGCAGAAGTTCGTGACAGAATTGTAATCAACATCTTCGTCAATACATCACATTACAAGCATTAAGGGTGCAATGTACTTACTATGGGTGTTCGTATGGTCTATCTGATAGTTGATGGGATCTTTGAATGAATTCGCCTCTTCTAAGACTTAATGAATCGAGTGGCGGGCGATGCTCATCGTATACCGGGCCGCCAGGACCAGGAGGCATCTGGAAGTATTGTCTGGAATGATAATCGTATGCATCCGTCATCATTCGATTTCCCCACATGTTGTCGCAAAGATTGGGCGTTTGAGATCAATGTGTTGATGTCCCGTTCTGCGATGATGAGAGCAGTTCCGACCTTGAAGAGGGATGTCAATTGTGCTGATCGGATTACGATTATTGATCGGCACCATGTATAGCACTCAGGAGCTCAGATGAATGAATGATAAACTGGTGGGAAAAAGAGAACTTGTCTTGACTTCATCTTGTTGTCCAAGCGCAGGACCTGGCATAGAACGAAGGAAACAAAAGACGCGTCTTTTGCACGTATGAAACATCAGTCCAATGGCCTACGGCTTACACGGTTATACGTCAGATTTTATACAAAGCTTCTTATATATTCTACCTGTTCTAGCAAAACGGCCAACAGCAGAGCCAACTATCGACAAACGCTTTTGTTCTATTTCTTCTGGGCTTCTCCGTCCAACGTCCAACTATTTGGACGACCAGTTTTCGGTAGCGGCTCTCTAGATGAGCAGTGTTCTCCTGCGAGTCACACACCGTCCAACCAACTCTACTTTTATCGAGCACCACGTATTTAGAGTACTCGTCGAAGAGATCGACTGGTTTCGGTGCTGTAAGGTTGAGTGCTGATGATGTGGTTGCTTGGGTGGGTACACCGATGAGTTTACTACAAGTCGGTGAGAAGGTGACTGTCCCAAATACATCAACAGTACACGATTTGCTGCTAGCCCTAGCTCTGTTGGCTGACGCCTCCAAAATATCATCACCAGAAATCGATTGTTGGGCCGATAGATCGAGTTTGAGTAGCCGTAGATGCGCCAAAGTTGTGAGCATACCAAGCACAGCTTTGCTATCTATATCCGACAACACACCGAGCTCGAGATGCCTAAGATTCGTGCAGAAGTTTACCAGGCCATAAATTCGACCCCGCATCATCATACGAGCGTCCCTCTCAGAATCGTCAATTGTCAATGAATGCAATTCACGTCCACATTGTGGTGTCCACGTTTTTAGACCATAAAGATCACTGACATTACCATAAATGTACGTCCGTTAAAGAGTCCGTGGTCTTTGATTCCACGAGCTGCGAGCGTCAACGATACCACAGTTCCCGTAGATTGCTACAGTATAACCAATAAGTCTTCCAGCAGATAGTAACTTGGGTTCAACGACAAGCTTGTCAGTTGAACCTCGTGTGTTAGTTTTAGACTGGAGAGTTCCCATACATGAAATTCATAGCTATGCACCAAAGAAAGGCGCTACAGAGCTTTCAGATCTCGAAGCCAGTCAATACGGCATCCTGCGTGCATGTCTAGTTCTGTCACGGTGTCTGACGTGCTCTTCAATATATCCTTGGCGAGCTAAATACATTCGGTTTCGGTGGGGTAGAGGAGTAATCTGAATGCTTTCAGATTGTGGTTTGAGAGACACGAGGTCTTGACGACACGATCCTTTGTATAGATAGAGACTCTCCAATCTACTGTCATGTCCTGCATTCGGGATGTGCTGCTAAAAACTCCATCAACTGGCCCTCGGCGATATCGTCGAAACGATTCCCAAGCGCAATTGCTCGTAGTGTGGGATTGCTCAGCCAGTCCGGTGACAGCATATAGACTGGTTTGGAACTGCTAGATCGAGTGGTGTTGAGTTTTACTGTTGGTACTGCTAGACCGATCCGTTTACTACATGCTGGTGAGAAGACTTCTGTTGCAGACACATCCAGAATACATGATTTCATATTGGACCTATCTTATTGGTGGAAGCTTCCAAGAGATCATCACCCAATATCCGTTGATCAGGCATGAGGAAGAGTTGGAGGGGAGGTACGGGTAGTGAGCATACGAGTGATCGTTTAACGACTGCAACAACGAATTGCAGTAGCAGTTTACAAGAATAGAAATGAAAAAATCGTTCAAATACAGTATTTGATTCCGTATCAAGTATTCCGTCTTTGCCATTCTCTTGTGAGGATCTCTTCAATGCATGACTTCTTTCTCAGCCCACTTACAGTACCCGCCGTCGACACAAACCAGGCCGCACCTCCGATTATAGTGACCGCCAGCATCTCATTTCCTGCCCGCCAGGATCTCGTTTTCGTGCAGTGCCGTTGTCAGCCTCGAAACCTCTATGTTTTGACGTTTTGGACATTTGTGACGTCGCAACAGAGACAATGGACGCGACTGAACTACTAAATTATTCATATTAATACTAAATGTGAACATTATATCGTACCAATCAATTGTATCTACCCATCGAATCCGACTCTACCAGCGACTCTAGCTTTACCACTCCTTTTTTCTTCGACCTTACATCTCTTCCAAAAAAACAGTTGGAACTAGACAAGCTCTCAAGATGACTGCCGAAGTAGATAGCATCACTCATCCAAACATCACTGATGGGTGGTTTACTGAAACTGCTGCCATGTGGCCTGGTCAAGGTACCGTACAAGCTGAGCAGATACCTTTCATTTTTTTTTCTGACTTTTCCAAATCCAACTTACTAGCAATGAAGCTCCAAGTAACTGAAGTCCTGCATCATGAAAAGTCGGAATTCCAAGACGTTCTTGTCTTCCAATCCTCTCATCATGGGAATGTACTTGTCTTGGACGGTGTCATTCAAGCTACTGAACGAGATGAATTCGCGTGAGTATGAAGTACATGTTGCATACAATCCGAGATCATATTCATATACATAATCATACTACTAGGTATCAGGAGATGCTGGCTCATTTGCCTCTCAACTCGCATCCAAATCCACAAAAGGTATAAAGTGTTGCAACACTTCTGAATTCTCGTCTTCTTTTCTGTTTTGGTTTGATGATGACTGCTTTGCCGCCCCAGGCGGAATTCATAATGACTGAGAAACTTGCAAGCGAATAGCTGTGGGACCCCTCACGGCCTGAAAACCATTGAAAAAAAATGTGGCAAAAAAAAACCAACCAAATTTACCCTTCTTGTTCTCACCAACAACTACATCTCCTCTCTTGTACAGGTCCTAGTAATTGGAGGTGGTGATGGAGGAATCCTCCGCGAAGTCCTTAAACATCCCAGCATCGAGGAAGCCGTCCTCGTAGAAATCGACGAGGCTGTACCTCGAGTATCCAAGAAATTCCTACCATCCATGGCTGTCGGATTCGCACACCCAAAAGTCAAGGTCATTATCGGTGACGGCTTCCAATTCTTAAAGGACAATACGGGAGTCTACGATGTGGTCATTACTGACTCGTCGGATCCTGTTGGGCCAGCTGAATCGCTGTTCCAAGGTTCATTCTTCCAGTTGTTGAAGAATGCGTTGAGGCCTGGTGGGATCATAGCTACGCAAGGTATGAAGATGAAGCTGGATGCATTTTTTTGCCATTCGTTCTATGAAAGAGTCAATTAAGCAAAGATTACATCTGTTTTCATGCACCACTCCAAGACCTACGGGTCTATGAAGATTTGAACACCAATTTTCGTATATGAGCTTAGTGTTTGACCAAAACTTGTCTTACAAAATGGACATCTATGTGTGCTAACACATGTTGTTTTTGCACACTCGCTCACCTCTCCTTCCTTCATCACCTCACACTCACAGGTGAATGCCAGTGGCTCCATCTCCCGCTTATAAAGACCGTGATCTCCCAATGCAAGGAAATATACCCATCAGTCTCCTACGCATACGCATCTGTCCCCACTTACCCATGTGGACAAATAGGCTTCATCTTGGCATCAACCGAAAAAAAAGACTTTACCAAACCACTACGCAAATTCACACCTGAATTTGAACGGGATAAGTTACGTTATTACCATGCTCAGATGCACGAGGCTGCTTTTGTGCTGCCGCAGTTTGTTAGAGGTGCTTTAGAATTATGAGATATGAAGGAGGATAATTTAGGATGATTTATGCTGCTTTTGGTTGGGAAGGGCAACATTGGGAGATATATATAACTATGACTACTAGAACCCACAACAATGTAAAAAACGGATTAGATATGAAAATTGAATATACGTATACCCTCATACACACGAATATGAACTGTGCACACGAGTTTAAGATCACAGAAAAGTTTATATTTCTTAGTACGTCACATTTCCACAAACTTCTTTTTGTTTTACACAGTTCCAGGCGACAGAGAAGGAAACTCTTACAAGCAAATTGCACGCTTACAATTTGTAGTGACCTGTGGTAGAAAATTCTGTTAGCATGCAGCAAAAAACAACGCAACTAGGTGACTTATAAACCTACCTTTCTTCATTGAAAGCTCGTTCCACCAAGGCCTTGAATCATGGAAAAAGCCGTTTGTATATACATATGAAACGAAATCACCCAGATGATCATCACAACAAAACCACACTTACAACATCTTTGGCAAATCCTTTGAAATAACATTAGGCCACTTTGGCGATCTCTTTTCCAAGAACGCCTTAACACCTTCCTTTGAATCAGCTAACCAACAAAAACCAAGTCAGCCACCCAAACAGAAAAAACGATCACTGTTCTGAATAGAAGACTTCAACTCACCACTAGCACCCAAATGATACAACGCCATAGCCTCCAAATTCTCTTGCTGCTGCGGTGTAGGCTTCTGATGCCACAGCAAGGCCTTATTGACCGCATTCGACACCACACTGGTCTCTCTCGCAATCTCGTGTGCGATTTCAAGCGCTTTGGGAAGCACTTGGTCGTTCTTGTCGACGAGTTCTTCGAACAGGGGCTGGAGAGAGTTGTGCGAGGCGAGACGGATGTCGCCGCGGAGGACTATGCCGAGGGCGGCCGATTGCCCAACGAGACGGGTTAGGAAGTAGGAGCTTCCTGTGTGTGAAAGGTATGTTAGTGGACAAAACAAGGGGATGAAGGTGGTGCAGATTGGGGGTTTACCGGCTTCAGCATTGATTCCACGTCTGTTGAAGATGAATCCGACTTTGGTTTCCTTGGCGGCAATGCGCATGTCGAGGGGGAGGACCATTGTTATGCCGACTGGAATATAGAGATGGAGTATGAGTTCATATTCAACAAAAGAAAGAAAAGATGGACAGTATGATTACCGCCGATGGCAGGTCCATTCAATGCAGCGATGGTGACTTTACGGTTGTTGATTAGGTTTACGAGACCGGATCCGTCTCGTTCCAACATGGATTCTGTAAAGGAAAACGAGTGGAGACAATAAAATGTTATTGGAAGGTGGATGGTTCGGTTCTTTTGTCCTCTTTTGTGTAGTATGGCTATATTTACCTTCAGCAGTCTTTGGTGTGTTAAATGATGAGAAATCACCACCACCAGCTGAGAAATCGTATCCGGCACAGAATACACGTCCTGCGATAGAAAAAGCGAGAGATTAGAGTTAGGTTCCACTGATACATAGGGTGCGTCAACCTTCTTTTTGCAACAGTCAAAGGCTAAGAATACATACCTTTTCCGGTAAGCACACCAACACGGATCTGATCATCGATGTTGATCTTGTCAAAGAATTGGATGATTTCGATTCCCATGAGTGCTGTGTATCCATTCAGGCTACGAGTACAGAGAGAAAATGGTGTTGGTGATGCGTTGTAAATTGTCGAATACAGCTCTCGGCATTCATGGTATGGTTTCACGTAGAAGTAGGGAGTAGCGTGGTGCAGCTACGGTTAACGATAAACCAACCAAACTCTATTTCAATTTCGTGGGCGAATCACCACACTTGCACACCAGGCACCCAAAAGTCTCCTTCTAAACCACGTTAATATGAGCGTGATCCAACCGAACTTACGATTTCTCTCTGTTGAGGTATGCAATGGCTACAGGTCCATCAATACGAACTTCAATGTCTTTAAACTTGGAGTAGTCTTGTGTTGAGGTGTGCTGAGGGAGAGTGGCATGGTGGGCTTGCAGAGACATGGTTGGCACGAGTTCAGGCAGTCGATTCGATTTGCTCGTTGGTAGTTAGAAGCCTCAAACGAGATATTCGGGAAATGTGTTTGCAAAGTGGTACATGGCTCAATGGCAAACCCGAAAGCTGTGAAAGGCGCTCTTCTGCTTTTGAATCGAGTGCGTATCTATATGGCAAGTCGTTCAGATCATGTAGATGCAGTGTGGTATAACAAGTGAACGTTTGAGAATCAATACTCTATTTTCAAAAATCAAACCCTTTTATTCGTTTATCAAAAATCATACATAGCAAGGTACAAAAACACAACTCCAAAGCGACTCATAACAATATACGTCACTTGGAAAACACAAATCCAGCAACCTTGGTATATCGTTGCTTTTCAATTGAATCCGCTTCTCGACACATTTCACGAGCTCGTGCGATTGCTTTGCGTGTTGACTAATACAAGATCATTTAGTACACTTGCAAGCATGAAATCAATGTATATATATGCATTACCTCACGATCAAACGCAGTAGCAGGTTCTTGAAACTTGGGTCGATCAGCTTTCAATCCATGATGCACAGTTCCAAATCCATTGATCTTTGTATATCCTGCTGCTTGCTGGCGCTCTCGGAGGAGTCCCTCGTAGTATAGTTGGTGTGCTCGATCTATCGGTAATAGAGATGCTGTCAATGTCAAATGTGTCAAACTTGAAGTGACCGATCGGTATAAGTAAACGATACGGTAGAGATCAGGACAGCGTACTGATGGCTCTGATTGTTGAGTCTCGAGGAAATGTTGCTTCCATTTGTTGCTTTTGTTTGGATTCAAGTTTGGTAGTTGCTTGGTTGTGTCGGGAATTTTGGTGTGAAGGGAGTTGTGATTCAAAGAGGAATTTAAGATTGGGAGTGACAAGATGCGCGCGCGCTCAAGCTATATCTCCGAACAATAGAATCACTTCCGGCTCCATTTGTCGCGTGAAACCCCAGTCGCAGTCGATAAATAAGAAGTCGCAGCTATAACACAACTTGTTTTGTGTTTCAGTGTATAGACAAACACGATGGCTCTACCTTTTGTATCTCAGAGGTATGCACTTTCATGAACTTTACGTCTCTTTTAACTTACATTTGCTATTACAGTTATCGAGTTTGACACGAACATTAAACTCACGTTATTTTATCACAGTCACATATATGGCATAAACACACACGCAGCAGCGCCCATACACCGTCTCTCAAATGGCGGACCAGACATGATACTGTTCTATTCAGCAGGCTCGCAACTCGTAGTCCACAATTTGGAAACCAAGACGCAAAAGTTTATATCGTGTGGCAGTGACGGGGAAGTGATTACTGCTATTGGAGTATCTGCAAATGGTACTTATGCTGCTGCTGCATTGTCTAATGGGAATGGACCTGCTTCGATCCTTGTGTGTGATTTGACTACGATGAGGAAGAAGAAGATTGTGTATGCTGAGGCAGCTGTCAAGGTATATATCAGACGATTATGTGGAGGATTTGTTGTTACTACTGGAACCTGACAGTTTAATTGGATTTAGACTTTTATCTTTGTGGCATTCTCGGATGATGGAAAGTTGCTGCTAGCTCAAAGTGCTGGCCCAGAATGGTAATGGCCTTTGCACAGTTTTGGTGGTTGTTGTCAAATAGCTCACCGTTAGTACCCTAGGAATCTATACTGCTGGGCCTGGGAAAAACCCAAACTGATAACCTCCATCAAAACATCCACCCACACCGCAGTCCACGGCTCTGACGCCGATCTACGCCAAGCCGCCATAAACCCATTCGAATCTTCACTAACCCAAATCGCTATCTGTGGCGACCACCTCTTCCGAGTCTTTACACTCGTCGACTCACATTTCAAGATGACTGTACAACATAAACCCGACAAGAACCTGTTATGTCTGGCATGGTTGAGCGATACACGGATTGCGTGTGGGACAGACGATGGTCATGTACTGGTGTTTGAGGGTAATGATGTGCTGCTGGATTTACAGCCCACCATGCCGACTAATTTCAAGAGTGAAATACCTGTCAGTGTTACGGCGTTGGCTTCACATGGATTGGGACTTGCTGTTGGACTATCAACTGGACATTGTATATCGTATGACAAGAACGATAACGCCGAGTCTCTGTATGCGCAGTCACGGATTTACATCACCTCACCTTCACAACTTGTAAACTCGATATCTATTGGCCATTCAGAAGATTTAGCGGTCTGTATCGTGAACGATGGTGGTGTGTTTGAAGTGCCGTTGCTCGGTGAAGATCCACTGGAAGGTGTTGAGCTGCCTGCCACGAGAATGCTGCAGAGGTTTCATAGTGGTTCTGTTGTGGGGCTGGATGTATGTATTAGGAAGCCCATGTTTGTTACGTGTGGCACGGATAAGACTGCACGAGTTTGGAATTACTTGGAGGGTACTGTTGATGCAGTTGCAAATTTCGAGGAGGAGCCTACATGGTACGTTGTCCGACAATCAGTGTATATCGGTGTCATCATTTGAATTTTTGTTTTGGTGAGCTTGTCACACTCACCCACAGGATTTTTTCTAGTATCGCACTACACCCCTCAGGCCACTACATGTTCGTCGGATTCCCAGACTGCGTGCGAATGTTTAACGTCCTGTGCGACGATATTCGTCCCTTTTGGGAAAATCCAAGTGTCGGATGCCGTGAAGCCAGATTCTCACACGGAGGACAATTCTTTGCAATGTCTGTCGCTTCCGCAATTGAAATCCGATCTTCATGGACTTGTGAAGTTGTCATGACACTGACTGGTCATGAAGGCAGGATACGATCTATTACTTGGTCGGGAGACGACGCGAGACTGATTTCTACTGCCATGGATGGAAGTATTATTGAATGGAGTTTGCTGAATAGGAGTCGTGATAGTGGATGTGTGAGGACGTTTATTGCTGTGCCGAGCTCGGAGGTCCTGTATTCTTGTGTGTCGTATTCGCCGGATGAGAATAGTGTGTATGCTACGGCCAATGATGCGAGCTTCAAGGAGTTTTCAAGAGCTGGGTTGCTTGTGAGGGATGTGCCTATGAAGGTTTCGCTTACGCAAGGTCTTGAATTACGCATTGTTATTTGCTTTATTTTTTCGCCACTCACCAACTAGACTTTAACAACTCCCACAGTTCAACTTTCAAACTCTCGACGTATGCTCTTTACATCAACAGCAACAGGAGCTCTTCGAGCCCTCCGATTCCCACTGCCAGTCCCTAAACAAATAATCCACGCAAACGACGACGCTGCTTCTGAGACATCACCACAAGCCCTAGCACTACCTACTACATCAACCAATCCCACCATCCACACTCCAGCCACACAACCCCTGTCCGTTACAGCCCAAAATCACGGCAGCATCGTGCCACCAACCCCAGTATCCAAAGCACCACGTCAACCACAATCCCTCATCGTAAACAGGCAGGATATCGAGCATGTCGATCATGCTTCCCATTCTATTGGTGTTTCTAAACTACGATCATCATATGATGATGCATTCTTGTTTTCTGCTGGAGAAGACGGCTCAGTCATCGTATGGAAGGTTGTTGATAGGACTACGTTGCCGCCAGCCATGAAAGTGAAAGAGATGAAGGAGATGATTCTGGCCAAGAAGGAACCGGTGCTGGCGTATGGTGATGATGTTATGGTTACGAAATCGGATTTGAGGGAGATGGCGAAGGGGACTAGTGTGCTGAAGCAGCAGGTTGAGGTGAGTGAAAAAACAAGCACACATCTCGTGGTATGATCGTGGTTTGGTGGAACTGACATCGCATACTCATTTAGGATATTCGGAAATCAAATGAAGCTCGTCTCAAAGATCGAGACGATACGCAGACAGCGTCGTTGAAGGAGCTTACTGATAAGTTTGATGCGGAGTTTGTTGCTCTGAAAGAGGTACGCCCCAATTACACATCCATTTTGCCGTGAAGTTTGCAACTGACTCTTTGTTTTACTAGTTCTATGACTCTTTGATACGAGGACGAATAGAAAACCAGAGCAAGTTTGAAAGGCTTCTGGAAAAGATTCGTGAAAATGCTGCCAATACTCGTCAGGTATGAGCCAAAAAACGTTGGTATCCAATCTTGCATGTTGGATTACTATCACAGCATTTATCTGCTAACACAATCTCAAACATACAGGAAGCAATCAAATCTTTTGCAAAGCGAATGGAAATAGAAATCGAAAAGCAAAACGATATTCAAACCACAAGTCGTGAGGAGAAGCAAGCATGGGAGAAACAAATCAAGGAAGATGAATTGGAGTATTCCAAAACTTTTGAGCGTATACGAGAGCAGAATGAGGCTCGTATTGCTGAGAAGAGTGCAGATACTTTACGTGTAAGCATGATCGAACTTAATGTCAACGTAGTTTTTTTCTCCTCGCCGCTAGATTCACAACATACTGACAACAACCAATCTCAACCACACCATAGTTACGAATAGAGATATCCAAATGCAATGACTCCTACTCCCAAACAATCTCCGATCTCTCTTCAACATCATCAGAAGAGATGATTGCTATCCAGGTCCAGAACGAGGAAAAGCTAGCCATAGAACGTGAAGGCTTAACATCAATTATCGCCGAAAACAATGCAACAAAAGCAACCTTCCAGAAACTAAATCTCGAAATCATCTCATGTCGTAGCGAACTTTCCCAATTCGGCATTGAGGAAAAGAAGCTTCGTGAACGTATGAAGCGATTGGAACGTGAATTGGAATTACAAAAGAAGGAGTTGGGGGAGAGGGATAGCATGATGCGTGACAAGGATGGGAGGGTGATTGATTTAAAGAATAAGAATCGAGAGCTGGAAAAGTTTAAGTTTGTGCTGGATTACAAGATTCAGGAGATGAAGAAGCAGATTGAGCCGAAGGAGGCTAATGTGGTTGAGTTGGCTGAGCGTATCAAGGTATGTTGCTGCTTTCAGGTTGTATGGTCGTTGATCGTTTGAAGCTCAAGTTGAGCCTGTATACAAGGTTTGATGCTTTTTTTGTGTTATCCAACAGCCTCTCACGAGTTTCCAAATCTCATTAGTACATGGAGGCAGAACTACATGAATACCAACTCCATTACCATAACCTCCTACGTGAAAACGAACAAGTACACCAAAAATTCAAAGCTATATGTCAAGTTCGTGATGACGAGAGGGATCGAGTTATAGAATGCTCGTCATTTAGAGATCGAATCAGGGATGACGTTATGACCATATACAAGCTGTCTAGAAAGGATGATGTCAATGCTTTCAAGGTAAGACGACAACCAAAGAAAAAGCACAGGAATAGTCAAGAATTCTGGATGCTAACTTATCAAATTGCACCCACCATTCAGCTCGCAGCTATAACCTTTCTCCACAAATACAATCCACCCACACCAACCAGCGACTCTGACCTCCTAACCGCATCGGCCAAACAAGGCACATCCAAATCAGAACGTGAATCCCTCCTCCGTCACCGTGACCTTCTAGAACACGGTGTATCAACACTACGCCGAACCGTCGCTGCCAAGATGGACCAAATCGACTTTGAGGAAAGGCGAGCCAAGACTGAAAACTTGGCGCTGACGAATGAGTTGAATGATCTGAGGAGGTCTACGATACATTGCCTGAATCGGCTGAGAGCGCTTGGTGTGGATCCGGCGGGGGATAATGTGTTTGAGAAGAGGGAGAGGCTGCCTCCATTGGCCTGAGAGGGTTGTTACTCCTTGTCTTGGATCAAATAAACGTCAAGTTTGTGACATGACTTTACTTTGTGAGCAGACTGTTTGTCACAGGTTTTGGGGATGTAAAGAATCAAGATTCAAGCAACTTCAGCTCTGATTCCCGAAAGGTTTCGGTGTGATTTACATGATTGACTACATTTCTGTGACGGTTTGCGTACGCTATGTAAGGTGCCAGGAAACATTCTTTATTTCGCTTTTTGAAGTACCTCTTCTTCAGATCTGCAATGCTACTAAGACTCTTTTCTGCTGGGCATGAAAACCATCAAACTGTACACCCACTCGCACACACATTAGTCCACTGCTCTGATACTAAACTACTACAGGCCTATTCGGATCATTCCGAACGGAAATTCCCATAAGAGGAGACGACTATGAGAGTTTTGAGGTCTTATCATTGTCTGTCGTCCTTTTCTGGTCTTTTTTTCTAATGTTTTCAACCAGAAACCGGTCAAACATCATCTCAATGGTTTCATTATAGAATGAAAAGGGTTTGGATGCTATCCTCCTTCCAAATCGCAAATATCTGGTTCGAGTCGGACGAGGGAGCGAAGTGCTACTTTGTCAAGTATCAACCCCGTCACTTCAAAGAGCGAGGATGTATACAGCTTCTCATTCTAGTCTAATATATTACAATTTGCAGTCACCACTTGTAAGCTGTTTGTCGAGGTTTGAGACTTTGTGGCTCGCTTGTTCAGCACTTTTCACCATCATCCTCCGAAACCTCTTCTTCCTTTTTGAATCGATATATAGTGATACGATGCATCACATTATGATCTGAGGTCCCCTTGAATTACGAGCAGCTACGAAAAACGCTCGTGGTAAGGCCACTACACGCTTCAAGTCTTCAGCAGAGTCCAGAGACTCCAGTTTTTCCATATACAAGACAGTCATTCCAAAACACTAGGATTATCTTCTCTTTGTGGTGCTGCCGCTTATCATGTTTCAACCGAGTATGGGTGTGTCGACCATAAAGATACGCAAACCACCGATAGCTTTGAGTGAAAAAAAATTCAGGTTTCATAAGCTCAGTGGCATATCAGAGAGTTGTTAGACAAGCTGTCGCTTTTTGGGGCGACGAGACTAAGCATTGAGAGAGTAGGTCGTTTCTGGCTTGTCACAATGAGTTGGAAGCTTTGAATTGGACGAGCAGAGTCGAATAACATGATGCTAGACTCCTGGTATTTGCATGTTATGAGTTTTTCAAGTCCACATTTGTGATTATATATCGTAATATGGAGACAGATTTTTTTTGCCTTTGAGCTCTCATTCTCAAACACACATTTCCAACCTTCTGCACATTCAGATGAATCATAGTGTATAAATACACTGGGTCGACTATCAGAAGAAAGAGGGACAGGTTGCCATAGCTGGCTTCCAACAAACCTGCTATGCGGTTTTGTTGTCCCGTCGTCAAGATCTAACAGAGCATCAACAAAGACAAGACTAATCTGGTTAAAAATGAATTTGGAATATATTCAAGCCGACTAATATAACTTCTGCTACATTTTACTTTACTCCTCACTTACAAGAAACCAACTTTTTTTTCTCTCTCTCAACCCAAAATGTTCGTGTGTGACGGGGTTCTTTGGTGGTATACATTATATTTATGAGGTTGTTGTTGTTCCTTCCATGCTCTTCTCACTCTCCTCTAACAAATTACCTTCGAGTTTCTGCTGGCGGTTGGGGTTCTACTGGAGCTGTAAATAGTTGGATGGGACGATACCGACAGTGACTTTGCCATCAGTGGTTCTTCTAGCCTGCCACCATTTGCCCTTGTTGTCCAGTACGTCCAGTATTTCTCCCTTAAGGAATGAGATTTCGTTGGGATCTTCTGGGTTGGCTTCATCTAAAGTTATGAAAGTGATATGTTAGAGACTAAAGGAAACTGGAGCTGCAAAAGGATTCGAAATTTCTGAGTTTTTGTTTTGCCTTGTCATGAAACTTACAAGAATACAAGGCCTTTGCCTTGAAGTTATAAACCTGTTCAGCACCACCAGCAGCAATAGCTCCAGCACCGGCACCTGCAGCAGCGGCAGGAGCAGCAGCATATACAGCCGAACTGGCACCAGCAGCAGTTGAAGGTGATGAGATGACTACAGGTTGGGTGGGAGCTCGTTCACTCTTGTTCTTTCTACCAAATCCACTAGTGAATCCACCAACAGATACATTCTTTAATGGCATTGATTCTCCTTTTACGAATCGGTGGGCTGCGGTGTTTTCTTCTGCTCCCAACAGGAAGATCCATGTAATATATCCTACTGCGACGAAAAAGAGACCAGCAGCTAGAGCACCGGCAGCGTTTCCTAGTGTTGATCCATAAAAGTTTACGCTGTACGATATGGCATTGTCGAATCCGTCAATGAGGAGCGTGAATCCGATGGCGACAAAGGCCAAGAGCTGTGAAAGTGGAGTTCATGTCAGAGATTGAAATTATATACATGAAAGGCCATCCATGTTATTGAGCTCCGGGAATGACTTCCGGCGTCTTTTCGGCCTCTCTTCAAACACGCTGAGCTGGCACTTACGACAAATCGATAAGCTGGGATGGCACCACGGATGACGAGGACAAGCATCCATACAAGAATCATAGTGTGCCAGAAGAGACGAAACCACTGGAGATCAAAGGGATTTCTGCCTCCTGCGCTAGGTATCTTGTTCCATTCAGCCTGTACGACGATGAGACCAATGCCAGAGACTACCAATCCAAACTATTACAGTTTATATAAGGGATTCAGGTGTCAAATGTCGCGTAGTTGTTTGAGTTGGTGTATGGTTTGCATGTAGAAAATGTTGTTGTGTATGTAGTAATTGTAGTTTGTTGTATGTGTACATAAGGAAGAAGAAAGAATTGTCAGAATTCCTAGTAAGTCAAATCTAGTAACATTTGAAGTCTCATTTGTAACGTACGAATGACAAGATGAAGGCAACCACAGAAACCCAATTTCCTGTTAGATTCTTGAATTGCAGACCACTGCCCATTATAGGAGGGTTGTTTGTGACGGTATTAGAGTCACTAGATGGGTGCATAACGAGTAAAAGTTAGCTTCAATGGGTTGTTGCTGCGGTTTGGTTTTCCTGGCCAAAAAGCAGAAGTGCCACCACGATGTCCACTTAAGCGTTACTTGCCTCATAGTCGTTACTTCTGCTCGCGATACTGGAGTGTAGATGGGCCCCGACAGCTTGTTCCAAATGCGTCAAGTAAGCTCGGGAAACCTTGAAGAGATTGCAATGTTAAAAACTGATTGATGAGGGTTGTGTTGAGTGTTGAGGGTTGGCTTTTTGATTTGAGAAAAACACAAACAGAGAGCTTTGAGAAATCAGCACTGGATCACCGTCCTATTCATCATTATTTGCTATATTTTGTATACAAATTGTTTATGGTAAATGGTAATATTTTCTACGCGATGCACACTTCTTCAACATATTAGTCCTTGAGCGTGGAATATAAAATTCATTACCTTGATGTATTGATTTCACTGCAAAAGAGAGGCTGGACTTGGTGCAGTGTACACAGGCCAATCTCGAAAAATTGGAAGCCATACACCTTCATGCGGTAATCTACAGAAGCCAATTCGATAACAAGGACCTTGAGAATTCGTTGAAGGACTGTTCCAGCATGGCTGCTTCCTTCATATGTTCATATCCATAGTCTGGCAAGTGCAGACCTTCAAAAAGGCTCCCCCCATCACTTCTGATCAAATGGATATGCTGACCTTTACGAGGGACTATTGTGCAGACCTTCCTGTAGGCGCGAGCCAGGAAGGCTGCCGCGTCCAAGAGACAGTCAGCAGATAGGTTGAACTTGTAGACAGATAGCCTTCTCAATTTGACGAGGCTTGTCAACAAGTCGAATAGGTCTTGGCCCTATATCTTTATCATGTACGTTTGCACCTACATCCAATTAGATCAGGTTTGGGGAAGGGTTCAATGAATTGTGACTATATTTTGTAGTGGATGGAGGGGCATATCGCCTTCAGTTCTGTGCTAACGGCTTGGAAGGGTGACATCTAGACACTCTAGCAGGCGGCCATGTTTTAATGCGATCTAGTAGTCCATGTAGCGGTGGTGTTTTACTATGCACTGATAGTTTACGAAGGACATACAATGCAAGAGCTTCACTACAGTCAAGGAGTTGCGGCGCGCGCTGCCAAGGCTCCTCATCGTCATTCCAGGGTTCCTCCGCCAATACTACAGATAGTGATTTCAGAGAGGATGTAGACGACTGTATCACTTGACACCAGTCTTTAAGTGATAATGGGAGTATCGTTGGGTTAATTTCGAGACTGCTCAGTTTAGCGTCAGGAGCCATCTTGAATGAGAAGGATGGAGTAGTTCTCACGTAATTTCGGGTATCATACTTCATACTCAAAGACTTTAGATTTACGATTGAGGCCAACCATCCCAGATTCACACCATTCTTTACCTTAGCAAGGCCAGTAATGCCAACAGTGGTCAAGCTAGTCGACGATCCTTTTACCAATGATTCACCGAGTGAATCCCAATCGGCAAGACATTGAATGTTGAATCCTCAGAGCGACTTTGTGGCCAGAGCAGACGCTAAATTTCTACGCCATAGATTGCCTGAGTGATACTGGAAGCTATCGATACTTAAGAGCTCAAGACGTGAATGGCTCTGCAGGAAGGTATTCCACTGATCTGGTGTTGCTTTGTCTGAGCTGTGACTCGGACTCTCGTTAAAGTGCTTGGCCATTTCATCCATAATGCCGAGTCGACATGCTGTGATAGGATAAAATGGATTATGGGAGAGGTAGAGGTTCTCTCAAGAAGCGCTTCCACCAATAGTCTAGCTTCTTCGTACAGGTTAACACCATCTTCGGCTTTTTAACTTGAGCGACAATAATGCTGCCATATATGTCCTGATTACAGTTTATACAACGACACTTGCGACGTTCTTCGACCATGGTCCTGAGATATTTCATAAGCCTCAACTGACTCCATCGATGCATCAGCGTGTTGTTTCGTACTATGGTCTCATAGAGCTTCTCACAAGCCAGCCGATTCATGTCCCTACGACGAGACTCATACAGTGTAACGATTTAGCGTCCAATTTAGAGGTAACGAGGAGGAGGAGCTCGTTTGGTAATCGACCTGGTTGAGCTTCCATAGGGTTGTCCGTTCCTGTTGACGTGTTGTTGATGTCGAGGCCTTTACATCAGACGACGCCGCCATCACTCTATTCAAAGTATCTCTGCTCACGGCGAGATCCTCAATCTATAGCAAGTGCGTTCCTATTCGTTGGAAGGATGTACGTGTCAGAATATGCCTACAAAACATCCTCAGTGAATTGGACCATACCTGTCGTCAGCGGCCTGCTTTTCCAACGCTTGGATCTTGGCTCTAAGATCGCTAATAATACCATCTGCTCTAGGCAAATAATTGTGATAAGGTCGCATCTTTTCTTATTGGATGAGGGGCAACAAGATGGGCGAGACCGTTGAAGGATGTAATAAAATATCATCTTACGCATATTTTGAACAGATCCTATAATCCTATGCTCTAAATCAAAAAAATCGCGTCAAATAAGACACATTCGAACGGCGAGAAATTCCGCAAGTCAACGACAGGCTGCTCGAGGCTCAAGTCAAAAGTCAAGCAAGGAAACCCGATATTGTGAAGGCCTATTAACAAAATCCGGTTGGTATTCATCATCGGGAACCCAATCACACCCTGTTTAAATCCCTGTTTTTTAATCGTCTCCAAACGGCAGCAAATAGTCTACTTGCTTAAAAACCTTACGCCAAAATGGCAAGCCTCTACGATAAATTCGGCGAACCATATGGACCTCTTCAATACTCAATTCTCGTGTGCACAGCCGTCTTTGCTGGTGTCGGAGGCGTGGTCCAAGCAATCGTATTCGGAATCATATTTTCGGACAGTGGGCTCTGGAAGCGCCATGGGAAACTCTTGGCGTGCATGGCACTAGTGGATTCTTGTCTAGGAATTGGATCGTCTGTGGTATGGTTTCGGGCAGTCTATCATCAGCACTATCCTGGAATTGTAGATTGCGTCTTTCAAACGGGAATTGAAGTTTTGGGGTCAGTGATGAGTATCTTTCTCCTGACGAGCTTATCCGTCGATCGACTCTATGCCATTGTCAGGGGGCAGCAGCTATCTGATAGGTCCATGTATCTCATGATTGCATCCTTCTTCACTTTTGTGTGCCTCTTAATGGCAGCCGCGCTTTATGTGGGTGACGAGAGCTCTATAAGTTTAAGGGCTTTCAACACATATTGTATACTGAATTGGTCGTCTCGGGATCCTTCTACCATGGCTATTGTTTGGGTGACATTTCTCACAACGTGGACCGCCATGGTAAACGAACTTGATTTGCTTCAACCAACCAAAACATTTACAGCAACATATCCGAATCAGATATCTCATTCTTCTTTCAATGAACAATTAGATCGTTTTGGCTCTTTGTAATGGCAAGATTCTGTTGAAAATCTATACGTCGTCCGCTGCAATGTCAAAACTTGGAATAACACCATCTGTGCAGCGACAAGCTACTTCGAGCATCTTTAGAGCTTCAGTCCACAAGGACATCGAGACTGAGCGTTCCACCACGGTATCCGCCCATCGACGAGACTCTGAAGAGGTCGCTCTGTACAAAAAATTCATCTTACTCACCGTGGGGCTCTTTGTATGCTGGTCGCCCTACGCTATCAGTATCATACACGATCTGATTACCGGTATACCTGTGATACCGGAATACGACGAATTTTCGTTGATGTGTTGTAGCACACACGCTTTTGTGAATGGTATGCTATCATCTCGTCAACATTCCAGAGAATCTTCTTCTCAACCAGCTTTTACTTGTCTAGGAGTGCTGATACTCTATACCAATTCGCCTATACGAAAAAAAATAATGGGACTTTTGCGATACAGAGGCGCAACACCGTGGCATTGTTTCGGTTGTAATGCTTAATCTCCACATGATATTGATATATTGTATTATCTAATTGGATTCAACGAATTTACCTGTTACTATATATTTGATGTCGACTTTGATATGTTTCAAAATCAAATTTCACAGAATCTGCATTATAGAGTCTAACGAGAGAATTTGTCACCGCAGGATGAGCAGATGAGCAAGGACTCAAATCCAATAAACAAACACCTTTATATTTCCGTAACTTCAAAAGAGAAGCTGGACTTGGTCCAGTGTACACTGGCCAAGTAAGGATCTCCACATACATCTCTACTGTACTCGCCAGCACCAGATGAGATTACTAAGACCTTCCATTTCCATTTCCATAGTTGCGAGACGACACTCATCATATCCAGCGACGTGAGGCTGCCATAGATATTCTGACTATAATTCATGCAGTGACATTTACGAGGTGACTCGAGTACCAATACCAGGAATTTGACGAATTTGGTATAAGTCCAGCGTATGAATCTGTTTGGTAGTTGCTCGTGGGCTTTTCACAAGCCAAACGATTCACGGATTTACTGACGACACTCATAGAGTATAACGACTTTACGTTCAATTTAGATATAATCATGAGAAAAAGTTCTTGTGGTAGTCGGCCTGGTTGAGATTCTATCGCTTCGTTCGATGTGGTGGAATGTGATGTTGCTGTCGAAGCCTTGGACATCAGCAGAAGACGGTCCATGTCGCTCTGCCATTATTGTACTAAGCTTTTCTTCAGAAATTATACGAGCATTCCTATTAGAATTAGAACTATTGTATCGTCAATGCATTTGTTCAAACAATTTCCAATTCGATCTTCAATGAATAGGAGTATACTGTCATTCAAACCAACTAGTACCTCCAACCAGCTCAAACATTATTCTATGCGATCCAACACGTAATCCGTTCCTCGTCTCCGACAGTCCCATCCCAACTGCCTCTCACTCTCCGAAGTCACGACCTACACAAAACCACACACGCCGCATCCCAACAATGTTCGCCCTCGGAGCCAGAGCCCTCATACGCCCCCATACACTCATCCTCCCTCGCTCCACCTCCAGAATAATCGCACGCTCCCAGCACACTCTCCACCACAATGAGGGATCCATCATCTGGAGTCTCATCAAGATAACGGTAAACCATTCTCCACCAAGAGCAGCATAGAAAATTCTAAATCCACTTTCCATAATAGGCCGTAGCATTCGCAGGTGTCGCTGCTGGCTCCAAGGTCGGAAATCACGGCGCATGGTTCCTCTCCAAGGACGTTCTTGGCGTTTTTGACTATACAGAGGACGAGGATGGTGGAGATGAGGGTGCTGAGAAGGCGGATGGTGGAAATGCGCCAGAGGCAGGTGCTGAAGACCAGGGTTTGAGACTTGGTGATATATTTGGGGATTATCGGTTGCATGTTACGCTGCATCTTGTTAATCCTGATGGTAACGTCACTATGAAATTCAATTTTCTTTACTATCTTCCAACACAATTTCTCGTTGTAGAATCATACGTCGTAAACGCACGCCAGAAAGCACAATCGCAAATGACAGACCTAAACAATTTCAGGTTTAAGAACGGAATTTCTTCTTTATTGTAGAATGTTCGTTAGCTTATTTAACACGTACTCTTGCTCAGGACACAACACTCGCACCAGTTATCGAAACTGGCACTCAAGGAACTGGAAGCCGCGGAAGCGTACTTGACAAACCATATCAACTTGCTCAATCTGAGAGCTCAGGAGATTGATGGCAAGCAAATAATAGCGGTTGACAAGCAAGTGGCACCGATGCCGGGGATATTGCAATGGTGGTGGGGCTCGTTATGGAGCGGTTTACAAACAGTGTGGTCTTGGCCATTCCAGCACAACTCGCCTGCGCGAACGTAAACTCTGGTACCCTTTGGAATCTCTAAGTTATATGTAATATTTTGTGTGTCTGTGGCAGAAACTACTATACAAATGAATATAAAATACTTCCTTTGGTCAAATACACTTCTTGTGTTGCACCATGCCCGTTCTATGATCCCTCCGTCAACAAGAACTCCATTGCCTGATCCTGATCTAGGTTCTTCAACACTAATGCTTCTTGTATCTTTGATCGAGGAAACCCCATTTCGGCCATGGCTGAAAAGGCAATCAAGAACTTTTTACACTTTTCTGGTTCGGAATCATATAGTGAGAGTGCCACTTCGATATTTTCAGATTTGAAGCCTTTGGAGACATAGTCTGCGTGTGCTACGAGAAAGTCTAGTACCTGTTGGAAAGGATGAGGGGTTGTCAGGAATCAGCAAAAACAGGGAACGTGAAATTGCTTCATAAGGCCGTCTCACCCTCTTCTCATCAGATCCATGAACACGGAAGGCACGTTCAATAGCACTAGGTGCAAATCCCATATTGACCATCTTTACATACAAGTCCTAGTGCGAGGAAATTGGGTGAGATCAGATTCCCCAAAATGGATTTACGACAACCTTTTATACCTGCATACTAGTCGACAATCCAGGCGGTACATTCACAGTAGATATCCCACCAGATGGACTATCCGAACGTCTCGGCGGCACAGGCGCCGTAACACTTCCCATACTAGTACTCTTTACAGGTATTGGTGGCTGCGAGGACGGATATTGTTGCAGCGAATTTGGTTTTGGTGGTTTGGGAGGTGGTCCAGTAGGATGCTGTAGCGATGATGTTACATTGCTACTTATATTACTAGTATTGTTCATACTGAATTGAGATGCAGCTTGGAAGGGAGTCGGGATACCACCACCACTGTTTGCAATCCTGTTTGCGAATTTGGGCGGTGAAGGCGGATCGCTATTGTTGCTTGTTGTCGGAGATGCGGATTGTGGGTTCGAGTGCTGTATGAGTACTGCTGGTGGTCGTTGGTTACTGTGCTGGGGCAGGTTAGGCATTGGTCTAGCTGGTACACGAGCACCACCAAACACGGCATTCAGATCTGACAATTCTTCATCTGGCTTCTTTGCGACGTCCCATGGATCAGGAGGGGCAAGACCATGTTCGAATTCCTGAAAGTTGAATGGTTTTCTACTGGTATTATTGTTTGTGTCTGTACTAGCATCACTATTCCCATCATCTGATCCAATAGGAGGACTCATATTCCTGATAATCCTATTAGCAGCACTACTATCACCGACACTATCTATACTAGTGCTTCGTCCCATTCCAGCGAGTCCCAGTCCAATCTTTGTACTTGGCGAAGTACCAGGCAAGACCGTAGGTTGTAGTATCTCTCCTTCCAGATTCAGACCAGGAGCACGTCGTTGAGCTTCTCTTGTCTGTCGTTCCTTTCGTTGCAGTTCGGCTTGTTGTTGTCGTGATGTTTCTTGTTGACGGAGGGCTTGCAAATGCTGCGATTCCTCAATGAGCGAGTTCTCCAGAGAAAAATCATAGTTGAGATGGTCTGTGATATTGTCTGGTACTGGATGATAGTTGAATGGCAGTGATATCTATGGTCAAGATTTAATGTCAGTTTGAATGTATTCTTGCTCGTATTTGCGGACGATTTCTTACTAGATTAGGTTTCTGACATGATTTCGACACTATTAAAGGTACGTCTGCCAGTGGTGGATATGGATATGAATACGTCGACATCCTCTCTTTAGTATGCTTTTGATGTTTTGTGGTGAACGCATTTGAAGCTTAAACTGACGACGAGGACGATCCATTACGTGTCTGAACTCGAACGATTGACTTTTAAATTCAATCTTATGTCGATCTATCGTGACTTTCTTTAAGGCATTACTCTCAACACAACAAAGTCAAAGCTGACAAACTTCCAACACACCAACGACCATTCGTCAAAACCCAACAAGACCGAACCGTATCAAGCCAAACCTGTTGTGAATGCTCAAATTCTTTGGCTTGAAACGTCGCAAAACGGTTTCTCATCCGATTGCTCCTGTGCTGCCCCAAAAGTAATTGCACAATGTTTGGTGAAGTGTCAACCCCAACTTCCCGCTAACCGTTTCTCATTACTAAGGCAACCTGAATTCACAGTCCCTCCAAGATACTCCTACTCGGCTTCTCGATCTGTGAATCCCGTTCCTCTCTCGGCTACAAGCTCCTCCTCATCAACTGCAACATTGTTCACCTCATCCACGATCATGGAGGAATCATCACACCGTCCAATGCTGCCGTATACGAGAAATATCATTGAGGGATCTTCGGAAAACATAAGGATCGCTATTAATACTTATGTGCCACTACGTGATACCAAACATGCTGAACCAGCTGCAAAGGTCACCCTTCTTATGGCACATCCTACAGGTGTGTGATCGCTTGGATTATTTGACTTTGAGATCGGCAACTGTGTTATATGCTTGGTGGTGGTGTCTGGAGGACGTGAGGAGCGCTGCTTGGAAGAAGCGGTGGGCAGAATGTGCCATTTGTTTTTCGCCTCACAAAATTGGCCGACTCATCCGTCTTTCCTCTCCTGTAACTTATAAATTATCGCACCAATATCTAGGCTACAACAAGGAAGTCTGGGAACCAGTCATTCGACGTCTCTTTGATGGTCCTCAAGCCTACCGAATCGAAAAAGTAGTCACCTTCGACGCTCGTAACCACGGAGATTCAGCACTCTTAAACCCAGACTACAATCCGCACACTCAGGATTGGTGGGATTCTGGACGCGATGCCGTTAAAGTCGTGGAATGGATTAGCAACGAGTGGGGGAAGCAAGATGCTAAAGCTCCTTTGCGAAGAAAGAGCGGAAGGAAGAGGCTGTTGGTTGGCGTTGGCCATTCGTTTGGTGAGTTACAGGACGGTTAATGTTGTTCTAGATTTGTGCTCTCGCAAGCTGAAGAAAAAGGTGGCCTTATCATATTGGATACCTCACAGGTGGCTGTTGTCTCATCATGGCTGGTATATTACGACACTGGGCTTTCGCAGAGATACTAGCTATCGAGCCAATCATATACCCGCCATCCACTTTAAACCCAGCTCAACTACCTAACGTAGCAGGTGCCATTAAACGAAAAGCTACATTTGCTTCTCAGTAAGCTCGAAGCTTGTCTTGTATATCCGTTTTTTTGCTCTTCTAACAAACCATTTGTAATAGACAAGCAGCATTCGACAACTTTAGCTCCAAACCCTTCTACAAGACCTGGGACACTGAAGCCATATGGTCGTACGTCGAAGGTGGATTCACTCCCATCGCAACCACAACCGGATCAACCACCAAGACGGAAATCACATTGAAGTGTCGACCTGAGCAAGAAGCTGCTTCGTTTAGAGGTACGGCTCCACCAACGGCGTTTATGAGGTTGCCGGAACTGCAGGTACCACTACGTGTTATTACGGGCAAAAAGTCGGATATTGGAGCGATGGAGTTTGTCTTTGATGGAAAGAAGATGTAAGTTATTTGTGGAGAACGGTTTTTTAGCCTTCTTGCAATTTGCTGACATTGAAATTTTTAGGTTGAAGGATGATCACATCGCTGCAAGAGCTCCCCGTTTCATTAAAAAGATTGTTGCTGATGCTGGGCATATGTGAGTGTCCCATGAAGCGAAGCTACGCCATCGATTTTTTGCTGACCTCATTTCTTCTCACAGGGTGCCTCAAGAACTTCCAGAATGGACAGCCAAACAAGTCGAAGACGTCATCGCTGAAGTCGAAGGTGTCCTGAATCCTACTCTCCCTCTCGCCATGGCTGACGCTCTAGATGTATCCAGATTGTAAAAAAACGTACTACTCTGGCATCAAGTTATATGGATACCCCACTGTGACCTGCCTGCCTGTCTTTTAGAAAATCTTTTAAAAGAATTAAAAAAAGCATAACTTGTTTGAAAAATTATTGTGAAGAAATATAAAATTGGTTTAAGTCATCTTGTAGTATAATTCGCAAGCAGACCTAAGTTTATGACTGGTCCATGAAGAAGCCGTTTCACGCGTTGCTTTGAAGTCAGACCAGCTAAGCATATGAATGTTGACAGATTTAGACCGACTTTGTCTGAGCGACCGCTAGCAAAGTAATCGGATATTCGAAAGTGTGAAAACTGTTTCCCCAACTTGTCAGTATACCCACAGCCGGCATCGAAGAAGGAACGGGTTCGAGTTTGAGCGGCTGTATAGGCTCTCATATCTCGTCGTACCGATATTGAAGCCAGATATCGTGTATCTGTCTGAAAAGTAGTGAGATTTCAGTGCAAAAATACTAACAACCAGCCACTGAGTAGGCAAGTGGAATTCGTTTCACTACGTTGTTGCTTCCATCTCTCGTTTTCGGTCTGGGAATTCGTCTCCTATGTCACCAACAACCTCATTCTCAACATTGATGATGGAAACATCATCGCTTCGTCCAACACTTCCATACACGAGAGATATTATTGAAGGATCTTCTTTCGGAACACGAATCGCTGTTAACAGTTATGTGCCACGACGAGATACCACTCGTGATGAACGAGCTGCAACTGACGATTCTAATCGCCCATCTAAGATGTGTGCTGAGCATTACATACTTGAACGTTGACGTCACTAGTTGCACTGTATGCTTAGCGGTACTGTGTAGATGTCCTGAGACAAGATGCTTGGATAAAGCGTCTCACGAGATAATACAGAACTTCTTTTGTGCAATGTTATATAACAACGATTGCCCGCTGGTATTCTCTAACTCACAGATTCTTACACTAGGCGACAACAAAGAAATGTGGGAACCAATAATGCGGCGTCTCTTCTCCGGACCTCAATCACACAAGTCGTGGCATTTGACGAACACAGTCACGGAGACTCGTCACTCTTAAACCCGCAAGACAATCCACATACCAAGGACTGGTGGGACTCTGGACGTGATGCTGTTAAAGTCATCGAATGGATTCACAGTGAGTGGGAGAAACAAGATGCTAAACTCTGGGGAAGAGTAGGAGGAAGAGGCGCTTTGGTGCTCGTGCAGCAATATGATAGTCCTTTAACCTGTAAGAAAAAGGTATTCGCCTAAGTAGCTTAACGTTGCTGTGCCCATTGCTGATGTATCCACGCTGTGAGAACTACATCCATTTGTAAGCATGACATTCTGCGACTTGTTTTGGATACACATTCAAAGCACCCATTCAAAGAATCATTAATATAACAAATTTTGAAACTGTTTGTATCATTGTGTCGTTTATGCAATTCATTAAGAAGAAACCCACTCAAGCACACTCTCGTTTACAAAGTTCGTACTATTTCTTCACGTCGCTTTTTTACTCCCATACCAACTCGACATCACCTTCGAGTTTCACGCTGGAATCCAGCATGTCATGCTGGATCTGCATAATCTCTTCTCTAAAAATATTCTTCAAGAATGTCCTAGTCGAAGAACTCAAGGCATTTTTGGTGATTTCTACACTTTGATCCATTGACTCTGAATCAAATAGCTTCTCGATGAGAGAACGTGGTTTTGGATATATTCGTATCTCTGTTTCGTAGGGTATACCGAGAGCACTTATAAACTGCCTGCTTGGATGTCCTAGTTTGAGAGCTATTTGGATGGCTCTTTCAATACCACCTATGGATGAGTGTCGCAAGAGTGAGTTTCGAACAATTGTTTCATTGGCACAGCGTTGTTTTTTGCCTCCATCATTTTCAGCTATGCCGACTAAACTTACCAAGTTCATCAACTAACCCGACCCTCATAGCATCCAGACCAGTCCATACACGTCCAGCGGCAACATTCTCAACAGCATCCAAAGACATCTTTCGACCAGTAGATACTCTACTAGTGAAAGTATCATATATGTCATCGACATGCTTGACGAATCGTTCTAGTGATAGTCCCTTCAGATCTTCAAAGAGGGAGTTATATTTAGAGGCTTCTGAGAAGGCGATTTGCTCGGTACTTATGCCGAGACGCTTCATCAGTTCAGGTAGGACTACAGGTCTGCCGGAGGCGACACCAATAGAACCTGTTATCGTGCCGGGGCTTGCAATAATTTTAGAACATGGTGCTGCGATATAGTAGCCTAAACATTTGGTGAAGGAGGAGTGAGTTTCAAGTAGTTGCAAAAAAACAACTCGAACTCTTATTCGGTTAATAGCACACTGACCACCCGAAGCAGCTACATTTCCAAATGATGCAACGATTGGCTTCTTATAATGACGTTGTGCCTTGTCTATTGCTTGCCACATGGTTTCTATAAGAATATGGAACGTTTAGCAAACCATATTACCCACGGACCACCCAAAGCAGCTACAATTCTAAGGATACATCACGACTCGTGGCATACCTGCCGCTATAGCATCACCCCCATTTGAGTCAATGCGTAAGACGATACTGGAAACCTCAGGATCTCTCGCGGCATCCGTAATAGCCTGTGAAAAGAAGTATCAGTTCCAAACTGAGAACCACAGGCGGACACCAAAAAAACCTACCTTCACAATAGTATTGCTTCCAAATTGACTATCCCCTCTCCTGATGATCCCAACGACATACACCAGTCCAACGATGGGCTTGATGGGAGCTGGTGGCAGCAAGACAGCTGCTTTAGCCTTTTCATTCGAGATTGCAGCAGCATATCTATTGAACGTCATTTCTTTGGCAGGCGCTGGTTGGCGAAGAGCTCGGTTATACGGTGCCTTGAATGGCCAAAAGGGATGCATTGCTTCACTTTTATAGTTGATTTGATTTATGAGTCCCGATGCTCTACATTCTTCAGCGGATAGAGGAGCAATGTCCATTAGGTGTTTCACCTTGTCTACATCAGTTATTAAATCCAATACTGGAGAGGTTGATGTCGATAGCGTCAGCGGGGATCTGATTCCGATAGTTTGAGCGGGTCGAGTACCACCAATCTCTAAGGCAGTTTCGTAGAAAAGAAATTCTCGTTCGAGACTTTGTAATTCTTCGAGCTGACGTTTTCGTAAATCTGCATTCTGTAGGGATTCTTCGACGGTAGGAAATCCAGTAAAGTTTGATAGATGGTCTCTACGATCTCTAGCTATACCATCGATTATTTGATCATTGAGGGACCTTAATAGCGTCGTGTTGTTTTCACGCTGAGGTCTAGGCCAACTCGTACTCGTGAATGGCGTTTGTACACCTTTGTATTCTCCTACACTATGAGACCGGAATTTGACACCGACTTTATCTAGCAGTCCTTTGAAAAAGAGACCAACACTGGCAACACCAAACAGTGGCAAACTACCAATAGGCTCCATCCATATATCATCAAATGCGGATGCCAGATAGTATTGCATTTGTGAATCTAGTTTGATTGGTACGAATGGTATGAACGGAAGTCGTTAGTTCCGAGAGTGAAGGAAACTTGTATGTCACGATCGCCGATACATACCAAAAGTATCCGTGATGGCTTGTAACTTGAATGCCCCACTTCCCAGACGTTCCTTTTTGGCTTCAGAGAGCTCTTTTATGGCATCTCGCAACTCTTGAATCTGAGCAATTCCAAGAGCACTTCTTGACGCAGAGCCTGTTGTGCTGAAATCCATAATCAGACCTATTTTCAGGGATTGTCATGTTAGTTCTTGAGTTCTGTGAAGCGTATTTGGAGAGGAATAAACGAGGTCTTCCGTAGTAAGCAAGCTATTCGATGCGGTTCCAACCAAACGCGTACCTGTGATTCTGTCATCGTTTCTCATGAATCGTAGAGTCTTGATGGCCTCCAAGAATGACATTTTCGGTAGAGTTCCGCTACTAAGGGCAGAAAATAGATCTGATGACTCCAGAGTAGTTTCTGACAGTGTCAGTTGGTCAAGCCTCCAAGTTACGGTAGCTTTGTCGTTTATCGTCAAGTATCTTTGACGTTTAACGTATTGATTTGCAATCGATAGAGCAACAGAACCAGCAACCAGTATTGTGATGCCTCTTCTAACTCCTCTTCCAGCGCTGGTAAATCGCGACCACACCGTGTTCCATCTTGTCTTTCCTGCAGGTGGAGGCGGCTCTGAACCAGACATTTTCACTATAAATGTATGTTATCCGTCAGCAGATTCAGATATGCAGCTCAAGATGAAGTTGATGATAAAGCTTGAAGTCTCGAGGAAGTAAATTGTGAGTTGATTTTGGCCATTGCATCCAGCCACTCTCAAGCGATGCAAGTACATAATCGCCATCCTATGAAGCCGATGTCATGGGCAAAATCGTCCTGCTACACTCTATATGGTAAACTTACCCCCTCACCAGTTTCTGTCTTGCGATGATGCATGTTTTGAACGACACTCACGCTTCGGAGAATAATGTCAGCCAGTCATCAAATAACGTATGAATCGTTTCTGAGCTTTCGATTTTTAACTCCTGACGCGTCTAAATGTCACTTAAGTTTGTTTGGCTTGCGCTGCAAGACATGGAATTCCACTAACATGACAGTGCAGCCAATTCTACTGATATCAAGGCGTAAATTGGATTCATTCTACGTGACATTGTTCATTGTTCAATAAGATCAATGCGAACTAGTTTCTTCGAGCTTCATGTCTCAGGTCAATGGCAGATTACTTCAAACACTCGGATCTACTTGCAACCTTCTATACCAAGGGTCGTAACTGCGCAGCATTCGTGATGGTACTCATGCGTCGTTATATGTATGAAGTATATTAGACTATTAGTATATTCCTTTATAAGCAATCTTTATTCTGTCCCACCAGTACATTCTCTTCATGATGTATGGCAAAAGCCCTTAACCAGTATCTTCCAGCTCATCAGGCCAAGAATATACTGCCAGACTCTTTGTGTAAATCAATAGACTTTGTACGTATTGGGACGCTCCTGCCGTGGGAGCTGGATCCATATCGCTGAAAGGCTTGAACCACCCCTCCCTACAAATGTCGACTTCTTTACACAGTTTCCTGATTGCAGCCTTGTTCCATTGTTTGGACACTAGAGCTGTCGCCTGCCTGCAGGGTGTGTTCGCGAGCATGTTCCCACGATACCGTCCAAGACTACCAATGGTAGGGTTGGAAGGCCAATAGCCAGCAACCTTTACATAATACGCTTACGACGCGATATAAACGATGAGCTGGTCTACCGTGTGAAAGGAGGCTTTTGAGTAAACTGGGGTTTTTACAAAATGTCTGCAGTACAAGGGAGTGAAATGAGCGTGAAACGGCAAAAGGAGCCTTCAGAGCATGAGTATATCATATATTATTGTGTTCCAACGTAAGCTCTCATCATAGACGCACCAGATCGTCACTCTTGTTTGCAACTCACCTTACAGAGAAAACGCACCGCAGATCCACCCTCCAAAGTAGATTAGCAACTATTATGATGCGCCACACATCGATGTGATGTGCTCCTTGAGCTGATCCTTGAGTCCTCTCCGGCCTATCGTCGAAATCAATGTTTGAGCAAAACACAACGTATCGCGTTGGTGACAATAGCTCTGATGCTGGATTAGCTGGATACGCGGAGATGATTCACGAATGCTTGACGATCTCATTGATGCTTCACACGTTCCAACATGACTCATGTCAACAGTTGGCTTTGTCCTCAACAAAAAACTAACAAAATCTGACTTAATCAATTAACTGCTACAATATTAATCCTAGATACTGAAAATGACATCGGGGCTGCGAAGTATATCCTATCAAGTAAGCTGCATTCACATTCTCACTGAAGAGTCTCCGTTGAAATCTACCTTCTTCGTCAACTTACGCTAACTGCAACAAACATCTTCTGTCGCAACAAACTTTATAGGAACTAGCCCAGCACAATACAGAACGTGACTGCTGGGTATCCATTCATGGGACTGTATGGAATCTGACCTCCTTCTTGAACGAACATCCTGGTGGAAGACGAATCATCATCAAGGAAGCTGGACGTGATGCCACTGCTGCATTTATTCCATTCCACCCAAAGGACATCGCTGAAAAACTGATCTCCGGAGACCTAAAGATGGGTGTACTGGATACTAGCTCAACTCCTGTCGCCAATACAGACACTGAAGAAGTCGTGGCAAAAAAGGTCGTGACTGCTGATAAACCACCACTAGCTGCAATGTTCAACATCTTTGACTTTGAGGTAACTGATTCCTTCTGACCTGTCGATTGATTCTTTGATGCTTACCAGCTTTATCCTCTTTCGCAGGGTGTAGCTCGCAAAGTCCTCAAGCCAGAAGCTTGGGCTTACTATTCGTCAGGTGCCGATGATGAACTCACACTACGAGAAAACCATGCTGCATTCCATCGTATCTGGCTCAAACCTCGTGTCCTCATTAATGTAAAAGATGTCGACATCTCCACAACCATGTTGGGAACCAAAGTGAAACTCCCTATATACATTACTGCCACTGCATTGGGTAAATTAGGTCATCCAGAAGGCGAAGTCGTCTTGACCAGAGCTGCTCATACTCGAGGAATCGTACAGGTCAGTGCTAACAAATTAACAAGCAAGTTAGGACAACAAAAAAACCACACTAGCTGTGAAGCAAGCATAAGCTTAACTCTGTCGGCTTTGCTAGATGATGCCCACACTAGCTTCATGCTCGCTAGCCGAAATGACGGAAGCCGCTCAGCCAGGCCAAACCCAATGGCTCCAACTATATGTAAACACAGACCGTGAAAACACCCGTAAAATAGTAGAAGACGCCGAAAAGCGAGGTGTCAAAGGCCTTTTCATAACCGTCGACGCTCCTCAACTCGGCCGTCGAGAAAAGGACATGAGAACTAAATTCGTCGATGAGGCTCCAGACGTTCAAGATGAATCAACAGTAGAAAGAAATCAAGGAGCTGCTCGAGCTATATCTAAATTCATTGATCCAGCATTATGTTGGGCTGATATACCATGGTTTAGATCAATCACCAAGATGCCTATTGCTCTCAAGGGTATTCAGTCTGGTGAAGACGCAGTTACTGCTGCTCAGTATGGGGTACAGGCGATTGTAGTTAGTAATCATGGTGGTAGGCAACTGGATACAGGTCGATCTGCTGTGGAGATACTGCCTGAGGTTGTGTCTGCTTTGAAGGAAGCTGGACTGCACGGCAAGATGGAGATCTACGTTGATGGAGGTACGTTATTTTGATTGGGTTTTGATTTCACAGAAGCGACAGAAATCATATGTCAAGACGCAGTTTGCATGTTTTTGCATGTCAGGTGGATCGATTGCAGAAGCACATTCAGTTTAACTCTCTGTCTCTTTAGGTTTCCGTCGTGGAACAGACATATTTAAAGCTCTAGCGTTAGGGGCTACAGGTAACAGCGAAGACAAAACAACGGCATATCCAGGTTTGCATTGAGAGCTGCTCACAAACACCGTTTCTCCCGTCAACATTAGGAGTCGGTTTGGGTCGTCCCTTCTTATACGCAATGTCAGGATATGGACAAGCTGGTGTGGAAAGAGCACTCGACTTGCTACGAGATGAACTGGTTAGTCCTAAAAGGAGTTTCATTATTGACAATGCAATTATAGCTAATGAAATTATCTCATATAGGAAATGTGTATGAGACTTATGGGAACACCGACCATTGCTGACATCACATCTGCACGTGTCTTGACCAAGAACCTGGAATCGCATGTTGGCGCACCACCACGAGATGTGCTGGCAGATGCAGTGTACGATCCATTGCGAGCCATGCTCTAATACTTTATGGGGTTTTTGTATTTTCCAAGTGTCTATGAAAACTACTAGATATTTTTCTCTTCTTCTTGAATCAGTGTTTTTCTGGGTGTTGCTTTTTGATGAAGCCGCCGATGTTGATGTTCAGATTGATTTATTCTTCCTTGTCGTTCAGGCTTTGGCTGAATGTTCACGCTTTGATCAAGATCAAAAAGCAGCATCAGCATCAGCACTGGTACTTGGTTTCCTTTCTTTTTGCTATGTATCATTTATATATTGGTCTATGCAATTAAACATGACTTTTAACAAGCAGATGCAACAGGTTGTCCTTCTTAACCCATCAGCCTATCGCTGCATTCTCCGAGACGAGTTCCTGTACCAGAACTATAGATGCGGCTGGGATATCAGTTGCTCTCAAGTCCAGCCTGGTGAGGTACTAAATATGGAGCAAAGTTTAGAACCACAGCAAAAAGAAGAAAATCCCCCCTGTAAAGGGTGTGAATTCACTGTACCTGATTCTTTCCCACTGCATCAACAATATATTTCCCAGAATCCTCCAGTTCCTGTTTTTCCTTGGCAGCTGTTGCACTAATACCAACCGGAACAGGTCCCGTCTCTTCACTAGCACCATTAACACCAGCTCCAGCAATATTTCCCATTCCCAAAACAGAGTATCCATCAGTCTCACTCTTGACAATCTTGGCTAACGAGTTGGCTGATACATTAATAGATTTCAGTGTCTTGACATTCATTCGCACCAGTTTACATAATGATGCCAGTGTAGCCACTGCACATCCATTTCCAGATATGTCTATTGACTGCAGTATAGGTTTGCCGGGTGCTTGTGGGTTTACGAATTGGAAGGCATGAGCAACAACGTGCAAAAAATCGGCCCCTCCAACATCACCCAAACGATTCAATCTCATGTTTAAGCTAGTGAGAGTTCGGTTGCGAGTCAGACAGCGTCCTAGAGCATGTCCTCCGACCTGTCCTATTCGATTGTTACCGAGTACGAGTTCCTTTATGGTGGTAGTTGGTGTTGCTAATACTTTTGCAAGACCTCGTGCACCTGCATCTCCTATACGATTGTTTGAGAGATCGAGATGCTTTATGGCAGTGTTCTCTAATAGTGCCACCGACAGGATACGGGCCTGAGTATCGTCCAATTGAGATGACTTTAGGCATAAGGTGGTAAGACATTTTGCTTTTGGTGGTCGTAAACATGATGCAAGGCGTTCACAATCAATGTTTGATATTCCAAAGGATGACCATGCAAATCCCATTCCGATGTCTCGTACACTAAGAAGATCATTGTGTGGAACTGTCAGTTCACTCTGGCGCCAAAAAGGCAGAACCGTTCCGGTATACATACTCAAATGTTAAACTTAAACACTCCAATTCCGGTATAGCATGGAGTATAAAACTCAAATCCACATGTTCCAATGGCAAACCCTCATCCCGTTTGCCTTCAGCCAATGGCTTTGGTTTCAACTGCCGAATCTCTAGATTATGAATCCACGGAGCTGACACTTCTATAGTTTTAACCAGCTCTTTGAATGCCTTTTCGTCGGCATCGTCTTTTGTAGAAGACTTGGGTACAAAGTTCTCAATCTGTTCACGAACGTCAAGTTCGAAAAACAGACGCTTCCATGAATTCCCGTGTGATCGTAGAGACAGGGTTTTGAATATGGATTTAGCACGACGTTCCCAATAGGATTCTTCCGATATGAGCGGAGCTGCCAGCGATAATGGGAGTGTTAAGGATATGGCCTCAAGCAGTCGTTGCCTGTACTTTATTGGCACTCGATCCAATCTTGGTTTGGCTAATAGAAAAGCCGCAAGATTAGCGCATCGTACTGCTTTCAGGGCTCGTTTCAAGACATCTTCAACTCTAAACATGACATTCCAATAGCACATTCATATTGCAATTCCCCAACCCACCTTCAAAGTTCTGAACGACCGACATCAAACATAACTCGACCAATGGCGTGACCGGAGCAGGATTAAAATGCGGATCTTCAGATATGATTCTTCGCTCTCCTTCTCTATACCCCTCATCAAAGTCATATCCAAAAGCAGCAGGAGCAGCACCAGCGACTCTATCTTGCAGCCGATCACCACCCAGCGTCATCCTGGATCCATGCACGACCACAGTCTTTGCAGCTAGCGATGTTTTTGAAGCCGTCAACGTCGCTCGAGATCCTAGTTTATTTTGTAGTCCAGGAGATGCAGTACTTGCAGCCCCGACAGATGACCGGTCATCAGATCCAGCGCCAGGTCCTGAATTATTATTTGAGGATGAGTCGGCATCACTTGCTCCTTCATTCGAGTGTGGGATTGTAGTTGGGACACTTGAGAATGTGATGCCAGGTTTTCGTTTATCGGTGCCTACAGAAAGGAGGGATCCAATTCGGGCAGCTGGATCTGCATTTGCTGCATTGTTGATGACTGATGGGCCGTCCCTTTCAGCTCCACCACCGCTGATTTGCGATGGTCGTCTGGATTGCGTTTGATTTACAGCCATGTTTGAGGAGGCGCCATCTAGTACTGAGGGCATCCTGCTTTCTATAGATCCTGATGTACTGTTGTCGGCCATGATGGCGGTCTCTCTTTTTGCTTGGCCGTCAAAATGAACGAAAGGTTGCAAAGTTGCAAGATTTCAGCATTGTAGAACGCGGATATGTAGAACGCGAACCCAGACTGTCTTTCCACTAAATGATTCCTGACGCCAAGGAACTGGCCAGAACTATTCAATCTGTTTGCTTACAACATTTGGAACTGCTCATATACAAACTAGCAGGACAAACCGTTGTACAGTAAATCGTTATAAGCTTATGCATCAATGGGCAAGATTGTTCGTGTCTATTAGTTCATTTGTTGTATAATGTGCAATACCATCCTGCTTTACAATACCCACCCTCAAAATACCACCATATATCGTTGACCAGTGCCAATGACAATGTCTGTTAAAAAAAGTCCTCAGATATTCAACAGTCTTCCTCTTGGATCGAGCTAATTCAGCAGGCAGTCTACAAATAGTCCAGACGGGTCGTCCTTGTTGACAGACAGCCTTCTAAGGTTGCAGAGCTTGGTTAGAAGTTGAAATACGTCTTGGTTGGTAATCTGGTAAGGGACAAACAGTAACGTCAAATCGACAAGATTCGGGCAGCACTCTAGAAATAATTCCAATCGAGGATATTCGTGTACGCTGAGAGAGGCATGAAAAAATGTGGCCACCAACTTGAATGCTTGACGTATCAGTAGATGGCTACGATGATGTTGCCAAGTGGCTAGTCCTAGCATATCAGCTTGCAAATCCGAGACTTTTACCTTGCGATCATGGACGTTACTGAATACGACGAGCTAAATATTCCTGATAAACTCTGTAAAGCGGTGTGATGCGCTACGTGCTACGTGATCTCTGTCCTTCTCCACTAGAACTATTGAACCTGCGAGGTCTTTGAGAGATATCAAGCTTCGCGAGCACCGAAACAAATATCTTCAAGGCCAATCATCTTATATTCTTACGTGTGATATAACTAAAAGAGTAAAGAAAACTAAAAGATCATAACTACAAAATATTACAAGAGCTTCGCGACTGAGCCTTCGAAACCACGAACTCTCCCACAATTTCCATCCTCTTGAGCGTCGAAGTCATACTCAACCACTCATATTTACTGAAATCCGACATGGGTATCATCTGAGCTAGCCAAAACGTGTATGCTTCCAGTGACGACGGCATAGTTCCATAGAGAAAGTCAAAGTGGTTGCGTTGTGGTGGGGATAGACGGTTTATATATGCATTCATGAGGTCTCGTGATGAGTGGTAGTAGTTTGAAATACGTTGGAGTTTGGCGTCTATGAGTTGGGATGGTTTCGTTTTACAGGTGCTGCTTGTGGCACTATTACTATCGGTTGCACCGGCAGCAGCATTACACGTTTGCAGTGATCGGAAGTGGGCCTCTATAGGACACTCGTAGTCGCCTTCCATACTGCTCTTTGATACACAGGCCGGTTCAGAGGCACACTTTGCAATCTCTTCATCAACCTCTAAATCGTCGATTCTTTCTATACGAGCCATGTAATAACCTTCAGGCTGTTGGCGATACTCCAAGACCTATCGTGAAAAGATTTCAATGAATCTGATGCATGCTTTGGAGTGCCTCTTTTTCCTTATAACTCACCTTGAACCGATAAACCCCAACAGTATTAATCATATATTCTGGCAGCTGCACATTATTGCCACTATTCCTACTACTAGATTGCTCTTCAGCACCCTGAATCTGCAACATAGTCCCATAATCCAGCAGTGGTGTCGCCCTATTAGGATTTGGCAGACACATCCCAAACCGCTTGTTCGATCCCTCTGCGATACATGATGCAACCATCGCTCTATAGCGTGGTTCAAAAACATGCAAGAAACATTTACTGCCCGGAAAGACTAAACTACAGATAAATAACGGGACCCATTCTGTAGTCGACGACGGCGCCGGCATATCATTACATATAGAAGGATTATGTTGACGCAGTAGCGTATCCAGTATTTTAGATGTAGTTTTACGGGATAAATATCCATAAGACGGGAGAGGTGCTCTACACATTGGGCATGATGATCCAGCGGTATCTACAGCTCGTAACAGACAGTACTTGCACCATGTATGGCCACATGGTGTCGATACAGGATTTACAAATGTCGAGTAGCACAGATTGCATTCTAAATCACTTGCATTTATATCCGTTGGTGACGCGGATGTTGGATTTTCTGTGATTGTATCAGATGGTGGAATCAGAGCCCCGAGACTAGCGACTATATCATTTAGCATTGCATTATTCGGGCACAGCTTATGCGCCATGGCGATATCGGGTATCAGCAATTCGATTCTATCAGCCCCATGTATCTGCTTAAGTAAGGTCGACCTCAAGAGATATCCACGGGCCATATTAGGAGCCACCTCAATAGCCTTTGCAGCATACTCCTGTATAATAAGTCCACACTGGGTATCGAGCTCTTCCTTACTCATAGTCATGGCTTTAGCCTTGAGTTGATTATAACATCCAACACCCTCCCTGACGAGTCTCAAGGCTTCGAGTTCACGAGGATACAGCTTCTCCATGAGATGGCCTAACAAGGAATCTACACCTTCGTTACGATACAGATGCTGACAACAACAAGCTGGACAGCTATAGAAGCACCAAAGAGATAACCCATTATCGTCGTCTTCTGGCGGTGCAGGCAGTCGGGGCGATGGCAAGCAGGATTTACATACGGTAGCCCCGCACTGGAGGGTAACGGGATGGTCTACAATGTCATGACAGGCAGCACATGAGAAGCAATCCTTCATATTCGTGTGGTTTTGGATACAGTTGGGAGGCCAGCGGGGATCTTCATATAATAACGGTGAGAGATATGAGCTTGGCACCCATTGCTAAAGTATGTATGTCTCCTAAGAAGGTTTGTCCGTGTTTGCGTATTTTTGGGATTCGAAACTTTTGATGACATCCGGATGCGATGACAAATTCTTGAGAGAATGTGAATCGATGCAAGAGATGTGCGTAAAGCGTGTATATCATATCGAGGATTCGTGAATTCGCGTCCTACTGTCATATGCCGCCCTCAATCTTTCGCTGATCGTCATCATGGATTAACGTGACTGTTTATATGTTTATGAAGGTGGAAATTTGATCCGTTCAACGTTAAAGGTTCAACAATAGTGTACATAACGTGATGATAACACGTAAAATGAAGCGTCCTTTATCTATTCTATAACCATAAACTGTCAAGCTCCTTCCGCGTTTGTTTCAGGAATACAAAACATCGCAACAACATGGAGCATAGCGAGGATGCACCTCCAAAACCAAAGCCGTTCGCTTTACTAGACTTGCCGCCTGAACTCATATCTCACTGCGTCTCCTTATCTGGTCCAAAGACCTTCTTCCTCAACTCGCCTTTAGTCTGTAAAAAGCTGAATGCTATAGTCACAGGCAGCGTCGTCAAAGTAGCTCTAGCTCTTGACGTATGGTCTGGTATGGATACGGATGATGAGCATCATGGAATCAAGGCTGATAAGCTTAGACTATGTGAGTTGTAGTGGCATTCAACCAGTGTTTTTTTAACCTGGTGTTTTTGACGAGCAACAATGAAGCCTTGCTTTACATGTTTATTGACTGAAATCTCCTTTTACCGTTCTAGGCAATACATTTGGAGCTTCAAATCAGGATTACGGAGTTGAGATCCGTGTAAGGTCGCATCCAAGAGTGATTGTTCAGGTATGTTGGTGAGTCACAATGTCATTTTGATCCAATAATGGCTTCATCATCATCTGTGTGGTCATGACGCAGTCGTCCCTTTCGCTCTTGTGGGCTTGTGTCTTGATTGTTGAAGCTAAACAAGCTTGTCGAATCAGACCGGCACAAGCTCACACTCCCACCTTCTATTATCACCTCATACAGCATCAAAACCACTTCATGGACGGCCTCCTGTCTCCACTAGCACACGCACGAATCCCATCCAAAAAACTCAAAATATCATGTCGTGCAATCCGATTCATTGACCGAATCCCACTCGATCCTGAAACAATGTCTCAAGTCATCGAATCACTCAAAGTCACGTCACTCACATTCACTGCTATCGATTATAAAGTGCTTGTCTCGCTGCCGCAACATCTAAAAGAGAGGATAAAGTGTATGAGGTTTGATCTTATAAGGAATCTGCCGACTATTACAGATCAGGATTTGAGTGTGCTGAAGGCTTATAAGAACTTGAATAAGGTTTATATCAAAGGTGTGTATTATGGGGGGTGAGAAAGAGGTGCTACCACTAACGAAAATGAAGCGGAATTCATATGCTGATGCTCTGTTTTGTAGCATATGCCCCTGAGACTCTGCCTAACTCTGTTTTCTGCCTACTCATCCCATAGGCCCAAACGCATCACAAACAAGAAGCGCCAGATCCCGCTTCATGTATGCTCGTATCGAACCAACCGCACTATCACCACTCATAGACCTAAACCTTCGAGTGCTCCAACTTGAAATCCGTCTCGTTGGTCAAACGTCTCATCTTCAGCTATGGTCTGATGTATGCAAGATGAAGAACCTGACTGAATTGCATACGGGACACATGTTGCTGCTGCCACCAAATGCTGAAGGTCCTGCGAAGAATAATGATGCAATGTATGACTTGTTGATTTCGTCGGCCGGAACATTGCAGACTGTTAGGATGCCGTGTTACACTGGAGTTGCATTCTGGGAAAAGGTAAATATAAGGGATGGTGTGAAGTGATCATCGAATCTGTCGAAACTTTTCCTCCACAGTCTGCCACTCAAACTCCCCAATCTCAACACAAATCCTTCTCATTAGCTACCATCATATCCACACCCCAAACTCCTTACCCTCAAATCCCTCATAATCGGCCTCTCCATAACAACCTCATGGAACGACCTCACCTACATCACCACCCACATAATCCGATGCATGCCACACCTAAACCATCTGAAACTATACATATCAAGCACGATGAATGCTGTATCAGGTGGCAGTCAGGTACCGACTGATGTTTTGTCTGAATGTCTTGTGAGGCTTGACAGGGAGAGCAAGGTTAAGAAGGTGTCGCTGAGGTACGATGGTGTACATTGTAATGTGGGAGCGTTGAAAGAGATGTGTAGTGGTGGTGTTGAGAGGATGGTTGTGGAGTTCGGAGAGAGTATTGAGGTTGTGATTGTGGGGCAAGTGTGAAGACAAGAGGAAGTGGAATAAGGATTGTAATAGGACTGCACAGAAGCTGATATAAATATATGAACAATACTTTTTAGTAATGAATAATCGCTCAAAGCTCATGTGTTGCGCCAAAGCACCAAATCAATGGAGACAACAAACGAAATAAGTTGACATCCTTTTGCAAATTTCACCTGTGTTTATACGTTCTTACACGAGCAGGTCAAGGACACAAAGTAGGCAAAACGAAGAGAAAAAAAACCCAAGCAAAGCCTCAACTACTAGTCTCCCACTTCTTCTCAAACCACAACTTTATGTATATCAAAACACCAAATAAATCTCTTGTTTTCTTCCTCCTGTTTGTTGCCTCGTTTTACAATTTATGAGGGGTTTTCTTCTTCTTTTGTTTAGGATTTGGGAGCCTCTGTTATAAGTAAGAAGGAAGGGAAGTTGTTAGATACCAAGCAAAAAAGGCCGAATTTATCACATCAAGCATCACTCTCCACTTCCTCCACCAAACCACATCAACACAAGCCACCCAACTCACCCTTGAATGTAGTGACGGCCTCTTCACCCATAGCGCTGATGACAGTCACCAACAACTCCTTTCCTTCTCCAAATTCGGCACGTAGTTTTTCACCGACTTCTCCTTCTGGGACCTTGACGTCGTCCTTGGTAGATCCATCGCCAGTCATGAGGGAAAGGAAGTCTTCTTCAATGTCCAAAAGTGCGTATTCGATACCTAGGGTGGAGAGTGATATGTTTGAGTGTCATACAGATGAAGGTCGAGTGATTTTTTTTGTTGGAGTACTCACGAGATACGTTGGGGACATCCATGTTGTGGGTTGAAGGAGACAAATCTTCAAGCTTCTTGTTGGTGAAGATCTAATGTGAAACAATGGTGAATTTCATGGGTCAACACCAGGTTACCGACCCCAAAATTTAACGGAAAATGATTCTAATGGTACATACATCGACTCCGACGAGATGGACCTTTGCGTGACCGTGCTTTCCAGTCTTTGAGGTAGACATGTCAACAATCTTGCAAGGACGACCCTTCAATAGGACGAAGCCGTTCTTTCGGAGAGCAGAACACTAGTGTTTGAATGCGGTGTTAGTATGTGAGACCGTTAATGAGATGATTATGCTATGTAACATGCATCACTACTATATAATATACTACACGTACTTGCATGGGGTAGGTGAGAGAAGCACCTGAGCCAGATTGCTCGAATTCTTCATGTTCCTCGTCGTCAGCCACTAATGATGAAATATACATGTTACTATTGACAATAGCATATGCAATGAAAATACAAGACCTACTGTTTTCTGCTTGTTGCTTTTGTGTGTAAAAGCTCCTTTAAATGGATGGTGGTTTTTTGTAAAAGGTCCCTCTAAGAAGATAGAGAAAAATTTAATGAGATCCTGACATGAAATAGAGAGTTCTTTCTGGGTGTGTTGTCTCTACAGCATTCATCAAGCACTGACTGCAAATGTGGAAAAGTTTACATGGATTCTCCTACAGCAAATGCCAACAACTAACACAGCATGAAAGCAATAAATCATCTGATCGAAAACACAATGACATTGCATCCTTCCAGTCTTCTTCGACTCCCTGATGCCCTCCAGAGCAACACCAACTTTTTTTTTCTCAAAGTGGCAGCCACATTGTAAATTGCTTGCTACTGCAGCATGTAATAACGATTGTAGCATGGAGCATCAATCCATCTGATGCCCAATTATTTTATAAAGAAGCTTGCTGAACTCACCTAATATTGGACCTACGTAATATCAACTGGCGATGAAACAAAAAATTCAAACTTTGTGATGAGAAAGTGTTGTTTTGAGAAAATCAGAGCAGTCCAGGAGAGCAGTGAAACATGACGTTTGGAGAGGTGAATACGGATGATTGGACGCGTTGACATGTTGATATTATTAGCTATTCACTTTATCCTTTACCATCCTTCAAGTCTCAAGTCTGAACTTACTTGAGTCTGCTCTAGTTTTCACGGTACAAATTCCAAAATCAAACTTGACCTACAAGAAGCTCGACTTGGCGTGATCCTGCCTGGTCAATACGTGTATTTGCATCCAAAGAACTCATTTCTATTATTTCTCAACCCTAGTCTCATGTACGAAACCACGTGCTTGCTCCACTCTTGATCTGAGGAAATCGTGAGCACTTAGCAAACAATGACATTAGCTACATTCTTTGGCTGCTTACTAACAGCATACGGACCAGGCCTATCTATATTCTTTGTCCACGTAGCCAAAAAGAGCCAACTGGTTCTACTCACAATCTCAGCGTATGTGACTATGTTTTGATTCAAAGTTTGTTTGGAATGGTGCTTTGATTGACATACCAAGACAGATCCATTTCTTTATATTTTACACCATTCTAACATTTGACACTACTCCATTCATCTATAGTGCCTTCTTCTGGCTCGTCGGCATTCTCATCGCTTCCATAATCTGGTACATTGCTCCAACCGCACCAATATACGTCACCATCTTCCTCGCGGTATTCTTCCAGGAGCTGTTTAGATGGCTGTTTTTCTTGCTGCTATCGTAGGTCACTATTGGGTTGATTGTCTGTTGGATAAAACCATTGATTACTGGATTCATGACTTTTTCTGGTTAGACGTGCCGAACAAGGCCTGAAGCTCGTATCGGAATCTGCTAATCCGAGATACGATAGGATTGACTACTCGTTTGGTATTGGTGGAGCGATGCAACATAGTTTCAAAACCGAGGGCGCTAACCCACATATATTCACATAGTATGCGGACTAGGATTCGGCCTAATGAGCGGCATGATACTCTACGTGACGCAGCTAGTTGAATCGGCTGGTCCAGGGATACTGCCATGCAAGTCATGTCCTAGTGTTGACGTGTTCTTTATTAGTGGTACGTAATATGGCTTGCTTGTACAATAAACGGGGCTGCAAGGTACATGCGTGAATTGATACTTTCCGACTTCTCTCATAGCGTTAACAACCAGCCTCTTCATACTCCTCCACGTATTCTGGAATATGGTAGCCTTCCAAGGCTTCTTCAGAGGCAGTTACTGGCCCGCTGCGTATGCGTTCGTGACGCATTTATGTGCCTCGTATGGCGTAAGCATCTTTTGGCTGTCTTTTTTGTACCATGTGTGAAGTATACTAACAACAATAAAATTCGGTAGACTTTATTGATACCGTCATCAGTATCATACGGATGTGTGTACTCGATGCTGATATCGCTAGCCATACTGGTGGTGACGGGCATCATGGCTTTACGGCCAGTGTTTGCTGCGATTAAGAGTATACATAGGGACTAGGACTTGACCTTTCAGTTTCTTGTTTTTGCATCATTTGTTAGTAGTTTGTAAATATATAACTCTTTTCACTCTCCAATTATAATGACTCTTTACACGAATGTGTTGCTTGAACGCATCGTATACAATATGAGTAGCATCCTTTTTTTGTCGCCATCAAAAAGTATATTAAAGAAGAGAAGCGCCATCCAACCACATCCACCAAATCAAACCAATATTACTATTTACAGAGAATCAAGCGTCCGCTGTATCTCCTCTCTCCGACTAACAAGCGTCTGTCGGTCTTGACTCAACTTGTTCATCAAGCCAGCAACCTGTGGATTACCACCACTCGGACTCGCGCTTCTCAATCTCACAATCTCATCCTTCATACCCTCTAACTGTCTCCTCTTGTATTCCAGCAGTCCTTCCAACTCCTCTTTGGTGTTTTTGAGTGTTGCTAGGCGATCGACCTCCTTTTGCTTTTCGGCTTGAAGTTGTGAGAGGGATGAGGATGCGGTTTGGATGTCGGATTCGAGGTCTTTGAGTATTGGGTCGTCGTCTGGTTTTGTATGAAGGATGGAGGGGTTTGTGTTTGTGATTGTGCAAAAAAATTCTATAGCTGCGCAATTGATATTGTAGTATTTTACCTCGAGCAGCACCTCTTCCTAGCGTTTTCGTGCTCTATACATCCAAAATAGAACCATATCAGTACGTGCTATTAAAAGCACACACAAGTATGATACACTATACCTCATCAGCCAGAAACTTTTCACGTAGGCTCTGAGGAAGCAACGGATATGTCTTGCCCTTCCTTCTCATGTTTAGGACATGCGAGAAGGCAACATATTGTTCCTTGTTGAGACTTGATGTGTTTTGAATGTCGATAAAGTTCCTATATACATGATGGTTGTAAGTATTGAGAGTGTTGCAAGGAATATGGTGAGTCATCTTATGTTGCTTTTCAATGCGAAAAAATGGGCCAAAGCTTTGTGTGGCATTATGCTTCAAGTCTGAGCTCCGATGTCCACAGATACATGTGCTTCCTAGATCATATGCCACCATCTGTCCCTCACTGAGTTCAATATGCACAAAGATGAAACGATAGTGGTACTTGCCACGCTTGTACGAAATCCTGTTGTGACAATCGTGATGCTGTGAAGACCGTTTCCATTGATGACACTGTGATGAAGGGATATGAGTTTCAGTATACCTTAATCAACACTATACTCTTAAATACACAATATCAATCCAATATACTCATCAATAGCACTTACTTGGTACGAGATTATCGACGGCATACTTTGTGAATTCGCCCTCGTACAGAAACCTGTCTGCTGGACTGATATACCAGTCGAATTCAAGATGGCTTGTCATGGTTCCAAGTGTAGTGACAGCAACGGAATTAACTTGATAGCTTGTTTCCTACTATGTAGCAAAACTGTGGATGTGATGGAGTGGAGCGTGCTTTTCAAAGAGGATGATACCAATGAGCAACACGAATATTCACGTGTATTTAATTATGAAATTAACTCCTAGCAAGTCTCGAGCTCTCTCGGCGCGTGAGCAACTCTGTATTCGATTCTCCAAACTCTAGACATTGCATTCAACAGACTATATGAATATTGCTGATAATCCAATGATGGCATCTCAACTCTCATTCGCCGACGCATTGCACGACATGACACATCTACTCTCGCCCATACAAGCCAAGGACCTGACAGACAGCGTCACCAGAATAGTCACTGAATTACATGAACTGCATGCTGTCAGAGAACTACAGAGAGAACAGACTGAGAGGTTATTGGCTCAAGATGAGGTATACATGGGCTGTCTATTCTGCTCTATTTAATGTTATGTTACTATGAGTATGGTTGTGCATCAACAAAATCAACCAACAACACAACAGGCACTAGCCCCCCTAAACCGCAAACGCAGCGAATCAAAACACGATCTACTCCTCTTAAACTCAAAGCTCCGTACCACAATGGCTGCAATCCATCGAACACTCTACGCATCAAAGGAACTCAAGACCCGTATTCGCAGAAAGGAACATACATTGTTTATTGCTACCTCGTCGTTGCAGAGACAGGAGGATGAGATTCGAGAGCTGGATAAAACGTTGGAGGCGTTGAGGGATGTGAAGAGAAGGAAGGATCTCGTGGAGGTATGCTGTGTGGTTTGGGGTGTTTTTATTTGTTGAATGTTGTGTGGCGAGGACAAAATAGCGGACGGGCTAGAAGCTTTGATGGCTACTAACGCTTTGCGTCTCTACAGGCACAACCAACACCAATTGCACTATACAGTCTCGTAGTCTCACTGATATTAACTCTACCAGACATTTTGATCTTGCTCATGATGTCTCCAAGTCCAGTTCAATAAGAGGAGTCGAGAGCTGAAGTGTAAATTTGAAAGAGGAAGCAGGAGCTGTAGATATTATTAGCATTTTGCACCATATGTAGACCTTTTTGTTGCATATAAATTGTGAGATAACGCGAGATTTGAAGGTTGAAGAAATTGTGTTTGCGAGAGAATGAACATGCGGCTGGTTGGTTTGTATGTACTTTAGCTTGTGATAGCCATCGCAGCAACAAAACGTCAAAACATCCAAAAACCACAAAACCAGCAACATAATGTCGCGAATAATCCAACTACCGCACATGCTGCCCAGCATATGGCACCACACAATACACTCTAGTGCAGCAAGGAGTTCATTGCCAAGACTGTATGCTACCAAAGCTGGAGGTATACCATTTTGAAACTACCATAATGTTTTTGTCTCGTTTGGAATAGACAAACAACCACATCTCAAACACATCATCCAACACAGCATCCTTCCAAGTCCCATCCAAACCCACATTCGGAGCCTTCAACCGTCTCTTTTCTCCTGGCGAGGTATGTGTTTCTCAACCAACATCAAAAATACATACACATGCATGCCATCCCATCACTAACACCATCATCTCATAGACATACGAGCCCGCCGACCTGAACGCATCGCACATCGAATCCCTCAAACAGCGCACATCCACACCACCAGACTATTTCGCAATCACGGGTAAAAACCCACTGGATTGCTACAAGGACGTACAGTTGCTGTCGAATTTCGTTACCGCGATGGGCCATATCGCGCCGAGGTACAAGACGGGGCTGTCGATTACGAATCAGAGGAGGGTCGCGGTGGCGATTAGGAGGGCGAGGGCGTTGGGGTTGATGGCTTATACTCGTAAATAGGGTGGTTGTAGTTGGCTAATATGTAGTAGATGGTGCATGCGGTGCGAATACAGGATTCGCATTTGTCAATGATCCGTCAAAACGTGTCAACTGATTTTGTGGTGCAAAAGTTTATATATGTTTCTTCATCATCCTTCACCATTTCCTTCTATAAAATGGAATACAACGATAAAAAATTGCTGGTAATATGTAGGGCTACAGCTCATCCTTCTCATTTACAACTGGTGTGTCACCACCTTCTCCTCCTCCTCCTCCCTCTCCACTCTTTTCATCATCACCACCATCAGCAACTGATGGTGTCGCCTTAGCCTTATCAGCAGCAGCAGCAGCAGCTTTACTGGCACTTGCAGCAGCACTCTTACTACTAGCTGCACTTGCACTAGCAGCACTCGCCTTCTTTGCTTTAGCAGCAGCAGCCAACCTAACAATCTTCACAAACTCACTCTGGATGTCTTTAGCCTTGGCTTCAATATCACTGCTAGTTAATACAGGATCTTCGTGTGATTTAATCAGATCCTGTTCTGATGACTTGGTATCAACCCACGACTCGACTTTTTTGATTCCATCAAGCAGGCGATCCCATTTAGAAGCACCTTCTTTATCGGTATTGAGGTCTTGTTCTATGTATGTCTGGATGCCTGATATGGCCTTTCGGAGGGCTTCTATAGCTTCAGGACGGGCAGTTACTTCATTTCGTCGTGTCACAAATGGGGTTTTGATTTTTTGCAATTCCTCTAATCTGGTTACGAATTCGTGAGTTGGTTGTTCGTCTGCTGAATCAAATAGCCAAGATTGGTGTTCCGATATGGCTGATTCGAAAGCAGAGCGTTGGGCTTCTGTGCTGATTGAATGGATACCGGTGTCTTGGAGGAAATCACGGGCAGAGTATATGAAGGCTTCCAGTGTGTTGCGAGCTTCTTCTCGTGCTAGTCGGCCCTTGTCTTCTGCATCCATTTTAGACAATCTGGTCGTGTACGGACGTGTGAGTGCGCAGCGACAAATTGTCTGATGAAAAAAAATCAACAACAATGGTAGCAAGAAGTCTTGACTTCATCTTTCGCTCATTCTCATACATACCGTTTCTTAGCAGTCGCTTTCACGGACTCTTGCAATGGCGGAAACACTGGATACTCGACGGTTACATCAAGCTTCACCTGCTCAACGGATGAGGTTTCCTAAGTGCAAACACAAGACGAGGATGAGCGAATGCGTTTGAATTTGCACATCCTGGTACAGAAGAGAGATTTTTCTTGGCCACAATCATGTCCAATTCGAAGCACATACCTTTGCCGATGCAGCAGCGGCAGCAGTACTAGTCGTCTTTGTTGATGCAGAAGTCGTAGCATTGGATTCTGTCGACGAATCTCCCTAATAAGAAAATACGTGGTGTTAGCACAAGGCAAAAATAAGCTACAATACTTTGCATCATACCACTTCCTCTTTGGCCTGATCTTCACCACCATCCTTATCAGTCTCATTATCAGATTTCTTTCCACCAAAGAAGCTGGTTACTTTATCAAATATATCTAATTGGGAAATTTCAAAGAGTGTGAGATGAGATTGCAAAAAAACCAAGCAAAATCAGTAGAATTCAGCTTCGTTGTCATCACATGCACCACCACATACTTGAAGCAGTAGCATTCTTTTCAACCTCCAAGAATACAGAAGCATCTCTAACATGCAGCGTTCCAGCATCTGCTAATTCAACGGTTGCCTTGACTTTCGATGACAATAATGGTGTCTTGGCACCATTTATTGCACTGGTTAAGCCTTTTACTTGGGCTCGTAGGATTACCACCGACTCGTTGCTAGAATTTGATGAAGCAGTGAGTAAAATCGGATGTGAAAAAATATCAGATGAAAACAAGAACGACACAAGATTGCTAACAGAATCGTCACACTACGATTTTCTAATACGACATTGCAGTTATCACCAAGCAACAGCGACAGAACACTTCACCAAAGTAAAAACAATCCTTCATGCCAACATACAATAAAATACCAGTACTTACGAGTAGGATAGATCAAATGAAAAATCACTCTTTCTCTGAAAATTCATGAGCTTTTTAGCACCCATAGCTCCATTCTCAGGAAACAGTGTCATTTTAAGACTTCTTGGAGGGGATGCATCTAGAGCAAAAAACATGAAAGCGTTGTGTGAGATTCTGCACTGCATCCAGTGTATGCGATCACTCCAGGGAACGTCTGCTTTTCTCCGGAATTCAAAGTATCAAGGACAATACCTTTGCTCTCCGCCTCATAAACAATATTAATAGGAAACTCATTGACGTCCTTGATTCCAATTTCACGGACTTTGAATTGTTTGCTGAGAGCGGCTGCTCGTAGACCAGCACCTGTTGTTTGAAACGAAAAGTGTTTGCGTCAAAATCATAATGTAACACACGACAATAACACGAACCCATGACAGCTGCTTCATCCATGTTGACATTCTGAGCGATCATGGACCTACATATAGATGCAAGTTTCAATGAGCAAAAAAGCTATCAAGTATGAACGAAACCACTCAATCTGATGACTATTTCATAACTAATCGTATACTCACTCTCCAAGATATTCACGTAGAGCATTTTGAATAGCAGGAATACGAGATCCACCACCATGTAAAATGACTGATGTGATATCAGCCTATGGAAAGTTCTGGCGAGGATTAGCATCATGTCTATCATCATTTCAAACCAGGAATTGATTTTTTTGCTGCTCATTTGCAGACACTTATAACGAGAGAAAAAAACCTCCAACAGCACGTCAAACGCGATTTACGTTTAACTCACCAAGGTTAGTTTCGCTTCATCCAAAACCTGGGCAATAGGTGCCGTAACCCTCCCAAACACATCCTTACAATCCTCTTCCAAATCACTTCTCATCACCACCATTTTGAAATCCACATCATTCATCAACCCTTCCACAGAAGCCATAACCTGATTATTGGCAGACAGCACCTGTTTAACCCGACTGGCTTCCTTTAACAATTTAGCCATTGCTCTAGGCGATTCTCTCGCATCAAGTGACTTTTCCTTTTGGAAGTGGGTGATGAATCGGTTTAGGAGACGAGAGTCGAGGATGGATCCACCGAGAGTGTGGTCTGAGCCAGTAGCTTTTATGGTTATTTGAGGGACTGTCTTGTTGCGGAATAGGTTTCCGTCTTTTATGGATGTGTCTTGGAAGTGGACTAGCGACGCAGCGGTTGAGCCAGCACCCATGTCGTATATGATGTGGTATTGGGGGGTTGCGAATGTTCGCGTCATTGCGTAATTCAGTGCGACTAAGAGGAAGAAGGTGTCAGTGTGGGATTGGTGACGAACAAAAAAACATAAGCTAACACACGACTACATACTGGCGGTAGCATCATTCATGAGCGAGTACACACGCAGACCAGCAATCTCGGCGGCATCCAATATAGCCTGCCTCTCGAAATGGTTGAAATAAGGCGGCACCGTAATGACAGCACCAGATACAGCTTCAGCACCATAGTCCTGAGCCAGGCTTTTGGCGTATGCGAGTTGCATGGCGACTAGTTCCTCGGTAGTGTATATGTCGCCGTCGTCCGCCTTGAAGGAGCATGATTCTCTATGAGGGTGTGGTAGTAGTCTGTTTGGGTAGCTGTCACGGTATTCGGTAGCCTGTTTGTCGTGATATTTTCTGCCGAGGAGGTTTTTGAGGGACAGATATGTGTCTTGTGGGTATCTGGTACCCTGTATCATGGAGTGGAAGTGTGTATCGTTAGCATCGTGTATACCACGTCGAGTGTGGAAATGCGACATCAAATGTAATTACAATTTCAATACAACCACACTTACAGCATTGACAGCATCAGTAGAGAAGGATCTGACATGGTTGCGTAGAGTGACAATGGACTGGGTCTTCCTCTTTGATTCCTTGTTCAATACAATTTCAAGAGGAACTCCTGGCTTGACGATCGACACTTTAAACCATTCCAGGCCATAGTCGATCCCTACTACCGATGCATTGATCTGTATGCTATATATAGCAATTATCCACGTGATGATATATACAAACAACCTCATTTCTAATGCTCCAATGTCTGCCGTTGAAGTTGTGCGTTTCGCCTCAAGAGAGAGTAGACGCACATAAGCTGGTACAAGGAAGGAGGACATTCACGCCATGTCAAAGCTAGCCAAGAATGTGTATATCGGTACGTATCTATTTGCTACTTTATGCTGCCATGACACGTCATCGCTGGAACTTGAGAAGCTGACATATCCTGGTTTCCCTTAGTTGCTGCTAAAAGAACGGTAGGCTCATCCATCATATTCTTATCGTTCTGAAGATTTAAGATCTTTCTTTTATCTCCCCTTTTGCTCAAACTCTTCGTCCACATCTCGCCAGGCATTTGGGACATTTTGCGGTAAACTGTCTGGATTTACTGCTACTGAACTGGGAGGCATTGCTTCTGTCGCGGCTGTAAAGACTCTGCCTCAAGGAACTCCCATCGACTCGGTCATTTACGGAAATGTCATTCAAACCTCAAAGGGTGAGCATGTGTGTCATCAGCCAAAAAAAGTCGACTCTGCTTCTGGGCGAGTACGTGGCAGACATCCAACCACATTTTCACGCTCTCTTTCTCTTAAATATTCAACCTCATACCTTCAAACTCACAATTACAGATGCTGCATACCTATCTCGACACGTGGGACATCGAGCTGGTCTTCCAATTCACGCTCCTGCCCTCACACTAAACAGATTATGCGGCTCAGGGTTCCAATCTGTTATCTCGGCGGCTCAGGAAATCATTACCGGTGAAGCTCATATCGTGCTGGCTGGTGGTACCGAATCCATGACTCAGGCGCCATTCGTGTTGAGGAATGTTAGGCAGGGGACGAAATACGGGACTGAGTGAGTATATATGTTTGTAAGGCATTCGAGTGTATTGAGCGTTGTGTGCCTGCGTTGAGTGTCCAAGTCGGATGAGATATATAACTGTGCAACCAGAGGATGAAACTTTGCCTTGCTAAATCTTGATCCCTTCGATAGTTTAACCATGGAGGACTCATTAGCACATTCCCTGATTGACCAGTATCCAACACAGACTCCAATGGCAATCACGGGCGAAAACTTGGCTAAAAAATATGGAATCTCAAGAGCTGATGCTGATGCTTATGCTCTATCGAGTCAGCAACGTTGGGCCGCTGGTAAGTTGTGGAGCTGTTACGTTAACATCCGTGACGGACTGGAAGATTATGGACGTTCGTGGACAATACCTTTAAAGTGTCATACATCCATGAGGACTTTTGCAGTGGTTGTTGCTCCGTCACTATCCACCATACTCAACTCATCATACTCAATACATTAGCAAATGAGGCTGGCAGATTCAAAGCCGAAATCACTCCCATTGAAATCAAAGTCAAAAAGGCGACTGAAGTATTTGCTGTCGATGAACATGCTAGGCCAAAGACTACGTTGGAAGGATTGGCTAAACTGAATCCTGTCTTTTTGAAGGATGGTACTGTTACTGCTGGGTACGTGGAGTAAAAGAATCTGTTGCGTGTGATCATATCGTTTCTAAACTTGATCTTCTTTTTTATCTTTGATTGTCGTACTTCGTCCCCTTTAGTAACGCATCTGGAATGGGAGACGGTGCTGCCTCTTTAATCGTTGCAAGTGAAGAAGCTGTAAAAAAGCACAAGTTAACACCGCTAGCTCGTATTGTGAGCTGGAATTATGTCGGGTGTGAACCTACCATCATGGGTAAGAAATGCTGGATCTTTGTTCTTTTTAAAGTGCCTAAGGCGCCGAGTAATAATAGCTGAGAGCTCACATTCGCCGAGTAATAATAGCCTCACATCTTTTCCTTCTCTACAAATGCTAGGTATTGGACCAGTACCAGCCATCAAAGAAGCACTACGACGAGCTGGGTTAACGCTGAAGGATATGTCATTGGTTGAAGTTAATGAGGCTTTCGCAGTACAGTATCTTGCTGTTGAAAAGGAATTGGGTCTAGATCGATCCATTACGAATACTAATGGTGGTGCTATTGCTCTTGGTAAATTATTTATCATGTTCTGCAAAAAGAAATGTCGGTTTTTGGCACATGCTGCCCCAAAAAAAGCAGCCAGATAGAAGGTCTAAACGTTGCACTAACACGTTAAAACATAGCACATCCATTGGGAGCAAGTGGTGCCAGAATCACTGTTCATTTAGTACACGAATTGAAGAGGATTAATGGCAAATATGCTGTGGGTGCTGCCTGCATCGGTGGTGGACAGGTATGTGCTTGTTGAGGCTTTTGCTTTATTTTTTTTGCCTGTCGGCACTTCCTCAATCAAAGCGGAGACGTCGGCACCTCCTTAATCAAAGTCGAGACAAGTTGTTGGATCTGATAATATGTCGCTTGTGAACCTCATGCAATTGTCTCACAAAATGACTCTTCCTTTTAGGGTATTGCTATTGTGCTAGAGAGGGCGTAATGTTTCTAATTTGTTTTACGAGGAATACAAGTTTGCTGTGCTTTGGAAATATGGATATTGTTGTTTTGGAATTTTCGCTGTCGACATTTGGGAACATGTGTTTAGAGGAGGCGGAGTAGCTGTGTTGTTGGGAAAATGAGCTGGGCTCTTTTTTTGGATCAACGTTTGAAGAAAGGGTCCGAGTGTACTTGGATACTGCCACGTTTCAATTCAAGATGGGTGGTATTTTCGAGATTTTATGGATTGATGGTTTGCTTGAGAGGAGGCATCATCTCGTCATTTTGAGTTCCTCACCATATAAGCTAAAGAAACCTACATAAAATTATACGCTAATAGTGAGGTACCTGAATGATGGTACAGGATAATGAACAATATTGACAGGATGGTGTGTAGTTCTTTGGGGAGATTACGAAGCCATGTTGCTGATGCAATGACGGAGCTTGATGAGCAGGTAGTGTAGAGCTGTAGATCTTTCTGTCTACAAGGTGCTTTTTTGCTCTGCTATTGGTTGATCATGAGTTGGTTTCTGTTACGATTCTCCAAGGCTTGTACAACTTGTCCGTTTTGTATGGTGGTGGATCGCCGATTGCTCTATGTCTATCTTGGAGACTCAGTATTTTATTAGATGGCATTGTTGCTTTAAACAATGTTTTGATTCTGAATGATGCTCAGCCTGTCAACACGAATGGAGCTGGTGTCATAAATTCGTGTTATTAAATTACCATTTTTACGGTTTTTTCCCGTCGTGGTCGCTGAATCTCATTTTGGTATTAACAGGTGCTGAACTTGGAGCAGCCGCTGTGACCTACTAATTCAGAAGCCGGGAAAGTTGTATCCAGGATGTCAAGAAGCTGAGAGTAAAGGTAAGTTGTGGATTTGCACTTTTTCCGTATGGAGTGGATTTGCTACCCAAAAAAAAAACACATATTACAAAAACACATATCAAGCATTTTGTGAATGAGTACAGAATCTCATCCGACGACTGATAATGTGTCTAGATGCGTCACCTCTACGATTGCTGAATGATACTAGCTAGAACACTGTATGTTGGATTTCCATCTGTATTCTACTAGTACAAAAGGCGCGTACATCGACATCGAAAATCAGTCTCATTGGACCACAGGAAGCTACCAAAGTTTGTTGTTGATGGAGCATGTCAGACCAAAAATTACTTTGGAAGGTATAGTTGAACTGAATCCAGTATCCTTGATGGTTGATACCGTTATTGCTAGGTAATGTTTCTTATGGAATGATTAGTCTATGTCTGATATAATCCCACAAGCTGGAAGGCAGACGGAGCAGCTAATGTAATTGTTGCAGGTGAACAAACCGTGAAAAGGACAAGTCAACAGTCCAACTCGTATCGCGATCTGAAATGAGGTTGGATGAGAGCCTACGCCGTTAATGTAGTACGTACGACACGCAAGAGTCGTTTCTTGGAAGGTTTTCTAGTATTGGAACTCAAGTGACCAGATGATCTTTAGCTTAACGTTTATACGTTCTTAACCCTTTTTTTCGTCTTACACAAAATGGAAGCGTTCACGTCGTGCATTTTTATGTGTGGTGTTGATTTTGGGTAGTCGCTTGCTGATGGACGCAGTTGTAGCAAGACACAACAACTCAGGTCATCTGAGGTATACTTAATAATACGAATACACGATATGAACGAGGAGCACTTTTGACCTTTGAGCTTGAGGTCTGTGGTTGTCATGCAGCTTTCAACCTGCTTGTGAAAGCTCCGACACAAACTTTGCGTACCAAAAGTGAAAAATCCCTGGCACAGTCAGCATCGGATTGATATCAAATTGTTCCTTGATATATTGAGACATAACATTGACACATCAAGTTATTTGCTTACTTCTTTGCTGCTCGTGTGGGGTGAGTGTTTCAACCAAGTAATGAACAGCCCTTCATTTTTCTTAGCAACCAACGACCAAACCAACACCAATTTTTGGCAGCGTAGAACCAAGTTCACAAATACACATAGATAGATCTAGTAGATCCCACTCGAGACTGAACTCATTGGACCTCACTCATTGCTATAGTAGGCTTCATTCTTGGTAGGTTGCTTCCCTCTGCAACGAGCTCTTCATGCAATTTTTGTCACTTTGGCACATAGGATTAACAAGTTCGTGATTAGACCATTGTAATCCACTCCTATATACCTCATATCGGCATCGACGGTCTCCTCTTAACTCGAGACTTGGAAGCATCACGTCAAACTATACGCACCTTCATTAATTAAAGCTCGCTCCAAAAAAAAAACCATGTTTGGGGCTCCATACGATGATTATGGCAGTGATTTGAATGGGCCTCATCACGAGAGCATTGCTGAACTATTACAATCTGGAGTTGGCGGCACAACTTCATTAAACGGTGAAGGCCACTCGACCTCTTCTAATGCATCCCAAGGCGGAATCAGTCGGCGCCATCACTTTGGTGGTTATGGATCCTCTACTGTAGCCGATCATAATAGCAGCGCAATGTCATTATCGCATTTGGTGGCTTCCGACCATCCCGCTCATCACAGCCACCACACCCATCATGATGTCGATGTGACGCAACAACACCAACATCAGGCAGATTCGGATCATCATAGCTATTATCAACACCAGCAACGTGACTGGCAACAACCGCATCAGCAACAACCTCAGCATATGTATGGTGGTAGCGGTGGTGCGGAAGTTCCATCAGAATATGCATACCAGGTTCCATATGGAGGTCCATCAGACTATGGTGCATCAACTGATGCCGACGTTTCATCGTACCATGCTCATATGCATCATCAGGCTGCTCAGCAATCTCAACAATCATCGCACTATGAACAGCAACAATCCCAAACACAATCATCCTCTAATAACAATGTCGATGGTATAATCGAGCCTGCTATTGGACAGGCAAAGTTAGAAGGAGTTTCGGGAAGCGCTGGAGGAGCTGCACCATACTTGGAGGGATACATGTATCCACCAGCATCCGGAACAACTGGACAAGCATATACAAGCGATCCAGGATACTATGCAAGCAACACCTTACCGCAACCCCACAACCACTACTCGTCGGTGGTCGGACACGCATATTCTGGTATGGCTGGTACACAAGACCACATAAACAATAATACCAGCAACACCCACGACCACACCTCCGAATGCGGAACACCATCTCATTCCGGACTAGACTCATCCCGTATCGACGCATACAACCCATCGTCATCACAAACCCATCTTCCATACACAACCACAACATCATCCTCCACAGCTCCCATAATCCCACTAAGTAAACGTCGTCTACATCGATTAAATACTGCTGCTGCAGCCGCAGCCATCATAACTACCGGAATGGTATCATCACCTCATATAGACGATGTTTCGCAACAGTCGCATCAAGGGCATCATTATTTGCCTGTTGCTCATGATGACTATGGACATTTACCTTTAGATCATCATTCACAGCATCAGCAGCATCCACAGCAGCATTGTGAAGATGGAAGTGTTGTTGGTGGACAGACTGCTTATCCTTATAATGGTACTGCTTATCCTATGCCTTCGTATCATGATTATTGGAATTCCGTGCATCCTGCTGGTGGTGAAGAATATCAAGGTGTTTATGATCATGTGTTGTATCGACCTGATATTTATGGATATGAAAAGGTGTGTAGTGTTTGCTTGTGATGCACTTGAACCTATTCCACCGTAGGTTTTAGCTCCTATTCGAAGATCATTTTCTCAAATTGAATTCTCATCTTTTCATAGTCTTATGCCAACGAAGTAGCCAACTACCAAGCCCAACTAAACGAAACATACGAACGCTCATTAGCTATGACAGGACGCACCAAAGCATCAACCGCAACCCCAAACAAGACTCGAAGAAAAAAGGACGGAAACCCAGACAAGCCAAGACTCAAGAAACGTAGTAAAGACGATCGGGAAGACCCCGCCGATCCAACATACAACCCAGCCCACGCTGGAACCTCATCATCCATTCGATCCATACACGCGATCGTAGGCACACCCGATTCAGGAACCGAAGGCACCGAGGGTGAAGGCAAACGCACCAAACGACAAAAACATGTCGGAAAAGCCTGTGTGCATTGTAAAAAGGCTCATCTGGCGTGTGACGATGCACGACCATGTCGCCGATGTGCGCATATGGGACGTCTCGACTGTGTGGATGTTGAACATAAACGACGAGGCAGGCCAAGGAATTCTGGGACCAAGAACCGTGGTGAACGGGACACGAGCAGTGCATCGGCTATCAGTGCTGCAGCTGAACAGGCTGAAAAGAATCACCATATACATCAAGTTGCTCTGGCTTTAGGTGTTGTTGTGTCTTCGTCACATCAGCATGGAGGTGGTGCTGCTCTACCTGCGGAAATGGAGTATATGACGCATGACTCGCCGCTGCTGGAGAGGGAGGCTGAGCTACCGCCTGCTTCTGCTGCATAATAGATAGGATCTCTTTGTGGTCTCTTTGGAATCACTACTAAATGTCTTGTTGGCCTGATCTCTGATCTCAAGTTTTAAAAATTACCTTATTGACTTCTAAACCTAACGATCATCAAAAATTGATATAACGGTGTAAATCATAATGAACATGATATATAATTTTCAGCTCATATAGAATGAAACTCAAAACGCTAAGGCAACACATGTTTCTGGTTTTGACGACAAGCCGGAAAGTCTTTTACTATCTTTTTCGTCTCGTCTCGTGATTATTCTATTAGTTATGGTATTTTTGTTGTTCGTTTGCTGGAGAGAAAAGAGACAGGTTCTCTCGTTATGGGTCTCAAATGTAGCGTGTGTTGGGTGTTTGTGTCTGATGGAGTATGGTAAGTTGGAGAAAAAAAGACAATCCTATCTCGATCGATAATGACAGAAGAGAAGCCTTGAGGTAACCATATCCAAAGCTCTATTTCTTTTCTGTCGTTTCAGCAAGGACTTCAGCAACGGCTGCCTTTACATCATCGTAGACGGCGTCAACGTCCTTTTCACAGCCAACCTAGACAAAAGAGATTCACATTTAACAACAAAAGGGTGAATAGTACGATAACATAGTCCAATCGACACCTCAAGCCTCACAATAACTCCTCCTCCCTTTCAATCATCAGAAACCTGAATTCATTCATTCTTGCGTTCTTACCGTCTTAACCTTGGAAAGTTGACGATAGTGTTCAACAACCGGATAACTCGTTTCCTGAAACGTGACAAATCTCTTCTTGATTGACTCTATATTGTCATCGACTCGTCCACTTGTTTCCGATCGTTTCAGCAACCGTTGTAACATGACTTGTTCAGAGCAGTCTAGATACAGGATTGATTTCGCTTTGCAGACCTTGGTGAATTGAAAAGAATGTGAGTGAGCTATAGATGACCGGTTGAATATGCAAAAAAATCCATTCGCACGCCAAAGAAACGACCTCGTCGGTCGAACCCCACAACCAGTCCTTCGCTTTCAAATAACGGTACGGCGCACTTACATGCTCTTCAAAAGATAAGGCTTGATCCAGAGCTCTCGGGAAGCCATCAATGAGAAACCGTAACTTGTCTGATTCGTTCTTCATGGCATTATATAGCAGTCCAATGGTTATATGGCTAGGTACGATTTTTCCTTCCTTGATGGTATTGTTGATCAGGTCGCCGTATTGGGAGCCTGGTCGTTCTCGTTCGGCTCGTAGGAGGTCACCAGCTGTGTAGGAGAGGGGTTTGGTGGCAGATATGAGACGTAGGAGATAAAGAGGGACCAGGAGTGTATATGCGACATCATTCACAAATGGATTTAAATCAATCGCTACCTGACAAGTGCACAAATCCAAAATCACGGACCAGCCGTTCACATTGAGTCCCTTTGCCTGATGATTGCACAAACAAGAACGTCATCAACAATTACGATAATTGACTATGTTTCATTATAAAAGCAGGCACCGACCAGCTCCAGGTCCTAAAACAAACCAGAATACGTTAGGATTAACTGTTGCTCCAAATTCAAATGTTGTTGAATGTTCATACCTCCAAGCACAAAGACGACAGTAGTTCCATCGGTTTGTGGAGTGAATGATTTGAATGTTTCAGAGGCATCGTCCGTCGTAGTCACTAATGTCGAGTAATGGGAAGAGCAAATAGTGTTGAATGTTAGCTCAACATGTCCATGTTTTGAAGCCAAGGAGGCGAAAGAGACTACGAATAAGTGACCGAGTCCAATATGAAATACATACTTTTATCAGAGGCTTCCTTCTTATGATGGCCCCAGTCCTTCCAGGACTTTGGAAAGTGCATCTGTGAAGAGTCGGGAGTTGAAATGTTGGATACGCGAGAGAGTAAAGCGACACGTGAACTGCCAAATCTAGCGTTTGCTACAAGATTATTTATTCGTGATATTAACAGTTCTACAAATATACAAACGCGCCGCAACTAGGCTGTTTCAACCGAACGTTTGGTCTGAAAGATCACTCGTTATGATCATCTTCATCTTTACCTACCAAGGCTGGTTCCTAGTCATACTCTGAGCATATCGTCCAAGTGCAGGCAGCCCCACACAAAGAAGGTCCTTCCTGGACACCTAGTCAACCCTGAGGCCGAGCTGGAGCAACTACAAATTCGTGCTTAGACAGTCCTCAGATCATGTTTAGTGTGGCAATTGTTGTTAGAATAGAGCTTAAAGCTAAACTGGCTGACATAGAGACAGCAAGGCTTCAATCGATTAGGAAAAGCGAGAATGGTGGCGATCACCTCTCCAATGAATATATAAAGCGATGTGGTGCCACCACCAAGGGATCATTCAAACGACTCATGGTTGGTGTTTTGGGGCACACGAGTGTTCCTACTGCTGCTTCTCTTTCAAACCGGACTATGCTACCATCATAGTTAAGGGGTTTGAACCCAAGAGAACCACTATTGATAACCGGGGAAACCTGCGTGTGGCACTCCTGTTGCTAGTCTCTGTCGGTTTTCCTCGTGCAATCAGTAGGATTCAAGCAGGCCGGACGAGCAAATTTACATGGTCACATCAGAGGAACTCTATGGAGAGTAGCGGCGACCCGCGTTTGAAGTTGTTTTTTCGAAAGCAACCCGTATGTGCGGCCGGGAGTACACATCGCGAGTATTGGCTGTGCCATACCACCTTTTGTATGATCCACAGAGCCGATTGTCACCATGTCTTGTGTCTTGTAAATGATTGAAGTTGTCCTTTCATTCGGTTTAGAGCTTTCAAAGCGTCATACTAACCACATTTGCTGTTTCTAGGTATCGCTTCAGTTAGAGCTCTGCCCTCCGCACTAGTCTCCGTATAGAGGAAGAACATGACAGTGATGATGATGAAATGAATGTCCCAGGGCTTTTGAGCATGGACAAGGACATCACACTACCAATCTTGAAAAGGAAGCGTTAATCTCAAGAACCGGATCATCAAAAGGCTTCGTCACCCCCAGGTATGCGTGTGTGGTTTTGTGTGTTTGCTCTCCTTGACTCGGTATTCACGAGATCATTGGGTATGTTTGCTTTTAAAGATAAACATTTAAACACCTTTGTAAAAGATGCAGCAAGTGAAGATCTCTCTATTTAAATGGTTAACCTAATACGATTCGGTCCATCGGTCGCTGTCTAAAGAGCGTGCCTAATCAAGAATGTTGCAATGCACACTAGATGGATGAGATTTCTAACAGAAGTAACCCAAAAACTCACGACTGATAAAAACACTGCCATGCAAGGACACAGAATTGGTGTTATTTGCGTGATTATTTACCCGTGGTCCCCGCCATGTCACTTCATAGCATATCTTTCGCATTGCGCTCCGACAAAATAATCAAATCGATACAGTTCATTCGTTTTTTCTCGTTACGATCCAGTAGACTATATGCTGACACGCTGAATGATCTTGTAAACAGCTGGTTGGATGCTTCTCTTCACACTCTTGGAAGGTCGGGAATTAACCTTCAAGGCGGAAGTAGTTTACAAACTCGTTGTTTTGGGCCTTTAGGAGGCGTGGCGACGTGTAAGATTGTAGTTTTGCTATGCTAATTCGGCTCAATTAAAACTATAGACATTCTGAGACAAGTGAGACCGTAAATTATGAAGAGCAACTTATACAACCCACTATAAACACCATCCAGACAGCTTTCCCAACGGAGTCTGTCCAAACGATCCCTCGTAAACTACTTCCGCCTTGAGGTTTTGGTGTTGAGGGATGACCATATTTCCTGGCATTCCATTTTTGGGTTCATCTTACCGTAACGACTTGAGTCTACCGTATTAACTCCAGGGTTCAAACAATGTGGCAGAATTGACCGTACTTCTTCGATTCAAGGCATAAACCGAACAGCAGAATGGAATTTGAAATGATAATATTTATTTGTTATTGCAATGGTGGAAGGCAAAAGATCTAATATATACACTCAACATTCATTCATGTGCAACTTCTATCACTATATAACAAATATTCTTTATTTGCATAATGAAGGTTGCTATTTGACGATTTCACCAAGTGATCATTTGATTGCAATCTACGAAATACTCGTTAGATGTCGACGGCGTTAGGGTTTGTGGACCTCCAAAGCTTACTTATATAGGTATCTTCAATGTGTACTGAGTAAGTCTTGTATTCCAAACTCCCAGGACTTGCTGAGTAGTTTGAATTCCAAGTTCATTGATTGAGGTACAAAATACAAGTGGCCATGGATAATCAGGTCTTCTCAAGCCAGCGTCTCGAAACGCTTTCCGTAGTTCGTCGAGACCGGTTTGCTTTATTGGATGGACAACTGAAACCGTAGCCTGCAATAGAATAATGATGCTCGTCTTCCTGTCCCATATAAATCCATCAAAACTGGCCTGATTTGATGCTATTGGCCAGAAGTACCCAGACTCGTTGTCCTTCAGCATTGCTGACAAATCGGTCTTCATGAAGCTGACGACTTTCTCTAGCATTCCAAGGTCATGAGGGTTAAAAAGAATTAAAAAGAATTTTTCAAAACGACTGAGCAATATATACGCACCTCTTGGTGCAACAAGTAACTCTGGTCTGTCAGTCAGACATGTAGCAGTGAGTGGAGGCCCTTTCGTGGACATAAGATGGTGCATTCTGGCTTCCAGCATCGTTCCTCGCACAGCTGCTTCACCTGCGGTACTGCCCAACAAGTTGTAAAAATATTTACGATCGACATCAGGGCGCTTTTCCATTTCCACACCAATCATTCGGATGACTTGTTTTCCTATTATGTCTACTTTACAGCCGACTCGGCCTAGATTCGCACTTTCTTGTTCAGCAGATGGAATCTTTCCAGAGATGAGTACTAGCCTTGACGATTGCTCCGGATTGGCAGAACTTCCATTCAGAAGAAGGTGAAACAGATTTTCTTTTGTATCCTGGAGAGTTTTGAACACATCGTTTTGATACAGCTCCATGAGCATATCGGATTTCGCAATATTAAAGCAATATCGAGGACATGGGTTCCAATCATTCCAAGCTTCCCAAAGTCGATTTACATCCAAGTGGAGTACCTCAGAGCTTTTAATGGCCATTACATCAGAAAATTGAAAGACTGACTAAGACACTTACCCATAATAAGCGATTTCTTCCCACGTCCAAGTATTCATATAGTAATAGAGCGCACGAGCTTGCTTCGTCCATTCTTTATAGCGCTTGACCTTCGGGGAAGTTGCTTGAAGCACCAAAACTAGTTTGTTGTCAAGGAATCCACCACATGGACTATCGACTTCCTGATTTGAATCCACCAAAGCCCACGTTGGGCTTGCACTACGAGACGGACAGTATTCGGTAGACAAACGCTTGGCGACCCCTGATTCACTAAAATAATAGTAAAACGAGCGGTGATTTTGGAGTGCCGTTGGTGCACCAACCAATAATCGTTCGATCAATTCATATAGCAAAAAGAGTGACTTTCCTATTTTCATGACAGCATGACTAGTCAATGCGCAGATTCAATGTCAACGAAAACCAAAAGTATTACCAATGCCAGGATTCCCTATTATAGCTCGTGACGTCATAGCTTCCTTGACAGTGCCCTCAGCAGAGATGCTCTTCAAGAAGTCGTGCAGACGGGTGTACGCTTCATTTACAAGTAGTTTGTCTACCTTAGATGTAGAACTGTCAACAAACAGCGGGAATGAAGGTAGCAAGCCTTGCAATCGATATGTATCCATCAAATCCTTCAATTGGATGACAGTAAACCTCAATGGAGAGAGTGGCGTGACGGTGTCAAACTCCCCAACTTGTTGCATGGTTGCCAGAGTTGGGACATTGCATACTACAGTTGTATATAGCCTATTGCGCATTGATTTTTCTTTGTTCCAGAGTATGGTATGGAGAAGTTGCATAGCCTGTAGGGGAGGATCTGGATTTGCATTGTGAGTAAAACAATATTGTTCAAATCAACAGCAGTAGTGACATTACCAAACGAGGGGAGTCGCTTACCTTCCATCGTAAAAGACATCCTACTTACAGGTGGAGCGGGCCTCACCACTCTCAATGGATTGTCATCTGATGTTTCGATTTGGGTGATTGATGTACTTGGTTTCAGCGGCGTTTCGCATTCTGCATCTATATATACATACAATTGATGGTCTTCGATGCCATCCAATGACTTCTTGAAGCGTTCATGATTGATGAGATATTTGCGTAGTTTGCTAATATTTGTGACTACAACATCCACTTCCACATCAGCAGAGTCCCCCAACTCCTCAACTGCAGCATATTGATCGTTTGCCCTGTCAGAATTACGCTTAAAGAGCTGAAGCCAGAGCACTGTAGTGTCGCTCATATTTGCTCGTTGCTCAACTAACGAGGTAAAAAAGTACAATGACTGATCTGGATGCGCAACAGAATACTAAGTATGTATTTGTATTAGAATTGCAGAGATCTGGTAAGACTATATTGGTTAATACTTCTCAACGTAAATGCCAGTCTGATCTATCTGGTGACGAATTTGGAAACCTGAGTGGGGCAAGTCTGACAATGCCAACCAAAGTATAGACTATTCAGCTGAGAAATCTACCAGATTCTGCATGATCCAAATGCTCTCTTTGTTATAGTGTCGCAGTTGTGCTCAGAATAATCACAGAGCAACATTGATTACGATGCTAAATCTTGTCGTATGGACAATCATGTGACATACAGAGCAGGCATCAATATCTTCGAACATGCTGTAATCTTCCCCTGCTGCCGTTTTCTCGTTGGGGTGGTTTAAAATGCGTAAGAGTGCTGAATCGGTACACCTGTTTGGGCTGCAACTGCCAATGTGTCGCAATCCCGCATGTTTGTGCATATATTGGACTATTGATGAATCGCTCTCCATTATCTGCTCTTCTTCGGAACGTCTGGTTTAGATCTCGTTGTTTAGGGAGAACTCGCCAATCGGGAGGGGGGAGACACTGCTCTGGATTGCAGTATACAATGAGAACAATGAGGGAGTGAAATGGATTGCTGAGAAGATACGCTATCTCCTTCTCGTATTTGTTTGTTAGAATCTCTGTTCATTAAAATCTCTATTCTTCATTCTCGAACAGGGAGGTGATGTCAATCAACCGAACGAAGTGGGTTCCACACCATTATATGCAGCCAGCATGGGAGGCTATATAAACGTCGATGAAACATCTCCAGTCGGTGGGAGCGGACATTCACAGGACAACCGACAGTGGAAGAACACCATTGTGGAGGGCTGCGTCAAGCGGCCATTTGGATGTAGTTAAATTTCTAGTAGACTTAGGTGCCGACTACCACAGAGGTCCTGATCTTCGGGATGACGAAAGAGGAGGGTGGTCTATCGCCTTTGGCCATTGCCATCAAGAATCATCACAACAACGTGGTTTCGTTTTTAGGCGGATTAGTCGCAGTATAAGCCAACATTTCCAGTCTTGCAAAACAGTCGCTGCTGTCATTTATTATGGGTAGAATCTTTTCCGTCTTAATTGCTAGAATGCAATCTGTGCCAAATACGTTCCTAGTGTTCTACGCATCGTGCCCTCTTCACCCTTTTAACCTCAGGAAAGTGCGACTCCTCACGACTCACGTCCCATGTGGATAATTTTGAAACAGAGCTCGAGACATCAAGAATGGTTTCAATATGATTTTTCTGGGCTGTCCACTCCAATACCAGAGCCCGCCCGCTCTCTTGAGCGTTGCTACGAAAGATCCCGGTTTTTAATTCATGGGACGTCAATACAAATGATTGAAGTTATTTTAAATGGCTGATAGCTGGGACATAGGCATCCTCAAACAAAGCGTGCAGCAGAGCCTCCGTTTCGGTGTTGAGGTATACTTGATCATTCACCAACGTGGGTTTCCCCTGAATAATACAAATCTTGCCAGTGTTTTGTTTGGCTACATAAAAATAGTCATTGATTTCCCACGTGGTCAGTCGGAGATTGCCTGTTTCAAAATATGGCTGCCCATCCAAAATCGACCCGACGGACGCTATATGTGTCCCAAAAGTGAAAGCACACTACTTCTTGCTCAGGATAATGTTTGATGATGATTTCATCGAGATATGAGCTCGTACTTCGTGGTGGTAGCATCGACCGATGTGTAGCAGTAGTTTAGACCGTAAAATCCCGTACAATTCCATACAAGTCCTTTAGCAAGGGGCAGTTTTCTGATGAGTTTGAAGTTTGAAAAAAAGTGACATTTTGTGATAAGAGGAACAACAGGACAGCAAAAGGAATAGAATGGCGGTTAACTCATCATATAAATGTACATTGAATGCAATATAACGGCATCGTAGCGGTTTGCCTTATTAGCTCAATACAGGTCGTCAGTTTTTATGGTGTTTGAAAGTTTGAAGGTTCGAAGCTCGACGTGTTAAAAAGTAGCAAGCCTTCGCTACAGCGACACTTGTCGAGAATATACGCGTACAGCTAACTCAACGGGTATGTCCGGGATGATTAAGGTTGATGCGAAATTCCATTATTGAAGTCATCCAAATCACTCTCGTGACGACAGATAGAACAAGAGGAGAGAATGCCAGTAAGAGATGGAGCGATACCGGACCCTGCTCAGTATGATATTCACCCAATAAGTAAGTGATAATCATCGTTAGTCTTTCATCTCATCTCGCTTCACTGACATTAAACCCACATTACACAATTGCAGCTGGGTTTTTGCCATCTGGTCCAAATCCAATCTCTCGCCTTCCCGCTTACTTTGAACCTTGGGAAGTCATCTTGGATCGGCTGTCTGCTCTCCTTCTAGCTGGAAGACTGAGGGAATCTGTCAAGAAGGTACTCATCATTTCCTCATTCGTGTCATGAGTATATCACAAGCAATCTCACACAAGCTGATATCTACTCGTTGTTTCTCTTCTGCAGCTCCCGATACTAGATGCAAAGCAATTAGATCATCATAGAGAGTGGCAGAGAGCATATGTCGTCTTGGCTTTTATTGGTCAAGCTTATATCTGGGGAAAGAATGAGGAGGCTGAAGGTACGATCTATTGATTAACGCTCTTCTGGTCGAAATCATGTCCTGATACATGCACTCTCCCCTCCGACATTACAGACATACTTCCAGAATCTGTCGCTGTGCCATACGTCATGGTGTGTAATCGACTAGGCTTGAAGCCAGTCCTGTCATACGCTGCTGTCGTGCTATATAATCACTATCTCATTGATCCTGAAGGACCATTGGATCTGAGGTGAGAAAAACTTCTGGATAATCACGGCTATAGCTCTCTTTTTTTTTATCTCGCTCCCCAACTGTCTCTCAACTCACCTGCGATCTCCACATTAGCAACTTTGGTGTAATGCATACCTTCTCAGGTGGTATGGACGAAGCATGGTTTTACCTAGTTAGTATAGCCATAGAAGCTGCTGGTGCTCCAGCTATACCCGCAATGATCAACGCCATGCATGCAGTCGTAAACAGGAACATCCCAGCTCTAGAAACCAACCTATTGATTATCGCTCAAGCTATTGAACGAATCAATGAAACTCTAGTGGCAATGTACGAGAAGAACGATCCCCACATCTTCTTCCATCGAGTACGACCCTATGTTGCTGGATGGGAACATACTCCTGAAATGCCACTTGGACTGTTTTATGAAGGTGTTGTGGTCGATTTTGAAGAAAAGGATGGTTTTATGAGCAGTGGAGGGGTTACTGGTACGGCTAGTCAGAATGGATCTAGGCCTGGATCACCACTACCAACCAAACAATCACCTGTATTATACAACAATATGACGAATGGAACGTTTAAATTCCCTGGAGGACACATCCATAGTAGTAAACACCGTAAACTACCAAACCCATTAGACGAAGTTCCACAACACGAAGACCACGGTGTTGTAGGATGGGTCAAAGCCGACCCACCATCACCAGGTAAAATAGGGACATGGGGCAAATGGGCTGGGGCAAGTGCAGGTCAATCATCCTTACTTCATGCTCTGGATGTAGCACTTGGTATTGATCACTACCCAACACGACCTGTAACTGCTTCCGAGACAAATCAACACGATCCTGGAGTCATACCACCTAGAAACACACCGGGACATTTACCACCTTCTTCCTCATTGTCGAATCTCTTAAATAATAGTAATAATAGTTTAATTAATGGACATCACCCTCATGGTAGTAGTAACGGTACCAGCAACCATACCTCACCAATAACCCCATCACCAGGCAGCGCCATAAACCACATCCACGAAATGAGAAAGTACATGCCAGGAGCCCACCGTGATTTTATCTATGCACTAGGTCGAGCACCATCCATCCGCTCCTTTATCCAAGAACTAGGAGCATACACTTCCCTCGGAATGGAAGCTGAACGATTATTCAACCGATGTGTCGAGGGACTCCGTATATTCCGAGACATGCATTTCAAGATTGTGACGGTGTATATCATCATTCAGGCGTCCAAGAAGAAGGAGGCTGGAGTTGGAAGTCGACCGAATCCCGCCAAAGGTGGTGCTAGTAGTGGGAGTGCCGGTGGAAGTAATAGTGGAGTTGTATCTGATAATGCTAGTCTCAGAGTACGACAGACGCTTATTGCGAGGGGTACGGGAGGGACGGATTTGGCACCGTTCTTGAGACAGAGTCGGACGGAGACTGCTCAGGCCAGGCTTGGGGCTGGGTGATTTGGAATGTGAAGTGGGGGAATAGTGGTGAGGATTTGTATACAAGTTTTCGTCTTGTGAATTGTGGTGTGTTGGGATTGTTGGTGTGTTGCTGTGGTAGTAAGTTTTGTTATTCCGGTTGGTTTTTTGATCTCTTTCTCGCTCTACTATAAAATCTGTTATCTTTCAAAAAGGAAGTAATGAAATTCTGTTACAAACTGATAAAATCGCTGATTTTTGCATCGTACAACTAACTACAGGCGAAGGCGAAAAACAAGCAGGATTGCTATATGACAACAGACGTCAAGTCATTCGAACTCGCTCGTTACATGAAATCTTAAACAAGCCAAAGACAGCATCAAAATCATGGCTTAAAAATAATGATGTTATTCTCTTCCTCAATAATAATCCTTCCTACCACTATTTAACAAAAACACTTCTACACATCTCATACACTCTCCACCTCCTCCCTTTCTCCCCACTATATACTATGTAGACGGAGACGCAGTATTCGTATTCTGCAAATGACTTGGCGAATCATGGAAGAGCGACTTCCAATAAAATCCCTGTGATAAGAGCAGCTCGATATCCTTTTCTTCCCAGTTTGATGTTGGGAGGGCTTGCAGGAACATCATAATGTCCTGTTGTGGAGAGAGATTGTAAGAGAGAGCATAAGCATGCTGAAGACCTAAAAGCCATGTATCCGCTTTTTTCCGCCTTCGATTTCAGCCAACTGATTTGTTGTTTTTCGCCATACCTGAAACTCCATCTTTCGTAACTGCTCAGACCACATGCCCAAGAATGAGGCACACACGTATAGATGGAAGTCTGAGAAGCCATCTGCACCTTCGGCCTATAGAATCCAGAGTTCTTGGTGAGAATGGCAAACACAAAAAGTCTTCAACGAGAACCTTCATCATGATACCTGATACGTATCCCACATTCGTATAATATTCTTGATGGATAGCTCTCTCATTAATAAACAATTCATCCATCGGAAAGCAAACTGAATGAATTCTACTCCTTGTAATTGTAAATGTAGTGCTAGTGGACCTAGCGTTGAAAAGAAAGACGGGAGTGAATATGTGCGGGGAAAAAAGGAAAGGAGCACAAAGCATCACACAGGCTGGTGCACTGATTTCACAATTCTCACCAACAAACAAATTATACAAGATACATACCATCAATTCTGTTAATCAGCTCCTTCAATTTAGTAATCTGCCGCTGTATACCAGGTTGTGCAAATGTATAATTGTCTTGTATACCATCCAACAGTTTCGTCAAACACCAAAATGAATCAGCTTCCACATTTTGTATCGTCTGGAGCGGTATCTTTTCGACGTCACAGGTTTCAACATCAGCGGCCGTTATTGCTATCATGCAAGGGTACGTATAAGTTTTTGGCTCCAGGTCTGCCAAAAAAAAAAAGTTGCACAGGCAAACAGGTATAGTCAACAATGGCTTACACAAATCACCAGCTAAAAACACTTGAAAGAATGGAGTCACCAAATCATTAATCCCCTGCACATAACCACTTGCTGGATGTCGTATAGCCCAGCAATACAATATCCTTTCTAGTGCTTCTCGAATACGTTCGTCTTGGTACAACGGGACTCCAGAATTCGTTCTTTGTATGTCAATGTGTATCTATACAAATGGGATGTTAGTGATCGAGAGAGGACGAGACTGAGTTAGTCAATACTACAGTGATCTATGTGCCTTTTTTTGGCATCACAAACCTGATGATATAATGCTTGATCAAGTCCATCTTTGCCTTTAGCAAACGACTGTTCCACATATTCAGCGTATTCGCTCCGTTTCCTGGCTAGTGTTGCATCACGACGATCTGAATTACATGGCAAGTAACCCTGAGTGAGAGAACGACATATGAGCATCAAGCCAAAAAAGTTGATGTTAAAGATTTTTATAGCTACCATAAGAAGCTGCCACACCATTGGCCTAATCTCGTCAGGCACACCCTTCCAACTGAGTTTCCTTAATTGATCTGCGTAGTGACAAGAAATGTGACAAGAATGTAAGTGCTGGTTCTATTCAGAGTTCGCGAAGGCTTTTTTGCCCATCTTTTGACTTACCCAGATCAATATTCGGTAACTCCAAAACAGCTTTAAACTTTTGAAAGCGTATAGCCATACTATTCAATTTGGCTGCTTCTGCCATCATGGATGATTCCAGCTTGTCTGACGTCTTTTCCTTGCCTATGGAATGGAAATCGTTTTAGTTCTGGCAACAAAAAAACAACATTAAAAAAGCAACATTTACGCAAACAATACCATTTGGTTGAGCATGTGTCCCACTCTTGCTCTCTGTACTTTTACGTGTGAGACCATCTCTCTTTAACGTATCCCCAGTACCATCCTTCTTTAATGCATCCAGAGTACCATCTCTCTTTAGTGAATCAAAAGTACCACCACCACTTGGTGCTGTCGATAGTGTTGCGGCATCTGATAATGGGGAGGCAGGTCCCATAGAATTCACTCTCCTTGAGAGGGATGGTGACGATACTGATGACGCCAGTTCGGTTGTTGGGTGTGATGGTTCGGTAGGTGGATTGCTATTAATATTACTTGTAGTAGTATCTGAATCAGGGACTGTCCTGACTGATACTATAGACTCTGGTGGATGTGACGATCCGGTTACGCGTGCTGCAGCTGCTATCGGTGTTGTGACTATGGATAGTGGGCTATTGGGATTGGTACTTATAACAGGAGATTCGATGATTTGTGGAAGAGATGTCGACGATTGGGGATTTGTCCGTGACTTGAATTCGGTTGAGGTTGACGTTCCAGGTGCACTGCCGAGTATACCAGCTCGTAATCCGATGTGAGAGTGTTGAGTTCCGTGTACTGATTTGATTACTAGTTTGACTCTATACGGCGAAAAAAGCGTCCATAAGTGACAAGGGGATTGTCAAGATCATCGACTTGCACTTCAACTCACCTTCCGGGTACAGTTCCAAACTCTGAATGATGTCCCCACTGCTTCTTGATCTCAGAAATAGTGCTAATTTTATGACCGTGTCAGAATGTTAGTAGCTGTAATAAGTGGTTGGTTGGGTGTCGTCGATGATTGTTGCGAAAATGCTCTCTCAAAAGCAACAAGTTATAAGCGGAAGAGGAAGAAAGAATTCTGTGCATTGATCTGCTGTATGCAGAAATCGAGTCACGTTGAAGAGGTTTACCTTGCAGACTTGTCGCCTATAGCGAAAATTGACATTTATCAATTAATGGTGGAATTTTTGGATGTCAAACATAAAGAGCAGTGTTAAGACAAAGCAACGATGACATACCAGTCTTCATTGGGTGGCTACCCTAGTACCGTGGGAGCCTTGATCGAACCGTGTGGTTCTTTCTTGCGATCTAGAAAACAATGAAATTGGACAATGTTGCGCGTGAAACAGGATGGATCTGAACATTGTTACAGAAGGATGCAATTATTTCTGGTGTTATATATGTACAATATTTGCCTACTAGTCTAATTATACGATCATATTCGACTGACACGACGCGATGACCTTATGAAATTTAGTCTTCGCCTCCAATATATAACAGAGCTGGATGCTATAAACAGCAACAAATCCACAATCTATTGGGACAACTAGTGTCAGCTTTCAAGTAATATGCAATCTAACGCGAGTACTGACAGTAAAGGTAAAGAAACGGAAGCCCTCATCGAGATTCTTGCATTCTTGGTATAGTGGAGGTGGTGGAAGAGAGGCGTTGGCGGATAGCTGCGTTACAGTAGAGCCCGTTGGCAGGGCGAATGATTCGTTGGATTGATGATATGTCGTCGTGCACGAGAGTCCAGCATGGTATAATGTCCTGCAGGATGGATCAGATTTCTACAAAGAGTGTACAGAGTTAATATCAAACTCATATTGAATACTATCAAATTCTTACCTGTTGAATTTGAGTACACTTCAGACATTCTTGCATGCTGCAAGCGTAGAGTGTGATGTTCCCGTTTGGATAGCTGTATGCAAGATACGAAAAGTCACCTTCTTCGTGACATATACTGTTTCCTATGAGCAGTAGCAATATGGCTGCTAGTGTCCGTATCCTTGCTCGTCGTAACATGACTACTATCTGTCAAAAATCGCGTTTCTTGAAATTCACGAAGAGCAGTATGGAAAACACGTGAACACGATTGCTTAAGCAGAGTAGGTGATGATATCGCCAATATCGCGAGAAATCGGATTACGGACTGCTCGGCCTGTATCTTGTTGGATCGAGCAGAATGCATACATCTTCAAGAAGTCACCCATTTTCGGTGGCTGCTCTTAGCAAGCTTGTCGTATTTGGGGTATTGGTATCGCTACTACTAGGCTATGGACAAACGCAAAGGAGGCCTTGTTGGCATCGGAGCTCAAACTCCGTCAAATCCGTCACAATCGTCGTCTGTGGAGGCTTCCGATCCAAGACCCAATTCAACCACCTTAATCAGGTATGTTTATAACAAGGAAATCAAACAACCATGATCGTATACTTTCATTTGATGCTGCTTTGTTGCGTAATTCCTCCTGTGGGCTTGAAAGGCCTCCCACATTTGTATCTGCCACCAGGAGGCGTTTTTGCCACAAACAACAGCTGTAAACACCACATTGAACTGGACAGGTTTTTAACTGATCCGTCTATTTGATAGTATACCTGATGTGATTTGTACTCACGTTAACGAAAACAGTGAAGAAGTGGTGGTCGGCGAAGGAGAGCTTCGAATCATACGGCTAACGTTACCGGCGAAAGATGATGCCCCTCCGATATATGACGCTATATATCTCACCGTCGCTGAATCGGTATCTCACCCGTTACTTCCAAGAAGTCAGGCCTGGAAGAGTGGCGTCACATGTAAGCGCAGGCTTCTAGTTCTTAGATCTAAGAATAACCATGTACTCTGACATAGATACATTCCCATTCCCTGTAAAACAATTTTACAAGATCGACCTCCAGAATCCAGACTCTGACATGGCGGCTGCTCTCGACGACTGTTTAACTCACTGCATCGGATTCGAGAACAGACGCAAGTTACAAAATAGTCTGGCATTGGTCGATGCAGCCGGTGAAGTACTGGCTGTACTGGATTCGGATAATATGAAGGTCAGATTTGCTACCAATGCTACTGAGAATGAAAAGGTGCCTATGGTGGTGGATTTAGGAGCTGAGGGTGCTCAAGTGGAGATTGTTGGACAGGATGTGGAGGGCAATCCAAATAAAGGTGCAGAGAGTATTGGTCGACAGCTTTTGGGGAGTCCTTCGGGCTCGTCGGCTGGAAAGACGCCTCAGAAGGTGCGTGAAATTGAGCAATGTGTCAAGGAGGCATCATTTGCTGGACTGTCAGGGGGTTTTGTTGTTTCCTATCGGCATTCAGAATCTGTCAACGCGTGCTTTTTATTGAAATTCCAATCCACATTAGGATCAACCACCCAAGAAGAAATCGTTTTGGGACTCTGTCTTGTCGTTTTTAGAAATAGAACCCATACCTCCACCGCCACCTGCCGACGCATCTCAGACAACGCTGAGAGTCACGACGTTAGCGAGAGATGAAGCAAATCCTTATGTCTTAATAATGCCGGCAGATTTCACAAGTGAGTGACGATTGAGAGTAAAAAGCACTTATACCTGTACCTGAATTATAACCTCAATCCTTGTAGTATCACAGCGAATGCTGGGCTCATTATTAGGAGCCGTGAATACCAGTAGACGATTCGTGAGTACACGATACGGGCCACAGTTATCTGCAGCCTCACGTTTTGCACAGACATGTTGGTCGTCTGTTGTGGAAACGTTGGATGAAGTGTTTCACGCTGTGGACGAAGATATATGGTATAACGAGGTGGAGAAGCATCGAGATAGAGGCATGGAAATGGCACCACGATTACCATTTCGAGCTGCTGAAAGTACAGGTATGTTTGATCCTTTTTGCGGACATCTATCGTACGTTGTATTAACTTGCAAGTGCTGAATCATGGAGCTGAAAAAAATCCAAAGACTGTGACGAATGAGACTAAAGAAAACCTCTTCTTATAGGACCTTTACCTACTGGCACCATTCGATCACGGAATGGCAGACCAATGTCCATAGTTGGTCGGCCGATATCTATATATACACCGCCGCGAGTCGCTGGTGAAACGAGAGCCGAGTCTACAACAATGTCTCGTCGTAAATCTACGATGGCGAGGCCGTTGTCAACTATGGGAAGACCGCTATCTGTAGTCGGATTGGGAAAGGGCGCACTTGGACTTGCAGCTTCATTAGGAATAGATACGACTTCAGAGAGTGCTTCTGAAGTATCAATGGTCTATTTCGATGAGAAATTCTTGAGCCACCCGGCCATTATAAAGGGTGCTACATAGTGCTTTTGTGTTTCAATATACGTATATACATAGTAATAAAAGTCGTTGCATCGAACGGATCTGTAAGGAGCGAAAAAAGAGCATTCTGTTTAATGCATTGTTTGATCCAACTCGAAACCCCACCACCATACCTGAATACACCACTAGAAAATCCAAATGAATATAAATGACTATTTAGGACTCTTTTTAGCAGCTTCAATCCTCAATTCCTTGATTACAGCAGCCAATGCTTCTGGATTGACTCCATTTTCAATGAGTGAGACACATAGTGAGAGTGTTTCCTTGTCTAAACCTGTATTTAGAATATTGCCTATTTGATGTAGGATGTCGAGGCTCTCTCGGGCTTCTGTTATCTTGGGATCTTCACGTTCCATTATTGTGCTGTTTGGTGTTTTGAAGTTTGAAGAGAGAGAATCGGGTGGTAAGGAAGGATTTACGTGTTGAAACCTGTAGAGAATCAACCAATTCGACTCCCAGACGAATTCATGATCATCTTCATATCAAAATTGGACGTCGAATCACTACATAATATGTATCTCGTATGCAAGGATCTGAATCGCTTCGCATGTGAAGAGCTTTGCGGGACTGTACCGGACATCTCCATGGAAGATCAAAGCCTTAGGAATCAAATGAAATTCCTTCGGATTGTGGTCGAACCCTCCTCGCAAATGCCGCTGTACAACATGTCATCAAGTCATAAATGATAGTATCAGGTCGCTAACAGTGACCGATCTCGACGTTGAATTGGGAAAAGAAGCTACCATATTGATAGAAGGTGTATGCAGAGAGCAAATGCTCTCGCGTCGTCGATTTATCAGTACCGCTGCTCGTACAGCCAGCCTTCGTTGTGGATATAAGTGGCCCGATCATCACCTGGAAGTAAACGTGTCAGTAACATCAAAACAGCGGTATACTTTCTTTGCAAAACTTTCACGTCTGGAGGCTTTTACGATTATTACGATTATTGATAACGATGCTCGCCCGACTGGCACAAACGATACAAACTGGAGTGCAAATCTTGCAGGACCTATGGCTACGAAGCCTATCCAGGAATTCGCATTTTATGATTGGAGCACAACCTTTGTAAAGCCGATATTCGAGTCACTGGTAAAAGGATGTTCAAGGAACGTCGTAAAACTGATTCTCCACGTTGACTCCATAAAACATATATCATTAGATTGTCTCGTATCATTCGTAAATTTGAAATCACTGGACTTAAAGGACATTCTTCGTAAAGATGCCCATCCCGTCTCAATCAAGCTGGCTCCAGACGTCAAGCCCAGTATTGGCCAAACCATCTTCCAAATATCGCGTAACGATTTGTGCCTAGTAATAAAACAGTCCGCATCCTCCCTGAAATCTCTCATTGTCGAGGGTGAAGATGGCTAGAGTATTGGACCACACCTTCTTGAATATGAGGGAGCTTTAGAGATGACCAAGCTTCGTAAACTAGTAGTAGCTAGTATCATAACACATCTACACGGACTGTCTACTTGGATTCGCAGCCGTGGCCACCGACTTGAATCTCTCAAGAAACGTCTAGTACATCGTTACAACCCGGTTGACTTGACGGACTATCCACATAACGTCCTGATTGAGCACTGCCAAAATCTAGAGTCGCTGAATATCGAACTATGCGGCGGTGAGGTGCTATCGGTGAACTATGCCGCCGTCAGGTGCTATTGGATCAAGCTATATATGACTTATTACAGGATCAAAATGTTTCAGGTCTACAAACAGTACATATGGATATTGTCTTTTGGAAGCAGCAGTCTTCATGGCTCGCTCCAAGCGGGAAGTCTACATTTATTATCTATGGATTTCAAAGGGTAAACCTAGCCAGGAGTGGAAGCATTATGAAAGGGGCTAGTATATCTAGCTTCGATAGTGGATCGAGGACTATGCTGGCATCATTCTTCAAGAGTTCTCAAAGGTCATTCTCCTTTCTTTCAGTGACGATATAAAGGTGATTACGAATAGAGGATCCGCAAGGCCAGCATACACTGGACCGAGCCCAGCTTCTCTTTGGAAGTCGGCGAAAATATAGAGGTAAGTCGCATAGAGTGATTAGCAGCCATTTCAATTCTGACATATCCTACCATCAGAATCTTTGATGCCAACTACTATTTGAAAAGGTGCAGGCTCGCAAATTATGTAAATGAAATGTAAAATCAAATAACAACAGCAATAACAAATGTAATATAGAAGAATAGAATGAATTGCGAACATCTTTTTGTATAGAGGTCAACTTGGATAATGTTTACATAACACCAAAACAAAATGCTATTAGTATTCATACACATGTTACTGACCTACATCCATGCTATCACCCACATCCTCCGAATCAGCGTTCGGTGCTGAAGCCACATATGCCTGCAGTTCTGCTAACAATACTACAGCATGCCTTGAAATATCCGACCCATCGTACTCGACATCCTTTGCAAATAAGGCCACCGCTTGTTCAAAACACTCTATAGCATCTTGCCAGTACTCGACCCGATCGACCTCATCAACATCCATACTAGCATCTAGAGCTATGACGGCCTTCTTTTCCGCCGTGTCGAGTACTGGTGCTGGCAATGCTGAAGTAGCACTTATATCAACTCCCCCACCCCACCTATAATAACACCACCCATACAGATACCACATTTCGGGATCTTGATCGTTATCACGTTCCAGCGATTGCAAGACGAGCATGGCTCGATCAAACAGGTCAAGTTCAATCAATATTTTCGTACAGGCCAGTCTTGTTGGATATAATGGGTAGTATGGTGAGTCTGGACTGAGCAGCTCCCATATGTCGAGCGACTTTTCTATATATTCTCGTGCACCTGTAAGGTTGGATTGTGATATCTTGACTGATGCGAGAGTTTGGTATGGCTCCGGGTTTTGTGGGTCCAATGTTATGGCTCGTAGGGATAGAGATTCTGCTCTGCTCTCTGCATCAGCCTCATCACTAATAGAATACGTGTAAGAAAGTGCAAATACAGGAAGATAATATGCAGATCCTTTACCAGCAATCAGTCATGTAAATCTCAACCATGGAGCATAGTGCTTGAGCCATTTTGCAAGCAGTGACCTTGAGAAGAATTCAAATGTCAGTATTTCAGCATTTAATGTACCTTAAAGAACACTGACCTCTGCGTCTTCAGCATCGTCAACTTGCGCAACTGTTCTTTCCTTCTCCATCAACTCCAACCCCTTCTCATAGAACGCCAACGCTTCCATGCCACTACTAAGCTGTCCCAAGCACAAATACTTGTGACTTCCATCATTTGGAGCGAGTTCCATTGCTCGCATCAAATACTGTCGAGCTCGATTAATGTTGTCCGATTCCGGCGATGTTGCCGAATCTAGCTCGACGACACCCAATGTTTCGAGTACTTGTACATGATTAGTATCTATTTCCAGTGCTCTGGCTAGGAATTTACGGGCGAGGTCGTAGTCCAATGTTTCAAGACATGTTTGAGCTCTGATCAAGAGAGCATCTGCTGTTATGACCTTGTTTGGTTTGGAATTGTCTTTTGTAGTAGCCTTGGATCTCGTCATATCTATATCCTGGTAACTATTATAGCATGTTATCAATGTTGTCAGTGTCTCTGGCATTAAAAAAAAAAAGTTGACTCCGACATAGGAGACGGTAGAGAGGATTCAATACGCGTCAAGATTGCTTTTTATACTGCAGAACTACCATAAATATGGTCGGATCAGCTTACCGTTACCGATCGCACCACGAATCTGCACCAAGTTCTTGCCTTCTTCCTGTTTGTTTGCGAATCCATTTACCACCAATCTTGTCGACTGGTTCGAGTCATAAGCTGAGTTTTAAACGTGATTTACACGGATTTATAGGGATTTGCAGTGTCTCCAAGTCCTTAATTCAAAGTACCTCGCTGCACTTTCTTCTCCACTTTCTCCACATTCTTAAGCAAGACGCACATAGGAATTAAGGAATGATCGAGATAGTAGTGACGCCTCCAGAGGAGTCTGGACTGGAGCCCATACAGATCTTCCAGCCAGGAGATATAGCAGGGCTGCCAAACGACAAGATAAACGATTTGCAAATATCAAAGTTGAATGCTACATTACAGGTCAGTTGGATTGTTGTAGTGTAAAGATTATATACATGTATTCATTCACGCATTCAATCTGTTAGGTCTTCTTCAATCTACCCTATCTTACTTGCGAGCTGCCAGTCAACTCGCACATTCCAGACATTCATCAATTTGCGACAAACGCTCGAATATATCATACAAGCCCAAAGGAGGCATTCAAGGACTTGAATTATGATTGTATTTTACGTCATATGGACGAGGTAACGTCTTCCGCTATATGCTCTAGTCTCAGAAGTATACTGAAGCATGGCTGTGGTTTCAACATTAGACGGCACCTTATGAGCAAGTGATATCCACTCTCCTCGACACGATCATTGCTCAAACACGATTTGGAGACAGATTCTTTATAGAATGTCCAAATCTTGCAAAATCCAAGAGGACAAGAAAGAAGGACTCGGCTGTCGATATAACAGACCCGTCATCCTCTGACGAATCGTCTGATGACGAGATAGACATACCACCATCCGTTCTCGAATCTGGTCTTGGACGTAGACTGACTCGCCGAAAGTCATATGCTCGAATGCGATCTGGAATGCCCGCTATAGTGTACCCAACATATCTAACCCTCGACGTATCGTGCACTCCGAATGGATCAACAGCCAATATGTTGACATTGATCAAGAAACGATTGAATCATCCCACGACATTCTTCTTCTTTGGTGGTATAGACTCGGCAAAAGACTCGCCTCAACGTGGAGGAACAGATGTCGTAACAGCTGAAAAGATCGAATGGTCTCACTTGCCGCATTATCTCTCACTCGTAATCCAGAGATCGTCTGATAGTGGCTCGTCAACATGTACTGTCGATATGCCAATGGATTTGGACATGTTGTTTGCGTTGAAGGATCAGCGGAATGCTATGGGAGAGACTCTGTATAAGTTACATGGATATACGACGTATGCAGACTCGGGCAAAATGGTTGCCATCACACGGTGCAGAGAATCAAAGACGTGGTACAGGTGCCTGGATGATGAAGTGACTGAAACCGATCCGTTGATGGGGTTGGGATCTGTAAGGAGTCGTGGTGTTGTGTTTGCAATGTATAGGTTGCAAGAACGGCTCAAAATGTAGAAGGGGCATGCCGTGTATAAGTGTAGACATCAGTTACTAAACATATAAACAAGCATCCTTTGTAAATCTTAGACCAGTCAAATGACTGATTATGGCGAATGCAATAAACCCCACTAATTAATTGGAAACAAGTGAAGGCAAGAGGATTAACTACTGTATTGCAAGTATAAGTGTAAGAGATTTTGAGTTAAATATTTAAGAGGGATTTAATATGTAGAGGTCGTCTAATGATGTATGGCACGTTTGAGACTAGCGCTGCCAGTGGAGTGATGGACAGAGATGGATCGTGGTTTCTTGCCAGCAACTGGAGCTCTTGGATTCAAGCCCATTTGAGTTTCGAGAGCCATCACTTTGGCTTCTAAGATTCGGCGGTGTTTTTGGGCATCTTTAAGTCTGGATGAGACGCCATCTGCTGCAGACGGTATAGGTATATGATGTGGATCTAGATATCCAAGATCCATAGATTTGGTCAGAGCCATAGCGTCTAATCGGTGTCTGGCATCCTCCAGCTCGTGAGACAAATCATCAATACGGTTCATATATGCTTCCTTGAGTTCAGCTACATTCTGATCACGTAGCATTTCAACTCTTTCCCGTTCACGACTCTGGACTTCCATACGAGTTACTATCTTTCGTAACTTTTCGTCAAAGGTGAGACGCATACGGGATTCCAGGTTGGCTAGTTGGTTGTTGGATTTGCCAAGCTCGGCATTTAACGCTTGGACTTGATTCGATAGCTCTTTAGCCTGTGCAGCTTCGGTGGATAAGGTAAAGGCATCTGCTTTCAAGGTGTCGAAATCACGTTTCAGACGACCGTTGGATACCTCTAGAGTACGTAAAGTTGCTTCAGCGGCATCGCGAGCTTCTCTGGCTTCTCGCAATTGAGCTCTGGCCATCTTGTCTACAGTCAAGGCATCCATCAAGTCCTGTACTTTGGCTTCTGCTATTCTCTTTTGATTCTCAAGGAAGGCTACCCGTTCTTCCAAAGTAGCTCGAGCCTTGGATAAGAGTGACGATTCTTCTTCCAAGGTTCGTCGTGTACGGTCCGCTCGTTGTTCTCCATCACGACGGGACTCGATTTCTAGACCCAGCTCTGATTCCAGACGGTGTTTCTCAAGCATGTAGTGCTGCTCGGCATCTCGTTTGTTTCTCATGGCTTCATCGAGTTTGGCTCTGACTACTTCCAGTTCGCTCTTGAGTTCAGCAACGACCTTGGCTTCCGCTTCAGCTTGAGCACCCACACGAGAGAGATTTCGTATATCGGTTTCCATTTCAATCCGTTCGTGTGATAGGGTGGCGACCTTGGTAATTGCTTCACGGTGTAATCGAACGGCTGTTTCCAGTTCTCGTTGGCAATCTACTAGAGCCAAACTTTTCTTATCCAAACGTTCCGAGATTTGCAACCGTTCAGACTCCCAAGTCATTTGAGCAGATTTGAGACGTTCCAATTCAAAGCTGGCATGTTTCAGCTGGCTTTCGGTCTTGTTCAGGTCAGTATCCAATCGTTTACGAATTGCTTCTGCGACAGCCAAAGACTCTTGTGAAGACTCATATTCACGTTTCAATCGTTTAATAGTGGCTTCACGTTTCTCTAAACGATCATCTCGAGAGGCAACTTCGTCAACTAGTTGTTTACGATCGATTTCCCAGGCACCCTTGAGTTTCATGAGAGACTCGATTTCTGCTTGTGCAAACGATAGCTCCTCTCGTCGTTCCTTTAATTGTTCCTCCAGGACACGACGGTTGTGCTCTAATCGTTCAGCATCAGCCTCAGCCTGAGCTCTGGAAACCATCAATGCTTCTCCTTCCGCAGTAGCTGCTATGAGTCGACCATGCTCAATCCTAGACTGAGACTCGGCAGCCAATGCACGAGCTTCAATAAGATCCTTTTCGGATTCCAGACGGATCTTAGACTCGCTTAATGATTCGAGTTCCATGTTGGCAACGGTGAGACGAGATTGGGTGGTCTTGAGTTGTTCAGAGAACAAGTGGAGACGCTCTTCTAATTGTCGTCGTTCAAACTCTAGATGGCTCTTTTCGACTTCCCATAAGGCTTGAGACTCTGCAAGGACATCCACTTCGTTGGTTATGGTGCCAAGCTGTTGTTGACGAGACTTGAGCTGCTCTTCCAAGAAATGTTTCTTTTCACCTAGTGCCTTGCGATCAAATTCAAGTTCTGACTTTTGCAATTCCAAGTCAGCTGCAGAATGCTTCAGCCTCTCATTCTCTTGTAGAGTGGTTTCGAGCTGAAGTTGACGTTGGTGTAGACGTTGCGAGAGCTGCTGTTTGGTTTCTTCAAGACCAGTCAACTCAAACTTGAGATTCTTGCTCTCATTTTCGAGCTGAGCATATTGTTGAGAGAGGATGGATAGCTTGGTGGTGGTAGTATCGAGACTGACTTGGTATTGTCGTACCTCAATCTCTATGGCTACCTTGGCATCATGAGCAGCTTGTACTGATGAGAGGAGACGGTGCTTTTCCAGCTCGGCCTTTTCACGATCCTCTTCCAGTAGCTGAACCTTCTTCAATACGGTATCAGCTTCGACGACTTGAGTATGTAATGTAGCCTCCAGTGAGCCGATACGTTCTTTGAGATTATCAACAGTCTCCTGTAGTATCTTTTTGTCAGACTCTAGTTTACGAGTTCTGAGGTCACCGTCGTTTTCCATTCGAGCGCTTTGGGACGACACAGAGGACAATTGTATAGCAGTAGCATCCAACTTGTTCCTGTACTGGCCCAGTTCTGCTTCCAAAGCGACCTTGGCATCAGTTGCAGTCTTGAGAGAAGCAATCAATCTCTGCCTGTGAAGTTCAGTCTTCTCATTGTCTTCTTGAAGTACATTGAATCTCTTCAAGATAGTATCAGTCTCAGCGACTTGATGATGCAACGAGCCTTCCAAAGAGGAGACACGTTCCTTGAGTTTATCAACAGCGTCTTGCAATATCTTTTTCTCTGAGTCAAGCTTGGCTTTCTGAAGTTGGGAATCACTTTGTGCGTGTGCGTATTCGGTAGATATGGAAGTGAGCTTGGCAGTAGTGGTGTCGAGATTGACTTGGTATTGGCGAACTTCATTCTCCAAAGCTACCTTGGCATCGTGGGTGGTTTGCATGGAGGCGAGGAGACGAGCCTTTTCAAGATCAGCGATTTCACGATCTTCTTCAAGCAGCTGCACCTTCTTTAATATCTTATCAGCTTCACCAACTTGTTTATGCAACGAAGCTTCCAAAGATGCTACTCGATCTCTGAGTTTATCAACCGTTTCCTGCAAAATTCTCTTGTCGGATTCGAGGGTTGCGATTTGAAGATGAGCATCACTTTCAAGATGTGTGTGCTCGGTTGATATGGTGGTGAGCTTGGCGGTGGTGGTGTCTAAGTTGGCTTGGTATCTCTGGATTTGACTCTCCAATGCGCTCTTGGCATCTTGCAAAGTTTTTACAGATGAGAGGAGACGTTGCTTCTCGAGCTCAGCCTTTTCACGATCTTCATCTAGCAACTGAACCTTTTTAAGCACAGAATCGGTTTCAGCTACCTGTTGATGCAAAGAAGACTCCAATGAAGCGACACGTTGCTTGAGCTTATCAACAGCCTCTTGCAAAATCTTCTTTTCTGATTCCAATTTGGCAGTCTGAAGCTGGGAATCACTTTCCAGATGCGTATGCTCGGTAGATATATTTGAGAGCTTGGCGGTGGTGGTATCCAAGTTGACTTGGTATTGACGGACCTGGTTTTCTAAAGCTAACTTGGCATCTTGCATGGTCTTCATAGACGAAAGAAGACGCTGCTTCTCGAGTTCAGCTTTCTCATGTTCCTCTTCAAGTAGCTGAACCTTCTTGAGTGTACTATCGGTTTCAACTACTTGTTTGCGTAGCGATCCATCCAACGATGTGACTCGTTCCTTGAGAGTACCAACGGATTCTTGCAAGATCTTCTTTTCAGACTCGAGTTTGGTGATTTGCAGGTGGGTATCACGTTCATGATGAGCGTGTTCGGTAGATAAGGCCCTGAGCTTGGCAGTGGTAGAGTCGAGGTTGACTTGGTATTGACGGACCTCGTTTTCCAATGCTACTCGGGCATCATGAGTGGCTTGCATAGACGACAAGAGGCGTTGCTTTTCAAGCTCAGCCTTTTCACGGTCTTCGTCCAGGAGCTGTGCCCTGTTCAGCAAAGTATTGGCTTCAGCAACCTGTTTATGTAAAGAAGCCTCGAGAGACGAGACACGTTCCTTCAAGACTGCAGTAGCATCTTCCAGCATCTTCTTGTCGGATGCAAGTCTGTTACATTCGAGCTCAGCAGACATACGACCTTCCTTCTCTTGCTCGCTTTGAGAAAAGAGCTGTTTGACTTGCGATTGTACCAGCTTTAGTTGCTCTTCAGTAGCCCTGACACGTTCCTGGTTGGTCTGTTTGTCGAATTGCAGACTACGTTTATCAACTTCATCCGCTTTGTTCAGACCAGTGAGGTTTTCGACTCGTGCCGTTAATTGCTCAATTTGTGCCTCAGCACGTTGGAGTGATTCTTCCAGGGAGCGACGTTTGTCTTCAAGAGACTTGCGATCGATCTCATGTTCCGTGGTACGAGATCGCAAGTCGGCTTCGAGAGAGGATCGTTCCTCAGACAAGACGTGACGTTCTTCTTCAAGCTCAGCTTTAGCCTTCCACAGTTTCTGAGCATCAGCTTCAGCTACTTCCAATTGCTTTTGAGTGGTAGCTAGAATATCTTCGTCGTGTTTCTTGGCGATACGGGCTTGCTCTTCCAGTTGAGCAACCTTCAACTTGAGGTACTCTTCAGCCGCCTTCTTGTCGGATTCAGCAGCAGACTTGAAGTGCCTGATTTGAACTTGCAATTGCTGAGATTCGGATGTAGCAGCATCATACGACGCCTGAATCTGGTCTAGATATCGGCGAGCAGCGCCCAGCTGAGAGCTCAAATCAGTAGCTCGAGCCGCAGATACATCCAAATTGTTTTGCAAGACTGCATTCTGTTCTCGTAAGACTGACAAATCACCAAGTAGAGCCTGTCTTGTAGCATGGAGATTATTGTTGGCGAGCTTCAAGTCCGTTTCTCGGTTACTCAAGTCATTCAAGAGCTCAGCGACTCGTTTTTCGGTTAGACGACTGGTGTTGTTGAGACTTGCTATTATGTGCTCCTTTTCTTCGAGTAGAGTAGCCTTGTTTTGGATTTCCTTTTCCAGCTCGAATGCTCGTGATACAAGAGCTAAGCGAGACGATTCACTTTCTGCAAACTTGGGTTCGTGTATTTGCAGCTCTTGCTCCAAGTACCTAATCTGATGTTCAAGACCAGGTATACGACGTTCCAATACCGTTCGTGCGAGATCTGCAGCTGCGACCTTGGATTGCTCCTGAGACAAGTTGACGGAAAGTTGTCGAAGTTCCGATTCCAAGGTTACGACTTGAGCCTGTAGTTGATTCTTGGCTTCAGTCAACTCACTAATTACATTCAGTTTCTCGGTAATGGTGCCCTCCAGGCCATGTTGTTGTTGAGATCGTAGTGTTTCCAAAGCAGCCAATTCATTAGCCATTTTAGCTTCAATAGTAGCAATACGCGACTTGCACTCAGTCTGGATGGTCGTGACGTCCGACTTCCATTCAGCACGAATAGCATCAATTTCAGCATTAAGTTCTCGTTCACGTTGCTCGGAATGTGCAGTGAGTGTCTTTACAGAGGTTTGTAACGAGTTGATTTCGGTGCTGGTTGACTCGGTGATGCTGAGAATCTCCTCCTGAAAGACACGAAAATAGGTAAGCAATGATACATGACAATGGTGCCAAAACAGGCCTTTGCAAAACTGGGTAATTGCTCACCTTGAGCTGTCCAATACTGTCTTGCAGCTCGACAAACTGCACTTGCTGAGCATTAGCAAGAGTTTGCACGGTAGCCTTTACAGCACCGTCAAGATTCAAGTCGTTTTCTATATCATTGATGAAACCCATCCAGTTGGACGCGTCGTTCAAGATACAGTTCTCCAAACCAGTCAACTTTTCAGTCAACATTCCAAGTTTGCCGATAATATTGTTGGCATCCTGTTTCGTCTCAGACCAGGTTCGTACCCGGACCGAGTTGGAGCGTGATCGTACACCCAGACTGAAGACTTGAGTAGAGCTCTCCTCGGGTAGCGAGTTGAGAACCCGACGTTCAAGACTAGGGCTCTTGGACTCCATATTCTTGAGCTTCATCAGGACGGTTCCAATAGAAGTATTGTTGACACGCACACGATCCAATTCAGCTTGTAGCAAGGTATGAGTGTCTGCGAATTTGGTTTCAAGATCAGCTTTAGCTTCGTCCAATTCCAGTATTTCTACACGGGCCTTATGAAGAGCTAGTTCATTTTCTCGTAAAGTGGCTTCTACAGTGGTGGTAGTTGCTCGTTGCTGTTCCAATTCAGCTCGTAGAGTCTTGTATCGTTCGTGAGCCATACGCGATTCTGATTCGGCTGCATCACGTTCTTCTTGAGCACGACGATGCAATTCACGGATTTCCCGTTCAAGACGTTGGCGAGAGTCCTTGCCATCCTCGTCAGCTCTAATCCCAGCCTCTTCTTGTTCCTGTAAAGCTCGTTCAGCTGATCGTAGACGATGAGTCAATGATGTCACATTTCCTTGAGCGGTAATTATTTCTTCTCGGTTTGCTGCGAGTTCATTACGAGCGGCAGTAACGTCTCTTTCTAAACTATGAACCAAGGTAGTTTGATCGACTAGACGGATATCCAGTAGCGCGAGTTGAGATTCGAGTTCAGAGACACGACGTTGCTTGTCTTCCAAATGTCGCTGTAAAGATTTAGCTTCTGCGCGAGCTGTTGAGCTTTCAGCATCAAGTTTAGCAATAATCTCTGCCTGTTGCTGTTGTTGCAAGCTGCAACCTTGGACATCACTTTGCAAACGCACAGCCTTTAACTCTTGTTCGTGAATCTTGTCCATCGCAGCAGACAGTTCAGCCTTGGTTGACTCCAGGTCTCGAGAGTATCGAAGCAGATTGGCGGTATGGGTTTGGTTGGCAGTCAATTCAGCTTCATACAATTGACGTACATCAGTCAAATTAGACTCTAATTCAGACAGAGATTCCAATACTCGTTGTCGTTCAGCATCACTGGTTAATCTGAGAGTACGTTCGTGCTCAAGATTTTGTGACAAGAGTTTGATTTCACTTTCAAAGTAGCGAACCATGTCTTGGCCGACTTCGATAGGCTGAGTGAATTCGGCCGAGACAGTTGCTGGATTACTAGATGCAGAGTCTCGCATTTGTTGACGAATGGAAGCAAGCTGACGGTCTCGCAACTCCAAGGCTACCTTTTCAGCAGCCAAGTGCTCTTTACAAGTATCCAGTTCCTTTTGTAGTTCATAGACTTGAGACTCGTATTTTTCACGGAATTGGGTTTCGGCTATAGCAATATCGGAGGTCCATTTAGGACGTTCTCGTTCAAGCTGTTGGAGACGGGATTCCAAGTCATTAGCAGCAGACTTGGACTTTTCGAGATCCAGAGTCAAGACAGAAACCGTATCACGAGCAGAAGCATGTTCGGCCTTTTCAGATCGTAGAGCCTTGGACATGTTCTTGACCTCATCAGCCAATTCCTCAACTCTGAAACGTTCAGTTTCTCGAGCAGCTTCTAAAGCCTTGCGTGACATTTCCAAGTCATTTACAACAGTTTGGAGCCTGGCACACTCGGATTCAAGACGTGTAAAGTATTCCTTGTCTGGATTTTCGTCGACGGGTACTCCAACTTCGGTAGGAAGAGATTCAGGTCGTTCAGGCAATCCCATCATTCGTCTCATCAAGGCTACTTCACGTTTAAGATTACTGCTACGAACTGTATCAAGATCGATACGTTTCGTCAGGCATTCAGCTTCAAACTTGTACTTGTCAGCTTCGGCACGAGCCTCGTCGAGTTTCTTGTAGGTTTCGTCTGCGGTACCAGCTCGTTCACGAACTCTTTCCTCAAGTTTAGCAGTAGTCTTCTTGAGTGATTCTATGTTGGCTTGCTTTTCAGCCAACTTGATTGAAGCGGCCTTATCAGCAGAATCCAGAGCTCTAGCTTTGTCTTCTTCGAGGCGTTTATGTTGGGCAGCCATATCAGCATTCAACTGAGCATAACGTTGCTTGAGTGTTTCACGTTCTGATTCGATCCTGGCCTGGATGGATTTCTGTTGCTGCATGGCATCTTGATGAGCTGCTAGTTGTTGCTTCTTCTCAGTTTCCAGACTGGTGATTTGACGGTTCAAGTCCGAAATTTGTTGGTGATGCAAGTCCTGAGCCTTTTGAGCATTGACTCTGGCTTCTTCGAGCTCGTTACGAGTAGCAGCATGCTTTTTACGTGATGCAGTCAAATCATTCTCTAATGACTCGACCTGTTGAGCATGCAAAGCATCAATCTGTTCTATTTGCTTAAGATGGGCTTTCTTGAATTGAGCAGCCATAGCAGCTTCCTGCTCCAACTTGGATGCAAGTGACCCAATTTCCCGTTCTTTTTGCTCAATAGCTCGAGCACGACGATCCAATTCAGGTCCAGAATTTTTTTTATATTGACCGACCCATGCAGAGATGAGTGAGAAGTCCACATGGCTAGATTCAGTTGGTTTTATCATCTGGCCATCATTTAAGTCGAGTTCCTTGTTGACGAATCTGTACTGCTGAAGCATGACACCTCTCTCAAAGTTCATTTCGGCTACCACAGCTCGAGCTTCATCGACAATGTGCTTGAGTTCGTCTATGGTTGCCGCGACGTTGGGAGAGTCGGCAGTCAAGGAAGATTGAAGGACTTGGATTTCAGCCAGCATTCGACCAAGTCCCATCCGTTCAGGACGTGGTGCGTTAGGATCGAATGGAGCTAGTGGTATAGCCTCTGGCATTGAGACTTCTACACTGGGCTGACGGGAGCGTCGACCAAGTCCTAATCGTTTGGTTATGGATTTGGTGCTGGACGATCTAGATACTGAGGATGGCTTTTTGGCTTCATCCTTTTGAGGAAGAATCTCCTTGGTATCAGGTTTACTTCCACCTATAGTGACAGCCCGTTTACGACTAGCAGAGCTGGATGGATTACTGCTAGATTCTCGAGAGCTACGGCCACTGTTGATTGTGGTTGACAAGGCAGCTGGAAGAGGCATAGGAGCAACAGAGTTTTGAGCTTCTGCGATCTCCTCTACAGTTTTGATTTCTTCTGGCACTGTGTGGTTCTTGGTCCAAGTTAAACCTCTGGTGCCAATCGTTTCGCTTTCCATTGCTATATCAACACTTCGTCCATCAAAGCCCATGTCATCGTCATCAGCCACAAGAACATTACGTGGAGTTCTTTTGATCATTGGACCAGATGAGTCAGACGAGTCGCTAACACTGCTCAAGTTGGTAGAGACTGAGTGTGGCATTTTGGTTGCTGTTGCTGCAGCATTGGTTGAGGATGCCTAAGAGAGCAGACTTGAGTATGGAAAAAACCCCTAGAGATAACAGCTCATACTTACCGGTTGATCTGAAGCCACAACGGATCTGTTCTGTTCTGGTCCTACAACAACCTTTTCTTCCACCACTGGAGCAAGAGATGGTTCTACCGAGACCATTTCGACTGGTTCAGTCATACCAGGAGCACCAATATCGGATATCTACGAGATGCCCCAAAAGGTAAGAAACGCGAAATAGAAAACTTCTTCAAGAAAGAATTTACCTCGCTTTCTGTATCCCTCATATGACTTTCATCTTCAATAGCTTCACTAACAACATCAAGACCACGAGCAGTAAAATCAGTTACTACTTGTGGTATCTGGGACTGAGATGTAGATTGCTGCTGTTGCAGCATGGCCCGTTTTTCACGTAAAGCCGATTTTTCATCTTCAGTTAAATCCATGGTATTCCAAAGCTCCGAATCACTTGAATCTGAATCATTTTGGTTTGTTTTTTCCTTTGATTCGGATTCGTTGGCTGCTGAACCACCGGATGATGGTGGTGTTGGATCAGAAACTTCAGACATTTCTGGTGGACTTTCAGCCTATAAAAAAATCAATTTTCAGCTAAATTTCGATGTGAACAAAGACCCCCCGCCCTTACCAGATCAAGTTCATCGAACTGTATAGATCCGCCGATGGAGCTAACACTTGCAGCAACACCACCTTCAACATTCTTTTTCAAGTCTCGTATAGCCTTGTTGGCGAGACCTTTGGAGCTCGAACCTGAATCAGCAGCAGCTAGTCTTTCCCTAGATGCTGATTTTTTGGCTTCTTTAATCGGTCTTGCGGCATTCTTCTCAACAGCTGGTGTTTCAGTCGTTGGAGATACAGGTACATCAACTATTGGAGCCATTACGGTATTTGTGCCGGCCTGAGATGGTTTGGGAGGCACTTCTTGTTTTACAAGAAGGGCGTCCTTTGACATTTTACGAGACATTGCTGGTGGCGGTGGAGGTTCTGACGATGGAGGTGGTGGCGGTGATGCCACTTTTACGGCTTTGAGGATTAAGAAATCTTTCAAGGCTGGATTATGTTTGGCGTAATCTATTGGTCTCAGGTTTGATTCGTCGATCTGGTCTAATGGTGCACCACTTTCGACTAGGAAGCGGGCCATTTCTTCCACATTCTTTTCAACTGCGACATGCAGAGGAGTTCTAGAGAAGAAAAGTGTTTGTACAAAAGCACTTAAGTTGCTTTTGATAGCATACTCACTTTTTATGCCCATTGGGTCTCGAAATATTAGCGCCCTTTGCAACAAGAGCTTTGGCCATATCTACTCGGCGTAACCTTATAGCATGATGTAGCAGCGTGTTTTGAGTCTGTATTTAGGGAGTAAAAAAGTCAATATCTGTGTTGCAATCGTGCACTCGTTTTGGCACATACCCGATCGTAGATTCCAAGGGCTGGATTCTTGGCTAGTACCAAGTCAAAGACAGACTTGTTGTCTGTTAGCAGTGAGTAATGTAATGCAGTGCATCCCACTTCATCCAATGAGTTAGGATCAGCTCCCAAAAACATTAAATGAGCAACCATATCGTTTCGGCCGAATATAGTAGCCTAAACAGATAACGTAATTAGTATCCTTATCTCAAAAACAACCTGAAATTCACATACCAAGACTAGTGGTGAGCGACCATGGTTGTCTTGTGTGTTAAGTCCGCATCTGCGAACCGTTGGAAGTTCGGGCAGATCTGACGGTTTAGTTACAACTTGCGGCGAATGGCCTACAAGTTCCTTGAATACGTCCATCTTATTCTGCAGAATAGCTAAATGAACTGCTGTAAATCCATGCTTGCGATCCAGCTTATTTAGATCCCGATCGGGTTCACTCATAAGTTTCAGCATCTTGGGTATTTCACCCTTGAATACAGCCAATTGCAGCGAGTTTAGATGTCTGGGGTTGATAACAGGCATCATTTTGACGGTCTCAGGTGTCTGTGATAGTAGATCAGGCAATGGAGATTCGGGGCTTATAGGAGAAGGGTATGCTGATTCTTCGTTAATGGAAGCATCGTCGTTGGCCGACATTTTGGATCCTATGGACGGTGATCTAGTCCTAAACTTGCTCCAAGTGTTTGATCGAGAGACATTGGTAGGATCGACTTTTAATGTCGAGCTTTTTGGCGAGGTGTTTGAGCTATCGGTTGGCGAGTCACCCGTTGAGCTCGTAGCCTTTCCTTTACGGAACATGGCTCCTTCCTCTCTCTTGTTATTGGATTCTCCAAAAGGAGTGTCTTGTATTAAGAGGTTGCGTAGCAATGCTGGGAGGAGGTTGTTAATGAAAACATTCCGACACAGACTGCGTGGAGTAGATCTTATAGTTCCAACCTAAAACCCATCAATTTAAACGAACAAATGTGTGAATTACTTACTTTCTCGATAGATCTTGCTTCATCCATCTGTGCTACATCATCACGAACGCTGCACATTTCGCACTTTGACGAATAGTAGCAGCACGAACAGCCATGTCTTACGGTGTAGCCAGCACCTCCAATGCCGTGCAGCGACTAACTGTCTCTCTAAGGGCGAAACTTGCATCAGGTAACTTCATCACAGTTGTAATTCACGAGATTTCCAACACGCATGCACACATTCCCAACCTCTAAATTCTACACTTATACTGTATTATGAATTCTTTACTAACTTTTCTCCAACTAAATGAAATAGGAAAACCGTGCATCGGTGCATGGCTTGACATTCCAAATCCAGCTGTTGCACGAGTAATTTCGCGATTAGGATTCGACTGGTGCCTTATCGACATGGAGCATGCTCCAATGACTATTCAGATAGCGGCAGAAATGGTTGCAGCTATTGGGTCAAGCTCTGATTGCTCGCCTATTGTCAGAGTTCCTGGCCACGGTGGTACGTACAATTAAATTGGATTAGCCTTTGGGAACAGAGCCTAATCTTTCTCTCAATTAGTGGAATGGTTTAAATGGGTACTGCTGCGAATGTTTCACTGCGTGCTTGTTTGGTGTCGCTGCTAAATATCACACATTTACAGGCATTGGACGCAGGAGCTCATGGTATCATCATTCCCATGGTAAACACCAAGGAGCAGTGCGAGGCCGTTGTGAGTCATTGTAGATATCCGCCGGAGGGGACTCGCAGTGCCGGTAAACATCACAAACCATTGTCGTTTCTTAATGTTCATGTTAATCACCTCCTTTGTTACGTACTGATAACCATCCTCACTAGGTGTCTTTTACGCCCAGTACGCCTTCTCATCGTTAAAAGATCAAGCCAATGGAGTTCCTACATATCTGGCGGAAGCGAACCGAGAAATCTTGGTTATGCCGCAGATAGAGAGCAAAACTGCGCTTGAAAATGTTGATGAGATACTATCTGTGCCCGGAGTGGATCTGGCATTTGTCGGCCCAACTGACTTGCATTTGAGCTTGAATTTGGCACCCAGCGCAGAGGGACGAGAGCCTATATTCCTGGAAGCGCTTGAGAAAATCAAGGCTTCAGCAAAGAAGAACAATGTCAAGCTGGGTATATTTGCTACCGGTGGAGCGGCTTCAAAGCAGAGGATTGCTGAAGGCTTCCAGTTTGTAAGTTCTGCGCCAACTTCCAACTTCCACATCCTATTTGTTAATTGGTCGAAATGTTAGGTGAATGCATGTACTGATTTAGCGATGGTGTTAAAGGGCTGTAATGAAGCATTACGAGATGCCAAGATGTGATTTGTGTGTGGGTATAAATATACATTTTTCAGCAATCTACAAAGTTTTAATACAATTGAGTAGTATTTTTGCAATTTTACGGTTCAAACGACTTTTTGGAGTAATCCAGCTTCTCGACCTATTTGTTGACAATGGTGTTAAGTCTGAAGGGAACCAAAAGGCCAACACAGTCAAGTTCAACCAGACTACCTTGACTTCATTGTCAATCAACTTGTATACGTAGAGCACGACATTTGTACCCTGTACATCCATCAATACAAAGCTGGGAGTGACATTTCCAGCAACTAGCCCCGTGAATGCCCCCGTAGCAGAACCGGGATTTATAAAGAATCGATTATCCAATTCAAAAGCCTCAAACTTGTGAGTATGACCCGTAATAAGCACATCTACATCTAGTTGTCTGGCGGTGGCAGCGAGAGCAGCATGATCACCCCAAGGAAGGATCTGATGTCCATGTGTCAGGCCAATCTTTAATGAACCCTGAGTAATGACTTTATGTTGTGATTGCGTTGCAGTTGGTAGCTCGTCCACGTCTCCGCGGACGAATAATACATCGGCGGCTACCGTGCGTAGATAGTCGAGGGTTTCCTTGTTTGTAATGTTTCCTGTACAGAGTATTTGTTGGATTTTGCCTGGGACGAGCAGCTTTTTGAATTTGGCTGGGAGGTCGATGGTACGTCCTGGTATGTGGAAGTCACCTATTGCTAGTATCAACACCATTGTTGTAATCTATCTATCGTGGAAATAGTTGGGATTTTGGATTCTTGAAGTTCAGAAAGTTCAGTGAGAGCGACCAAAAGCAGGCTCAACAACCCAAAGACGCGTTAGGAGTAGTTTTGATCACATCCGGCATTTCTTTGCTTGCATCTTTGTTGTTCAACGCTCAACAATTCAACAATTCTGAACCCAATTCGATAATCATAGCATTCTCGTGACATTCGCGTTTTTCCATAGCAAACGACGAGGATCTGCACGGTACATCACTAAGGAGCACCTTGAAAGTATCATTCGCGTCGCCAGTTGCCTATAGTTCCTTGTTTTTGGTGGTTAAGTGACAATGGTCAACACTCGACTTCACAATTAAGGTGTGGCTTGCTGACCTGAAGAGGCTTATAGCAACGTAAGGTCTAAGCTATATTCGATTTGATGATTCATCATTGCATCAGGTCATTGCATATGTACTAACTTGCTCTTATACACTAGGAACTGACGAATACATCATCGAACAATCGGAATCAACACTCTGTTCCCCACCTTTGAAAAAGTTGGGCTTGTCGTGCTGCAAACATGGGAGACGTAAGTACCTTGATCTAGATCTTGTCACGAACTCATTCGTTGGGTTCCGTTGAACCTTGTTGCTGCTGTATCCTGAACATTCCGTCGTCAACATCTGACCTGCTTAACAAAAAAAAGTTGAACGCAACCATTTGTCGTTGACGGATGGTTTCAAAGGATGACAAGCAATCTTTTAGCATGAGTTGCAGTTATTATTCTCATTATCAACCTCTATACCTCTCGTTTCATAGAACCAACCCATCCGCAGCAACAATGTCACCACGAATAGAGTAACACCCAATCCGCGTCAACATCCATATCCTCCTATCGCACCATCTCTACATACAAACGGTCCACATACTCCCATAACTCCCGCTCAAGCCATTGCCTATCTATTGCAACCATTGGCAAACGATCCAGTCCTAGGTGCCACGGCGACAGGTCTATTGTCTGCCGTATCATCAATCAATGCGGAAGGTGCTACGGCTGAAGCAGTGCAACAGGCTTCAAATGCTATTGCTGGACTGTTTGGTGCTGCAAGTCTTGTGGGGTTGACAAATGCTGCTGCTGCTGCCGCTGCCTCTTCCACCACCAATAACAACAATGTAAACAATAACAGTAACAGCAATAATAACAGTAGTAGGGAGAAGAATAGTGGTAGTGCAAGGAGCGATACTGCTGAAGCTGCTCGGAAAAAGTCCAAGGACTCGAATCGATTCCAGTGTGAACAGTGTGGACGTGTATTTGGAAGGCAGTACAATCTCAGCTCACATCTCAAAACACATCAAACGGATAAGCCATTTGAGTGTGTCCATTGTGAGGCCAGGTTTGCCAGGTAAGAGTCACAAAGATGATTTGTGTTGGAAGCGTGATGTGACAGGAATGTCATAATAAACTCATTATGCTTTTTTGTGTATCATTAGGAATCACGACTTGAATCGACACAAAAAGATCCATAGCAAGGAAAAGATTCATACATGCCCTCACTGTGGTCGAACCTTTGCTCGTCGGGATGCTCTTCGTCGTCATGAGAAGATGGACCCAGATGGGAAGAGGCTTCATTGTAGCGTACAACTCAACCCAACAGCTGCCCAAGTCATTGCAAACGGTCTGCTAGTTGATAAATCTGGTCAAATTCCTGCTCTTGCCGACACAGAAATCAGTGGTCAACAACAGCATGCTGAAGAATCGTTGGACGACGACGAGGGAGATGAAGACGACGAGGACGATGATGAAGAAGAGGTCGTTGCTTCATCTCATTCAATCGCCAAGACGAATGTCAGGAGTTTTCCTCACTTGGATGCTGCTGCCCGATAATTAGGGAGAAACAGATTGGACATCAAAAGTCACCAGCACAAGAATACCGAGGACGAATAAATGCACAAACACAACCACTCTATAAATATCTGATGTCGTTTTTATTATTGTAAGCAAAATTGGGTAAAAGCATATATATATTTACGGGCCCAACAATACTGTTATTTTACCGCGATCAAGAACGAAGCGAGTATATGATCCTAGTTATCTTCGGCGTCTGCTTCCTTGATGACGCTAATATCCTCAGCTTCTTTGGGAGCAGGTGGAGGTGGTTGTGCTTTGGCCTCCTCAGCTTTCCTAGCCAGATTCTCAGCCTCCTTCTTCTCCTGTTGTTCTCGTACAGTAGCCACTCGTGTTTCCAATTGTTGAGATAATCGTCGTCGAGAAGTCTGGTAGTTTACTAACGTCTGTTCGTACTCTGCCTTGAATTTACTTATTTGGGCTGATCTAGACTGATCTAGTTTGATTTGTTCCTGGGCTTTTACGTGGTGGATGAGGTATTCGCCTATGAAATCCTATAGATGTGAGAGAGGAATGGTTAGTATGGTGTGGTTGACTGTTTCAGGTTGGGATGAATTATGATGTGTGCATTGCGTTTGTTAAGCGAGGGAGAGAGGGTAAAGATAAATGCACGAATGGAGCGTATTGACGACTCCAGATCTTTAGATCTTATTATGGTATAGTGCATTCCGCGACCACTTAAATTTCAGCAAACGATTAAAACGTGAAAGGAAGGACAGATCTGAGACAACTCACCACGGGATCTCCTCTAGTATTCCTCATATACAAAGCCAGTCCCTCTGATAACGGAGAGGCGATGGTGCCTTTCATGTATTCGGCATCCATTATTGGTATTCGATTATCAGTGATTTTTTGACAAGTGTTTTGGATGTGGAACGCTCCCGTATTGGCTGCTGATTATTTTTAATGGTAGTTCCTATGATGCATAAAGTGATTATGAGCACGTTCTAGCTCGTTGCTTCAGACGTTTTGATTACATCATGTTATCTGAAACCCCAATTATTGTCAAGGCTGGAATCTATACGAATCGATTGCCAAGGACGTTTGCAGGAGCTGCTATGATGAATTTATTTCTTTTTAAGATTCGATTCATTGTATACAATTCCACTTCCCACCGTTTGATTCCACTCTCCATACGCTGACCGGATCTTGCTGATAAAAACCTTATGGAGCTGGAATCAAGACTATGGATTGCTTAAAGATTGAGGAAGGCTTCTACTATCGACAACGACATTATCGTAAGTTTGGAATGAAAGTAACTGCCTTACCTTGCAAGTTGAACGGATCGGACTTCGAAATGTCAACAGCCATGATGATTGACACACCCATGACTGCATCCGCTATTTTCCCCACCATGGGCTGTCAATCATTTCAATCCGATCTATGTGTGTGGCTACCCTTATCTTTCGTGCCACTCATCGCAAAGGCTTGCTCGAATTCGTCACGATCCATAGTCACGTTTGGAGACCGTGACGTTTTTGACACTTTCTCCACTCGCTGATTTTCTCCACTTGTCACATAGAAAGGCGGCAAGTGCGTGATATCAAAACCTTCGGGTAGTGTCTCCGAAACGAGCTATTTAAAGTGAGCCGCTTCAAAGTAGCTGCCGTCCTACCAAAAACCGCATACCACTTTCTACAACTGTTACCCGTGAACTCAAGAATGTTGTTCAAATCGACTGTCGCGTGTCTGATGATGGTTACCGTAGCCATGGCTCAACGTCCAGCAAACGTGTCGATTTGTGATTACTATTCGACGTGAGTGAAAGTGAACTTTGTCGTTTTGGAGATTCGCGTTGGCTGACGTGTCGCTACCCCCTTTCAACAGTGCACTCTTTGGATCCGCTAATGCCAGCTCGTCTTACGCTCTTTTGCGTACTTTGGTCAACACAGTCGTTATCGGAAACTACACGGCAACTCCAATGGTAAGGTCTGGTCCGATCGCGTTTCACAGTCGAAAACCTTCTCAGAGAAGCTTACCGAATATGTTTCCTTAGAATATGGTTGTTCCCGGTATTCTGGCAAACACGACTTATGGCGGTGCCAATGTCTTCCTGTTGCCATACTTCACCGGAGCTCTGAACTCCACCAACTGTAACGGCTCGCCATGCCAGAAGAACTTCCTCGATGCTGGAGGAGCAGCACCACTCACCATGGGAATGCCTTCCAACGACTCTATGACCTGTGCTTCCAACCAGTGCGGTGTAAGCATATCGAAATTTGGGTTTTATGAATGGTTTTTTGGAAGCTCACACGTCACCTCATGTTTTTAGCTGTTGACCCATCTCTACCAATACTTTGGATTCCTCTTGGGCTGCAGTGCCCAAACCGGAAACAGCACTGTCTTCCCCACGTACCAAGGAGATGCCAGTTTGTATGAAACCCACAAGTTCATGTTCCAAGGAAAGAACGGTCTCGGATACTTCATCTGTAAGTAAAACCTTAGAAATGAATCTTGTCATGTTTCTGGATGGCTAAACCGAACTTTCTTGTTTATAGCCCAAGTCGCTGCTGCAGCCAGCGCCTTCGGTGTCACCAGCGATGACGTTGGTGCCGTCGGAAAGGCATTGAATGGACTCTTCAATGCCCAATGCTCTCCAGCATTCGCCAACTCTCGTAAGCTCTACAGTCAGTGTGTTAAAGCACAGGATGAAACGGTTGCTCACACAAACTTCATTTCACATTTTCACATAGCTACTGACCCAGCCCTTGGTCAAAACATCTGTGTATTGTCAGACTGTCCCGTCTCAGCCACACCAAACTGTACCGTCTACGGATTATCTGCTCCAAACACCACTGCCTCTGCTAGTCCCAGCCCTGCCGCAGCCAAGTCTGATGCTTCCTTTGTGACTACCATGTCACTCTGGACCCTTGCACTCGTTGCAATCGCCACGCACTTTGTAGTGTTGGCTTAAAGAGTAACTTATCAAAAGCCACGTCTCATGCTGGACTTAAAATATGAAATATTCCCTCTTATGAAATCTATGCAATATAACCTAGTCCGACACAAAAGCAACAATGCGGTTCAATTATCAAGTTTAAGTTTCTACTTTCACGGACTATTAGTGTTCAAGATTTACACATGATGCTCGGTTATATGTTTAGTAAATGGTGTTTGCATTTTAAGACGTTCCTGCGACCTATACAAGGCATTTCCCTTCCACATTTTGAGCCATTCTTGCAACCTATACATTGCAAACACAACACCACAACTCCTTACAGATCCCAAACCCATCAACGGATCGGTTTCAGTCACTTCATCGTCGTGGTAGTGATAAATCATCGCCTTCCAATGTGATGTTGCTTGCAAGTGTGGTGGGAGGAGAGCTTCGTCCTCATCTTACATGCTCATGTGGCCAAATAGATAAGCTTTGTAGTGCAAATACTGCTTGGCTGGTTTCATTAAGGAAAACATTATTTGTTAGGAATACTAAGGTTCCAATCTAATGACGAAAGCTCTAGCTTCAAGCACTTACAGCGATATCCGGAAGGCAAGTCTATACAGAATCTATACCCCCTGAAGCTGTACAATACAGCCGACTATCACTCTTAGATGTGTGCTTGAATTGAGCCTTGTTATAATGTCCGAACCAGGAATTCAAGCTTGTCTAGAACAGCGGTAAAACAGTGAGATCTCGTGCAGTGGATATCCTGAAGGCTATGAAATCGATTAAGAACGATTGATTTGTCACCTTCTATTGCCAGGTATGTTGAAAGAACTCGCATTTGTTGGCAACCTTGTTTGGAAATCTGTGAGAGTCTTTATACTAACCGACCAATCTCATTATCATTAGAACCATATTCAATTTTGTGCATTAAGCTCGTATACCCATTGATGCTGCCTTCGGTATGCAACATCAGAGACATTTGGATTAAGAGCAAAAGTCCTGACTTTGCTTCTGCACTTTGCAAGATATACATGCTTGAAACGCTATATACTCTCATTCGACATGAACTCAGCCTGTGATTTGACTCCAGTATCGTCACCCATACTACCCAGCGAACACGCAGCATCGTCACCTGTTGATGAACCTCCATCGCAACGTCCAATACTTGCAGACAATGATGCAAAATCCTCACGAAAGATGCCATCTGAACTGCTTCTCATCATCATATCTATGCTCGACACACACGCGTGTTACAACATGACCCTAGTGTCGAAACAAATCAATCGTCTAGCTTGTATAAAGCTCTACGAACAAGCATCGAGGTTCCACATGTACATAATATGTCTGTCATGTACTCTAGAGTGCACGGAATCGTCAGCTGGATTATCTCTCGTGGATATCAGCTCAGTCTCTTCAGATTGAAGAACACCTCAATCAATACCGAAATTGGCCAAACCACGATATGTTTGTAAAGTACTGCCCTAATCTTACTGAACTCAATCTAGCGTGGTGGTCCTGTCAAGATAACGAAACCATCTATAAACCATTCACTAGACGGCCCAATCTCGTCCTCCTCAAAGTCAATTGCACGTCACCGGTCTCTGGCGTTTGTTTACTGTATGCCTCATCATACATGCCAGCACAAACAGGAATTCTATGGTGGTACAATGGGGATGGCTCGAGTCAAAAGCAAGTGGATCTACAATGAGGAATGTTGATGCTAGGGCAAATTCTCTCATCATGCAATCGTGACGAATGTATGGGATGGAGTCGGTTGATGATGAGATCATCAATGGTATGGCGTATATTAGGGGAAGTTGGCGTGAGCCATAGAATGAAGGACACACAGTATGACTTCCTGGTTCAAAGAAACCATCAAAACCCAACGTAAGGTGTAGTATTGTAAGATGGCATAGGGACACAAGCATGTAGAAACATACGCAGATTTCATTAAAAATTCAAGCCTTCAGTCCACAGCATAAAAAAGAGCGCGAGATCTATGCAGTTATCGCTTTTCACTAGTGGAAACGTCCAGACTGAAATAATGTAGTTCTGCACTAATTACAATTTGTATACTTTCACATTCACGCAGTAGCATCAAAGAATTTGTCAAGAGCTTCATCAAGCGCTTGACGATCAAACTTGATGTATTTTGTTGGATTTTTACTAAATTCCACGTTCGAATACCTATATGCAAAAATTCAGGATTTAGCCAACAACAAAAACTGGTCCTTTCAACAAACGAATGGTGATCCATGGTGAACTCACTTGTCATAAAAACGATTATACAGAGGCACAACTATCTGTCGAACCTCCTTGACGATCTGTGCCCGCAGATCAGTGTCAGGTATAGCATAAGACTTCTGCGCCTTGTACAAGTCTTCGAATGTTTCATTGAATGTCTTTGAAAAAAAAAGTCTCGATCAGAGGATACCAACACAAAACCCGCCATTAACCACAAGCAGGTACCTTAAACTTGTCCTTGATGACATCTCGCTGCTGTTTACTCAATGTCTTTTCAATCTTGCCACCAGTGATGAATGTCGTATCCATAAGACATTCCAAAGCAGGCTTCCAGCCAGTTAGATACAATTCCTTTTGCTTGGCCAAGAGCTTCTCAAACTTGACTTCTACATCACGACCCAGTAAATCACCCAATGGTGTCAATCGTAGGATTTTGCAGATGTAGTGGTAGTTGTTAAGGAGGAAGACAACCGATAGCATGGGTTTCTTGTATGCTTTGGATTTTGTTTCGAGGTTTGATGATAGGGCATCCAATACCTCAGCTACATGAAAGTGATTTTGGTCTTAGATGCGACAAACACCCGTGTGGCAAAAGAACCGTGAAAACAACCAATGCATCAGCTTACTGAAGAATTTATACATGGCCTCTGGTTGACCATTGGCTGAGTCACCATGTGGATTCAGGAGAGATTCCACAGTTTGAGAATAGTCAAGCAGACGACGTAGAGTAGTGAGAGTCTATGTGAGATATGTCACAGCTTGCGACAGCAATATTTCAAGATTTTTTAAGATTGAATCTGTGCTCACATCACTAGTCAACTCATGAACAGTTCCATCAGGAGACAGAGATTGCTCCTTGACCTTGTCATTCTGAGCAAAAAAACGGAAGAAGTGAGCATTGGAGGTGACAAGACTTTTAAACACACGCAACCGACCTTAAACTCATCAATAAACTCTTTGAAAAAGAACTGACAAGCTCCCTTGCAACTCGTGACCAGTTCGACCACATCGTTTCCTTTTGCACCAGCATACTATTGAGACAAAGAGGTAAGAAAACGACGCAACACTCCCATGTAATACTGAGCGCGAGCCCAGCTCGTACCTTGACGACTCCTTCATACTCCAATATAGCTGCTCCCAGGTTCTCAACTACATCCAACAAGAGATACACATCTCTCGAGTCTTGTTTCATGATATTTCGTTTGCCACGACCGACAATGGCATCTCCTGTTTCTATAAATGCATCTACTGCTGCATTGACGACACCTGATATGACAGATGTGGCCATAGATCGTGGTATCAATCGAATTATAGCTTCACGTTCAGTCTATAAGAGTGTCAGAGTTTTAAAATCAAGTGAAAATATTCATAAAGGCTGTGGTTTAAATTACCTTGAGCATCTTGAATAGGCAATTGGTATACATCAAGAATGCAAAACTGCCCTTCTTGTATACATCCATTTTCTTGAAATCTTGGGCATGTGCAGCTTCATTCAGCCCATGTAACGATTTGATCAGATATGCTGATCGGATGTCCATGTAGATCTTGATGTGATCTGTGACGGGTCCCAATTCACTCTCGGCAGCGTTGAGGTATGTTGATAGAGTAGAGAGTGTTTCCAAGTCTGCTTCAGGTATTCCTGGTATATCTGAAATTTGAGGGAACAGGTCAGAAGGGAATTCGTACTCAAGCTGAAGGGTTTTTTGCGAGCTCACCTCCATCAGCGTAAAGTATTGGATCTATAGGCACAGAGCATAGTGCTAGCGTTCTCTTGAAGAGCCCATCAAGCTGTCGCATAGCTTTTCGTACGACCTCTTTCTATAACGAACAAAAAGGTCAGGTGCGTCTCAATTATATCATAAGGACAACCACTCACCAGTTGAACGACAGCTCTGTCGGTGGCCTTGTAAGTAGCCTTTTCCAAGTACGATAAAGCTTCCTTCATTCTCTCAATAGAAGCAAGATAGTCTTCCAATGAGCTTTGAGTTGGTCTAGAAAAGCATTATGCGGTCAATTGATTGCTACTACATCTCGTACATAACTGCGATGCTTTTTTGGCGTACGGTTTTGAAATTATCAAGTCCTCCTGTGGAGCCAGATCCATGTACTGTATGATCTTGTTGATGACTCCTGATGTCTTGTCCAGATCTAGGACAAGACATCAGGAGTTGAATGATGTAAATCAGTCGCTTCTCGTCGTGTTTGTACCGCGACAGATATAACATACTGTCATAGACCCGGGTCAGTTTCTGAGTAGATCGATGTATGGGCAGTATCGAGCCCTCCAATTTGAGTAATCGTTCATCAAAAGAGTCTAGCATTCCAACCTACAAGGTGAAACAATTCACTAAGTCACATATTGACCAGAGATGCGACAAAATGGATGAGAGGTCTTACGACTCGTTCGGTCAATGTATTAGATTTGAATAAAATCGACTGTAATAGCTGCAAATTCTCGACATCTTGTTCCACTTTGCGTTCTAATGCTCGTCTCTTTTCTTGTTCGGCTAATGGGGTTGCTGTACTGATGATTAAAGGACAGTCAGGGATTGATCTAGACGATTGGACGATAGATCTCATACCTCTCCAGCATCATCATGGCTGTAAAGCAAAGCTAATCTTCAGAGTTTGGTTTGAAACTCGCTTGTCGTAAAGATCGTAAATTCGAAGTGAGGTGAGCAAGATATCACGTTTATTAAAGTAAGAGTATACAAAGCAAGCAAAGAATCGCGTGACTAATCGTCTGATACACGTAACTGCTTTAAGCTTCACGTCGCCTCGTCGAGTGTCGAATCACAAAATTCGGACATTTTACCAGACATTCAAACAGACGCAAACAACCCCCCTGATAATGAGCGAAATCAAAAATCTAGTCTGAATCTGGTTTATCCCAATAGATAATCATGGCATCAACTAGCAAATCTCGGATTCCTCCACCACATTCAGCAAGCTCAACCAACGACTCCATTTGGGCACCTGAAACCTCCGCTTCTGGACAGCAAACACCAAATAGTCCTTCTCTGAGGTCTGCTGGTCCTGGTTCTGCTGCTGGATCGTGGTATGATAGCGTACTGGGAGAAGAACCTGAAGGAGGTGCTGGTGGTCGAGGTGAAAACATACGTGTCGTGGTCAGGTAGAGTAATTTTGTGTTGGTTTCTGGTCAAATGAATGTTGTATTGAAATTTTGATCTCATAGATTACGACCTCTTACGGAATCAGAGAGAATAAAAGAAGATACTGTGGGAAACACAACAAGTGCCATACAATGGCAAGAGGAGGATGAGCAGACCATTCAGATAACAGCGCCAGATGGTCGTATTAGACCGCTGACGTTTCATCGAGTCCATAATCCTCTGGCTGCTCAGCATGACATCTTTGAGACCTGTGGTGTCAAGGATTTGGTGGTTCAAGCTCTTAATGGGTATTTTGAGTAAAGAGTAATTTGAATTTTTTTGGCATCTCGCTGAAACATTTACATCCTTTAGATACGCCGCCACGGTGTTTGCATTTGGTCAGACTGGATCTGGAAAGACGTTTACAATAACAGGTCCAGATGTCACGTCAACAACTCCTCAAAACCGACCAATATACACGACAGAGCAGCCATTACCAGAGACAGCTGGTATCATCCCAAGATCGCTACGATACCTTTATGATCAGCTCTCACGACTTCCAGCAGACAGTGGAATAAAGTACACTGTTCGTGCATCGTACCTCGAAATCTATAACGAACAGGTCCAAGATTTGCTGAATAGGAGGGGCACTGGACTGAATGTCAGATGGGATCAAGAGCGAGGATTCTTTGTCGAGAATCTTTTTGTCGTTGAGTGCGAGGTGTTAGATGATTGTCTAGCAGTCTTGGAAGAAGGTACTTATTGATTTATACACTACCAAACGGTTTTGCTTATTTTTTTGCTTAGGTCTGAGGAATAGAACGACAGCTGCACACGCTATGAACGAGCATTCATCACGATCGCATTCTGTTATGACTGTATATGTTGATGCTGACTCAACAGCAGAAGATGGAAGTGTGACAAGGCGAAATGGCAAAATCAGCTTCGTAGATCTTGCTGGTACGTATTCGAATATCAAGAAGATATATAAAGGCGTTCTCACTAACGGATTGTTTTGTTGCTGAATAGGCAGTGAAAAGGTCAAGGAGTCCAAAACCTCTGGTGAAACGTTTGGAGAAGCTTTGAGTATTAACAAGTCACTGCTGACGCTAGGTGAAAAAAACACTCGCACATTTATGTATGTCAATCTTACATTTGCAACATCCTTAGGAATCTGCATATCGGCTTTAGCAACACCACATCGAAAACATGCTCACATACCCTTCCGAGATTCCAAATTGACACGATTGCTAGCTGATTCTCTTGGTGGATCAGGTCTAGCGTTAATGATTGCCTGTATATCACCCACCACCGTTTGCCTTTCCGAAACTCTGAAAACGCTCCATTACGCCAATCGAGCCAAACGAATACGGAATCGACCCATGGTACGATTAGGAAATGCTGGTGGAGCCGGTGGAGAGGGTGTCAACAATCTCAGAAGAGAGCTTATGGCTGTCAAATTGGAGAATGCTAGATTACGAGAACTATTAATAACAACGCAATCCACCTCCGCTGGTCGTGAACGAGTACATTCAGCTCCTGGACCCATGATATCATCTCGTATTACTCTACCACCAGTCACGTCAAGTTCAAGTAGTGGAAGTGATTCCAGAGCAAGTATAGCTGAAAGCAACGATGGTCTAAAAGCCGAAATTTCTGAATTGGCTGCTGCTAAACGACGATCAGAACGTGCTTTCGCTGCACTAGCACGCGAACACGAAGCCCTGAGATGGCAAGTCAGCTCGTCACGATTAGGATCTGGAGCAGCTACGCCGTTGACTGCTTCGATACAGAGTGACTCGCCTTGGAGTGCTAGTAGTGGCTCGACATCAGAGGACGATTGGTGGGGCCAACAAACAGCTAGAGCTAGTGACGCCAGTAGCTCAGAACGATCATTGATTGCAGGTGGCGGACGAGGCCGAAGGTTGAATAGTCTTGGTAGTGGGAGTGCTGACAAGGCATCTGAACGAAATGCTCCCACCACTCAGAAGATACAGCCTCCATCTGCTGTCTCCTCAAAGAATAGTCCAATCCCACCTACTACAAGGTGAGTGCTTGAAATTTTTTTTTGCTATCCCCCTCTGATCTGATTGCTGAACTTTTCCCCTTTGAATCCTTATAGGAATAGAAACTCCTTCAATCGAGCATCACGACAATCATCCTCCCACTTCGCAGCCCAAACCATGTCTCCAACATCCCCAATATCACCAACATCCGCTGGCAAAATACCTCCACCTCTCTCCCGACGACCAACGAATCCAATCATGCAACCAATACCACAACCTATACCCCAACAACAGATGCAGCAGCAATATGGTTCTCCTATGCCATACACGCATAATCCATACTATCAGGGTATGGTGCCTATGATGGCTCCTCAGCAGGTTATGGTCGCACCTCAGCAGGTTGCTGCTGTCAGCAACAATAACAAGGCCAATCTTCGTGAAAAGCTGTTGAGGGATGTTCAAAGTCTTGATCAACAAATCAATAATCTGAAACGCTAATTGTAGTTAATAAAGTTAACATGAAATCATGGATACGTTTGTAATTAGTCGCTTTGCGAGAAGTTTCTGCTATAGAGTACTGTTCGTTGTATCTCTCATCGTCTCCCAACACACAGGTCACATCCGTTGAGATATTGTTCAGCTCTGAAGACAAACACCACTAAAACTAGAGAGACTGCTTCACAAATTACCAGCGCCATTGTAATCTCACTTCAGATGTGATACCTCTTATCTTTCTTGGTTCGCCTCCCTAAAACGAGCTCGTGCAAAAAAATGCGACGTTCAAGGGGTTCGAACTTATGTGTGCTTGCCAAAAAGTGAAACTCAAACGATTCGGAGAGTTTCGCTTTTTGGTCTGGTCTGTCTGATTTTTGGTCTGGTCAATCTGGCAGGAGAACGGAGGACGTAAAAATATGTACCCTAGGGAGGGTCCCCAAAAACTTTTGAAAGCCGCGACAGGCCAATTGGTTGAAGTCCTAGCGGACAAGACTAATAGCATCCAGATTCTTAACCTTAATTTTCGAGATTACGATGATGTGCAGGTGTCGTGGAATCCATTTCGATCGTATGTTGATGTTGGCTCTAATTCAAGCGGGTTTGTTGAGAATGGAGCTTCTGTACCTATAGCTAAGCGAGCTCATCATATCGGGAAGAATGGTTGGTGACTACAGAGTTGGCTAAATAGCTGGAATGATCTTGCATGTCAATAGTTTGTAACAATCGAATTTGATCAGATATGATCACTTCTTTTTACAGACAAGAACTTACTGATTATGGACCAGGATGACATATCCGTACGAAATCTTTACCGCCTCAAGCGGTTCAATAAACTCGATTGTCCTTTCTTGTTGGATCTTGAATGGAAACTGTGTGCAGCAGCAAGACGGAAGCAAGAAACGAAACGGACGCATTCTCCGCCAGCTTTTCCAGCAATGGACAGCACTCACAGGATGCTGTTTCAATTCCAGTGTACAGATACTCCGAAGGTATTGTGATGGCAATCAGAGCTCGCTGGTCCACACATCGCGAAAACGTAGGCGCCTCACAAGCAACAATAACTTTTATGTGTGCAATTGATTCTTCTTTTCACAGATATTTTTACATTTTTATAAGTAATAATGCTAGCAAATAGTGTGTCTACCTCCCACCTCCTTCCTTTTAATATACCTGTAGCTTGAGACCAATGTTGATTTTCCAAAAAGAGCTCCTTTGATGATATTTTATGAGGCTTGGATGGAAGGAGGGAGAGATTGTTGGACTTTGGTTGGGAGACGAGGTGTAATAATCTTCCATGTCAAGTACGCAATTGTAAACCAGAATGTGGTGAACAGTGCGACGATGACAGCTCCAGCCTGTGCGAGGAACGAAGAGAGTGTATAAGAAGTGATATCATGGAGAGCAAGTCCATTTGTGCAAAGACACAATGAGGACAGCGGAATCTGAACACGGGACACTCACCAAGAACCAAAACAACCAAAAAGCCCCAAAGAGAACGAATCCGCCTTGTACCAATGTAACTCCAGTTCCTGTGAGATGGAAGCGATGGAGATATACTTAGTGACTATGCATCTCGATGTAATTCATACAGGTCAATGTCTCGTACCTGCAACAGTCAAGACACCTGCCAAAGTAATGCCAGTGTATCCTGCAAAGACAGACACGGGTACAGCAGAAGCAGTGATGATAGTGTAGATGAAGGCCTAAGATATGTGGTAACGGTTAGCATCGTGACATAAACTCTTCGCGAAGGTTTGACATGTGATTATCATGAGACGATCGTTCATATCGACCAGTAGCGTAAAGCAGCAATATACGATTTCAATACGTTGGGCATTGTTTTCATCAGCTCAAATAGGAACCCATGTTTCAAATGCACAAACGATCAACATCAAAAACATTTTTGGCAGATGTACCTTCAATGGAGGGTAATCATTGACCAGACGTCGAGCATATCGAGCAGAGGCCACTCCATAGTCACGAAGAGCATGGACGAGAGGGAGTACTTGAGCTCGATAGCGTTCAAGTGCAGTCTTTGTGTCATGGATGACCGGCTTGGTGACCTTGTTCATTGTCTAGAGAGGAATTTGAAGATATTAGACTGGATGTAGCAGTATTCGAAAGCAGAAAATGTAGCTCACTTCACTCATTTCCATGTATCTTCTCTAGTGGTTGAGCTTATTTGATATTTGATGTTTGTTGGGAAGTTGAGTTTTTGTGAGAGTGCGAAGTAGAGGTTGGAAAAGCATTTTGCAAGAGGCGTCCCACGTGAAAGGAACTGTCGAAAAAAAATAACCACTAAATTTAGAGTCTATGCCAGTCTATGCGCGTCGAAACACGTAGAAAGATGAGGCGAATACCATGAACTCACTTATTGCGTCCCGAAGCATCAATAAATGGACGTGGAGCGTGAATGTATAATAAGAGGTGACTCGTTCTTGATTTTATTGGAACAAGCAAGTAACTGTATTTCTCTTCTAGATATATCTGAATACACTCTCATACCATCGCACATTACTCAAGTTTGACCTGTGTTGTTACAAGATTGAGCTTGATGAAGATTCAAGTTGGACCATGACACGATCATTTTGTGCCGTGTATTCTAATGAAGTGTTGTGCAATGAGAGCGGCCACGTTTATCATTACATCCACAACTCGCTACATCAACAACATCAACATTAGACAAGTCCTTTGTCTCGACAACCCAAGTTTTACTCGACTGCTGGAGACCAAAGTCTACATCAAAATCATCTCTAAACGTATTGGAAAGAGCTTCGTGTTGGATCTGTTTGCAATACTCTGACGGCACACTTCCTCGCACCATGCTGCTGCAAAGCTCTGCAATCTTCTTGCCCTTCCTACTACTTGCCAAGGCTGGACAGAACGGAGGTGGCACTACTCCCAATGTCTCGCTCACCGCAACAGCTGCCAACTGCTTCCCATCAGATCCTGTAAAAAATCCTAACAGCGCATTCATATGCGAAGGAGACTTTATCAGACTCTATTCTGTGGACGCAAAGAATCAGCAACAGTATCTGGCAATCAAGAACACTCCTGATGATGGTAAGATCGCAGTTTGTTTTTGTGTAAAGCTGTAATTTCGATGATCTGTATACACACGTAGAGTGTGATTGGTCTTGTAGAGATGCTCAGCATCAAAATAATGGCGCGAAAGGCATAGTAGACTTGTCTAATTCCATGAAATCTCGTCGGCACCCGTGTCTTGAAGAGTTGGGAACAACATAGCGACACACGCACAATTCTAATCTCCTTAATTGCCTTTGTGTAGATCAGCGCCATCAAAGTGTTCAAGTGAATACTGGCTCTTCCAACGCTACGGCCTTCCAAATATTTCCCTTTGCTCCTCAGTCACCTCCTTACAAGTACGAAATTGTTTGGTTTGGTTCTCTTGTAATGTTTTCTGTGTGTCATCAAACGATTTTCTGACCAAACTTCTCTAATTTTCAGCTGGCCCAATCCTGACTGTGAGTGTTGATTCCTCTATTGACATTTCGTTAAGTCTCCTCTCAACCTCGATTTAAATCGCTGAAATTCCAATGTTTTCGCTTTAGGGCCTCCGTCCTACGTACGAGATGCAATGAAAACAGGCCATACCTATCCCTTCAAACTGCGAGATGGAGGTGGACGATGGCTAAAAATCAGTCCTGGAAACGTAAGACAAGGCTATCTTCAATGAAAATTTCAATCTTGTGCTAAATCAGTTTTTTGAAATCTAGTACAAGGATAAAAAGTATCAAACCCTGTTCGTAGATAACATGGACGAAGTATACGCTGATGTGCGCACTGGTGCTTCGATGTTATTATACGTCCCAAACTCTGTCTTTACAACTCGATCGTCAAACGCTGGTGGTGCACCCGCTGGATGGATTTTAGATGCTTCTCAAGGCATCGTACTATTCAATTATTATCAAGACCATGTTGTTTTCGACTGGGATGGCCCAAACCCAAAACATTTTCCAGGTTCGTCGTGAAACAGTTCTTTCATTCAGTATGACAACGTTGCAACGTGACAACAAGAGGGTTCAAAGCTTTAAAGCTACGATCCATAAAGCTAATAAGATACACTTCTCGATTTTCTAACAGGATGTGAGACTTTGAGTGCATGGACTATTGAGCAAACGCAGTCTCCAACTGCATACACTGGATTCGTAGAGCAAGTTTTAAATATTAAATATGGTGAGTTTGGTTTGCTCTGTCCGAGAGTAGGATGCTCTTGTACTCTATTCAACTCACAAATCACTCCATCAATCTAGAGTATGTCCGGTTGGACCCTTCAGATGCATATCCTTTTGAGCCCCTCTAATCTCTTGATTCGAATAATAGTACTGATGCGGCTTTGAAGAGCCTTGTAATGTCCAATGAAGCCACCCCAAATATTGGCAACTCTTGTGAGCACTTTGCCAATGTTTTCAACAAGTACATTGCCATTTGACCAATGTTCTTTTATAGCAATCACGAACCCTGGAGCCACTGAACAGAATCTCATCTTGACTGTAAGATTCCTTTCCTTTATCTTCAGCAAAGATAATCATTTGAAGGAAGGCAGGATACTGATCTCTCTGCTTGCACACTTTTGGCAATCAGATGTCTACGACACAATCCAACACTTGGACGTTCAATAGAGATCAACGTTACAAGTTCTCTACCACGGCACAAGGTAAAGTGATCTTGTGCTATGATGATTGAATTCGTTGAAGGTCTTGCTACCTGATTTTGTTGGGCCTTTTGAACGTCTGATTTGAATACTTTGACTAAACATTCCCTGAAATTTAGCATGGGTTGGGGTGCCTTTCTTAGGAACAGGAATGGTAGGCTCAAAGCTCTTGGACTCATTTTATGTCAATCACCGAAACGTCAAAGGAGTCTCACCAATGATTCTCACTCTATTATAGTCAGTCTCTGTATCTGCGGATATGGCTCTAACAACTGGCACTGGCACCAGTAAGCACTTGAACCACTGGCAGCTCGGTGTAATTTACGACGCTACCTCGTTTTTTCTCACATTGCATCTTTCAGGTCAAACCAAATCAACGTATTTTTCTATCAGCGCCATGATACCTGTCCCAGGTCAGTCTGTTGTATCTGGTAGTATCTGGATGACAAAAGCTACCATGAAGAAGGTGCCGTTGACATATACTGTACAACGAACTTGGCCTGATGGGAAGGTTATTACTTTCAAAGTCACCGATACTGTTGATGTTGTTCAGTGAGTACCAACGGAATAATGGCGGTTTGATGTGTCATGTTGTTCGCCTGGCCACTCACATTGTTTATCACTACAGATATTATGATGCCGTGGTATGCATTTCACAGGCCCTGAGTATTAATTTGGGACAGACCCCAGCCTGTGTGCCACCTGCCTTTTCGATGTGGAATTCAAATTCTACAGGTAGAGTGAGAGTGTTCTTTGAACGAGATCTCGGATCTGAAGCACTGACACAGACTGAGTCATTGCACATTAGCTGTCATTCTTCCATTCTTACAAGCTTAAGCATCTATTTCATTCGCATTTTGTTCTACCAAATGTTGATATATGCATCATTTCACCTTGCACAAAGTAGTTACAGTTCTCATGTCAAAAAGTATTGGATTAGTTGGAGGATCTTTGAATCATAGACCAGACGCGAAGAAACGCGTTGAAAATGAGGTGGATACCACAAGCTTCGTCATTGCGTCAATGCGTCCCAAAACATTAAAAGACACGAAGGAAATGATGACTTTTAGTGTGGAGCAGGAACGTACAACAAAAGGTAAGTAGCTCTCGATCTGTGTATTACTAGAGCAAGCAACTAATGTGCGTTCCCAACTAGATGTGTCTCATACACCCCTTTATCATCGCGCGTTTCCTGGAAATCGCCTTGCATGAGAAGCAGGGAATGGTGAAGCCACAATATGACAGGATCAAAGTCGCTATTTTTGGTGTATCTAATGTGAAGTGGTTTCAATCGGGCCGGCTGTTTAGGTGTCAAATTTCTGCAATAAACATTTGTTTCGACCCAACATCAAACCTCCCCTATTGGACATTCCAAGTTTGCTGAGGTGCAGAGATCGACAACCAGACCATCTGTAAACGAGCGTGAAGAAGCTTCTGCTTCCTCTTCATATTTATTGACTTCATTTTGAAACTGGCTTCTCTGAAACATGCTGCTGCAAAGTGCTGCCATTTTCTTGTCCTTCCTACTCCTTGTTAAAACTGAACAATCCCGCGATGACACTGCTGCCAATGTCTCTCCCTCTGCAACATCTGCCAACTGTTTCCCATCAGATCCTGTCAAAAATCCTGATGGGGGTTTCATCTGTGAAGGAGACTATATCAGACTCTATTCTGTGGACGCGAAGAGCCAGCATCAGTATCTGGCGATTAAAGACACTCCTGATGCTGGTAAGACTTGGTGTTGTTTTTGTTGTAGAGCTGTCAATTTGTTGAGCTGTCAAAACAGTCGTTGGTCTTGTGGGCATGCTCAGTGTCAGAATTCTGGCACCGAAAGGGTATTGTATTCTTTAAATTTCATTATCAATTGGGAGCATCCAAGTCTTGAAGAGTTGAGGAGAAAATTATGACACTCACTCACAACTTAAATCTGCTCCGTTGGTTTTGCGTAGATCTGAGACATCAAAGTGTTCAGGTAAATCCTGGCTCTTCCAATGCGACTGCCTTCCAAATATTCCCCTCTGGTCCTCTGTCTCCTCCTTACGAGTATGAAACTGTTTGATTTTGCTGTTCATATGTTTCATACTAACGACTTTCTGACTCATCATCTTTGATTTTCAGATGGAGCAATCCTGATTGTAATTGTCTGTTTGGGAAAATTCCTTGGGTGTCTTTTGAACATTGTTTTCAACGTGGAAGATTTTAACGTTTTTTGCTTTAGGGCCTCCTTCCTATGTACGAAATGCAATGACGACGGGCCATTCGTATCCATTCAAACTACGAGACACAAGCGGACGGTGGCTGAAAATTAGCCCTGGAAACGTGAGAAAAGACGAAATTCGGTTCATGATTTTCAAACCGGCGCTAACCCATTTTTCTTGTAACTTAGTACAAGGACAAAAAATATCAAACTCTATATGTAGACAACTGGGAAGCAGTGTACGACGATCACACTAATCCCACGATGTTGTTGTACGTTCCCAACACCGTCTACACGAGTCGATCATCAATGGCTGGTGGTGCCCCGGCTGGATGGATTTTAGATGCTGCTCAAGGCCTCGTGCTGTGGGATTATTATCAGGAGCGTGTTGCGTTCGACTGGGCCGGCCCAAATCCGTCACAAGTCCCAGGTTTGTCCGTGAAGCGGTCTTTTCATTCAGTGTGATAACATGTTGTGTTGAAGCTAACAACAATACATATAACAGGTTGTGAGACTCTGACTCTGTGGACAATTGAACAAACTCAGTCTCCAACTGAATTCACTGGATATATAGAAAAAGTGTTGAATTTGAAATATGGTAAGCCTTTTAAAAATGCTTTCAGCCTGCTATTAACTCGCAAATCACTTCATCAATCTAGAGTAAGCCCGGTTGAACACTTTAGATCCACATTTCTTGCTTTCGCCTAACTTCTTGATCCAAATTATAGCACTGATGCGGCATTGGAGAGTCTTGTCTTGTCGACTGAGGCGATACCGAACATCGGAAACTCCTGTGAGTCTTATTCTTTGCTATTAATTTTTAAAGTCAGGTGTTTGACCAATTGTTTTTCTAGCAATCACGAATGTCGGAGCCACTGAACAGAATCTCATTTTGACTGTAAGCTGCCATGTTTTGATTACCAAAAAAGGGGGTAGAAACGTCACACATCGATTTGTTTGATCAAACTCTGTCGCGCCTATAGATGTCGACGACACAATCCAACACTTGGATGTTCAACAGAGATCAACGTTTCAAGTATTCTGTTACTGGACAAGGTAAATCATTGGGTATAAGCGAGTGAATTCATTGAATATACCGTAACTTTGAATGGGGGAGTATATTTTTGGATTGACTCCTCTAAACGTTGTCTGAGAACCAACCTCATGGACTAGTTTTGACTTTTACACTCATTTAGGATGGGTTGGAGTGCCCTTCTTGGGAACCGGGATGGTACGCTGTATACTTCTACTTCTGATCTCATTTCACTCCTGCCAACGAAGCATGTTCACGCACAAAGTCTCACCATGTCTCAAATCCATTATAGTCAGTCTCTGTTTCGGCTGATATCGCTTTCACCACTGGACGTGGGAACAGTAAGAATTCCAATTTCTAGCCCTTTGGTGTTTATGACTATAGATGTCGACTTTTTTTGGGCCCTTTTCAGGTCAAACCAAATCAACCTACTTTTCAGTCAGCGCCATGATCCCCGTCCCAGGCCAATCTGTTATATCGGGTAGTATTTGGATGACAAAAGCTACTATGAAGCAGGTGCCTTTAATGTATACCGTGCAGCGAACGTGGCCTGATGGGAAGGTTGTTACGTTTGAGGTTACGGATACTGTTGATGTTGTTCAGTGAGTACCAGCGAATTCATAGCGTGTTTCTGATTCGTATTTTTCCTCGCCTGGTCACTAACGTGCTTCTCAACCCAGATATTATGATGCCGTGATATGCATTTCAAAGGCGTCAGGTATTGACTTGGGACAGACCCCAGCTTGCGTTCCACCTGCCTTATCGATGGGGAAATCAACAGGCTCTTCTGGTAAGCTGAATGTTTCTTGAATGAAATTTCATACTGTAAGAACCAAGTTCATGTCTTTTAGGCATCATTCTTCCATTCTTACAAGCCTAGACATTTATTTCATTTCGTACTTTATTTGCCAAATACATGCCATTCACATTCCCACGGCTTCTCTTGGTTTGCCACATTTCTCTTTACATCAACCAAGTTGTCTCTTGCGCAATCACGACTGCTGGACCCACTGAACAGAATCTCGCTTTGACGTTACGACTCAAGGGGTTTGAATTCAGCAACAAAAAAAACAACAAGCACACAGACCTAAATAGTGATTTCATCTCACGCATTTTCTCGCCTGTACAGACTTCTACAACGGAAAACCCAACGCTTCGACTTTACTATAGAGACCAAAGTTACGAAAAGTGAATTGATCGACTGTTGGGCTTTACTGAGATGGCTTTCATTGGACATTTCAAACTTTTGTTGCACATTATGTTGCTAAGCTTCTTTACAATTTAGGATGTCTTGGTATGCCATTCTTATGAATGGTATGATTCACACTTTGTTTTGAACTTGGGTGCCTAATGGCATTAAAGTTCTGGCAAACAACCACCCTTAATCCAACGGTTAGACTCTGTTTCTGCCGACGTAGCTTTTACGTAGCTTTGGGACTAGCAACCGTCAGTAAATTCTGCAATATCTTAGTGTATGCTACAACGCCTTCAACCTCAATTTTTCTCACCCCACCTTGTTTTCTGGCCAACCAAATTAACCTACTTCTCAGACGGTGCCGTGATACCTGTCCCAAGTCACTGTCGTATCTGGTAGCATCAGGATGAGAATGGCTACCACGAAGAAGGTGCCACTGACGTGTAAATGTACACCGAACATGGCCTGATGGGACGATCATTGCCTTTCAAATATCGGATACTATTATGGGTGTTGGTGAGCGCTGATTGATATCTTGGTGTCGATTCAACGAGTAACTCCAAACCTCTATTTTTGTGCCTGGCCATGCTCACACCGCTTTCTTTTCGACAGTACTACGGAGCCGCGCTTTGAATTTCGAATGCCCTGCCTATTCATTCTGGACAGACTGCTTGTCCGTCCACTGCCTAGTCGATGTGGAAGTCGATATTATTTAGTAAGTTGAAGGTGTATATTGGATGAGACTTCTTAAGGAGGATACCAGCTCTATGGCTTTTTGTCAGTTGCCATTCTAACGTTCTTACTTGGACGCCTGTCTTGCCAAATATATGAATTCACATCTAAACTTGGATCAAAACTCGAACTACGTCGTATTAAAGATGCTTTCGTAGGGTTTTTTGCCACCTACTCACACACACAAACAACTCGAATTGCAACTCATATTCAAAAGACTGTATTGATTATGAGGATTTATACACCACAAAATTCTCATGGCGAGACGAAATAAGATGGAATTGATTTTTTTGTAACGAAAGACGTTGTCGAATACCTCATTAACGGCTGTCTCTCTCTCTCTTCGATCACTCAGTGACTCCCAACACAAACTACCACCCCTCACTCGTCAACCCCTCCCTCACACGATATTTCACCAAATCCGAAATAGTAATCACTTTAATGCCCCACTCTTTCGCAAACACCCGTATATCATCCCGTCTCATCATACGTCCATCATCTAGAACGAGTTCCGAGATAGCAGACACTGGTGCAAGACCAGCCAATTTACATAAATCAACACTGGCTTCTGTATGTCCGACACGTTGGAGGACTCCTCCTTCGTGGTATCGTAGTGGGAAGACGTGGCCGGGACGACGGAAGTCTGTTGCTGTGGTTGTTGGATGGGCGAGTGCTCTGCATGTTGTTGCTCGGTCGGCGGCTGATATGCCAGTTGTGGTGTTTGCAGTTGCGTCACATGTGATTGTGTATGCAGTTCGAAGGGCCTCTTCATTGTATTTTACCATTATGGGGAGGTTGAGGCGGTCTAGTATTTCGCCTGGTGCTGGGACACATACCACGCCACTAATGATGGGAGAATGGTTGTTGTTGGTGAGTAATCAACAAAGCAATAATATAGTAGGTCTTGGGTCTTTTTTCTCTGGTGGATGTCTTGAACCAAAAAAAGGGACATGGTTTTGTACAGAGACAACTTCAAGCCAAACGCTCTTCTCAAACCACATGTTCAACCACAAAACTTACCCAGAATACCGAATCATAAAAGCCATCTTCTCAGTAGTCATAGCCTCAGCAGCAATAATCAAATCACCTTCATTCTCCCGATCTTCATTATCCACCGCAATAATGAATCGCCCCAGTTTGATGTCTGCTATGGCATCTTCTATACTGTCGAACTCGTATTTTTCACCATTCATGGCTGGCGCTGGGAGATTTAGCCCCTCGTAGTACTTGTTTAGGGATTTAGATGTTAATTGGTGAGCTAGTTTGGCATGGGTATATACAGGGAAACCGTTCTTGAAGACTCCTTGGATGAAGGATGGGTCGTTTCCTGATAGGAAAAGTGAGAGTAGGAGACCTGGAGAAGAAAGCGCAGATGGGTATCAGTATACTGGCTGTTGCGAAGGCCAATTGGATGACTTGTTTATCCCTCGCGTTGGGCAAAAAAAAAACAAGCTCGAATATTCTCGTTTTACCATGAGGTTCGTCAAACTCACTTTTTGTTGAAGTACGTTCCCATTGTGGACGTAACTTCACTATAATAACGTCTGATTTAAAGCCAGTCTCGATTTGGCCGACATCAGTCAACCCCAATAACTTGGCTGGGTTTACAGTAACAGAGGCAAATAAACTCTTTAACGCATCTTCTGATATGCTACCGCTGTAATTTGAGAGGGACAAGGTGTTGGAAAAACACAGTAGAGCAAAAAAAAAAACGGAGACCAACTCCGCCATACCTCTTCAGGAGATTCCTCGTCCTAAACTCCAGCTCCTTCCACAAACTAGTTGAATTCAGGAATATATTTCCAGTGCTTATGACTGAAGAGTCATGGGATGCGGATGAGGTAACAGGTACTAGAGTGATTCCTTGCTCTTGAATTGACTTGTCGGTCAATACACTGGCGTCTGATGTTATAATGCCAGCTGATGTAGTGCCGGATGCAATGGCATGTGAGATGGCCTCATGTAACGAGGAAGTTATATCCTAGAGAAGTAGGTATGGTGATGACGTGAGCCAAAAACCCAATGCAAAAGAGTCGTTTGATTCCTCCACGACCACCACAATGACTGGATGATGACCAATTTGATATCTCATCAAATATGCACACCAAACATGTAGGATCTAGCGATAAAACTTGATGACGTACCACATGTTCTGTATTCACACACGCCAGTACATCATCCGACACTGTAGGAGCACTAGTGCCATTAGCGACACCTGTAGATTTCTCCAATTTGACGGCCTCTATGCTGGCATTGATGAGAGCGGGTATAACGAGCAGTCCGTTACCGTCGATTTGGAGAGCGCCAGTGTCGATGACAGTAGTGGAAACCTGTTCTATGCGTCCAGATGCATTCAGGAGGATGTCGCCGTGCTCTAGTATGAATTGTGGGCCTTTTAGGTAGGCCACGTTCCTTAGGACGATGGTTGTGGGAGTGTTGTTGGAGTGATGTGGCATCGTGAATGTCTGGGATTTAAAATGTTGGAGCAGTTCGAGATGTACGTTCGACTTTAGATAGCTAGGACGTCCACAAGTATCGAGTTAACTAGAGAATGAGCAAGTTAGGACAGTCCAAGTTCAACCAATAGTAGGAATTCAACCAGAAGAATAGCTTACATGTGGGCTTTTTTTCTTTTTGCTCCGTTCGTTCTGCAACGTTACAAGGCTGATACTACTAGAGCTATGGCTTGCTTCTGCGATAGTTGCGATGCCTTTGACTCTAGATGGCTACCGCGCAATGTTCCCTGTCTGAGTCAGCTTTGTTTTGCCAATGACAAGGGCAATTCAAGTGACAGAATGACGTCGTGATGATACCCATATGCGTTCGCTCATCACTTGAGCCGGCGATCGCTATTATTTTGTCACGAGAGACGAACTATTCCATGTCCAAGAGCGTCCATACAAAGATGAACGCGACACGCTCGCTACAAGGTTCTTGTCTTTGGAATTAAGAACTTGCGTCTTATTGCTGAACAAGTTGCTATTATAATTACGTTAAAAGGTAGCTCGTCTTTGTGCAGTAAAAGAATCTTAATAGCTGCAGGCTTGAGCTCTCGATCACGTCTTGAACGGTTCAATAATCAACTGCCCTGTCTTGAAGCTGAACGAACGCCACTTACAAGTGCAAGCTCATCTATGAATGAAATACTTTAGCCTGTAGATTCCGATGTTGATCTAGTCTCGCTCCCTTACGGAACACTCTTCGCCTCTGCCCCATCCGACTTCGTTTTCCAAACGTAGACAGATCTACCATGAGCTCCTTCACCTCATTCCGAAAGAAGAATACCACCGATAATACCGATAATACCACCACCAACAACCATAATCCACCTCCAGGAACCCGCACCTATGCATCCAGCGTCCCAGGACTAATGACATCTTGTGGAATGCCTGCCTTGGATTCACTACTAGGGCCTGGAGGCATCCCATTGGGCACTCTCACCATCATCAAAGAAGATAGACTAACGGGTTATGCTAAGCTATTGCTGGATTATGTTATTGCTCAGGGTCTGAGCTGTGGACATGCTGTTTGTCATGTTGCTGCTTCGTCGACAAGCAATGGCATTACTGGTCTTAGTACTAGTAATAGTGATATTGGGGTGAATCATGTTATGGGAGTAGCTGAGAACAGGCATATTGACGATAATGATGAGAATGATGATGTTGTGAATCAACAGCAGGCTGATCAAAGTATTGGAGGTAATGATGCTGCAGCCTCTACTGCAGCGGCAACTGCTGAAAGAATGAAGATTGGTTGGAGATATGAGAGTATGCCAAAGGTGGACTCGTCACCATCACAACCTACATTCACTCCAGGTATTTATATAGAGTTACCTGACGTTTTTTTTTGAGCTCTAGACCTCAAGTCCATGAATTTTTATAACATAGGCTCCTCTGGAATACCATATCAGCGTGTCTTTGATCTGACAAAGACATACTCGCCAACAGTCATCCAAGAAATGACGAGTGATGGTCGTATCGTACTGATTGATGCCAAAGAGTTTGTAAAGACATCCTATGATGCTCTCTTTGAAGAGATTAGTCGTGTCGTGGACGCTTACAAGTAAGAGTTGTGACAGGTCTTTCATTGACTGATTTCGTCCTCAGTTGATGTTGAACTGTTTTTGCTCAACCCAATTAGAAAATCTACACAGCCAAATGTGCTAAGACTAGTTATTCGATCTTTGGCTTCACCACTGTGGTATTCTGGTGATGAGGACTATCCCACAGTATGTCTTCATGTACATCAAAGATGACACGTCATTGGCATCTAATATTAAGATTCTTTCTAATTCTCTAGGTCTTGTATCGCTTCCTCATCAAACTTAAATCACTTTTGAGACCTTTACATGCCATATGCTTTATATCTATACCAGCCCACTTGTATGGTGACTCGCTCACATCACCCAGTTCATTCATTCGGCGATTGGAATGGGCGGCTGATGCCGTATTGGAAGTAGAGTCATTCGCAGGTGAGAAAATAAGTACTGTCGTCATGATGTCTCTACAAAAATGGCTTTGTTGCCTTCCGTTGTCCTGGCATTGACCAAACCAAAAAAGATGCTCACCATCACGGTCGCATAGGGAGCGCAAGGTCCCTACCTCCAATAATCACATCAACATACCACGGACTAGTCCATCCTCATAAACAATTAACATACCATCCAGACTCGAAACTATCTACCTTTGCATTCAAATGTCGACGACGCAAGTTTGATATCTCTATATTCTACATCCCACCTGAAGAAGGTGGAACGGATCGACCAGAGGAAGTCGCTTCTGCCAGTAGTAGTGGTACAATGAAACAAAAGAAAATGAAGAAGAAATTTGATGTTGAGGATGATGGTGGACGTGATACTCTTGCAACGGGATCAAAATCTGTGCGATTTGCTGGCAAGATTGATTTCTAAGAATGTTGGCTGGATTATATATATGTGCTTTTGGCAAAATACCCATCATATCCAATTGTATGTAGTAACATAGATAGAACGCAAATTCGAACAGACAAGGATGTCTATATGTTCATGTTTTGGATTATTTTATGCTTAAAGGACACATTTTGATTGGTGTTGCCAATCTATACAGGTTGTTTGCCCTTGTTGATGTAAAGTTGAGATAGTGGGCCTTACACGGTCCAAACCTAAGCCGTTGCCTTCATTTGCATAGAACCTATTGTATTAAGGCCATCAGCACAGACAGGGAAAGTAGTCAGTGCTTGTAGGGTGAACTCGTCGTTTTCCTTGTCCCTGCCTGACGAGTCTATAATATATAAACCTTGTACATTGTACCACACTCACCTTGGCACGCATCTCACATACGCTGTGCTAGGTAGGTGGACGGTCTCTTACTCAATACACATACGCATCTCACATCTGCTGTGCTAGACGCCTACATTCCTGACTCACTTCCAAAGAGAAGCTGGACTTGGTCCAGTTTATACAGGCAAACCAGACTCATCATCTTCAAAGACCGACATTTTGACACCACGAGGCTCGGTTGAATCAAGCACAAGCACTCTTGAGAATCCGTTTATGCATTCGCATAGTATTGCTACTTTTAAAATCCTTCAGACAGTTGGGCCACATGTTCATCCAAACGGATGGGCTGACAACCTTTGGCATTATAGCATCGATTACAAGTGACTGAGATGCTCTTCGAATAAAGGAGATATGGAGCTTCCAGTTCGTCAGCGTCCAGCTTCTTGATGCCACTAAATATACTCTGACGATACTCTAAAATAGGAAGCACTTGCAGAACGCTATTGAGCCATTCCATCGTATTCATGTTTCTCCAAATACTCGTAGGTATGTTCTCGTAGAGCTTCTCACAAGCCAAATGGTTGAAGTCCTTGCGTACGAGACTGATGGCGTAAAGAGCTTTGTGTCTAGCTTTGACATTATGACTATAAATAGTTCGTTTGGTAGTCAACGGCCTGGTGTTGTTGAATTGTCATTGTTGATATGCAAAGTTGATGTTGGCTCTAATTCGGCAGAGTTTGCTGCGAAAGAAGATCCTGCTTTGGTACACGATATCATATTATCAGTTATGAATGGAGAGGGCTCGTAGAATGTCCATCTATTGGCGTGTTGCGGTGGGATCCATCTAACGATGTCTCGCTGAAACAGAGTAAGTCAATGATGATCGTTATGATCATATGATCACAATGCTGCATTGTTCGCTGTTGAATTCTGCTTTTATCAACATGAACATGTTTGCACGTGCTGACACATCCCCATCACATCGATATCACAACCACAGCAGCAACAAAGGAAGCCTTTAACGAAATCAAACTCATCACAACTCCTAACCAAGATCCACGCCGCAAAAGACGCAGTCAAAAAGGATCTAGGACTGTATATCGAAAAGACCATCCGACAACAGCTTGGCAAGTACGAATTCGGTCAACTCACTATGCAAATCCCTTCCGTAATGGCTACTATGAAACGTGGAGCACCTCCAACTGATGTTGTATTGAAGAAGATGTGGAAGTTACATCCAGAACTCGTTGCTGGTGCTGAAAGGAAGGTCAAGAGGGAAGTGAGGAAGGGAAAGCTTGCACAGAGGGCAGCAGCTATGGCAGCATGGAATGCTCAGAGGAGGTAGAAGGATACGTTGAGGCTAAAGCCATGTATATAGAATATATCATAAAGAGGATGTAGTGGTGGAGACACTAGAAATTGCTCATAATCGAATTGACTTTATATATATATATATATATATATAAACGATAAGATTGCTCATAGAGGAATATACTTGATATATCTAACGATACATGATCACTACTTGTAAACAGTATACAATTCTGCGAAGATGCAACTATGAAAGCGAATTGTCGTTTCGTAAAGGTCTTTATATTTTAGAGCAAAAAGTATCATACAACAAAACGGTTCCAGCCCGCAATATTTCACAAGCCAAACAAATAATTTGGGGGGTAATAACCAACCATAACCACCGGTGTACAGCCTTACTATCTGGATTTCTCATTATATCCAGCAAATGAGAAACCAGGCACCAGCAACAAAACAACTCCACCACTATCTACAACTACATCTTCTTTTCAGCACTTACCCTACTATCCAACCATTTCCAACTCACTCTACTTTTCCCACCACACTACTGCTATTATCGATCAAAACGACAGCGTCGATTCTTGACGTGTCGATGCAGAGCATCACTTCTCGTAAACGTTCGTGCACAATTAACACATCTGAACTTTTTAAAGTCTTCACGATGTGTAATGGCATGTCGTTTCAATTCCTGTCGTCTCAAAAAGGCCTTTGTGCACACTTCGCAAGTATGGATCTTTTCACCATTATCAATAGGTAGAGCACCACCATTATCATCTGATGCTCTTTGTGCTGTACCAGCTTTAGATACTTTTTTACCAAATTTACGGATTGTGGTTCCAGCTCGACTACCACCAGCAGTAGCACCACCAGTACTATTATTATTCTTCAAGTGTTGCTTTTCGTGTGATTTCAAACCACATAATTTTTGAAAGAGTTTACCACAGTGGCATTTGAATGGATGAGTTACTGCAGTTGGGGCATCTACGTTATCGTCTTCTAGATTGGCAAAGAGACCTTCACCGGGTAGTTGTATCGGGTGTGTTGATGCATAGTCTTCAGATTCCGATGATGATATACCTAAACCGTCTGGATGAGGTCGTCGTATAGGTCTACCGGACGACGATGTTGCCACTACAGGTTGGTTTTGGGTTTGACTGGTACGGCGACGCTGGCTAGAGTTCTGTCTACGTTCATACAAATCGTCGTCATCGTCATCATGATCTTCATAATCACTACCATCGTCCTCTCCATCTTCACGTATGCCCTCCTCGACTTCTTCAGCGCCAGCATGAGCCATATCAGATTCATCATCGTCTGCTTCGTCTTCAGAATCTGATAATGCACCTCGTCGCATAACTACATCCTCCTTCTCTTCCTTGATTGAAGCGTTGCTACCATTACTGCCCTTTCGCTTCATGGTTGGGTTGGTTGTGTTGTTTGGTAGTGCTGACATGGCAGCCATTGGTGAGGGAGCCAAGACCGATGATGTGGTCAACACATTCGGAGTTGGAACTGCTGATGTTGGAGTGCCTGACAATACACCTGGATCGATATATGCTCGGAAGGGCGATATGAAGGGTAATGGAGGTGCTGTTAAGGACCTTTGGTGGTGGTGTCCGTGATGGATGTTTTGCTGTTGTTGCATGTGATGTGGGTGGTGATGCATAAATACAGGTGATGAGATTGCTGAAGCAGATAATGAGGAGTGCATGGTATGAGTAACAGGTATCTATGGAGGAAGTTTGAAGTTGGTGACTGGAGTGCGAAAAAAACGATAAAATAACCTGGCGCATTGAGTTTTCACCCACCTCCTGACTTCGTACCAGATTCATGTTGAGTGGTGGAGGCTTTGCTCGTCCATTTCCAATAGCAGCAGATCCGGCAATTGCACTGGTACCACTATGACTAGTCGGTCGAGGCAATATCGGACCGACCATACCAGGATGATAGTAAGCCGGCATAAACATTGGTTGCTGTGATTGTTGTCCTGAAACAATGTCGCGCCTAGACATGGCAATATAGGTAGCTGCTTGATCATATACTTGGTGATGAGCCCATATCGGAGATTGCTGCATACCAGCCATCATATTATTGGGAAATTCATGGTAACCTGGCATCATAGCAGCAGCCATATTCCATCTCTGTATATTAGCGATAGATTCATCACCGGAATACGTCCAGCGTCGTGTGTGACCATTGCCGAATTGGATTTCAGCTAGTTGAGCAGCATCTTCTGCTGATAATGGAGGTATTCCGCCACCTTGATACATTTGCTGTTGTGGATACATGTGCTGTTGCTGTTGACTATTATACATTGGCTGAATTTTTGGATGTTGTTGAAGCTGCGGCGGGCTGTGTGAAGGTGTTGGCGACGAGCTTGATGCTACAGACGACGACGAGGACGATCCAGACGAGAGTGCCTGCACATCTCTAGTTGAAGAGCCATCCACGATATCTATTTCTGTTTTTATACTGTGTTGCTCGTGCTGAAACCATTGTCCAGCGATATCAGAAAAGTTGTTGTCGGTCTCCATCTTTACATCTGATAAACCATTCGACTGGCTGATATGCTGTTGGTGCTGGAATGGGTCGTGTTGGTTTTCTGTAAATCGATAACTTCCAGTCATGGTGAATTGCTGTTCTGGAAGATGAGACATTGTTGTGGTTGACGGCATGTGTTGGTTCAAGTTATCGTCGGAGTGAGTTTCACTGTGCTTATTTAGAGAATACTGATTAGTCCATGGTACTAGATAGGTCCTTTGCATGGTTTGATAAATTTTGATTGCAAAGAAACTTGGCAGAAGAATTGTCGACGCAAACACCGATATGTGGAGAACTTACATCATATGACTAGTTAGGACCCTCTAGTGAATGCTATACTAGGAAAGATTTACGCCTCTTGAGTCGGGATTTGACTCTTTGTTTGATGTTACAGAGCTGAATCTGCCGTTGTCTTTCTCTTTCCTTTAGGCTTCTTTTAGGGTGCACACAAGGACAAATAGAAGGTTTCGAACACAACTCGAGAACTCCGGTCATCATCCAGTAAGCCTCTGACGCGTCTCTCATCTGCTAGTCTGCTGGTCTCCATGACGCGATCTTTCACCGTTTGCTGCAATGTCCCTCAAAGTTGTGCTCGACGCCACATGGCCTCTTTAAGCTCTGGATCATAAAAAAGCAGCAATGGATCAAATTTTAGGTTCCAGACTTGACGAGGCACTCCAAGCTACGAAGAAAGGCGACATCGATTTCACATTCCCAGCTGCCGGCCGCTTGTCATTATGATCACGTCTTGTAAAAAATCACGTTGAAAATAATCACGTTCCGCTTTGAATTGCAAGAATAAAGCGTACTCAACCCTCAAGTTGCTGGCCCAAATCGCCAAATTCTCAGACGTTTTCCTTCTTTGGGTAAAATCATTCAACAACGATTTTCACTAGGGCGATCGCTCACTGTTCACGTTGTTGTCCCTCTTCCTGTATTCAAATCCAAGCTTCAAAGCATGACACTACATCTCCATTCCTCCAACATCCCCCTGCATAACACATTTCCTTCAAAAAACACTATCAAGGCTTGTCAACTCTCGACCCATTTCCCAAAATCTCGACAACTTTATACAGGGCCTCTCAACTAAATGTATACAGCACTATAAAAGAATTAAATTGACGGCCAGCGTCAACACCACCACCAACAACACCACACTCCTCACTCCTGTTCCAATAGACACGGGGGCATCACTCGTACTAACCACCGGCGTCTTCGTTGCCATAGCTGCGCCTGCTGCTACCTGTGATGCCTTGGCCGCTATCACTGCAGCAGCTGCTGCATCACTCCCGGGCGCTGGTTGACTGGGACATCTTCCAATAAATGCGATCTTATACAGCCGGAACGTTGTGTTTTGTGGCATGAAGGTAGTCATCATTAGCGTTGAGAGATGCATAAAATCGGTGGCGTTTCCAGCCACATTCAGATGGAAGGTTTGTAGCGGTATGTTAATGGTTTGCGATGTCCCATTTGCCACGATAAACGTAGAGAGTGGGTAGTATATGGTGTCTACAAGCATAGAAGCTAATCAGACCATACGTTCGATGGTAATATCAAGACAAAAGCGTAATACCTGGCTCCTTTGTCACGCAATCACTTCCTAGCTGTGTGAAGGCCATGGCCATATCGGCTCCCAGTGGAAAGAGGAAACTCAGACTCAAAGAGGTATATCTTTTGTATCGTATGTCAGTGACGATATTCACAATTCAATTTCAGCAATCAACAAATGCATACCGGCTGGCGTTGAAACAACGGTTTGCAGTCAAGGAGGTGAAGAAATATGAGGTTGCGAGGCCACCGTTCGGCACGACACCCATGCTTCCTGTATTCATAGTAAGGCTGACGCCAGCACCTCCATAAGAGCCACCCTGTCAATCAAAGTGTGAGCTAGAGTACACCAAATGTTTTCCTTCAGATGACCCGATTCAGTACCTGCAGCGTATATAGCGTGGCATTGTTTGTGACGGTTCTAGCGACTCTGTAATCGTCTATTATATAGTCGGGCTAAAATGTTGATAGAGAGGTTATTGACGGTGAACAGCGAACGAACAAGACTGCGACTTACATAACACCCAGTGGTATTGTCGGCCGCCTCTGTTGGGCCAGGAGTGATTTGAGCACTTGCTAGGTGTAGTAGCAGTGGCAGTATACCTAGCAGCATCCACATTCTCTTCATATCTTCGTCGTATGGAAGTTTGCAAGTACTCGTTTGCCGCATCCAATTTTAAAGTCCGACGCACAGCCAAACTAGACGTAAGGGTGTTCTCCTAGATATACGAGAAATCGGTTGATCTTGAGCCCTAGTTCGCAGTTGTGGTCTGTTGTGGCAGCTGCTGAGCTTGCCTGTCCTGATTGGCTTTCTGCCAACAGCTTGTCTTGCTTCTTAAATATGTTTCGATTCGAACCTGGCAAGATCGGATTGCCATCAGACTTTCGATTTACTGACTGGGCAGAACTGAAAGGATGAGGATGCAAGGTGCCCCAAGAAGATTTGAACAAATTATTGGTTGGAATGAGAGATGGAAATGGAATGGATGCTAGCATTCAAAAGACGAAAATCCCTGGAATTGTGCTAGTAGAAACGATGGATGGTAAGATTCGGCTGCGATTCATTGGTACAGATGTCGCATATTTGGGCAATTGACATTTACCATCAACATCTCTGTAGTGTTTTACCCGTTAGTCGATGATCCCTATATTCAAGTTAGTACAATGCATTGATCAATGTACATCTAGCTATCTAGACTCAGCACTTTAAACTTACTGCAATCTATCTGTTCCATTATAGGGTCGCATCACCTGTGCCAATGTACTTTCGGACCTGTACGCCATGGGTGTCTCAGACTGTGATAATATGTTGATGTATCTCGGAATCGCGCGCAAGATGTCACCAGAGCTGAAGGAGACCGTTACAAAACTCTTCATGCGTGGATTCCATGGTACTTCAATGGTTCTCGTGTTTTGTCGATCTCGCCCTTTGGCCAACACTGTCAAAACTCAATAGATTTGGCCCATGAAGCTGGCACTAAAGTTACTGGTGGACAGACAATTCAAAGCCCTTGGTACACCATAGGCGGATCAGCTACTTCTGTAGTGCAAGAATCAGAAGTCATTATGTAATGAGACTATTGCTTAGGAAACGTCAAGCTTCTATGGACTAAGCTGACTTCAATTTAGGCCTATTCATGCTAAAGATGGAGACGTCTTGGTGTTGACGAAACCGCTAGGCAATCAACTGGCCGTCAATGCTCATACATGGCTGTTTAATGAAGAAAAGTACAATCGTGTTCGTGACATTATAAGCAAAGAGCATGGTAGGAGCCTCATTGGTTGTTCCAATCCTTGCATGAAAGTTTCTCATGCTATATCCTTTAGTTGTTGACGCATACGAAACTGCCATCAGATCAATGTGCAGACTCAATCGAAACGCGGCCAAGCTGATGCATCAACATTGTATGTTCGGAACTTTTGCTGCGTGATATTTTTGACCACGAAATCTAACGTGGTATGTCGTAATACAGCGGTGCATGCTTCAACAGATGTCACAGGCTTTGGAATCCTTGGCCACGCTGAGAATTTGGCCAGTAATCAAGAAGCAGACGTCGACTTTGTCATTGATACCCTCCCAATTATTGACAAGATGTGGGAAGTGAATGCCAAAGTGAATTTCAAACTTGAGATTGGACGAAGTGCAGAGACCTCTGGTGCGTTTGTGTGTACGCACGTTGAGCTATTGTACGGACCGACTCCTCATTCATTCTTAACAATAGGGGGTCTCTTGATTGCTCTACCTGCTGAAAACGCCGACGCATATATAAAAGAACTTGAATCCATTGATGAGTGCCCGGCTTGGATTGTTGGTCGTGTTGTTTCAGGTACCCAGAATTGCGTACCTGTGTTGATAGACTAGCCTCCTTGTTAACATGGAATGTCTCGCTTTGTGAATCAGGAACGCGAAAAGCAAGACTGGCTCCAAATCCTACCATCATACCTATACCTTACCGACCTTTACCTTCCAGACCATTCTAATTTAATTTTGAAAAATCTTCTTGGGGCGTTTCCTTGTTACTTGAAGACTGTCATACCGATATGAAGCTCTCGTTTTCACAAGTTCTCTATCAGAGAATGAAACGAGGGCTGATACATGGCGTCTTGATGTTAGGGATACTCTTTACACTTGCATCATTTCTTTGTAACCATAGTTTATACGAAATATACGCATTTGAAACTGACACATGTGCAACTGGATTGAGGTGCTAATTCATGACGGGAGGAACTACATGAAAGCCTACTAACATTAATAGCTGCTGATTGTCGGGCGCTATTACTACATCGTGACTGTCGTAAGTTACCACTTGACACTGATTGTCGCATTTGAGCCCCGCCTCAAACAGGCGGCAGGTTTGGCACAGGCTTCTCAGTCTTGAAGCCTAAGAACTAAAGGAGCTTCTTCTGTACGTGTGAGTTTGTAGGAGGCAGCAGTAATCCTCCTATGAAGCGGCCGGCTATCAGCATGTGGTTTGAGTACTAAGACTGCCCAACCATGGTGAACAGACCATTTACACAGATATGGCAGCTGGCACATAAAAGGGCAAAGATCTCGAATTCCTCTGATATATAGCTTCCTGTAATGAGATCGTGCAGTATAACGGTCATGTAAAGAGTCCAGCAAACCACAATACCAAGTGTCAACATGACGAGGTCTTTATAGAGGGTGATTTCTGAAGAGGCGATTGGTGAGTCAACACGTTTCTGGGCTTCCTTGTACTTGGACCACTTGCTGTTGAGCGATGAAACGTCACTGGTGCTGTAGTTGACGGGATGCTTTACAAGTTTGTTGATTGCCGATGCTGAAGCAAAGATCTTGCGCAGAATCAGAAAATTGCAAACACCCATAACAGCCTAAGAGACAAAAGCACTGTGTAAGTCTACATGCTGGTGAGAAAGGAAACAGCTTTATCTTACAATGCAACCCATCATGGAGAGGAATGCTACCAGCACAATCGTCAAGACGCCTGCATTCCTTGATCCCCATACTGAGAGAAAGTACGTGCCATATGCACGGACATTTAGAGAGTTCTCGACTCCCACTAGCAGATCCATTCCAAAGAGAAAATAGGAATAGACGAAACAGAAGACGATCATAGTATACATGGCCCTGTCAGAAAGCTGTTCTCCTTTGATAATTGCGTATAACCGATCAACTCACAGTCCCATAATAAGGTGTAGACCAACCAAGACTCCTTGCATTTCAACGTCAGTCTGGAAAATGCATTCGTTCATGCCAGGAAAGTGGCCGAGATACAAAGCGTGAGCCCAGACGATGAATTCTCCCAATCCCAAACACGAATCGGTATATGCAAGACATGCCAATAATTTTCCATGTCTCTTCCAGAGATCCTTGTCGGCAAATTTACTCCCAAACACCACAGCTTGAATCAGGGCTCCAGTGAGAGCAAAGAGTGATGTAAATGTCAACGTTGTGTACTACAGAGCACCTGTAATGCGCTTTTCTCTTCTCTCTGGCTTAAGGCTCAATGTGAATTCACAATCACACATTTGGCAATGCTGATGGGGGTTTGAAATGCGGGTGTCATTCAGGCATCCGAGGACTTGACTGTGGTGAATCACAGTAGATCGTTTTTGAAGGATGATCTAGACTCTATTTTCATTTCATTACATGTGTCTGAAATCTCACAAAGGGCCATTGCCTATTAAGGGCTATAGATTGTCCGATCTGACTCAATTGCATCCATCTTGAACCCCAAAATTTTAAAGAATTTCCTTCGCACAGGCAGATTGGTATAAAGCAGTAGTACTCCTATACAGCGACTAGTTGTTAGAAACAGATCTCGATTGCTGAAGTACAGCACCGAAACTCACCGTTTACAGTGATGTGGGTGCTTCCACACAAAAGTGCAAATAGCTCGAATTCTTGTGATATGTACGTGCCAGAGAAAATATCGTGGAGCATGACAATAATGTAGGGAATCCAGCATAGCAAGACACCAAGACTCAGGAGTGTGAGTTTCTGAAATAGCGCAATCTCGACGGTAGAGTTTGGAAGCATTGAAGGGCGGCGCAGGATTTCCTTATCACTGGGGAGCATTGTGTTATTAGAAGGGTTGATATTCTTGATGTTGCCATGCATTGGATGTATTGCAAATTTGTTGATTCTGGATGACGATTTGCGAATCTTTAACAGAATCACCACATTTAACACGGCCGAGGCAATCTATCGTAAAGTAGAGTTGAGTAAGTGAGCAGACTCCATCCATTCAGATGATTTCCGACTTACCATGGATGCAAGCATGCTGAAACATGTAACCACCACTACGGCGATTAGTGTTGGATTCCGAGTGCTCCATATGGTGACGCAATACGTGTTGTAGGCTCTCAGCGTAATTGAATCGTCAACACCAATGTATAACATCGTCCCGTACAAGACGTAAGCCAGGCAGAAAAAGAAGAAGATTAATTTGTACAAGACCTTATCACTCAACTGTTGGCCCTTAATAATTGCAACATATCGGTCCAGTGCGAGAGCAAAGATACAATATAAGCTGATACAGACACACTGAATTTCGATCCCAGTCTGAAAAATGCAGTCTGTAATTCCAGGATAATGTCCGTAATAGATAGCTCTAAACCAGATGATAAATTCGCCAATTCCTAGACATGCATCTGAGAATGCTAAACATGCCAATAGTTTTCCATGGCGCTGCCAGAGGTGTTTGTCGGAAAAGATGATTCCAAATACTATGGCTTGGATTATACCTCCAAAGAGAGCAAAGAGGGAGGTAAACGACAGAGTTGTGTATTGGATGGCACCATATTGTACGGCACTTTTCTCCTGGAAAGTTTCCATCCCGCGTATAGTGCAGGTATGCTCGTCATTCACACCGTTGAGAATTCTAATGGGGTTTGAATACGGGTGTGATTCAGGTCTCCCCTAGGCGGGACCAGGATAGAAAATCATAGGGCAACGTTCTTTGCAGATAAAATATACAGACTACTGTATTCGCAGAAAAATCATATGACTTGAGTGTTTACCACCCAACTAACTCCCACAGACTGAAGGCCGATTTGACTCGTTGGTCTCCACCTTGAGCCTCAATATTTTCATGATTTTCTTTCGTACAGGAGCGTTGGTATACAGCAGCAATCCACCTACAAGGTTGGAAAAAACGTCAGTACAATCCCCTTTGCAAAACAGCAGCCACAATTTATCGTTTGGTCGCACCATTAAGACAAGCATGCGTACTGCAACACATCAGAGCAAATATGTCGTATTCCGGTAATACCGGCGTTCCGCTGATGATGTCATGAAGCACCATGATCATGTATGGGCCCCATGAGAGATACAGTGCGACCGTGAGCAGGATGAATTTCTTGTACAAGGATACTTCCGTCGAGATTTTGCGAGATCTTGGGAGCGAATGGTGACGACCATGTTCAACTTCCTTGTCTGTAGGTGCTTTGACCATGCTTGCCGAAGTGTCAAACATCCCCAGTTTTGACATTGCTGCCGAACTTGCATAGAGTTTGTGCAGTATCACGACATTACAAGCGGCCAACACAACCTAGTACAATCAATCGAGAATGTGAGTGGGAAGCTTGTGGATTCGGTATCGTCGTACTGCGTTTTTACCATTGATGCCAACATGGTCAAAAATGTAACCAAGACGATAGCCATAGCGGAAGGATCTCTCGAAGACCAATTTATGACACAATAAACGTTAAAGGCTCTTAGTGCTATACTGTCTTCCATTCCAACGTATATCATCATCCCATAAAGAAGGTAGGCCAGGCCGAAAAACGACGCAATCATCGTGTACACAAATCTATCAGAAAGCTGCTCTCCCCTCACAATGGCGTATAATCGGTCAACAGATAGAGCCATGATTGTATATAGAGCTACACAGACTCCTTGCATTTCGACACCAGTTTGAATCAGACAGTCTTCCACTCCAGGGTAGTGGCCAAAATGCACGGCACGAAACCATATCACGGATTCACCAATTCCCAGACAAGAATCTGCAAATGCTAAGCAAGCCAACAATTTGCCATGGTGTTTCCAGAGATGCTTGTCGGAAATGATGATGGCAAATATGACTCCTTGAATTAGTCCACCGATGCCAGCGAAGAGAGCACAAATCGTAAGACTTGCGTATTGCAGAGCACCATATTGTATGGCAATCTTCTCGTCAAATGTTGACATCTTGGAGGCATTTTAGCACAACATAGCCGATCTACTTTTGTTAAGATTTGTTTTTAAAATTATGGGGTCAACGAAGGTGTGATTGAGATAAGGAAGATCCGAGGTTTCTGTCTGGGCATCCGTCGCATGCTCAAACCTATATGAGGTTCTCATGAGAGTGGCTGGATGCCAGGTATCTGATCTGCGTCATTTGTTTTGTGCATGACATTTCACCAGCATATAAGCCACGCTATCACTGACGAAAGTCTATTATCTCTAAAAGTCATGCGTCAACGGCAGATTGAATTTGAGATCTGTGCGGTACTTTTGCTGCCAATGTGTTTATTTTTTTTTTACAGAATCGCAGTTCCAACTAATCACCTATTTACGAAGCGTCTGCAGTAAAGCAGCTCTGAATGAAACAGGAATAAATTCTATTGCTTTGGGCAGTTGGGATTACGTCTGTCAAGATGGCAAGAGTCGGGCAACAGTGGAGGTTGAGCGCGAATTCACATTTACACCCGGCTTGAGTCGGAGAAGTGCCATAAATTTCATATACACCGGCGAATTCGTATAAAGCAGCAAAGCTCCTAGTTTCATATTGTGAGATCATTTCTTCGTGCTTGCCAAAAACATTGAAGCTTACCGTTTACACACGCATGGACACTGGCACATAAAAGTGCAAAAACCTCGTACTCTGGGACGATCTGTATACCGGTAAAGATGTCATGCATCGCCATAATCATATACGGTCCCCAACAGACAAACAGTCCTGCAGTTAAGAGGGCGAATTTCTTGTACAGCAGCACTTCCGTTGAAGTCTTTCGTGAGCGGGCCATCGAAGGAGGTGCATGCTCGATCACTTTGTTACTTAGCAGCTTGGTGCTATTTGACGGACACCCAGATGGATCCATTCCGAGTTTTGTCATGGCATTCGAAGATACAAAGATCTTCCTCAAAATCATCACGTTGCAAACGGCTAAAACGACCTGGTGTCATAAATGTTGGGTATTTGAGAAGCAATCTTTGTATGTAGTTTCCGTTGAAATCAAATTCGGAAACTAGGTGCGAACATACCATTGACACCAACATCGTCAAATATGTACAAATCACCAGCGGTAAAACAACAGGATCCCTCGTAGACCAGCTCATGACACAATACATGTTGAAGCTCCGTAGATTTACACTGTTGTCCACACCAATGTACAGCATCACTGCAAACAACACATATGCCAGAGAGAAGGAGGAGAAGATGATACAATACACTGCTGTATCCGACAGCTGCTGTCCCTTGACAATGGAATGATATCGATCTAGAGACAGTGCCATCAGACAGTAGAGTCCAATAAGAACTCCTTGGGTTTCTACACCAACTTGAAACACACAGTCTGTAATCCCAGGGTAATGGCCGTAATAGAGAGCACGTAGCCATACGATACATTCTCCAATTCCCAGGCACGAGTCAGTGAATGCGAGACATGCCAGCAGTTTCCCATGATGTTTCCAGAGATTCTTGTCGGCGAATATGATTATAAAGATGATGCCTTGAACGAGACCACCAGCACCAGCGAATACAGCGAAAGTAGATAGTGCTCCGTATTGCAGAGTTCCATACGTTAGATTGGCTTTTTGCAGAAGCGTTTCCATCTTGCGTCCATTTTTTTGAAGTTGGACAATATCTCCTATTTCTTCCCTGCAGGGTCGCGATTGGAAAACGTATTGAGGTTTTGAACGAGTGAACAAGCTTCGTAGCTTGGAGTCGTAATCTTACTTGTATGGAATGTGTGGCTGCGTTGGGTGTTCCTCCACACATGGACTGCATTGAGTGTGTTTTCGCATTTGAAGATTTAAGGTAGCAATGAGCCTCGCTTGTTGGGCTTGAATCGTGAAACAGTACCAGAGGACATCACGAAACGATATCGAGTAATTTCAAAGGCAATTGACTGCAATAACGCGTTTTTTTTGGCTCATGCATTCTATTAGGATTATAGTCCCGCAAATTTACGATTATTACAACACTTAAAACCCACTTAAAACCCACAAGTTGCTAATTACTCCTCGTATGTTACTGGAATTACGTTTGCGCGATCGCAATTTTATCGCGGGGATCCTGTCGCTGCTATAAGTACCTCAAAGTTACCGTAGGTTGAGTCTGGGAACGAGGGGTTAGCTCAGTTGGTAGTAGCATTCGATTCCAATAATAGTTGGAACTTCATCGAAAGGTCACGGGTTCAACTCCCCTACTCCTCATTTTTGGATGAGTAGATAAGTTTATATAATAGTAGGATTGGAAAGCGGATGTTGTACCGTCGTTCTTTCAGAATCAACTCTCCAAAGATGACAATACAGTGAAGATTGGAATGCGCTTTTTGCATTTATTACAACATTTTGTGTGTACTACAGAAAACAAATCTGAAATCATGTACTAGTCTTTTTGTTTTTGTTTTATACTTTCAAGAGACCAAATCCCTCCATTTGGCTCTTTCTTCCATCGATTCCCACATTCTAAGATTCAATGCACCTCTAAATATCAAGATCCACATCATCCGACTGTTGATCAAACCCAAGGCCAACCATTCCAGCTCCATATCCTCCCATACTGCCATCTCCCATGTCACCCATTAAGGGCATCATGGTCATGGGCAATATATCGCTATATGCAGATGTATCGAATGAGCCGTATGAGCCATGACTTTGCACTTCACTTCTAATATTGCTATGCTGATTGCTATTATTATGATAATTGTTGCTGTTGTTGTGCATGCTACCTCCATTGGTGCGGCAGTATTCATCTATACGAGTAAGAGCTCGTTCTTCGATTAAATCAAAGTCGATCTCTAACTCGCCTGCCAAGTCAATCGACCATCCATATTTGGATGTCTTGACGAGATCAGCCACACGAGATTGGCCTTCCGGAGGTAAATCACCAATCCTTTCTGCAAGATTTGCCAAAAAGGCTGCGTCTACGATCTGCCCATTTATAGTTATAATCTTGTTTGCTGATGATGTAGATTTCTTTTTCGAAGCTGTAGATGCTTTTTTCGAGCCCCTACGATTCCTTATGGTTGGAGCTGGTGGTGATATACGACGCGGTTTCTTCACTGGTTCCTCGTCGGGATACAGAGCTCGAGTAGCACTGCGGGTAGTGTACTTTGGTTCTACAGATGATGCCCTGGAGCCTGGTGATTGTGCACCAGAGTCGTCTGAGTATGGATTTGTAAATCCTTCAAACTGTTGTTGCTGTTGTTGACCTGCTTCACTATGGTTTTCTGCTTCCTCTTTGTCATCATCATCACTACTAGATGAATCACTATCAGACGAGTCACTTTCTGCGGCATTTTGTTGGACAGTATGTTGCATCATGGCTGAAAACATGGCGACCTGTTGAGTGAGCAGCTGTAGTTGTAGAGATGCATCACCGAGAGCAGGCACAGCCTTGCTCTTTTTACCACCCTTCCCAGCAGCTTTCCCGGCCTTTTCAAGCTTGATTTTATCAGCCTTTTTAATATATTTTCTCTTTTTTCTGTTTGGATCACTAAAGTCTATTGAGGATGCTCTTTTCGAGTATGGCCTCTTTACATTTGGTGGGAGGGGCTCTACTCCTGAGGGCACGACTCCATCAGTGAGAGAAGTCAACGAAGCCAGTGAGCCAGATGATGATTGACGACGATGTAATGATTCTGGATCATCTATATTATAGATTCCTGCTGCTTTATTATCTTCTGTTTTGGGTTTGGCAGCTCGTTTTGTTCTATTGACGGTGACCGAGTTGGGTAGTACTTTACGATGAGCTGTAGATGGATGTGATATTGGATGTGGGTGTTGTGGATGGTGAATGGGAGCTGGTGGTGCTAGACTATATGTGGGTTGAGTGGTGGAGGATACCATGGTTGGAAAGTTGCTATTCAACAGATTGTTGAATGCGACTCTGAGCTGCTGTGCTAGTTTATATACAGGATGCGTATCGTTCTGATTATATCGGAAACTAGGAGAAAGCGAAGGGTTAGCTCTGAAACCTTTGAACGAACAAGCAGTATGATAGCGACACGTAGATCATCAAAAACGTCATATATGCGATATATGATTTTGAGTCTGTATTGCTCATATGCGTTCTCGGCCATCATTCCATGAGTGTGTCAAGTCGATATAGACTCGTATTTTGATTGCATTCAAGCAGACTAGATCAAAACAAATGTACTCACCAATTGCTAAACATGAGTTCGATATCAGCAGCGAAAGCCTGTACACTGTTGTATAAGCCTGCATTGAGTTTCTTTTCGACGGTTGACAAGTCCATTGGGTACTTAATGATGGAGTGGTAGTCGGGGCAATTGTCAGCTACGGGATCTACTGGTTTAAGGAAGGGAAAAGCAGCCGTATGCTTCTGGAGAAGAGACAGCACATTCCTTAAACTCTTCAAGTCTGTTTGGGACAGTCCTTGGTTTGATACGACAGCAGCAGTGTGTAGTATCGATGCTGTTGTTGATATTGTTGATGACAGTGTTGATGTAGCTTCCACTCCATTCCTGGGACTAGTATCGACCTTCGAATCTACATTGGGGCTATGAGGAGGCGACAATGGGACCTCCGCAGATATCATGATAGGTGGTTTCTGTTATGAGAGTTGGGACCTTGCTGCTGTTGTTGACTTGATTTGTCTAGGAAGAAGGCGACAAAAAGGAGGATAAAATAGTCGGGATTATATGATCTCGTGCCTGTCTATAAGCGTATCTATGTCTGGTTGGGTGTGTTGTTAGAAGCAAAGGCGGAATCGGCTGTGTCATTGATTTTTTTGAAAAGTTGTAAGGGGATGGGAGATGGGAGGAAGGAAGGAGAAAAACAACCGAGATAACATGCAAATATGACGCGATTACATGCAGAATACTTACTAGATACCCGTGGAAGGCCTCTCATACTAACACTACACTCCGAGTCAAACCGTTGCATGACGCGTTCGTCTCGATGTCAATTAAGGCTTCTGATTGACCGGCGGACGGACGGAAGAAGCTGGGCATGGTCGACAAGCCTCGTTTGAAAGCGAATACTATATGTTACCGTGGGCGTCCAGCTATGCTGCCTTCTTTTCATCACTTCCAATTGGATTTGAGGTGCAGCTGCTCGCAGCATTCAATCGTCTTGGGTTTACTACTCTTGTATTCTTCTAAACGTTCAAATACACTCACAACATACACTGCAAATGCTCGTAGCTAACGCGTCAGCTTGAACATCAAAACAATATTCACAAAAACACGAAATCCAAACATTCTCATTGCATTGGAATACAAATGAAGAGGCATGCCACTATGAATCTGCTTTCCCTCTTGCTGTCCTGGGCTGGGCACCCGCTCCCTTCCATCTATGTCGAGTCTCTCTCCCAAAACCCAGCAATGATTGGATCTGCGGTTTTGACCACCTTTCTTATAATTGCTATATACAAACTGGGTGGTCCAAATGCTATATTGTCTTTGCTAGTTACTACTCCTGCCGAGACTCTTGCTCTCCAGGCCTTGGACTTGAAGCCAAATCACCACAACATCAGGAAATCAGGTTGGATCGTTGTTTGCCGTGTTGAACTTGACACACGTTATCGACTGTCATCGTTTTATTTAGCAAATGGAGTTCCATATCCGCCTGGGCTATACAATACGGGCAATCTCTGCTTCATGAACTCGGTGACTCAGGTCACGCAAAAGAAGTTGACGCGTCTCAACAACTACTTTACTCAAACACTTCTGTTATTAGGCACTTGTATCGCTGCCATCCTTGTTGACGTATCTTCAACAACGGTATTCTCAATTCAGAGAGAATCCATATGACGATGAAGGCAATCGGATCAACTTGCTCGTCACTGAAGCTCTTCTTGGACTGACTTTTGGTATACGACCATCTTATTTGCACAACTGCCCTTTCGCTTGCTTACACAACTTCCTCCTCTAGCTTTGAACGAGCTCAAACCGTCGAGACGAGCCATTCAACCATCAATACTGATGCGAGCTATAAGTGCTGGACGTACAAATATACTAGCATACGAGCAACAAGACGCCCATGAACTGTTTCAGCTCGTAAGCTCGGCCTTGTCGGAAGAAGAGGCCAGCATCGCTCGAGTCTTGATACGAAATCCGACTTTTATTGGAAGTGAATGGGATGCACTTGTCAACCAGTCTAGGACTACCAAAACGATCACAGCTGCCGAGAAAAATATTGACGCTCCATCTAAAGAACCGTTATCTTCATCGAAATCGAAAGATAGTGATCAACAAGATAGTGTCAAACAATTTGCCAAACCTGAAACAGGGTCTGATCGCACTCTACCACAAGCTAATGGCCACCATCCTGCTAATGGGTCCGTGAATGGTAAAGTAAATGGTCACAACGTCGATGATAGACAGACAACCGATGATGTTAAGAATGTGGCAGACAGGGCCAGTAAATCCTTGTTTTTGAGCTCCTTGAAGCAAGGTTTTGATTTTGGATTACGGAATCCATTCGTTGGTTTGGTGGCTAGTTCAGTGGTGTGTTTACAGTGTGGATTTACGGTGAGAGGTTTCGCAGACTTCAAGTGTCTTTCGCATCCACAAACATTGCTCATTACAAATATTTTGGCACAGTCTGGAATTCAACACCAACAATTCGATAACTTTTCTCTGGCTCTGCCAACTCGAGTAAGTGATGTTTCGACTGAGAATCATCATAGTATAAAATAATTTTTTTTTGGTTCACGATAGTACCACTCTGTAACTATCGAATCTCTACTCAAAACATACACAGCACCTGAACGTCTAGAGGACTGGATGTGTGAAAAGTGCTCCATGGTAGCAACACTGCAAGAATGCACCAATGTCTGTGAAAAAGCTCGAGCACGTGTAGAATCCATAAAATCAGATATCGCTGAATTACAGCGGCAGCCTGAAAAGACAGAAGGCACCGAAAAGAAGATGGAAAAGTATAAACGCAATATGCGTGAAGCTTTGACTGTCTTGGTACAAGTAGAGAAGGAACTTGATGCTGTTAAGGAATCTGTGCAGGAGGAGGATGAAACAAAGCTGGTAAGTGTGACTGTTGAAGCGATTTGAAGGAGGTTGGGTTGTAAAGAGTGTATGTCATCTACTGCACGATGAGTGCTGTATCATCTGGACCATCTGGAGCTCCGTCTTTTCTCTCTATCGCTCGTCGACTAATATCCTCAATTTCTCAGCCTGAAACTGTAAAAAGACTCAAAATACCATCTAAATCAGCCGCCAAACAAGTCTTGATTGCTAGACCGCCCAAGTGTCTAGCTCTACATATGCAACGATCTATATATCTCCCATCTGGCTCCGTCATGAAGAATACAACGTCCGTTGCCTTCCAATGCGAGCTAGATCTAACGCCGTTTTGTACATCGTCTGGATTTGCTGGTGGCTGTGAGTTTGCTGGATTGCAAACGTTTGGTAAACCATGGGTGGAGCCAAACGAAGAGCAGGAAGAAGAGCCTGTTGAAACTATAGAACACGATGATAGCAGAATACCCGAGTTAAAGGAAGAGTCGCCTGATGTGAATATACAGGAGAATGATGTACATGATGATGACGAGCCTTTGGATGATGACAGGTCGCGTGAGACAAGGGTTGTTGAGGACGCTATAGAGGAGGTCTTGGTCAACGACACTATCGATGCTTCCGGTGGAGATGATGATAACAATGTTGATACCCCAGCTCCTGCTAAACATGTCGAATCTGAGCAATCAGACCCAGATGCTGAAACAGCAAAAGATGCTCCTCCTCCACCAATACCAGACAACCCACCATCCACAGAACCAAATAACAGTAACAACCCCTACATCTATGCCCTGAAAGCCGTAGTACTGCATTACGGCGGTCACGACTCTGGCCACTTTGTCACATACAGAAGGACTCATGAAGTCGATGGAACTGAAACCCACAAATGGTTTAGAATATCAGATGATCGAGTCGATCTGGTCTCTGATATCCAAGATGAGATATTTAGTTACGCTAGTGGGTCAGTGTATATGCTTTTTTATGAGCAGGGGAGGTGGGGGAGTGCGAGGATTCAGGCTGAATCGAAGGCCGATGGATGGGGTGATTGAGGTGCGACTGTATTAGGAATTGTAGATATCTTTTGCTATAGTCTCTGAATGTATGGGTGGGATTATTTGGATTGGCATAACATGTTGTTCAAAGAAGCGTTGATTTCAGAGTCACAAGTCCGCATAGCTTCCGCGAATATAGTTAAAACTGTGCGCCATTGTAATCGTGTATCGTGTACATATATATATACAGTATATTCCTTTATTCGCAATCTTGTCGTTATATATAAGTATATTCTTCTCCCCACCACTACATCCTCCTTATGATATATTCTATATACATGGCTTTAGCCTCAACGTATCCTTCTACCTCCTTTGAGCCTTCCATGCTGCCATAGCTGCTGCCCTCTGTGCAAGCTTTCCCTTCCTCGCTTCCCTCTTGACCTTCCTTTCAGCACCAGCAACGAGTTCTGGATGTAACTTCCACATCTTCTTCAATACAACATCAGTTGGAGGTGCTCCACGTTTCGTAGTAGCCATTACGGAACGGATTTGCATAGTGAGTTGACCGAATTCGTACTTGCCAAACTGTTGTCGGATGGTCTTTTCGATATACAGTCGTAACTCCTTTTTGACGGCGTCTTTTGCGGCGTGGATCTTGGGTACGAGTTGTGATGAGTTTTATTTCGTTGAGGGATTCCTTCGTTGCTGCTGTGGTTGTGATATGGAGTCTATGTGATGGGGATTGGTCAGCACGTGCAAACATGTTCATGTTGATAAAAGCAGAATTCAACAGCGATCAATGCAGCATCTTATGATCATAACGATCATCATTAACTTACTCTTTTTCAGCGAGACATCCTTAGATGGATCGCACCACAACACGCCTCTAGATGCACGAGTTTGGGTGTTTGCAGTATCCACAGACTTTGAGAAGGAGGAGATTCATGACATTATTTGGCTTTATTTTGAGATGTACGAAATTGGGCAATGGAGGGAGTATCTTTTCATAGACGGTGAAATCGACCACGACATCGTCGATGCCATTTGGAATCTGGCTACCGAAGAGGTCGAGGCTAGGGGAGAAGAAGGAATGTGTTGGGAATGTACATAATATGCTAATTATCATCAATGTATATAAACTAGGTTACTGTTGAAGGATGACAGTCAAGAATGAGCTACTTGAGTAGATGCTTTTGGACCAATTCGTACTTTGGCTGCGGGCTTGCGTCCAGCTGTAGTTCCGGCATTGGATGCTCCTGATTCTCCCAACGCTTTCCTCGACTTCTTGTGTGGTCGCATCCTTGGCTGTTTTTTGGGAAGGTTGTTGCAACTGGATATTAGTTATCAGTTACAACGAAGGATACAACCAGAACGAGTGGCGAATAATCGCGTATTATACGTCACTATCATATTACAGAAACGAATCAATTGTTTTGTAGCTGGTGCAGTGAGGAATCGACTACGCCGTAATGTCAAGTCACGACGCGTATCGAATGCATGAAATTTACTAAATCGTTCGTAAAGCTCAAGATGAAACAGAAACCAGGATCTCTGAACATTGCAACCTGTAACTTGATCGACTCGACACTCTGCTTGAGACTCTAGTGCCGCATTTTTTTTTGGCTCATGCATTCTATTGGGATTATAGATTATAGTCCCGCAAATTTACGATTATTACAACACTTAAAACCCACTAAAGTTGCTAATTACTCCCCATATGTCTCTAGTGCCGCAGTTTTTTTTTCGCCGAGGCTCGGCATTAATCCAGTGAGCCTTCCTGTAAGAGATAAACGCTGAAAATTTATAATCGTGTCAACAATTGTTTACTTCTGGCGCTGATTTCCCGTAGTGGTTATCGGGCGTCCCTGCTAAGGACGTGGGTTTACCCGCACATGTTCGAATCATGTAATCAGCGTGTTTTTTTATAGTTATGAAAGTAAATAATTGCTCATTTATTGTCCAACTGTAGGAACATATACAGGGCATGAGGCCAGTTCCTAACTCAATAAATGGTTAAAAGTGGGAAGAGAGAGACAGTTAATATTTGTATGATACATCGATTCTTTAAAGCTATGTTACAAATCTACATGTTTGCAATACCACATAACTCATCGTCTCAGTCGAACAAGAAATGCATTCTTGCAATCTCGACTCTCTGGTGGCAAGTACTTGTCGAAAAAGTTGACTACAAACTCTTCTGGCTTGAATCCAAACTGTTGATACAGAATCTAAAATTGTGGGTAAAGTGTCAACTTCAATTCGTAATGAACAAAAAGTGAATCGCTCATGAATATTCACCATGGCTGGATTGTTTGCTGAAACATGAAGCGTGATATCTCGTGATGGGAGAATTTGTATGAGATAATACAACATGAACCTTTGTGAGAATGAAAATTATAGTTAGCCTTGTTGTTGCAACCAGCAAAAGTCTAGTGAAAAAAATGATGACAAAATGGCTCTGTACCTGGCTAGACCTTGTCCACCCCACCCCGGTCGAACAGCGATATAGGTAATGTAACCTTCGGGAGTCATAAAAGCACACCCGACCACAAGCCGGCGATACATGACCACAATCGAATAATCCGGATACATGAGATGCTCAGCAACTAATTGAGCGGAAGTGTCAACCAATTTGGATCTCACAGCTCAAAAAGGAGGTGTGCAAAAAAGTGCATACCATCAATTCCAGGCCAAAACACTCTCCACAATAAATCATTGACTTGATCCAAATGGAAGAATTGAAAGTGACTATAATCAATACTTATGACTTCTTCCTCGTCCGAGTTTGTCCTATATGTTCACACGTGTAAGTGACCTTGAACGATACAAACCAACACAACTGATGACTCACTTATATAAATGGCGAATCTCCTCAAGTAACAACAAGGCAGGAGGCTGACTATTGTAGTCTCTCCATATGAATGGCCTCAACACGCGACCAGTATATGGACTGGAACGTGATTCAGGATTCGTCAGACAATGAGAAAGGAATGGTACACCATGTAGCGTTGCCGCAAATGTCTCTGCATATGGAGGGTGATGAATTTGTGCTTTCGAGTAGTTTTGATGATTTCTCGTTATGGGTAAACGAGTGACGCTGGGTATTGTAGACAAGACAGAGGCATCCAGATCAAATATTGGCAAGCGTCTAGCACGGTTGAACTAGGTAAAATAGATACCCGGTAAATAAGAGAGAGGCAGCAACAGAGAAAACTGCATGAAACAAACCTGTCTAAGAAGTAGCTTGCGACGCATTCGATTCTCTGCGACAGACTTTCCAGATAACTGCGACAGCAGTTCTGATTCTTCCTTGACTGACAGGAATTCATCATCCATACGTTGAGTTTCACTCTCTGCACATGCTCGAGCAACTTCAGCTTTCGCTAGCTCGAGTTCTGGTTTTGAGGGTTGTGGCTTGTTCACCACCACTGATGGAAGAATACCTTTACGTATTATAGGCTCAGTAAATTGAGTCTTTTTGCTTGACGTGCCACCTGTCCGTTCGCCTTCCACCGAAGGTGACAATGCCGGCATAGCTTCACTTATTTCACTAGATCCAGCACGTGATGCTTCCTCAATTTTCACGATTTTCATTTCCGGTTTTATGGATTTCATATTATCAATGTCTTCATTGACGGCTCGCTTCCTCTTTTTACCAGGAGCTATCGTTGGTGTTGAAACACCATCCTTTAATCGAGTGGGAGTTTCACGTTCTCTTTTCGGTCTACCAGAGCTGGATGGTAGTGTTACGTGGACTTCTGCAGACGGTATTCCATTATACGATATAAATGAGTCGTCGTCGGGAGAAAAGAATACGACAACGGGTAGAGTTGATTCTTCCGGTTTTCGGGAAAGTTTTGGAGGCACATGATGGACTAGTCCCCACCAGCCTAAGGCCAAAAAAGGGTTATAGATATGACCAAGTGAAGCAGAATGCAAATCGAACGTTCACCTTGCTGCTCATGTTGCTCAAACCCAGATTTGAAGAGCTTTTTGTGCGTTGATAGAGCACTTGCCACGGTATTTGGCCATGTAGCAGGCCCTAGTTTTGGGGAGATAAAGTGAGTATGCGAGAGAGCAAAAAAAAGCAAAACATAACGATGAATGCCAAAGTACTTACGAGGCTTGTCAGGCCACAACGTTGTCCAAAGCTCATCAATCATTCGGCATATATCCTCTTTCCATCTAAAATCTTCAGACTCAGGATGCTCTTGTCCCAAATGGAAAAGTACCAAATGTATCGTTGAAGCCCTGTGAATTTACAACATAATGATCAGCGGTGAGGTCAAAGATTTTTCAGCGATGTGAATAGACAAACCAGCTCATTGGAAGCCTTGTATATGTTTGCTGCCCAGCTCCACAGACCGAGCAAGTGAAGGTGAAGAATACATCACCATGTAGGAAAGGCACAGGAGACACATTTGTGCATTCTAAAAGGAACGTAAGGAGTGAGGAAACTGGCTTCTTTTACATTCTGAGAGAGTTTAAACACCTTCATGGAACAATTGTCTGCATAACTGGCATCTGATCATCGTTCTAAAAGAGCAAATGTTTTTGATCAATGTCTAGATATCGCAGCTTCAAGAGCCTGGTGTTAACAGTTCTCACCCATGCCGTTCACTGCCACAATAACAGTACTGATTCTGCCTGTTCAGTACCCATTCCTCTTCAATCCATTGAAGCGACTGAAGCTAATAGTAAAAAAGCAGCTGTTTAGAAAAAAAGATTGCTAACGCTAACCAAAGTGAACGGTAAACCTCATAAGGAAGAGACTTGACGTGTCCTCCTGATGTACTTGGAAGCGCTGCCTGATTCTTCCTTGGCATGCTCGTCGTCTCCGTCACTCGCAAAGTTCCAGCTGGTTTAACAAGCTATGTTTTGAAAATGATCGAAAACACGACGATTTCATATGACGATCGGTGGCTTCATTTATTAAATTAGTTATTGTAGCAATGCTATTGCTTACATCGTTCCATATACAGCTTCTCTAAAGCACTCAACACGCCCTCTTCTCTCATAAGAACGGACTCGACCTTCCTCTCTGCTATAGACGTGTGTCCAAATGGAGACGTCCATGACCCATATTTGATTGTAGGCTTCAGATCCTCTATGTGCTCATCCAATGCGACATGAACTGCAGAATAAGCACCATCACCAGATGAAGGAGTTGCTCCAGTTCCCAAAAGCCTCATCTAGATTACAATAAATTGATTGACACTTGGCTTCTTTGCAATACCGTGCAGATCATACCGTATAGTATGCACAGGTCAAGGCCCACTGAGGTAACAAATCACCGACAATTCCCGTCATTGTAACCCCAGGATCCGTCATGAAGGAATACCTGCTCTTCCCAACCCACTGACGAGATAACTGCATACTCAAAACATCCATGAGACGTTTCGAAGACTCATAAGCCGAGTTGTTGGTCAGAGCCTGTAAATCATCTGGATTCAAAAACTCGGATACAGCTGTCAACGACGACACCCATATAACCCGGCTTTTTGGAGCGGCATCTAGCAGTGACTCTAGCTCTCGTAATATAATATAGTGGCCAAATACATTGACGTGGAAAGTCTCTCCAAGGCCATCGACAGATTTGGCGTCCTTCTTTTGAGTCAAGACTTCCCCACCTCCACCAGTCCTTGATAAGCGCATCGGATCAGTAAGTAGCATCCAGATAGCGTTCTTGATGTTCAGACCAGTAACGTTCATAATTCCAGCATTACAGAAAAGCAGGTCTAGTTGGTCAAACCTATCAAAAAACAACAGAAAAGATTGAGCACTTGTGGATTTCCAAGCAGTGCATCACCTTTCTTAGCACTATATATCGTATCCCACCTTTCCTTAAACTGCTTACAAGCCGACAAAACACTCTTGACACTTCCGACATCAACCAACAAGATTTGGATAACTTGAAGTCCTTCCTGCCTCTTATCAGGAAAGTACTCGTCCAACAGAGCATTCCTAGCTGCTTCTGCACGAGCATTTGATCGACATCCCAGCACAATGATGAAGGGAGTATGTTCAGAGTGTCGAGCTGCCAAAAGGCCTGCGATTCCGAAACCGATGCCACTGGTTAACGACAGATTGAGAGTGAGATACGATTGCATCGCTTGATGACATGTTGATGTATACCTGTTGGCTCCTGTAATCAACGCAATCTTGGGCTTGACCATGTTTTGGTATTTTTGGAGTTGTCCGAGTTGTAAGCTACCACTTTGCACGGTGAACTGGACTGACGTAGATCCCAATGGCTTTCGCCACGCTAAATAAAGTCGGTGACGTGTGGAGATGTGTCGCAAACACGTATCAGTCGACGGGAATGGACACGACGAAAACATTACTAAAGAAATTGACCATACACACAGTGAAAAGTAGTGATTTGAGGCTTCAATGAATCATGAATCGTGATGTACAGCATTTAAATCTGAGGTGTCCGCAACATACTACCACAACACGACAAATTTCGAACAACTCACGAAAATTTACGGTGATACTCACCATCCTCCTCCTCCTCAACCAGCCTGTCATATGAAAGTTCTTGTATGGATCTCCGGAGCGTCGATAAGCCTTGATGACGTTCGTTCTCTCCTTGACCAAGCACAAAAACTAAACACTACAGCAGGCTTCTACTAATGTCCAGCAGGCAGCAGGTACTGTTCCATTTGAATAGTGAACGCCTTCAGTGTACCCATGATCCTTCATTAGATTACGTGTCGCACTGGCCGCTCGGTCTTGGTTTAACTCGGTGGAAATGGTCACTTTGCGTCGCTTTGTCGATTTTGGCAACTTGTTCTCGAATTTCAGCCACGTCTCAATCAATCGCGATTTTAATTTTTTAATCATCTTGAAGTAGCAGGAAACAGTTTAATTTAACAGTTTGTACAAGGAGAAAGGCCAACGTACGAAACCAAGCGAAGCACCGCGATGAAAAGGTTTCTGAAGAACGAGTTTTCGTGACGCAAAGTACAACCAATCGCATCATCGCAACCGTCTATGACACAAAACAGCACGGTTTCCGTGGTAATAATATGCTACTTGTATAATATCATGCAAAAACCAAAAATATGATCTTGTCTTCAATAATTTAAATTGTTAGAGAGCCATGACAGGCCCATAATGCATATGCCAAAATGCATGATTGTAATTATAGTGGTATGGCCTGACGTGTGCAATAAATACTCGTTTTATGATGGAATGAAAGAAACAACCGCCCCCTTTTTGTCTTAACCAAAGCAACCCATGCCCAAGCTATTCTATAGAGTGGTGGGATCGACATCCATAGCTACGGCGTCTTGTACGACACTGTCCTCTCTCACTAACGGTGTAGAAACTTCAGCTTCTTCTTGTTCGTCTTGTTGTGCTGTAGCAGCACCGATCTCAAGATTTCGACCTCCAGCGGGAGCACAGTATTGTGAAAAACGGTCACCAATCCATTGGTAGAAGGCATTGTGGAGGTGGTATGGAATCGAATATGTTTGGAAGATTCCCTTCTTGGGCCAAACAATGCATTCGTTGAGTCGTTCGAGACCGATGGTGGCAATCAAAAAGTTCTTGGCTGATTTCTTGATAGCGATTCGGGTTGATTTGGGGAGGTCGGCGTAGTTGGGCATCATTTGCTTAACCAAGCTAGAGGGTTGACGATGGTTTAGACTCGGGCCAAAAAAGTGACAAATCTAGCACTTCATAGCATCATTGTGCACAATACAACCACTAATGTACTTACGAAGTGTAGCGAGTCAATGGGAATGGACTGTCTTCACGATCCATCGCAGTTGGAGTTGGTGTTAGTCCAGCACTGAGTGGAGAGTCGAGTACATCAGCCGATGCAGCAATATATAATTCATATGACTGATCCATAGTTAATCTTGGGCGTTTAGCTCTTGAATTCTCCATTGGAGAGTCCTCGTCAGTGGGCGACGACATCATAGCAAAAGCATCCATAGCAGCGGCATCATCTTGTTCCGATCGCACATTACTACGACCCAGTAATCGTTTACGAGCCAGACTATTTCCGAGCGTATTGTTACTTGACGACGACGATTGCAGCTCGTCATTCTTAAACAAGTCTGATACAGATGTTCCATCAGAGTATTTTTTAAATGCCGTCTTGCGTTCATCTTCAAACCAGGCCAAGAAGGAAGGAATCAAGACGTCTGGGATACCAAAGCTTTGACGACCGCGATCGGATGTGACGAGACATGATTCCAGAGTTAAATCCAATGATGGGGCATTCTTGATGATGAAGTCCTTGACACCGTTTCTGACTCGAGTTTGCAGAGATACATTGCGGACGTTGTCCAACAAGAAGGCTTCGTGCTTGCCGCGTATGACATCCGTCCAGAGCTTGACCAAGTATCTACCGCGTTGCTCGGTTGTTTCTGTCGGAGACAAGACAAAGTCACCGGCAGTGTTACCTAGTCGAGTTCCACTTGAAGAAGATACTGATCCGACAGAAGAGACACTACTAGTTCGTTTCATTGGAGATCCACCTGAGCGTCTTTGACCGGGCAAATCACGAGTGATTATATGTCCAGGGAAGGAGTTTGTTCGAACGACCTTTTCATATTGTACTTTTTCCGGTTTGTGAGCTCGTACTATCGGTAAAGCATCTGGATCACGGTCACCGAGAGGATGGAGGTTGATAATGACACCCTTTCGACGTTCTTGTACCCATTCACCATTCTGAGTTCGGAAGCGACGATCAAATCCATCCATGAAGGACTTTTGTAGGTCTTTTGGAATACCGAGTGTTGGTTTGGATGTGATACCGGTTAATGGAGATACTCGGGTTTCTGGTAGACGATGTTCCTTCAGAAATGCCTTTGCAAAGTTGGACATTGCAGGAGTTGAGCCAGACCAATCTGGGAATCGTTGACGTACAATATCGGTCCATGCAATCCATCGTTCAGAGTTGGGGTCATATGGAACTATAGGGTGTTGACGGGGAGTTGGAGCTCGTGTTGTCATGGTCGGTGCTGGTGGTAGAGATGACTGACGCTGTGGAGCATTTACAACTATTGGGGATGTGGCAATCATTGTTGAAGAGATCGGAGAGCTGGCTGATATCGATGGTGATAAAGCAGGGATATTGATTACGATTGGCGGTAATGGATTATAGTGATGTTGTTTCATTACGGTTTGCGGTGGTGCAGCAGGTGCAATTACAGCTTCACGAGCCTGAGCAGCGGGAGATACACCTTCATGTGTCATCATTAAATGGTGGGATGGTTCATGTTGCAGCAATACAGCTTCGATAGACATACGAGCAGCGTCCATAGGCTTCATTTCTACATCCAACATGTTTGTAGTTGTTTCAATCATACCATCTTGAATCATTTTATCAAACCAAGCTATAAATTCTCCTTGCATTTCGTGGCGGATGGTTGGGATTGCAGAAGATTCTCTGTTTGCTGCTACGGTGCCGAGACGAAGTGTCAAGAAGTGGTCACGGACTAGAGTGTCGATCTTGCTTCTGACACGAGTTGGGAGATTGGCCATTTCAGGGTATTTGACAGCTACTACTATTGGCCACTCCATTCCCTATTGACAAAAACGTCAGCCCGAGTCCGATGTTTCATCAAAGCTAATGGCACAACAGCAGATTCCTTGGTATTCCAGACATACCAGCTCACTAGTCAAAGACATGCCAGTTCGTTCAGGAGAATCTCCCTTGGAACGAGAGTTACCAAGTCTTGCATCAGTCTTTACAGCAGGTGCCAACACTGAAACACAAAAGTAAAAGTGATTTGAGCTTTCATTCTTGTCAATAGATGATTACATGGCCTTGGTAGCAGGTTCGTATAGAGCCCGCCCAGTCAATGGAGCAACCCAAAACCAAAAACTTACTTGGTGACGCGGGTTCACCATCCACATCAGTGGGTATGCGAGGGACCATAGACAAGCGGTCTTCCAGGGAGTTTAGGTACTTTTCCTTCCAGAACTTTGCTAGATTCTCTCCGTGGTCTATAGTTTCAGGTGCACTTGAAGGTTGCATTTTTTTTAGCGTTTTTGGCGCGTTGTAGGGACGATTGAGGAAAAAGTATCTAGTGAGAAGGCAGACATGTTATACAGAGCTGTTTTCATAGAGTGTGTCTTGTTGTTTCATGTTGTAACAATGTTGGCCAACGTCGCCAAAGTCGAGTTGTGACAAGAATGAAGTGGCTAGATCCGGTTGTTACCTTGCAATCGGTGTGATGAGGTGGTACTATCCAGTGCCAGGTAGTATTGGATGCAAATATGCGTGCTGCCGTTCTTTTCAGCTCGCTCAATAACCAAATGCAAATGTGACTGTGAAAGTTGGTGTTGGAGTTTGATGAAGGGGGTTGGCGCCTTGCATTACAGTAGTTCATTCATCGGATCACGTTACAAGACCGCAGTAGCCACCTATAAATCGGGAAGCTTGGTACGTTTATCAAGGTGCTTGACACTGTTTTGGTTTGGCTTATGAAGACGTTCTATCAGTATCACCCTCCACAAAAACGGGAAACACTCATGACATTGAAATTCCGTAGCTAGCTCATGACAGGCTGCCGGTGAAATCTTCTACTTGGAACGACATTGTGCTAATAAAGGTGAGTGCATTCGAATTTACACTACACGGTTCGCCCTTGTCTCAATATCCACATCGATGTTTTGCTGATCCCAACACCACAGAACAAACATGCTGGCCGCTACGGGCCTATATCTCTCACCATTGAGGGACACTGGCTCTTACGTCGAAGGAACCCCCGGCCTATCGCCCGTCATCATATCTGGGAAGCTGCGTGTCCTGAATGCCACATCCAAGTTTCGAACAATCCCCAAACCCATAATCACAATCAAGTGCTATACAGAAATGACACCATATAGGACAAACCCGACAAAGACATTGCATCACTTTTACTTCCACGCTGATGCTGTTATGGAGTACAAGGGGAAGAGAAGAGAGTCTGATGTTTTGTCGACAGTCAGCTCTCAAAGAACGAAGGGCAGGACGGGAGAGTACACTGTGCACCCTGGATCCGATATTACTTTTACATTCAGTGCGGAATTGCCAATACCTGATAGAGGTGTGTGTTTGGTTGTGTATTTTGACTACAAAAGTAAACCACATACACACTAGTTATGTATACTGACATTCACCCACACTCCAGAAGCAGCTGACGGAACAGAAGGACCATTCCTCATGTTCCCGCCGAGTTTCTTGGTGCTTCGAGATGATTACGCAGCAGGTGAAATATGGCAGACGTTGTAACGAAAGCGGAATACTAAAACAAACTCTTTTATAGAAAGTAAATTTAGAATTGTAGCTGAAATCCCCGAAACAAGTAACGGTTCTTCAAATTCGAGGGGTTCTCCCGCTCCAAGAACTGCAGCTGGATTTAAAATCACCTGGTTTGATCGATCTCTCGTCGGGACGGTATTAGGAAACGCATCGTCCATGAGGAGATGGCATGCAGACATGACTCACGATATTAGCTATGATTTGCGAGTCACCAAAGCAGCCGTTGCGAGAGGTGACGATCTCATTGTGTTATTAACGGTGAGATCAACGCTGGGAAGTGTACGGAGTGTGGAAGTGCAGTTACGTGAAAACCATAGCTTTATGCTACACGGTGCTGAAATCAAACGGGGGCATCAGAATCTTACGACGTGGGCTGCACCTAGTATACCAGCACTGAATGACGATGTGGTTATCATCATCAAGATACCAGATAAGTGTAATCCGACCATCCCGGAAGCAGATTGGATTATCAAGCACATGGGTTAGTGTCTGCGTGAGTTTTAATTGAAGAAAGTGAAGTTGACACCCTTGTCATATTAGTCCACTTGCAAATAACGACATACTCGGGTCGTAATCAGTTTGTGGACTTTCCAATCACCATTGTTGGATATACCCAACAAGATGTATGTGCATTGGGAACGCTGTGGCAATCGCCCAGTGCTAACCGACTCTCTACATTAGCTTTCGGATATCTTGCAGAACGATCCAGCTGTTCTACCCGTACTAGAATCTGCTGGCGCATTTGATACAGTAGTAGAACCAACATGGATTGGAAAGACATGATTAAATTATAAGGCTGGCCTCACGAACGCGTGGAATGGTGCTGGGTTGAGCTCTAACTAATATTCCTTCTCGTCGTCGCGATCGAAACAGTGTAAATTCTGAAACATTTTCGTAGTAAATAATAGTAATACATAAGCTTAACTATCCCGTGATTTCGTGTTGTTCCAGGTGTTGTTCGCGTTAGAATCGCTTCTTGTCGTGCACTTTTTGTTCGTTTGGAGCAACACGCAAATATGAGCAGAGGGAGAGGAGGAGGAGGCTTTCGAGGGCGAGGCGGCCGTGGTCGTGGTCGAGGAGGCGAAAAGATTGAAATCGAATCTGCTCTCTTTCCAGTAAGCTTGCAGATTTCTGTGACGGATTGCCAATTCTGTCTTCTTGCAATCCAGACGCATCAAGAAGCAACAAGATCTAACATCGTCTATATATAGGCATCAAGAGGAATTCCGGCCTTGTTGCCTCCTACTCCATTCCATTTGAAGCCAATGCACAAGAATGATGATTTTTTGAAGAGTTTGCAGACATTGCCCTTTTATATCAAACCACCACCTCCAAAGACTGGTATTGCGTTATTAGATCGAATTTTCGGGAGTGATGTGGACTGATATGCGGTTTTGTAGATGTTGAATCGTATACTGTGCTCAAACTCAAACGAAAGAGACAAGTCAATTCTCAAAAGTCGTTTACGGAGATTGTTACTCGAAGACCGGGTACATTTTCATTTTGCGTTGCTCTATTTTCATTAGATCCAACGAATTGACATGTTTTATTTCTAGAACTCGACTTGGATTTCCTAGACACGCCATTGAAACAAGTCAAGGATCCAACAAAAAAACCAAGTCAGTTCCCCTCTACTCATGTATGATCAAGAAACAACCTAATCTCATCTACTTCCCGTACCTAGTCGTCAGCACAACCAAGAAGAAAACAGTCGATATGGACAGAGTCATGGCCAAAGTGGGGAAAACAGACAAGCGTGAAGACGACGATGACGAACAGGATGATGAAGAGGAAGTGCTTGAGGAACGTGACGAGTCTGAAGATGAAGAGGAAGGAGATTATCTTGTTGATCATTATGATGATGACCACGATGGTTATGATGATTTCGAGAACCAAGAAGGTGGAGGTGAGACCTATGCTCCAATCAAAGCGTTGCCTTGTTTCGTTATAGAAATCCATTCTGACAATACTGTCTATTCGTATTTAGATTACTAGAGACTTTATAATCGTATTCTTCAGCTGTGTTCTACCAAACTGTATATTTGTTAATGCCCTTGAAAACTTTCGCATGACCTCTTGTTATAACAACGCATATAGAATACACTATTTGTTGCTTCAAAAACGAAATTTTATTGTTACTTTGTATCATTGAAAGTGTTTTATATCTGAGTGTAGGATTCACATCAGCTCTAATTTGCCCTTCAATTAAGCCCCCATTACTTGTCACGCATCTAGAGTTTTGGAGCTGATGCACTGGCATGCAGTTCACGATACAGCTTGGCAAAGACATGTGCGTACTTTTCCTAAAGCACAAGATACAAGCTGTGAGTTTCTTTGGCACATGAAAAACTGTTGCCTAGTGCATTTTTTTACCCTAGCCTCAAATCTCTTAATCTTAAACGTAGGAGTCAGCAACCCATTCTCCAAACTAAAAAGCTCCAACTCAAAGTCAATGGCCTTGACCTTCTCAAACCCTTGATGCTTTTCAGCATCCTGTAACCGATTCATGTCTTTAACTACTGCTGCCTTGAAACGTGGATCTTTGATTAGTTCAGGCATGGTGGTGGGCCATCCGTTTTGTTTGGCGAGAGCCAGACAGGATTCAGCGTCTGGGATCACGAGGGCGATTAATGCTGGTTCGGTTGATTCGCCGTGGACAAAGAGCTGGCGGGAGAGATGGTGGTTGTGAGGAGTGTGGTACGAGGATTCAGAATGTTTGGAGAGGGCTTACTTGAGCAATGTACGTCGAACGTTGCAGCACGTTCTCGATTGATTCAGGGGCAACGTATTCTCCCTATTATGGTATTAAAGGGGAAATGAGTGAGACTGTTTCCGAGGGTACAATGTTGCAGGCTAGTCGGCGCATTTTCTTTTTCACCTGTGCCAGCTTGAAAATGTGTTTCAATCTATCGGCAATATGTAGCTTTCCAAACTCGTCAATGAAACCGATATCTCCAGAGTGGAGGAATCCGTCTTCATCAATGGTTTCCGCGGTCTTCCTAGTGCCATAGAGTAATGGTTGATAAACGAGAAAAAAAGCACCAAATTGTGCAATGATCAACTCACTTTGGATCCTTGTAGTACCCTCCAAACACACAAGCACCACGAACTATGGTATATCAAAGCTACGTTGGTAATCTAGACTTGAAATACAACCGATTTTTTTGTTCTCGCGTCTTACCACAAATCTCTCCACGTGGATATGGCTTGTCAGTGGCATTATACCGCATCTCTGGGACACTGACAAGCTTGAGCTCCATGGCTGGGTGGACTGGTCCGACGTGGTTGTACCTTGAAGGGAGAGATTGTTTGTTGGATTCTCACATAGCGACCATATAAGGCCATCAATTAAACAAAGTGATAAAGTCTGTACGTGTAATCTTCAAACATTGTTGTCGACGCAACCCCGGTTCCTTCCGTTTGTCCGTAAGCTTCAAAGAGCTCAGCTGAGAATGCGGATCTCAGCATGCTTAATGTTTCACCGGCGATTGGACTAGCACCTAAAATCAACCGATCAGAACCAGAAGGTCCAGCGAGGCGCCAAAAAGGCGAACTTCAAACCGTATCATACCCGACATTATCATCCGCACTCTCCCACCCATCAGTGCCTTAACTTGATTAAACAACAACGTATCAAAAAACAAATTCTTCGGACTTCCTCCATTCTTCATCTGAGCTTCCTTTGTAGCCAGTCCCATCTGCCACAGCTGCTTTATAGGGAAGCTAGCATTCTCAAACCGTGATTGCAGCATTCCTGCGATACGATTCAGGAGACGTGGGACGCTTGGGAAGAAGGTGGGCTTGAGACATTGCATGTCTTCTAGCAGTAAGGCCGGATCACCTATTTGTGGGGTAGAATGAGATATCTGTGATGAGTAGCGAGCTACCATGAGGTCCATACCTCTGCTAAACCCAATACGGGCGCCAGTTTCGGGTATAATGCTCAACGACATGTTAAAGTCATAGATATGTGCAAGGGGCAGGTAACTAATGTGCACATCGTCTGGAGTAAATCGCACTCCTAGGGTCTTGAAACTGGATGCAGCTGCTATGGCGTTTCTATGTAGTATCAATGCACCTTTTGGCAATCCTAATTGCAGGAGACAATGGAGTGAGTCCAACAAAATTGAAAACAGACGAATTAACGTAGACTCGTAGCAGACCTGTAGTTCCTGACGTATACATGATTGCTGCAACATCATCTCCAGAAGCACGACGCAATCCACCAGATGCCCTGCTACCAACCTCTTCAACATGCAGCATTGAAAACAATTTGATGCCGCTCTTTTCTGCCAGGGCAATTGACTCGGGCGTCAGCTCATCCATAGATATCACAGCCTTCAAGTACTGGCCAGCTTTAGGCTTGATTTCAGCCAATATGGGCAGTTTGTTGAGTGATGCTACAACGACTTCAATCTCTGAGTGATTGATCACGAATTCGATGGTGGATTCTCCCAGGGTTTCGTATAGAGATACTGTAGCGTGAGCGTTACTGTATGTGCCGAGTGCTGCGATGATCCATTCGGGACGATTCATTGCGAATATACCGACGTGTGCTTTGGCGTCTCTATCAACACCACATTCTTGCACCAGCACATGCTGTAGCCCACGAGCAAAGTTTCGGCGACGGATATCAATCTCGGTATACGTTTGCCATGTATAGTCCTTCGTCCACTGTCCGTTTGGGAGTTTGGTTCGGTGTCCTAAATAAGGACCACCCTTGGAGCGAATTACACCACATTCAAAACCATCAACTATGGTGGATATGCCTGCCAATCCAACTGGTGGACCGGGATTTGCTAGTACGTTCACGTATGTTGCACTCTCCTTCGTCGTCACTCGAGAGCCTTTGACGATATTGGCGAGGACTTTGCGAGATACGATTTCAGAGAACTCTTTGCGAGTGAACTCGTGGATTGGCTGTCCATCAGCTGTAATTGGTGTTCCTATGTAGCAAACGAATGTTGAATGTAAGTTTGTGATGCGTTTTTCCGAGTTTGCGGCACTTTGGTACAAAAAGAAGATGTCGAATAAGCACATACCAATAGGAATGGGTGCCATAACTTCAACGTCAGCTCCTTGCGATTAAAATAATCGCTTTTTGTGGTAGCTTGCCAAATGTTCCACAGGTTGCACCAAGTCCCTTTTTACTCACGTTTTCTATTTTGCCCTGTTCCGAGCCTGGAAAACTTTTTTTTTTGCTGCAACCTCACTCCTTTCAAACAACGGCTCACTCTCGACACTTGGAACCTCTACTAGCCAGATCCAATAATCTATAAGCCTACACACTCAAAGTCACCATGCAACAACAACTTCAAGAGCTGGATTTCCCATACCGGTATTTGGCAAACGAGGGCAAGAATGACAAGACCAAAAACTCAAAAAGGTTAGTTTCAGATGTAAATTGAGCTGCTAGCTTAATGTATCTGTGAGCGACCGGTACTCGAAATGAGCCAGTTTTTGCTGATTTCGACAAAACCATTGTTCTTTAAACAAAATTTGGGTTTGAAGGCTGCATGCAATCTGTGGTTACCGTGGTGCGTAGCTAACTAATTTCTGTTAATTTTAAAATAGTTCTATCCTTCCTGGTGTCTATGAAGGTGTCCAGGCACCCTCCGTCTTAATTTTCGCTGTCACAGGGTTTATAGGATCTGCTGTGGCCAGTGCGTTTCAAACGAAAGGTAATGATCATTTAGAAGGCTCTTGACCTTGTTGAAGACGCTGTGTGCCTTGTCCATACCTTGGAGAACAAGATTTATGCTTGCTATGCTTGCTTTTAAATATTGCCAATTTGACAACTCACAATTCTGTTTCTGTGAAAGGCTGGGAAGTCTACGGCACAACTCGAAAGGCAAACACTCAAATGGATTTGTTACGTCGAGAAAGTGAGTTCTTCTACTTGGCATTGTTGAATCAAGCTGACATACAGACACTAATATCTTGGGTTTCTCTTGTAGTCATTCCCGTCTTGGCCGACATCCGAGACTTTGAATCCTGGCGCTCAGTCGCCGAAAAAGTCTCTGTAATCATCGACTGCTCATCGCCATCAGATGCCGCCGCCGGACAGCAAATCGAATACTTTAAAACCTTTGTCGCCAACCTCGAAGCTGTTTCTCGTAAAAGAAACCGTCAAGTGACGGTGATATATACGTCGGGCACATGGGTGTATGGAGATACTGGACTCGTCAAAGTAAACGAGACGGACTTTACGCCACTCGAGACTGATCGCAAAATAAGTCTGGTTGAATGGAGGCCCCAAGTTGAAAACATGTTTGTTAATTCGACTACTTTCAGAGGGATTGTGTTGCGTCCAGGTGAGGAATTGGTGGAGATTTTATTGTTTCATGATGCGGTGTCTCAAGACCAAACTTTTGTTATAACAGGTGCTGTTTATGGACGTCAAGCCAATGGACCAACCTCATACGTGCTTGCTGGAGCAGCCAAGAACAACCTCAGATTCCCAAAGGGCTTGACTGAGAATCCAAGATGGAGCACCGTTCATGTAAGCGCTCGACGTGGATTGTGCTTTGCTCTCAAACAAAATATCTAAGTTATATTTTAGGTCGATGATCTCGCCAACGCATATGTCTTGGCTGCTGAAAAACGTGAACTTGTAGCTCATGAAATAATCAACATCGTGAATCCCAACAGCGAGGGCTTGTTGGATATATTATACACTGTTAAACGTGTATCTGGATGCACAGCCTTCCCAACATTTGTACCAAGCTCGAACCCATACGAAGAAGCTCTCGCGGCCAGCAGTCAGGTCTCCAGCAAAAAGGCGCAGAGGTTATTGAACTGGACGCCAACGTAAGTTGCCTCATTTTGCATTATGCAACTTTATTTAGTGTTTGACGGGTACTCGGAAATGTCATGTGAAAGAATTGGAGAAGTGTGGCTAATCGTGGTATTATTTTCCTACACTAGGCAACCGTCCTTTGTCGATGGGTTGGAACGGTGGTACATTAGCTTCAGGTCGCATGTTGATGCAGGCTTCTCACTGCCGATTCGCCCTGTCTCCAAGCTTTGATCTTCAGAGTTACAAAAAAAAGTCCACCCCACCGGACACTTCAAATACATTCAAAGCCCTTAGCCATCACCTGTGGCCACAAAAAAGTTTGCATAAAAGTTTGCATATATCGATACCCTGTCTGTAGTTTACAATTAAAAGATGCATATTACACGTAACGTGTCGTGTTGTCACAGCATGAATGAATGACCGCATCGTATTTTCTCATGGCAGTAGCCCATATGGTGATGTAATTTGCACGGTTTAGTATTCTCCACGTCATTTATCTCTTTTCCCGGTTTGTGCAAATTCCCGAGACAAACAAGAGTTTTGTCCTTGTTTTGCGCGCTGGCACGATTGCAGCAACCCACCAACCAACTAACACCACTTCATCTCATCAAAAGCTTCAACAATCGTGGATATAATAAGGCAACTGCACTTGGCATTTGCATCTACACTTGCTCGACAAGCACTTGATCTCAAAACTAGGACAATCACAACGCCTCTTTCCATCTTGCTTCCAGCCATATACACACTTGATCTCGAATTGATCATCGTTGTCATATAAGGTAAGCTAATGTCATTGCATATCAGTCTGTTTGCAGCCTATTTGCTTTCTCTGTAGCTTGTTTCATCGACATTGGTCAAGCTTTTTGGGTTTAACATTAACGTTAACTCCACCACATTCTGGAGAATCTACATACAACGTATCACGACAACTGAAAGCCAATGCAATACTTTTCACATTTTCTAGACTTGAAAACACTACACTCTTTTATAAAAACCTCTCTCGTGGGAAATGCAAAGTAGCATAATGTCGTCACATACTTGCTCGTCACAGTGGAACTCGATAATAGGTAAGGACAGCATCACGATCTCCTCAATATCTCGTGCAGAATCGCTAACTTTTGGTTCCTCATCTCTCCATCTTTAGGAACGCCACTACCACAGTCCACTCTGCTAAAGGCTTCCATGCAACCCCAAACCATAAGCAACAAACCACGAAGACAACGCACACGGGCAACCAACATTGTGCTATCAGCTGCCACGCCGAGTGTCGTTGCATCACTGTGGTCGATACCTACACCATCAAAACCTGAATCTTTTAGCATATATAAACCGCATCTCTGACACATCCACTAAGTGCTAATCGCACTGTAAAAAGTAACGCCGTAAATAAGTAATAAGTCGCATTTTATAATTTACTTTTTACTCTAATACTCCAATACACCAAGATTGAGTTTTCTCAAAACTCCCTTCGCATTTTTCAAAAATTTGGAGGCAGTGTCAAGTCCTCAGATGCGTTGGGGACTACTACTATAAAGTGGAGAAAGTGGAGTAAATAGCGTCAGTGCCGTAGTAACCTTAAAACCCTCAAACGAATCTATTTGAGCTGACTTCGCGGCTTAAAGCACAGACACTCTCATTTATGACGAATCGTCAAAGTCACAAAAAATCACAAACAACAAACATCGTCAACAAACAAATGGACACAACTGCAGGCTGGCAAAAATCAAAGGTCAATTCTCACCTTCACGTGCGGCTCCTTGACTGCTCGTAATCGTGGATCAATTTCAAGACTGTCGTCATTCCTTTTAAACATGACTGGCGCTCCGTTTCCAGGCCTTCCAAAGTGGAAGTAGCCTGGCTCTTTGGGATCATCGTGATCTGATATTGGAACGTAATAGAGCAGTTAGACATATGTAGAAATAAAGGCAAATATGAACCACTTTATGCTGCGTCTTGTTCCACATCTTTTTGTCAGACACCTTTATTGCTTTTACCTGGATCATGCAGCTTCATCGACAGGCCACTTGGCCTTCGTGGCACGACGTCCGTGGTCTGTCTAGGAGCGTAAACATCATTGGAAATCGTCTTGTATGAGTTGCCAATCGGGAGAGAGTTCACTGGTGCTGGTTGTGCACGTAGGGAGAGTAGATGAGCCTGGAGTATGGGCTGGAAGAGTTGTTTAGACTCCATTTGTGTAGGATGTGATCCTAGATAGGAGTATGTTAGAGCAAAGTTCGACTTCGGTGATGTCGTTTGTAATGAGGCTGAAGTATGCAAGAGAACGAATGTACGTACCAACAAGTGGACGTTCTTCTCGACCAGGAATGTTTGAGCCATCACGATTAGCTCGTTTGGTTCGTCGAAACTCTTGATGGTGGTGTGCTGGTAGTATTCTGCCACTGATGATGTCGACTCGTTCTTCTCCAGAAGACTATGCAAAACGAGTTAGAAAGGCATAATAGAAATTGTGGACGTGCTGACGAGATATGGTTTGTTGGAAAGCTTACAGCTGACTGTGGTTTGACCTTGAATTTCGGTGGCCTGCCATCTACATAACTTTCAATAGCTGGCTTTAGCCATTCCGTTGTTGGCTGAACACTGTCTGCTTTGTGAGTATGCTGTCTGTATTCTTCGTTCTGCTGTAATTGCTTCACTGATAATGCATAGGGTATGATGTATCAGCAAAAAATCAACGTGAGGGTTTCAAGAGTGCGAGACAAGCGTACCTATTTGTTTTGCATATTCCTTCTTCTTTTGACTTTCACGGTCTCGGTATTCGAGTATTTCTAGTGGTGCGGCCTTGCCATTCCCTGCTCGTACCTTCCCAAACGCCCACACTGAATCTGCCATATTTCGTACTACAAAATTTGTAATTTTATCAGTGAGATGCGTTGCTTGGCATCTTTGCAATGCTCTTAAGTCTCACGTTCAACATCTCTCGTCCTTTCTGACTTTTTAGATTGTTCCTTTTCCTCTCGTTGCAACTTTTCATAATACACTATGCGATAACGTGTAAGATGAATATATATAATTATCGAGACTGCCTGCGATCGGTATGAAAACCGTCGAGATAATTCCAACTTACTCAATTCCTTTCTTGCGACGATACGTTTTTTCTCAGCATCCTGAGGCTCGCTAAATATGGATTTAACTAGTCCTGGACCAGCTTTACGGGGTGGAATGGGCTTCTCTGCTACTACCATGTCTGTGTTCTGTTGCTTTGTTGTCTTGTTTGCGTAATTCGATTGGGTCTGTCTTTTTGAGCAAACCACGAAAAAGCAGGCATGTATTGGGTCTCGGAGAATTTTATTTTATGAGACTCCAGTGTGTGGTATGAGCTACCGCGTGTACTGTGAAGTTTTGTTCTTGTTTGATTTTGGGAATTTCCAGTAAGTTATGCCTTCAAGAACTAGTTTTTTGCCAAACCTATTTCAGCACGGTGAAATGGATGTATCAAGTTCTGCCTCAAAGAAAGCCTGAGCAATGCTAAACTCTATTATCTCAATCAATCATAGCTTTTCTCCTCTAGAATAATTTTTACGCCAGATACAGTTCTGGCGACCAACGCATACCACATTCCCATTTGGGTCTCTCAGCACCACCTCACGCTCTTCCATGTCACTAAAGTCACCCTTGAGATGGAATGTTGCCCATAGACCGTCAGTGTTTGTAAACCGTTGGGGAAATGCTAGCGTAAAAGACAATGTGAGGAATGGAAAGACGTCCGAGTGGAGTTTTGTAGCACTGAAAGCGACAGAGCCGTTTGGTGTGATGATGTCTATGTGAATGAATGTAAGTTTTCTTGCAACCAGACACTCGCAGACTAAAAGTTGTGTACCTGAAAAGAAGAGCAATGACAGCAAGTCGCATTTTCTGCCTGTGCGGTGCGTAAACCACCACTGGTTGATGGGATTGTCGACAATCCATTTGGTGGCAGTGTCTTGCCCCTTCTCTAAAGCTGATTTCAAGCTAGCAGCAGTCTTCTTTGGAACGAGCCAATCCTGAGAAAAGAACGATTTAGCAATCTGATTTGATAGAATAATTAAGTACTGTTCAGTCTTTCTTCAACATACCCAAGTGCTATTAAATCGATTGGTTGGTAACTTGTGCGGTTCAACCAGATCCACAACCGAGACACATTCACTCATTGGTTCTAGCGTATGAGCAGACTTTCTCGCTGGTGAAACTGGAAAGCCGGATGATGGGTTTCGATCAGGATTCGAGAACACTGCTGACAGGGTCGATATGATGACCTTCTTTTCTGGTTGTGACGTATTATACATGGTTGCCCGAATAAACTAGAAGTGAATTCAAGTCAGTATTTGGAGATACGGTTTGGACATTGTGGTTCAACTTGCAGCAAATCGTCCTCCAGTTCTGGTTCGTTCGACAACCACTTGTACAGTGTTTCCAGGAGCAACGCCACTTAGCATCTCGGCATGCAGCGATATAGGATGTTGCCATGGCGTCTCTTTTAGGTCGGCGAGGATTGCAGCGAGAGCGATACACAATGTTGCGGATCCTCTACACGAAAATGATGTCACCAATGCAAATGTTGTGGTTGCGATGAAAGGAAGATGATGGGTAGGCATTCAATGACTTACGGGCCACTATACAATTAGAAGTTAGCGGTCTTGATCGTCGAGATTTGTATAAAACACACTGGATAATTGTGAGCTTACGGCATTATGATCTTGGATTCGAATACTCCATCAGCGACTTTTGTGAGGCTGCATTGTTTATCTAACGTATCTATCAGTGCCATCTCAACAAGCAATACGTCTTTCTAGTTCTATAGAATCGGCAATTTGCAACAACCTTTGGCTTTCCAACAACAGCGAGATAGATGGAGCCCGCTTTTGACTTGATCAAAAGGCTACCATATGAGATTGCTCTCAAAATATTCGGCTTCTTCCAACCTACAGAACTTGTCACTTGCGCTCTCACGGAAAAATATTACAGCAAACTCGCAACGGATGATGTACTCTGGATGGAGTTGTGGTAATGTGTCAACCAGTTTGCACGATTTGAGATCTCGCATTGATACTGTATACTGATTCCTTTGCTCTCTTCGTTAGTCGATCCAGGTGGAAGGACAAGATGCACATCTCCTTCAGTCTAAATCCAAAGGCCGATTACACCCATTCCATCGACAGTTTGAGTGACCAGGAGCTACATTCTATTTTACAACGAAGAGAAATATCGTTTGATATTGAAGATACTAGAGAGCAGCTGGAACAGTTGATTGTTGCTGCACCACTAGTCTTGGCTGGTGCTGCTGGCCCATTTCAATCAAAGTGGTAAGCGTGTCATACTCAAACCTCGGTGTCGCGTTGCTATTCAAGTGTTATGGTTGCTACTTCTATCATCCTATGGAGACAAACCAACCGTCTTCTCAATCGTATAGGAAGACATCCTACGTGGCAGCCGAAATGGACTCCAAACGAACGCAACTCACAGCAGACGATCTCGCTGACTGCAGCCCTTGGCATTTTACTATATGTGCCACTGGGCCGTGGCGGAATATGGTACCAAACGTGCAACAATTCCATACAAGTGCAACCTTTTTAAAGGACGGTACGTATATAAACCGAACGCTGCTTGAGACCATGACTTGGACTATTGGAAATGATGGCCGTGTGGCTGTGGACGAATATCCGCCCCATATTGCGTCAAGAACTGCTGAATGGGGTTGGGTGAGTGTTGGATTGGTTGTTCCAGTGGAAAGGCAGGCTACAGGACGATAGTTACTGACTATTGGTATTAGGTACTGACTAATGGTATTGTGGTGTACCGTTCGACTTGCAATGGGAGGATTGCTTCTTTATGAACGAGAGAGTCATCCCAGTGAATCAATTATCTTCGAAGCTAGTTTCGATACCAGACAAAGCAGGGTCTGCGGTGATTATATACGAACGTGGATGTCAATAATAGTATTGCATTTATTTTATACATCTAGTAGGAAGTTGGATTTAGGAGTTTCATAGGAGGACAGGAGAGTCATTCCTTTAACGCGAATTTTAGATTGTCAATGAAAGTGTGCGCGCGCTCGATTGTTTTTCTATGTGGCTTTTCGCTCGTCTTGAAACGGCAAGGTTCCCGTCCCAACTCACCTCACCTTTTTGATCGACGGCGACTACTTCTCACCTAGTAAAACAAACAGCGATTTCTCAAAAACCAGCCAATTAAAACCCAAACCACAAGGTGAGTGATGTGATCATTGCCTGTTGTATCAACCTGTCCGATTACTTGAATGCACTGCTCGTAAACGTCGCGTAGACTCACAACACAAATATAACAACACAAGAAACTCACTATTATCCCCAAAAAAAACAGGACAATCACCTTAGCCATGTTTGAGTTCCTTCACCCACACCACGCTGGTAAGCTACAGCTGTTTCTGTGGACCGTTCTTTGTAGCCTCGTTTGCTGGTTTCATCCAACATTTTAATTTCAATTTGCAAGAGATGTACCAGCAACAAGGACCCATCCCTGAAGAGCACAAAGCAAAATGGACTCATGTAAGATTGAAATATACAGTTTTAATCCTCCAAAGTACAAAATCGGAACGGTGCTGGAGTCAAATTTCTGAATGCCCAAGTGCAAATCCACACCGTGCTGGAGTCAACTGCCTCACCATACAACATTATAATAGGAACTTGTTGGAGCCGGAGCTGGATTCTTTGCCATGCGCGCCTATGAGCAACATCAGGTAACATGAATAAAAAATCGCGATCAAAACTTTCAATAACCTTTGCTGTTTTCAGGCCTCTCTCGGTCACCCCATCTCTCACCCTGTACGTGCTTGCCCTTTCATTCGTGTTAGCATGCGTTTCTTTCCACGAGGGTCCGCCAAACATTTTCAGCACCAATCCAACAAATCTTGACTTTTTCATAGTTCGTCAAAGAAATCCTCGCATCGATTGCCGCTGCAGAAGTTGACCGTCTCTGTGAATCCAAAGGAATGAACTGGATTGACCGTGAAAAGGCAAAACAGTAAGTTTCGTTTCGCCACAACGCGATCAACTTGGTCTGACATTCTATCATTTTTTTAGCCAAGCTGTTCAAGAAGCTCATCAAGCTTACGACCAGAAATACGGAAATGCTCCTCAAGATCCTAATGTAAGTCCTCGTCGCTTTTCAGAGTTGTTTGATGACCCTTGATTCCAACATGGATCTAACAAGTGCAATCAACCTCTGTTCTCTTAGTACACTGCTCAAAACTTTGACATGAACGCCTTCCAAAACACTGCTCAGTCAATGGCCGGCCAAATGGGACAATAAAATAACTGGTAGTCAAAAGGCAAGCCTGCCAAACCCTCTTGGTGTCGAGGTGTAAAAAAATTGTTGGCAGTATTGTTATAAGAATAAGATTCATTTCTTTCAATTTCGTGTGCTCTATGCTTGAGTGTCCCTTTTTGCGATGGCTTTCAACATCATCACGTACACTGCGATGGTGCCGGATGAATGACATGTGATGTCACGATCGAAATCAAAGTTGTTAGGAAGTCTTACACGACAACCCTTTTTATATTGTCAAGACCACACTATGTGATGGGACAATTGACGGCTCCACTTAGAGTTCGAAAATATTCAAACCCAAGACATTCCTGAAGCACTAAATCGTCTAGTTGCATGGATTGTGTAATTATGGGCCGTAATACTCTGATAGTGACGAAACTGGCCAACTTCTCGTTTTTTCATAGACTTGGACGTTAGAAATGGGAAAAGCGACACATACGCCAACCGTGATTAAACTTCGATCAAGAGGAACAGGTAAACATCTTCATAAAAGTGTTTCTTCCCGAAATTTTGACTGTGAGGAGCTCCACTTGGCCAATCGTGTGTCTATGCGAGCTTTTGCGGCATTGTACGATTTCCCCTGTATGCGAGATTCGCCTTGAAGCCAACAAGCTATGTAGCGAGTCATGATCGACTAGATCACTAGATGATTTTCATCTTTCAAATGAAAGGATTGGGTTCTTATTCTTGTAAGAAATAGATCTGCAACGACTTTAATCAGAACTGGTGCTGGAACTGCTCGTATGCATCAGCGGCATCTGTTGCGTTTCAAGGCCTCATACCGTTCGTAAAAGGCAAGCAAACCATCAGTTTTTTCGCGTTTTGTACGTGACTCTTTGCTTTTCTAAAAACGGCCAAGGTTCCTGTTCTAACAGTCCGAACGCTCCGTTTTCGATTTGAC